TTTGAACCTCTAACTGGGTTATTTGCTATAATATCTATATTATTCTCTTTCTATATACTCGAACAATAGTAAGTAAGAACAGAAGAGACTAATATAAATAATATTGATCCACTATCGCGCCACGTTCACTAGTAGGCTACGTACCCTACTAACCTATTTACTAGATATAATTCTCTTCACTTGAACACTTTTCAATTGACTAAACCAACCAGATTTATTATAATAAGTTTGAGATTTCTCTGATAACTATAATATCTTGTTAATGCCCTCGTACGCGGCTATAGAGGTAATATAGCCTAATTTACTTTATTATATACTTAACCTAGAAGAATAGTCTGTTCCTACTACCATATCCTACCCTAGCACGGAGTAGACTAACTCTTTGTCGGTAACTAGCTTATTCCCTTCTATAATACGATTAGTTTAGCGTTCCGAGTAATGTTTTAATTAAAATAGATAGAGGCGCCCATATACCAATTAGTTAGGCTTAAAATGAGGATTTGAAATTTTTCTAAAGCAGTTTATACTTTACTAATATAATCATAATAAAGCTAGAAGTTGTAGCTCGGTCATTTATACCTTTTATCTTATTTTCTTTATACAGAGCTTTGATATATTCTTTATTGGCCTTACATTGAATAATTAAAATGTTTTCAAATCTATCAAAGTGCTCTTATCAACTAATAACTATTAATACTCATGGTAATCCTAAATATATTTGTCGTTATACCTAGGAATGTGTCTATTGTAATTCTAGTCCTCTTCGTATAAAGAGGAGCTAATGTGTGTATGCATAAACAGGACTGGCTTAGGTGATATTTAATCTCCACAGCTAAGCCTTGCTTGAGTGTACTATATAGATAGATAGATAGATATATATGTATTGACTTGAAGGTCTCCCTCCTACTAACACCTACTACTTTCAAATTTTAGAAGGTTAGCCTTTCACTTCTCCAATCATAATGACTGCCTTTTAATACATTCCAAGCTTTTTTTCATACCGATATAACAAGACAATAATGATAATAAACTTTGCTAAAATCCTACAACTTTAGAATTTCTATAACTATTATATATTATTAAATACCCGGTATTAGAGCTTAAAAGTCTTAAATTTACCGCTTTATTAAGTAATATAATATAAATAGGTTACTATAAAAGATAAAGAAATATATCGGAACTCTACCTAGCCTCTTCTTTATTTCTATCTTTATTTCCTTCAACTCCTCTAATCAATATACCTTACGGATATTCCCTCCTATCCCACTTTCTTAGGCCTATTATCAAAATGAATATCTACCACTTACCTTCTATACAAAACTACCATAATTTGATCTATATCCTTATAATTAAAATAAAAAAAAACATTAATTAGGGTTAAACCGATTTTTCGCCCGATATTTAATATAATAACCCCTAACCCTCCGTATAGCCTCTGAACGTCTCTTTATACTTAGTATTAGCCTATCCATCTTATATTAATCTAATATATCCTATATAGCCACTAAAACTGCCTGAAATGGGCCTAATCTCCTTTAGACCCTTCTATATTAATAACCCCTAGAAATAACTAAAAAATTTTCTGTTTTAACTATCCGTTAACCGGCTCGATCGGGTTCAAATTAGGTAAGTGCGGGGGCTAAGTTACGATAAACTCAATGTGAAGGAATAATCGACTAATGTCTATATATAGTATAGTTTTACCTTTTAATTATAATACAGAAGTAATATTTATAACCAAAAATCCAAAATGGTAGTAGCAGCCTTTAGTTATACATCCACCTATTATTCCCTTATCTACAAAATATATTATATCTTCAGGCTATTATTATAAATAAGAGCTTTTTCCCCCCATCTTATATAGACCCCCCTTTAGTCTTTTGGTACATATTTATTTTATTAGGAGCTACGTTGGCTTATATTTCCTCTTGTTTATAGGCTGTATATTAAGCTTTAACTTTGCCATTCCTTACTCTTCGCTACATAATCGTATTAAATGTATCTTCCCCCTCGGGTGTTATTACTCACTCCTTTTTTTTAGGCCTATTACCTGTCCGGACCAAACTTACCAGCTACTAACAGGACTAGACGGTCACTGGACTAGGTCGGCTGACTGTGTGTGATACTTAGTATGGTGGGAGAGCCTAACGGCAGTCATAGTGACCTTTTGGTCCGCGTTCTCCCTACTAAGCTCTCCTTATAGACCATAACAATAAGCTGGAATTAAATAGCTAAATTATTACATATATTCATACTTAGGTCTAAAATACATTGCTCACCGAAAGGTAGAGGCGAGAAGTAGAGATCCAATAAGTTCTTCGTTTTTCAGGGCAATTACTATATAAAATGCCTCGCGTAGTTTGAGACAAGGAAACGTCGTAAAACTTTTAAGAATATGTGGTAGGACCAGCAGTACTTAGAAGCACTTGAAGGCTAGATTTATTTTTTAGACCCCCGAGGCTTATTCTAGTTGGGTAATGTCGCATCCAAAGACGAGGGGAGTAATACTGATACTAGATCCGACTAATAAGAGACGCCTATAGGAATATACTGTCTTATTCAACGCCTAGGCATAAGAGAGAAGGGTGCCCAGGTATATTCGATTAGCTTCAACACAAATCATCGGTATAAAAACAATACTAGCAGTAAAATGTACAGTATATAGAATAGGGCAGACAGTTGACCCACTTACACTACTGATATGTCAACTTTAACATGTAAGGATACAATTATTTGCACTTTAACATAATGACAAAGTCGACTACTGACATAGTCCACTACTGACAAAAAAGCAGAGGCCGCGCAGGCACTAAAAGGGACAGTGTGACTGGCCGGTACGTACCAAGGCCTGACAAACCTAGACATTATGTCTTTGGTAATTAGAAAAAAATTGATATGCAGCCAAGAGCCCTAGAATCATGTACAATACGAGAAACTAGCTCAAAATCATGTGCCAGGAGCAGCATGCACTTGACCTAGCCATGGCCTACCTCACGATAGCCTGGAAAGGTAGACCTTGGTGTTCTCGTACACCAAGAAAGTCACCCATGTACTTGGAAGCACGCGAAACAAGTTTGGACCAAGACCCTTGTAAAACCCCGCAGTCCCTTCACGAGTCCATATCTGAGAAATAACATCAATTGCCCCCCGATAAATTCGATGCGCCTCATAAGTCTGCAAGCGGGACCTTACTACCTGATATGGATAGGTAACACTGCCTGCGAAGACCTTTGACAAACTGGAAATTGCGAAAAAGTCAACATTGCCCAATGCGCGCTCGGCACCTCGCTTGCTGCCGGGAGAGCCTTCGATATTCATCCCGGACCGCATGAGTTTTAGCTGTTCGTAAGCCATGAACTGAAGAGCACCATGACTGACACCAAACAGCGCCGGAACAAGGCCACGGTAGAAGCCAGGTATGCCCTCCGTACGATATATTTGTTTTATACCCGACGTGAGGGACGAGTACGCCCCAGGCACGTGAGAGCCGGTTGATAACATGCGAGTTTTAATGACCCAGATTGGGTTGGTCAGGATAGCCGTCATAGCGCCTTGGTGTAGTCACAGGTCAGTGTATAGAAAACTAAATTTTGACCCAAGCATCTCAGACCTACCTGCGCTCCCAGACGCCAGAAAAAAATCGGACGATGCAAGCATATAATTGCTTTCCTGGCGATATGTTTGAAACACATCCTTCAACCTGCTATAGAACAAGAAGTACAGAGCCCAGCTTGTAGAGTTCCCGATCAGATTCGGAGCCAATCCCCGGTAAAAAGCGGCTAAGCCACCTTCATGATGAGAGATCTCACGGATGATTCGCAACGAACTGCCTAGCCGAGATGCTGTCGAGCGATCAACTAGAAATGGTCGTATTAACTTCAGCATGAATACGAAGGGAGAAAAGAGCTTACCTTGCAATCTTGTCTTGACCAGGTCAAGAGGGTGCAACGAAAGTGTCGACACAATTCCTGCAGTAAATCCAGCTAAAGTCTCCACAATGGATGACGAGAAGGCATGGCTAGTCATGAACCTGAAAAACGAAGAAAAGTGTCTTGTCGGAGGGGAGAGGGGGGGGGGGGGGGGGAGGGAGGTGAAGTGGAAGTAGTTGTAGAGGGAAACCCGTGACTTCGGGAGTCGAGTCTACGAGAAAACGTCCTAAGATATGAATCGATTGAACATAGATCTTCCGACCCGATTTAAAAATACAAGTGGCCTTCATTGAAGCCTAACCTTCCTCCGAATGGTAACCTGGTCGGTTCCTCGATTCTTCCAACTTAGGCAAGCGGCGAGAACAGTCTGATTAGTTAGTACGGGTGAGAATGCCGCCTGGGGTCGAGATATACCTGAACAGAGTGGGCTTAGGGTCGCTATAGGTGTAGCCTGATATTAATTAGCTCTCATCACATAACCAGCTCGGGAAAATCTCATATATGAACGTACCCAGATACACAATTAGAGGCAAGTATCCACTGGGAGGTGTCGGTCAGCTCAGGGAATGACTGTAGAACTCTTAGAAGACTCACTAGTGAATTGCAACGCGAGAAACATCAATGACCTTTGAGACACGCTCCTGCAAAAGAAAATAAGAGATGGGTATGTTGTCGCCGTAAAAGGGTTAGATTCAGAACCAACCTTGGTCTCCTCGGAGAATTGAACCATTGTGATTGTGATTGGGATTAGGAGTAAAAGAGGTAGTTGGTGCCTCGATAAATGAAAGGCCAGGAGAGCGATACTGATCAGAACTGGATGTAGATAATGGTATGTTGGTGATGGGGAGAGAGGGAGTGAGTGATGCGGGTGAATCAAAAGTTTTCGGAAGTCGGGGCCAAAGTCAGTGATCGTCCTAGAGCTTCTTCCTCCTTCACTTCCACACCTGTGCCCGGTACCTCTACAACCACTCAAGTGTCAATTTTGCTTACAATACAAACTGCAGAGTTCAACTTGATAGCAAGTTCTATTTTGTCATTAGGCTGCCTGTGCTGTAGCTAAGATCCGCTGCGATGTCCGGCGCGCGGCATTGGTATGACCCTTTCTCACCTTACTCGTCAGCAGGAAACATAATGCTAATTCAGCACAGGGAACAAGATAAAGAAGCCACTGTCTATATTGGAAACCTCGATGAACGGGCCTCAGACAGTCTCGTGTGGGAGTTGATGCTGCAGGCTGGTCGCATCGTGAACGTCCATTTGCCAAAAGACCGGGTCACACAATTACACCAGGGCTATGGCTTTGTTGAATTTATCAGCGAAGAAGATGCCGAATATGCATCAAGAATTATGAATGGAATTCGCGTCTTCGGCAAACCTATTCGCGTGAATAAGGCATCGGCCGACAAACAAAAGACCGTAGAAATTGGCGCCGAACTCTTTGTTGGCAACCTCGATCCTATGGTCACCGAGCAGGTGCTTTATGATACATTCAGCCGTTTCGGTAACCTGATCAATCTACCCAAGGTGAGATCCTTTCCGTTCTTGTAAGATGCCTCACGCTAATAGCTTTATTCAGATTGCTCGCGACGACAATAATCTCTCCAAGGGCTATGGGTTTGTCTCGTTCGCCGACTTCGAATCTTCCGATGCGGCCATCTCCAACATGAATGGCCAGTACTTGATGAACAAACAGGTGTCGGTGCAGTATGCTTACAAGAAGGACGGCAAAGGCGAGAGACATGGTGATGAGGCAGAGCGAACACTGGCGGCGCAGGCACGTAAACACAATGTTCAGCCTCCCACACAGCAGCTTCCGCCTCAATTTGGTGCGCCTGGTCCCGTTTCGGCAACGCCTGTCATGTCGAATGGTGACATTTCACGACCCTTGAGTACCGCACCATTGCAACCAGACGCTAGCATGGGTCGCCCTTTACAAGCTATGGGTTATCAGAATGTACCTCCTCCACAACATCGATCTGTTCCTCCTCCCGCACAGTCGCTCAACACGCCGCCACCTGGGCTCCCTGCGCGGCCCCCACGATCTCAAGCCGGATATGGTGGTCCCCAGACCTTCCTACCCCCTGGATTCAATGGTGCGAGTCAGCCGCCTTTTAACCCACAAACTGCGCCACCTGGAATCGGGCCACCTGGATTCGGACCTCCGGCTGGTACGCCTCCATTGCCCCCAGGCTTCCAACAGCCTGGATATGGTGGCAGCCGGTGATCCTCGTAGCTTCTGGTCCGGTGAGCCCCCCAAGGCTTTGATTGAACCCCGTTTAAGATTCATTTGAAATGATTTGATGATTCAAATACCAAAAGCACTGATTCAACTTTGATATTCCTCTCGTGGCCGCCTCGGGCACCTCGACAACAGGCGCTCAATAGGGTCATGGAGCCGGCTTACTATCGGCAGTGTATGCCCAGGGTGGTGTTGTAATAATAGGTGGTTTCGTCCCATGCAGAAATACCAAACAGACCGATAATGTTTTGAGCCCCTGATCATTGCTGTCCTTATTGAATGACAAGCTTGTTAGGTTAAAAGCAAACAAAGAAACCGTCATTTTTTCTTCAAATGCGACGGATAATATATAGCTCCAAGCGATACACTGTTGAAAGAAAAAGCCGAGTTCCAAGGAGAGTATAGTAGACCTCTGCTAGCGACAAAACAACACCAAGCGTGACAAAAAAGAAAATACAATTATGTTTAATGAACGACAGGTGAGATAGACGAGGATAGGTCATGAGAAGGAAACGAATTTGGGATCCCTTGGACGGCCGTCAGGTCCGATGTTGTTCTTTGCGAAGCGTTGCTCGGTGTAGATTCGGCGAGCTTCGTCAAAGCCAACCTTCTGATTCTTCATGATCTTTTGCACCTCCATTTTTGCTTTTTGATCCAAGCCACCTCTTGAATCGCCACCAGAGATGTTGGCAGCTAGATCGAATTGTGATGAGCTTAAACCAGCCTCCAGATCGGCGGTGAAACTAGAAGGAAGCCGGTGGTAGATGTAGTCAGGAACCGGGAGTAGTGGAATCCATCGCGCACGAGTTAGGTACAGCGCTGGTGTCGAGTTAGCACTATTCCAGCGTCGCAAGTAGACCAGCTTACCTGTTCCAGATACAATGACGGTGAAAATGAGAGAATAAAATAGGTAGGTCATAGTGAGTATGCCAGGGAAGGGGGGGTCTAAGGATGGGGATATCGGAAGGGCACTCTTCAGCTCTCTAAAAGATGAAGTGTCCCCGTGGACAGGGTGCAGTCACTGGAATAAACGGCATGGAAACCGAAAAAATGAAAGGAAGTTGGGTTATGGGGAAGGCAACGTCAGCGCATCCGTCGGCAGCCTAGAGGGTTGGAGATATCCCAGCGGAAAGCGGAAAGCGGAGAAATTTGACAAAAAAGGTGCAACGCCCTTCCCTATAAAGTTACAGTAGCTGGTGTATGCAATTCAAAGACCCAATAGAATCTATATAATCCACAAGATGGTTTACATATCCGTAGGTCTGATCTCCTTCTTCGACTTTACTCCGGACATGGTTGGAACAAGATCCGAACTAGCCGATTTAGCGTGATATCTCTGATGCCTATTTGCTCAGGCCATCAAGTCCACGATCTCAGGCCACAAGGCCACAGGGCATAAAGGCACCAATCCTTTCCTAAAATGGCCGCCTTAGCGAGACATCCATTTCAAGTCTTGGCATTCAACACACACAATTTGGTTGACGTGAAGACGGTTTGATAGCGACTACGATACCTCAATTTCCCAACCCAACACCCTCTCATCACAATGGCCTCAAACATCTCCAACGATCTGGTCTGGCAGATCGCCCGTACGTTCCACCTTTCGAAATTTCACTTGGGAATTTTTACTTCACTTTTTGGACCCGAACTCTCGCTGATCGCTCCTTGGAACAGGCAACCAGAACTCTTACCTGGTTAAGCGCAACAGCGGTGGTGGCTCCCAGTTCTCCCGTGACCCCCTGAACGTGCTCAACAAGCACTCCTTCAAGGTATGGGCTCCCGGGTGTTGATTCCGGTGGATAGCTTTCGAGAATTGGTTGCTAATGACAGATTGGGATTGCAGTACGCTGGTTTTGCCAACACCAAGGTACGTTGTACCCTTTGTTTGATTTCGATCTCTGGGTACTAATCATTTCAACAGGCTGTCGGTGTCCAGGGTACCGAGAACGGTGTTGCCGTCACCACCAAGAACCCCAAGTACCCCCAGCAGCCCGCTAAGAACATTGTCACCGTCACCTACGGTCCCAGCTCTGCCAACCGCAAGTAAGCGAACCTGGACCTCCGAACTCATGAACCAACTCTCCGTTTACCAGTACTGATCGTTATGGCACTCAGGATCTACAAGGGTGTTGCCGACAAGACCGCCAAGCACGGCTACCGTGCTGACATCCGCGAGGAGGCCGTTGCCCGTGTGAGCGCCATCCGTCGCTCGCAGCTCCCCAAGAAGGATGCTCCCGTCCAGAAGCCCCGTGGTGCCAAGGCCCGCAAGGCTGAGGAGTCGGAGTAAATACTTCTTCCTGAAATGACCTCGAAATTCCGGCATGTGAAGGAAATTGGATTGGATGGGAGACTTGATAGGCGTACATCGCCATGCTGAACTTAGGATAGATCCTATGTAATCTAGCAATCATGCTCCGGGGCAGAAGACCCCCAGAGAGAAAACAAATTTCAAAAAGAACAAGTTTTCAATCGGAAAAGAAATCAGCCCAAACGATATCGTAGTTCAGTTTGACATATGCAACACCCGGTCAGTCGGCCCGAGCCTCAAGTCACGGAAATCGCCTCCCGCCTTTTCCCGATGAATATATCCGGGGGGGGGGGAACATGTCGGACAGTAGATTCGAAGCGACAATTGCCGAATACCGACAGAGACAGAAGGGTAGGGAGCTTGAGTTGGGAATACATTCTGTTTATGCAAGAGGAAGAGGTCGACGTAGGAGACTAGGAGGCTAGGAGAGTAGTAGATGGGTATCTTTGATTGTAGATATCTTCACATACATACATATATAATATATGGCAGATAGCCCAACAAGATCGGTCAGTTCGCTTGCTAAAGAAACAATAAGCTCCATGTCATTCGACATGTGGACGATTATCCGGGGTTGCCCCTCTCAGCCCCTCTTTATAAATCGGCCGGTTCCCTCCTGAGCTTTCCCCTTCCCTCATCTCAACCTCTTATCTTCTACACACTTCATCATGGTTAAAGCTGGTATGGGTTCTTTTCCTTTATGTGATTTCATCACTGACTTTATCCATTAGTTGTTCTCGGAGCTTCTGGTGGCATTGGCCAGGTGAGTTTCCAGTTTCCAGTTTCCAGTTTCCAGTTTCCAGTTGCCAGTTGCCAGTTGCTTCAATTAGACCCCAGCTAATTACGATCTAGCCCCTCTCCCTCTTGCTGAAGGCTTGCCCTCTTGTCGACGAGCTCGCTCTTTACGATGTTGTCAACACCCCCGGCGTTGCTGCCGATCTCTCTCACATCTCCTCGGTTGCCGTACGTGTGCCTCCTAAAGCGTCCCCGGTGAGAGCTGTGCTGACAGTCAACTAGAAAATCACTGGCTACCTCCCCAAGGATGATGGACTGAAGCTTGCTCTGACCGGTGCTGATGTTGTCGTCATCCCGGCCGGTATTCCCCGTATGTAGCACCAAAGGTCCCCTCATGTTTATCGTCCTTGGCTGACATGATCCTATGCAGGCAAGCCTGGTATGACCCGTGACGACCTTTTCAAGGTCAATGCCGGCATTGTCAAGACCCTTGTTGAGGGCATCGCTCAGTTCGCCCCCAAGGCCTTCACTCTCGTCATCTCCAACCCCGTCAACTCCACTGTCCCCATTGCCGCCGAGGTTCTGAAGGAAGCTGGTGTCTTTGACCCTAAGCGCCTGTTTGGTGTGACTACCCTGGATGTCGTTCGTGCCGAGACCTTCACTCAGGAGTTCTCCGGCGTCAAGAACGCCTCCGATGCCACTATCCCAGTCATTGGTGGCCACTCTGGCGGGACCATCGTCCCTCTGTTCAGCAAGGTCTCCCCCACCTTCCAGATTCCCGCTGACCGCTACGATGAGCTCGTTAACCGTACGTTACATTGTTTCATATATTTAATATGATTGACTGACAATCCACAGGCGTTCAATTCGGTGGTGATGAGGTCGTCAAGGCCAAGGACGGTGCTGGCTCTGCTACCTTGTCCATGGCGTTCGCCGGTTTCAGGTATATTTCCTTATTCTATCTAGCATGGAAGCTTCAGCAGTGACTGACATTGACCAGATTTGCCGAGGCTGTCATCAAGGCCTCCAAGGGCGAGAAGGGTATTGTTGAGCCTACTTTCGTCTATCTGCCCGGTGTTGCCGGCGGTGATGAGATTGCCAAGGCCACAGGTGTTGAGTTCTTCTCCACCCCCGTGGAGCTCGGTGTAAGTGTTTAATGATCGGGAGCATATTAAGAATGGCTAGCTGACATGACTGATTTAGCCCAACGGCGCCGAGAAGGCCATCAACATCCTCGACGGCATCACCGAGGCCGAGAGCAAGCTTCTTCAAGCTTGTATCACTGATCTCAAGGGCAACATTGAGAAGGGCGTTGAATTTGCCAAGAGCTCACCACCAAAGTAAGGACTTGCTCTCTCATTCTGTGCATTGCACAACCACCCCCAAATTGAAATCCCTTTGTCACAGCCTTTCCCCTGTCAATGAGTACATCTCTTTCACGGACATGATGACATCGGCAATTGGCAGAGCGTCGCTAATCAATTTTGTCCCGGAAAGATAGGCTTTGAATGCGACACCATGAGATTATGAACAACGAGTAGACACAATAGTGTGTGGTCCTTGATCAGATGGAAAGGAGATGGGTTTGATACAGAATTAGCACCAAACCTGCAATGAAATAACATCCAGATTCCCCTGAATGGTAGCCTCTGTCAAGTAGTTGTGAGACTTGGAATGGCCGGTTGCCCTCTATCAAAGAGGGGTTGAGAGAAGGATCTCAATGCCAGGCTAGCCAGTACTATCAACGTCGTATCCTGGGACATCAACCCAAGTAAAAGATTCAGCCTAGACCCGGATCTAGATATCTCTATCTTCAAGGTCGAGGCTGGAGAGTTTTGATCTGGAAAGTCGCACCTGGCAGATCCGACGTCTCGGCCTGAACGGTGGTGTTGATACCCAAATTGGCCAACGCGCCCCTAATGACACCACAGGGGAACCAGAGATACTAGGTCAATTTGTAAGCTATTAGGCCTCCTTTCGAATAGGCTTGAAATTGCTCACTGCTTGTGCCATAGACGTTGCATCGCTCCGGACTGCCATACTCATCCTTCCAAATGGTCGGAACGCGCTATCGGTCAGAACATAAACCCCCTATTCGTTTGGTCCTGTGAGTGCCTAGAAAACTCCAATACAGACACAACAATGGCTTCTGTCTTGCGATGGGTGTTCCACATTCACTTACTCGATGGTTTGTTTTCAAATTGTCCACCTGCTTTTTGAATAAGACTGTCCACAGGTCCTTGCAGAGGAACTTGATCACATCGAGATTATCGGTAAAACGAGGCCGGTCTCGAGAGAATCTGGATTTTTTGATTGTCAAAATCCAGCACAATCAATCATTGCAAACCCAAGGGAGAATCCCGAATATAAGGAGACTGTTCAATCTTACCGTTCCGCCAGACCTTGTCCCACACGATACCCCAAAGACTCCAAACGGAAAAAGGTCGTCTCCCTGACTTCTTCGTCTTCGGTTTCCTTTCCCTCAGTCGCTAGATCCCGGGCCATACGTTCGGCCATAGGCACCAATTCTATGAGAAGGAAGTCGAAACATGAGGAACTGAAGACACGGGCGTTGGGATCCGACGTATATAACGGCGGGGATGAGGAATCGAATGACATGGCGCGGGCTCAATTGTCAAAAGATGGTCAAAAACTGCACGTGGTGTTGAATGTAGTTGGAAAGACGTGAAGCAGGAGAGAAGTCAGGAAGTGAAGTTGGGGAAGTCCAAGCTCTCCGCCCGGGGATTTGCTTATCTACGGCGATCTACTCCAGGGCTATGTACTCACAACTTGCCACAAGAGCCTTTTATGATCAAGGAGGAAATGTACAGATCAAGCCATTGAATGGACTGAATTGCTGAAATAGCTAAAATAATGCAATCCCTGCGCTCAAACAATCGTATATGACACCAATGCCCCCAAAGACCCCGAGCCAGATCGCGCCATAACACCATTGAAAATATGCAGCTGTTGAGATAGGAAGACGGCCATACAAGACCGTGAGCTGGGAATGTAGGTCTATATTGATGGAGGATAGGAGCTGCCATTCAGAGGGCTGCTGGCCGATGGGAGGTGGTAATCTTGTCGGGGGAAGGATCGCGATGGCAAGGTCGGGGCAAGCCGTTTAGGAGATGGAATGGGAAACTCATCATCCTCGTCGCCACTTTCTGTGAGATCAATGACCATGGAGGCAGGCCTCTTTTTGCTTGATAAACGTGCAATGGAAGAAGGCGTTGATGCCTCTCTTGACTGCGCAGGTGTCCTTTCTAAAGCAATGCTTGCGGATCCAGGCTCCTGTTTTACAAGGGGAACACCTGGTTCACTGATTTCAATCAAATCATCGTCGTCATCCGAGGCTGGCGTCATACCGCCCAGATTTCCTGTATCTGAATCACTAGGTCCTGACCACGCACCATCCGGCTCAACGGTGACTTGATCGATGTTCGATGAAGTTGTTTGAAGGATATCATCAACGTATCTAGCCGTGTTAGAAAGATGTTACGCGTGCTCCAATGTATGAGACGAGAACTTACTGGTCGACTTGTAGAGATTCAAAGCTCGTGGCTTTGGAGCACACAGGGCAGGTCCAAGTCGGTGCTTGCTTTTGCAACTCTAAGAAAGATGATGCATCGAAGCACTGGTTGTGAGTGCAGATGATAGACCGGCAAGGAACCTGGATGCGAAGTGTCGATAGTGGACATTTTAACGACATAACACTCGATGTAGCAACAATATCAGAGTCATGTGCGCGGTTTTTCACTAGTGTCCATAGATGTCAGAGAATGGTATGTGGAAGCAGAAGTTTGTCTTACTCTCACGTATGACCTGTTCCTTTGAAATGAGTTTCCGTGTCCTCAATTCCGAGACGAGATCCTCAATCGGATGTTGTTTAACGAGGTTGGCAAGTGCGAAGAATTTCTGTAGCAAGTTAGCTAGCCCGTTAACAAAATGCTCCACCATATGAGTTGCGATAGAATGAGCTCCAACCTTTTGCGTCAATGCATAAGTCATGACAATGTTGTTTGGATAATCGGGCTTCTTCCGGATGTAATTGGTCACATCTGCAGGCTGCGTAGTGCCTGGTCTGTTTTTTAAGCCTCTGAGATTGGCTTTCACTTCATCAAGATTCGCCTTGAGCTCCACCTGATGTGGAAATGCGATATCCGACTTGGTGTACTGAGTGAGACCCGAATCTGCGGCACAATATACCATGACTCGGGCGTTAAGATCTGTCTGCAACCTTTGAGCCGTTCGCTGAGACAGCATGACCTTGAGTTCCACACTATCCCGGGTTTGTTCGCGAACTTGAAGAAGTTAGACTCGAGTAATCAACCAAATATTTTCAGAGTGGCGTACTTTTACACTCCACAACAGGAGTCAAGGCCTCCACAATCGTGAAGAAAGGACTCTCTTTAAACTCCAAACGATTTGGGGGCCTATGGGGGGCGGGGGGCTTTGAAAGAGAACTGCCGGGACCAGCAGCGTATGGGTGAGGTGACATAGAAACCCCAAGAGCCGTCGACCGAGCCTGCGCAGGAGACTGTGCGATGGGAGGTGCCGGAAATTGATTGCTATTAGGCGCTTGCAATCGTGACTTCGGAAGGGCAGCATCAAGAATGCGCCGCGCCAATGCATCGAAGCTCAGACGGTCCGAGGCCGCAAGACTTTCAAGTCCTAGTCCAGAGGGTAAGCAGCCATGTTTACCAAAGCTTATGTGACAACGGATTTCAATGGAATGAGGAAGGAAAAGGAGTAGGTAGAGGCAGAGGGAGAAGGGAGGATCGACGAACGTTGGATGATGCGGAGTTGTAAGGCTATCTTGACACCTGACACCTGGAGGTTTTCAGATCTCAATAGGTCTTTCAAAGCTGGATTCGTCAGTGTCTTAATGAGGGCCACCAGTGTTGGAACATCTGTCGAATGGCCTGGGGTTGCCATGATTTCGGTTTGAAGAGAGAAGTTTCAAGAGCAATCAAGGAGGACTTGGCCCGATATCCCTCAAAAGACAAGTGTCCGATTCAGCCAAAGCGATGATCAAGGGTCTGCACCGATACATCTCATGTCTCATAAGAAGAAGTCGCCAACTCTCGAGTCCAGAGTGATATGCCTCGGAGGTGAGGTGCGGCCTCTCCGGATGACATAAGACACTTATCTGAAAAAAAAAAGTTGTGTTATCACTCCCCCCCCATCATTTGCCTCACTTTCTTTCTTTACTACACGTTGACTTTTACTTGATTTTCAAAATGGCCAAAAGTGTCCGTGCCAGCGTCTCCAAGCGCAACAGAGCCAATCTTCGCAAGAAGGTGTTCGGTCCGTTGGTTGATGCTAGAACTGAGCGACTTGCAGCCAAACTCCAGGAGCTTGCTTCACAACCCCGACCCGACGCCCCCCAGAAATCAAGGAAGGACTCAGAAATGGATGACTCTGGTACGTTTCCCCGTTACTCGATTATACAAGGATTGTGGCTGACTTCTTCCCCCAGCCGACCAAGAGGAAACTGCTACCAAGGCCTCTGAAGCCGGCGCAGACGAAGGTTGGTCTATCATCTCGCCATGTTCGCTGATTAATGAATTGCACATACTTATCATTGCTCTACTGCAGAGATGGATCTCGATTCCAAGACCCCCAAGAGCCGATCTTCGAAATCGGGACGTGTGCAAAAGCAGCGCAACCGCAAGCCCCGCAACTCTATCGTTTTCCAAGCGCGTCCTTCCAAGACCAAGAAGGGACCCAACAAGAAGTGAGGGTTTGAAGAAGAATGTGAATGAGTTATTATTGAATCCCGGAGTGGCGGGAGATTAAAGAAAAGGCGTTTGGGAGTTCACCGATGATTCCACCTGCGAACCACGTACATCTGTTTCATAGTCTGTGCCTCATGATATATACCATACTTGTCATTGAAAGCTTTTAGCCTTGAGCCCTGAGCCTGGAAAAGAATTGAAATGTTGAATTGGCGAGGCATCGAAGTATTCGAAAGCGGTGTAGCGATGTCCGTCGATCGTAAACCGTAAACACAATTCTGCCCCCCTTTGGACAGTTTTTGATGCACTTCAGAGTCCTTGAGGAGTTTCAAGTTCTTCGCTGGGTTTACTGTCTTGCGATCAGATTGGCACAATGGTGGGTTTCCACAGTTGGGCGACTATCATCGCCAATCTGTTGGTGCCCGTAGGCATACTGATCTTCTCCTCGGGATTCTTTCCATATAAACCCTTGATTCCTGGACTAGCCACCTTTGAAGAAACAGAAGATGCAGCACCGGCAGTGTTTGAAAAGGTCATTTTCATGGTGGTGGATGCATTGCGGAGGTATTGTTGAGATAGAACATCGACATTGTATGGCGCTAATGGGATATCAGTGACTTTGTATATTCAAATGACTCTGGATTCTTGTTTACGCAAAGGTGAGTCCCATACAACATACCCAATGTGAGTAGTGAATATATCACTGATTCAATTCTAGCTTGATCCGATCTGGTGCTGCATTGCCATTTACGGCCTATGCGGGCTCTCCAACGGTCACAATGCCGCGCCTAAAGGCCATAACCACTGGCTCAGTTCCGTCTTTCTTAGATGTGATTCTCAATATTGCAGAGTCAGATACTTCCTCAACATTAGCCTTTCAAGACACATGGTTGGCGCAGTTAAAAGCAAGAGGGAAACGACTGGTAATGTACGGAGACGACACCTGGCTCAAACTCTTCCCGGGCATGTTTGACCGGTCTGATGGAACTACAAGCTTCTTTGTGTCGGTCAGTAGTTCCAGATTCTGCATTCTTACCATTGAAGCTGAATTCCTTGCAGGACTTCACGGAAGTAGACCATAATGTGACTCGGCATGTTCCTGCTGAACTCGCTCAAAGCGATTGGTCTGCTTTTATCATGCATTACTTGGGTTTGGATCATATAGGCCATAAGGCCGGTCCCAAAAGGTATCTCCCAATACTAAAACATTTGTTCTTTATCACTCATTCTTTACCAGTTCCTTCATGGTCCCGAAGCAGCAGGAGATGGATTCTGTGGTGACGGAGATATACACGGCCATGCAGAACGAACAACATCTCCAATCTACTCTTTTCGTACTGTGTGGAGACCACGGCATGAATGATGCTGGAAACCACGGCGGATCCTCGGCCGGAGAGACTTCACCTGCCTTGGTATTTATCTCGCCCAAATTCCAGGCTCTGAGTACACGAAGAGAAAGTCCAGTGGAACCATTCGATGATCTGCAATACTATCGAACAGTTGAGCAAGCAGACATTACTCCAACACTAGCAGTACTTCTTGGACTCCCCATTCCCTTGAACAGCTTAGGTGTTTTCATCCCTGAGTTCTTGGAAATGTGGGAACATGGTATGTATCTATATTACTATACAAGAGGAAGAACTTCACCTTGACTGACTCGGGCATAGGCTCTCACAAGCTCCAGATTCTATTACAAAATGCCAAACAGCTGCTGAACACCGTCCAAACAACATTTCCAGGGACGCGATTTGGCCCCGAGGGCATTGAGTCTTGTGCATCTAAGGCCGAATCAGGAATTGAGGCTGCTCAATGTGCATGGGCTCGATACCTCAATCTTGTATCTGATGGGGCTGACCCCGAAGGTTCCTATTCCACCACAAGTCCGATTCTGCTACAGTTCTCCGAAATTGCTCAGGACATAATGAGTCGCACTGCCAGCAACTATAATATTTTTAGGCTTTGCCTAGGCTTGTTTATCACTGGAATTGCTGCGTTGACGGTGCTTCCTGCCACTTACGCACAATGCATACGGTATAGATCTTCTGGATTGTTCCTGGCGTTCATGGTGATCACCTATGGGCTCATGATGTTTGCGAGCAGTTACGTGGAAGAAGAGCAACAATTCTGGTATTGGATATGTTCGGGATGGGTGTTCTACTTGCATATCAGATCACAATCTCCAAGTTCGGGCTCCCATAAACGCATGCAATCATCAAAGTTCTGGTCTGCAGGTGGTATCATGATTGTATTTGCAATCACGCAGAGACTATTGCGACGATGGAACCAAACTGGACAGAAGTTTGCAGCTGAGCCTGATATTGCTCGAACATTTTTCCCACGCAATCCCGATATCTTCTGGGGTCTTCTCATTCTCGCTTATGCAGATGCCGGTGCTCACCTTCTGCGAAATTTCCCATTGTCTGGACTGCCCCGGCTAGGTGCATTGCCTCTTGCTGTCTTGGCCTTTACGTTCAAGCTGCATTTTGTGGCATCGGAGTCTCCCGAGCTACTTGATAGGGCTTTCATCTCCTGGATTGTGAGGAAATGGCCCTACAGTATTTCATTGGTCTTGCATGCTAGGATAGTCTTTTATGGACTTGGTGCTGTCATTATGGTGGCGCTATTGTCTAGAATGACAGCAAAAAGGGCCCGGAGTAAGTCTTGTGGATTCCACTGACCGTATGATTGGCTTTCCAAGACTAATTTGAACCGCAGCATCACCTCAGATTATTCATGAAGTATTGCACATCTTCTTAATGACACAATCACGAGCGACAAATGTCCCATTGTTCTTGATTTTCCAAGTGCAGGCCAGCGTTCTCTCTACTATGAACCTCACAGGAAACGAAGTGACCATCACTACCTTGATATTCCAGTATATGACATTCTTCGCATTTGGTGGTTCGAATGCAATTTCTTCAGTGGACCTTGCTAGTGCCTACAACGGCGTTGGCAGCTATAGCGTGGTGCTAGTGGGTGTTCTCACCTTTGTGAGCAACTGGGCAGGTCCGATCTGGTGGGCTTCACAGAGCTATCGTCTTCGACCAAAAAATTCCGAACAAGACCATCGCGTATTGCTGACCTTCCATATTGCGATGTCGTTGGTCTCGGTCATGGCTGCCTGTACTGCGTTACGGACCCATCTCTTCATCTGGACCGTCTTCTCCCCCAAGTATCTTTACAGTATGGCATGGGCAACTGCCAATCATGCTGGCGTAAATCTTCTTGGTGAGCTTCTGTTCTCAGTATGTGGATAGTGACATAAATCATGAGTTGGCATTGCGCGCACGCTTTGATAAAATTACAAGTCTTGAGCAAACAGACCCCCAGATCAACGTACAAGCATTTAAAATAATCCGTTAAATAGATCATCGATAGCATTCTTGTGTTTCTTCGACTTCTTCGGTTTTGTTCGTTTTGGCTCAGCCACTGACGCAGGTCGAGATATTTTGACCGGTTTGACAGGAGATGCCTCATCAACGCGGGTCACTCGTTCTCCGAGGTCTTCCTGAACGGCAGACTCTGTCTTCTGGGGCATGACAGCCGTGGGCTGGGTCTTCAGTGCCTGGCTGATCCCAGTCACTTTGGACAGTCGCGCCAACGTAGCCAGGAGCACGATCCCGAGCGAAGCAAAGCGGTTGTCCGCGACAACCGTAGAAAATGCCCTGGAGAAATGTTAGTTTGGGGGCTGGGGGTTTATAGAAATTCAGGCAACATACACATAGCATCGCGGGACGAGGTGGACGAGATGAGCTTGCTCGCCCGATCGGGCGACATCCAGCGTGGCGCGCTTTAAGACCGACAGCCATTTCCACCACTTTGCGCCATGATGTTGGTTCTTGTTACGATGAAAGATTAAATGGAGGATTGCATGGATGGCCAGGATTTCTTGGGAGTCCATGGCTGCTAAGGAGACAAAATCTGAGAGAGGAAAAGTTGCCCTTCCCGCCCCGAGGTTAACCCTACGTCTTCTAACTTCATTTTCGTGTTTAAGCAACAAGTCAATTCTTCTGAAAAACAAGATACTAGGTGAGAGCAAAAAATTGACGTTTGAAGGGGTTCCATCTCCTGGACCGACAAAAACGGACCATTTCCTTGCTGCTCTCAGTTACTTCATTTTCCACGCGAAGATTGGCTCGGCCCTCCTCCTGTACGGAGCGTACAAAGCGTACTCAGGGACTTCGGGGTCTGTTTTTCCTGTGATATCTTTTTTTTCGGTGTTTGTTGGATGTTGGATTTTCAATTGTTTTTGTGGCTTTGGGGGTTTGTTTCAATTCTCTGTGGTTTCCGGGCTGATAGCGAAAGTAATCCCGGTACAGGCTGTCGGTGGAGCCGAGGCAATAGCCTCAAGATTGGGCAGAATTAGTACGGTCCGTCGGGGGAACCTGCTCCATCAAGTTCCATTGGAGAAGAGCCCAACAAATCATCAGTGTCGCGCGGGCCTTGTCCAATAGATGCTCGGACTCGACGAGACCGGCGGGTTTGGCTGATGGATTGATTGCGAGCTCGGGGGTGAGCGCGACTGCCACTGCTGGGAGTACCAGCTTCTCGAGAATGAGGAGCATAAAGCCCTGCACAAGAGTCAATTCAAGCATCCGAGATAAAGCATAAAAAAACGTCTTACCTTGCTGCGTGGTACTGGCAACCGAGCGACGAAGCTTGCTGGCATCATTTGGAGGTGGGAATGGTGCATCAGATCCAGAACGAGGTCCACCAATGTGGAACAGCTGTAATCAATCAAAATTAACGCTGGGATCATGTCAATCTGCCTTAAACTCACACGAGGGCGTTCTCCTGCAGGACGAGTCATCACATGGCTATTGCGGAACTTCGAAATGAGCGCATCTTTTCCTTGGAGAGCTATCAAATAATGTTAAATCATCATTGTAGTCAGTCATGAAAGGGTAAAAACCGGCATAAGAGATCTGTGCCTTCTTTTCCGAAATGCACTCAGGCCTTTTGATCCCCATTCGAGTTAGCAAGCACGCACAGGTCGGAACCAGTTGGGACAAACTTACCAGGTCTTGCCATGACGAGCCATAATGAGCTATGAAGTGAACCACTGTCAGCAGGGGCCATAGGGTGGATTCTGATACTCACGTCAAGAATATCCATTGGCTAGGATATGTTAGCACAGGACCAGAGAACAACACACAAGGGGACACATACATCGCCGAAATTGATAAATGCATAGCCAACGCTGGAGTGAAACTATGAGTATAGATTCTAAAAGAAGTCTAGCCAAGAAACATGAGTCTTGAACTTACTTGCAGCCATGATTGAAGTCTGATAGCCGAGAGTTAGTTAGTAGCTACCCATGGGGAATGCCTTGGATATCGCTCACCCATACGCAGATACATGAAATCATATTTTCCGAAGCTTGATTCGTCCAGAATAATCTTGAGCTCATTCTGTTAGTAGAACACAAGTTAGTCATTCAAAAAATAAAATAAAGAGAGCGCCGCCAGGAGGGAGGAGCATCCATACCGAGGTGATCTTGTTGGGAATGTTTCGGATCATAATCTGCAAAACGAGATGGATTAGTCCTATCCTCGAGTCTGTTGAGAGAAAGAACTGACTGTGCTGCGGACATCCAAGCCCCTCTGAATGCGATCCATATCAATCGTGTTCTCAGCATTGGGATCTTCCTTGGCCGGAGTGGTATCGATGCTCGAAGAAAGAGGTTCCGGAGTCACCGGTACGTGCTGGGAATTGATACTCGGGGTTCGAACATGGAAAGTCTCGCTGGTCTCACACTGAGGACGATTGAAGGACGCCTCGAAAGTAAGGAACTAGATCAGACCAAAGTCAATATAGTACCTTCGGAGCAATTGAAACACGAGACATGGAACCAAAAGATAGGGGGAAATAACAAACCTCGTGTTTAAACCCTTGGAGACAGGAAAACGCATAAGAAGTATGGCGTGTGTTGTAAAATTCGACTCGATAACTCTGAGATACTGGTCCATTCTCATAGAGCTTGAAGAGTTTCACATCACCAAAAGCGCGAATCAGGCGTTCCACCAGAGCATGATGATTTTGGGTCAAACGTTTACCCATATCGTGAACAGTCACCATAAGCTTGCCGTCGTTCGTGTTGGAGGTGCTTGGGATATCAAAGTTCTTCGTGATACTCGCAATTTGTTGAGGCGAGGCAAGGTCCACAACCCATTCCGGATGAGAGAGTCTGATTCGGTCAATAGCACGCGTCATGTCGCGAAGGTCGGTGAAGAGAACTGAAACTCGACCTCGGGTCTGGAGGTCTCCGAGATAGACACTATCGACAGAATGGTATTCCGAAGGCTACAAAATGTCAACATTGACTACTTCAGTAATTGATCTTGCATTGCAACTCACAAGAAAATTTTCCAGAATGGACCAATGAGTTGAATTGGCATGAACTCCATACAGGGTGAAGCCACGCTGGTTGTCGGTAGCCAACAAAGGGCGAGCGAGAGACGGCATGTCGGACACGTTGGTCAGGCTCTGAGCACTAGTGCTGCGCGGAAAAGCGGGCAAGACTGGATCAAGTCTGGAAGGGTCACTGGTAGCAGAAGAGGCAGCAATCAAACGGTTCAAAAAGCCCTGACTCAAGGGGCTAGTCAAGTCAGCGCGAGATGGCGAGTAGGCCACAAAGCTAGACTGAGAAGGGGAATACAGATCATCATGTCTGAACCCAGGTCGAACCGATGAGCGGGGGATTTCCGTAGGCGAATAGCGCGATGGAGACGAAAGATTGATATCCGCACCAGAAAAATCAGGAGTTCCAGATACAGAACCACCAAATTGGGCAGAAGAATAGCGAGATGGGGTGTCAGGAAAGGCAACACTAGGCATTGCAGTGTTCAACGCGAAAGAAGAGCCACGAGCTTGAAGAAAGCCGCTGCTTATGGTAGCTCTTTCGGGGGTAATACCCGGGTGCCAACCGGAGAACGGGTCACTGAAGATGTTAGTATTCGAAATTGGACACATTGATTAACCATGAAGCCTCGTACGAAGTTCGAGTAGTCAAATTTCCCGGGAGCCTGGCCAGGGCTCGCTGAGAGTCACCCCCAAAAGAATTGGGGGCAAATGCAGCGAGCTGGTCCGCAGGCGAGCCCTCGGTAGAACTGGGGGCGGACATGCTTTCCGTAGGCTCAGATCTATTTGATGTAGGGTTAGCATCGTCCAATCAAGTAATAACTGAGGAATGTTGTCTGGTGCTCAGTTCCCTCCTCTCTCCTGTGAGATATGAATATGAGTGGGTAGGGTGGTGAAGGTAGAGCTCGACGGGGCTTCATAACCTTCCGCATGTTTGGGCATCAAAAAAAGCGACAAAAAGGAACGGGGACATAGTGTAACAGCTTCAAGTTGGGAGAGACAAGGAACAAAGGTGGCAGATCAAAAGAATGGATGAAAGTCTCTCAGATCGTTGGAATTAACAGGAAAAGAAAGGAATGAACATGGCGAGGGCGCGAGGATTTCGACCCAGACTTGGAGGAAAGCCACGGGGTAAAACACAAGACGGGGAAGGGCAACGTGTGTAAAGCAACAGGATGTGGTATGGCCGAGTCAAAATGAAGAAAGTGAGCAACTTACTGGCGTTGAGGATCAGAATCAAGAGTTGTTTCGAAGATTGGACTGGTCAAAAGCGTGAGTGAGGTATCGACGAGGGAAGAAAACGGTTGGGGCTCCGTGGGCGTTATTAAAACAAACAATCTGAAGGCTCGGCGACGCATCGTGACTTCGATGACCTCTGAAGCCTCACGCCCAGTAAACCAACACGTGAACTCGCCTTGATACTATAGATAATACTCATTTTTAGCCGTTTGTTACGATGCAATAGAAAAATGAGTAGTCTAATGCTTGATAGGCCACATCATATAAGCTGGCTTAGATATGGATGAAGCTGTTGATCCAAACCTGCACTATAGGTACACAATTAAGCCATTATTCGTAGCAGACCAAAAAAGGAGGTTTGCTCCATTAAAAGCGTTTCCCATGTATTTCTCGGTAGAGGAGAGTTATATTATCTCAAACTTGGCAGCGGTTAGCTTGCATAGAGTCATTTACTAGGAAAGCTGGAGCAACTAAAAAAGAAGCCTCATTTCTGTACGGTTTATTTGGGTTTCTGCAGGCCTATTAGTGGTCAGCAGGCCAGGGGAATATAACAGAAAGGTGCAAGCCCTTCACTTTAAGCATCATGTATAGCCATTGATTCATTAATATGCATGCCACATGTTAATTATAAGGCCACAACAAAATGCACTCATACTGCGAAGTATAGAAATGCAAGGTGTCGTTAAGCAAAGTTAACGCTAGTCCATGTTAGTCCAAACTAGTCCAAACTAGTCCACGCTAGCCCAAACGCTAACCTAAAATAAATTTAGCGTCTAAAACGCGGTCAGCTCTACTGCTGGCAGATTACCAGACCGCCCAGGGACGCGGACGTCAGACCCCCCGGAATATCAACCCTGTGTCTATTCTTGCGAGACCAGCACCGTGCCCATTTGTGACCTTGGATATCCCCAGGATATGAAGCCAAGCCATGGCGCCCATGGCTCCAATGCTCAATGAGCCACATTTTCTGAACCAGGCAAGAGCCAATGTTCTGTACACTAGACAGACGACTGACCCCTCGCTTCCTAGATTATCATCTCCCCCTCTGACACTGATTACCTTGACCAGCTCATCCCCTCAATTAGGGATTACAGTGTTGGTAACCGTACCCCTCAGCTCCTACAGTCACTTTCCAGATTCGCTGGCGACAAGGAATCTGAAATAGAGGGTATTTGCAATACAAATCATCAGGAGTTTGTTTCATCTGTCAATTCACTGCTTCGAATTCGGGAGGGGACTGTGAGTTTGACAGGTGAGATTCTGGATTTGAATCAGTCTATCCAAACCAGCACCGAGCGCTTGGCCGAACAAAAGAAGGCTTTGGTGGAGTCCCGCGGGCACCGACAGAACATTGATGAAACATTCCGTGCCATTCAAGACTGCTTGGAGGTTCTGCGCCTAGCGAATCAAGTCCATGATCTTTTGGCCAAGAAGAATCACTATGCAGCGCTCCGAGCTCTGGACGAATTACAAAATGTACATCTGAAGGGGGTGACTCAATACAAGATTGCTGTTATGATTCAGCGCTCAGTCCCTGCGACACAGCGAGCTATTGCGGAGGCGGTGATGTCAGATCTGAATACATGGCTCTACCGGATTCGAGAAATGTCTCAATACCTCGGCGAAATTGCTCTTTTCCATACGGATCAGCGTAAAACGAGACAAAAGAAAAGGGCGGAAAACATCCCTTATCTCGAGCAATTCAGCTTGAACTCTGCAATAGAACTGGTGTCTGATGAGGATGAGGAGTATGATTTGCTCCAGAACGAAGATCTACAAGTTGACTTCACGCCACTATTCGAGTGCCTACATATCCACCAGTCCCTAGGCCATATGGATAAATTTCGATCCGAGTACGCCACTACCCGCCGGCGACAGAAGGACCTCTTACTTCCGTCTTCTGTTACCTTAATGGATGAGGATGGCTCTAGTTTGCACAATCTCCTAGAGGAGATGGCAGGTTTCGCCATTGTTGAGCGTGCCACAATGAAAAGAGCGCCCGATCTCAGATCATCCGTTGATGTGGGTGACTTGTCTTCTCTTGCCAATATGCGATCTAACATGTTACCAATCAGATTGATGAATTATGGGATTCAATGTGTCAAGCAGCCGTGAACTTGATATCGAAAGCACTCCCCGAAGTCGACAATGCTGAAATCATCATTGATATCAAGAACCTGATTGCTTTGTTCATGCAGACCATGAATGTTGGTAAACCCACCTGCACAAAGCCAAGCTCACATAACTGACTCCCTCAAACTAGACCTGGAACTTCTCTGTGCATGTCTTTGAGGACTTCACATTAAAACTCTTTGAAAAATATGCTGAACTTCTCAAGAAAAGATTCAGTGACGACTTCCAGGAGGTAAAACCTGCTCTTTGCACCTTTCTATCAGTCGTGCTAACACTTCTAGGTTGTTACAACGGATGACTACATGCCTATGCCCATACAAACAGCAGAAGAGCTTGAAAAGGTCCTCAATGTGAGCTGGTACAGCCCAGACAAATCGCGAGAGGAAGAAGTGTACGTTTTGAAGTCCAAAATCGCTGGTTCTGATCCCCAACTGACTGCTATTCAGATTCCCCTGCATTTTGCCCTTCTCCAGGATGTATCCGCTCTGCTGCATCGATATACGTAACTTTTTGAACCAGTTTTATTATTTCGCCAACGACAGTTTCGCGAACACAAATGTGGTTGATGAGACGTTGAAGAATGTGAGTCTTCAAGAAACAAAATTTTAGACAAAGGAAGGACTTTTAACCGTTGATTTACAGGATCTGGATGATCTTCTTTCGCACAGAGTCTGTGACATACTGGTGGAACGCCTTTCATCACAGTATCTAGGTCAAATTGTTCAAATCCTGATTAATTTGGAACATTTCGAGGCGGCTTGTCGCGAACTGGAACTCCTACTGGCAGCAGCTCGGTCACAAAACTCGACAGGTACCTCGATCGCTCTGAGGGCCACAGAGAAGTTCAGGAGTAATAAAAAGGCTGCCGAAAAACGCATCTTCGAGGTTGTCAATTCCAAGATTGACGACCTTATAGAGACGGCAGAATACGAATGGATGTCCCCCACACCTCCTACCGAGCCCAGCAACTACATGCAAACATTGACTCGATTCCTTTCCAACATCATGAACTCAACACTGTTGGGTCTACCGACTGAAATCAAAGAACTCATTTACTTTGACGCCCTAAGTCATGCTGCTAACATGATCCTAGTATGTTATTGTGTCCTCATTACCCACTAGAAGGCTGTATGTACTGACTGGCTAACTAGGCACAACCACTCTCACCTGATGTGAGAAAAATCAATCCCAATGGAGTGGCGGCATTGGCCAAGGATGTTGAATACCTGGCTCAATTTGTAGACAGTTTGAATGTTCCAATCCTACGGGAAAATCTCGACGAATTGCAGCAAACGGTGCAATTGATGCAAGCGGATAATGCAGATGAGTTCTATGACATCTCTACAAGAAACAAGAAATATGGACGTGTTGATGCCATGCAGGGCCCCATCCTGCTTGAGAAGTACGTGACTATGTCACATCCCCTTTTTCAAATATGTGTTAACCTGTTACGATTAGGCTCACTCGCACCGTTCAAGCTCCCGCAAAGGCGGATAAGTTTGCGACGCTTTCTTCACGATTCAAAAAGAACGGTTGAGTCTTTCAGTCTTTTGCATCAATGGAGAACACCTCACGCAAAATATGGGCTGAACAGTAATGCAAATAAGATCATGTCATATTCAACCCAGTATTTCTCTTTCCTTTGAAGAAGCAATATGCATTGAAACTGTTTTTAAACAACCCATTCGTAAATTTACCAGCATATACTTGGGCTTCTCTTTCTCTAAATCCCAATTTGGCCGTAGATTGGTACCACATGGAACGGACATAAGAAGTATAACGGTTTAAGATACTGCGCTAATGAAAAGGAGAAGCAGAAGGGAAAGAGAAAAACAAAAGGAGTTGTCAAAGACCGGTTTCATGAAACCCCAATTGCTTCCATTCTCTAGTGGTATGTTATGCTTGTCCTACTTAATATATAATTCAATAGACAAAGACGTAGCCAGGCGAATACGGCGGCTAGACCTGCGGTGACCAAACAAGGGTTCGATGCACCAATACAGTCCACGATTGGAAGGAAGATATCGCCAGCAAGAAGATTTAATTCTACATCTGACTAAGAGCTCCATCGTGCCTTTTGCCCGTAAGATAAGAAAGAGAAAGAAATTCACAAAGGAATATAAAGGCCCAGTTGTTCGCCTCGAAACACGCATGAACTATTAAAATGACAAATGAAAAATAAAAAATGTACCAATGTTTACTCACTTGAGAGCCGTTAGCCAGGGTGCTGAACAGAAGCATGTGTTACCGGGGTACATACCTGCTGAGGAGGTAGATGCGGGTAGGCATACATCCCCTCAAACATCTGAGATTGGGGTTGTCCATATGCGGCAGTCGGGTCTGGTTGAACGGCTCCTGGATACATAGCCGCCTGTGGGCGGTACTCCTGCTCTTGAAGACCGTGTTGACCAAGGGAGCCGTAGTCCGCAGGGCCCATGTGCTGATGTGGTTGTACTCCATGAGGAGCGGGTGGCAGTTGACCAGGAGCAGCAGACGGACCAGGGGCCGCGGCAGCTTGACTTGACCGTTTGGCGTGAGAAGTCGCCTCTTCCCGGGGTACAATGTCAATCAAGAAGTCAAACATATCCGACTTGGATAGGGCGGCAGCAATGTCCGATCGCTGTAGGGTTCGGCGCTTGTTATCTTCAGCGTGGATCCAAGCACGCATTGTCAGCTCCGTGATAAAGATATCACAGCCCTTAGCAAACAAGATTGGCGCCTCTGCAGAGATCATCTTTACCTCCGGATCCGCCTTCATCACCTTTTTGATGCGAGCCAGGGGCAATTGATGGATCTTGTAGTCATGGTTGTCTGATTCCAAGTGGTTGATGACATGTTGCCAATAAGTCGTGAGGATATCGCGAGCAGTTCCTTGTAGACCTTGGTTTACCTAATTCCGATAAGTATCACTGTTCAACATACATCTGCTCAATAACTTACGTTGGCCCAGGTACCGGTGTACAACTCGGCAACTGGCGCGTAGCCTTGCGCTGAGAGCTATATATGTAAGTCAGCCGCTGTCCAGCCCAGAATACTTTGCGTAATCATGTAGGATAAGATGCGCGTGGCTCCCTCAAAATGGTAAACATACTGCGGCACTAGCCCCTATAATTCATGAAAAGTCAGCTTCTGCTCAAAGCTTCAGGTCTTTGGGATTGGTACCAAGCTAGCTAGGGCTCTTTGGAAGCCGTCGCGTAGCTTTGGTCGCGCAATGGTCGCGCAATGGTCGCGTTGGGATCTGATTACCGTAATGACCCCCATTCCTGATATCATAGACAGGCTGTTGCTGCTGTTGCTGCTGTCGGCCCTGCTGCCCAGCGCCTTGAGGAGCTGATTCCATTGTGAAAGCTTTCTTTGTGTTCTGTGGTATCGACGTCCGAGGTCAATGCGAGTTGGTGCAGTCACGGTGAAGCGGAGGAATGCGACGCGCGAACGAGAGACGAGAGCTGTTGGGGGAATGAAAGATCGCAGAACTTAAGTTGGCGATGAGCGCAGCTAATTTGGTATCCTTGGAAGGCCGAGGACTGTGTTTGGGGGGGGGAGTATGATGCCAAGCATGAAGGTGCTCAGCTGTCTGACGTTTCCGGGTCACCCCTCGGCGTTCTTAGTGAGCAACTTAAAGCCAACTATTTTATATTTGGTTTTATTGGTCTAGGAGAATTTGTCTAATGTGATATTCAACAATACCAGCAGAAACAGATGTTTATAGTCATTTTGACCCCGACTGTGATCACCGGTACATACAGGGGGAGTACTGGTACTTGGTCACTGCAGCATTCACAGGCCAAATACTCGTACCCAGTACCTGAGCTCCAAGTCCCGTTTGTGTCACGTGAGGTCCACTCTCGCACGAAGCAGAAATTTCTCATAAACGTTTGTCCGGAGCCGAGGAGCAACAAAGCAGAGCTTGGAAAATATAAATTCTCTCCACTCTCCTTACCTCCTTGAGTCTCTTGCTATTCTCCATGGCATCCTCAACTGATGTCCAGGATGTTGATCTGACTGATGATCAAATCCAACAGCTTCTGCTTGAAGCAGAGACCCGATTGCGAGGTCCTGCTTTGAGCACTGCCGACGAAGTTGCAGCTCTTAGAATTCCCAAATTATCAGCAGGGTCTTCCTTCGAGCCCTATGTTCAGCAAGGAGATGATGTTGCCCTCGTTGAAAAAGCGAAACTCGCCGATCCCAAGCAGATAGCCTTATCCAACACACTCCACACAGTTGGAACCAAGAAAGTGAATAAAGTGAGTCGATCGGTCTTCTTCCCTCTTCCCTTTCCGTGCTATGAGGAAAATTATCCCAACGCAAAGCGCTTGATGCAGCGTAACCAGTCCGTCTTGGGCTGTGCTGCACTAGTGAGAGCTTCATTTTCATAGTTACTCTGAGCACTCTTTCCAATTCTTATCTTTTTGATCGAATCCTGGCGAGACCAAAGGCTGACCATATTCACCTTTGATAGGACAAGCCCACTGCTGGACCTGCGTGGTTCAATCTCCCGAAGACAGAAATGACGCCAGAGCTGAAGAGAGATCTACAGCTCATTCGGATGCGGTCTGTGCTTGATGCTAAACGACACTACAAGAAGGACAATGGTAGAGCGAAAGCGCCAGAGTTTTCTCAAGTTGGAACCATCATCCAGGGCCCAACTGAATTCTTCAGTAGCCGCATCGCTAAGAAGGATCGCAAGAAGAACTTTGTTGAGGAGACCCTTGCAGTCGAGCGCGGCAATAAACGCTTCCAGTCCAAGTACAGAGACATTCAAGCCACCAAGACAAGCGGCAAGAAGGCTTTCTACAAGGATCTGCAGGCAAAGAGGAGTCGGAAAAACAAGTGAAATCTCGATTTCTACTCTTTTCAACATGTGCCAGAAACACTCGGTTAATCTTGAACGTTCTGGCATTCTACACACGGTCCATCACTCTGTGTCAAGTTCAAATGACTTGCCACTTGTCATCTTTGCTGGCGCTCAAACATCTATGTGCTTAGGTCTCAATGTGCACCTCTAGGCTCTGCCAAACACATTGACCAGAGATTGAACAACCAATTTCTAGCATAGGGTCAGCTTGTGCTACGTGGAAATGGGGCACAGTGATCTCTTACCTGCATATCCAGGGCCGCTGCCCGGCCAGCCTCGAGAACTTCTTCGTGGCCTGCCATACCCTCTTCCAGGATGGCAGTAAGCTCACCTGCTGCCTTGTCTTGAAGAAGATCTTCGTCTCCCCTGGGAACAGGAGACAATACAGCCTTGTTGGTGACGAGGCTGAAGGCAAGCACTCGGAGGCCACAATGTCTGGCGACGACAATTTCAGGCACTGTAGACATGCCAACAACATCGGCTCCAAGCATTCGAAGCATCCGACTCTCGGCTCTTGTTTCGTACCTTGATGCCATCAGAATTCGACTCCAGAGATTGAAATATCTCAGGTATTTACTTACGTGGGGCCTCCGACAAATGCATACACACCCTCGTGCAACTTTCTGTCGCTTTTCGGGGGCATGACTGTATTCCATGCTTGGTGCACGTGGCGGCGCAGTTCAAGGTCATAAGCGTCAGACAGTGGCGGGAAACGTACCCCGAACTCCTCTTCATTGGGACCCCTCAATGGGTGAGTTCCTGCCAATCCCGCCAGGAACAGGTGCTACAACCCAATGTTAGCAATGTTCTAGGATAACTTAGACAAGGGCTCCTTGCATCATTTAACAGAACCAAATCTCCAACGGAGTAATCAGAATTAAGGCCTCCGGCCGCATTCGTCACTGTCATACATCATCAGCTTTTCTCTCTCCGTAAATAGAGTATCATGTTCGACTCACAGACAACCGTATCAACTCCCAACTGCTTGAACACCCGGATTGGGAATGCCACTTGATCAATCGAGTGCCCCTCGTAATAACTGGGTCTAAGTCAGCGATGGTTAGCAGGCAACCTGTAGGAGCTTACTGGGCACGGCCAACCATCAATACGGCAGGGATTTTCTGGCCAAGGAAGCCAAAGACCAGCTTCCCGGCATGTCCAGCAACTTTGATATGTTAGAAGCTCCATGTCTGTTGGTGAAAGTCGACTAACCTGTTGAGCGTGGGAAGTGAGGAATAGATCCATAGTCAAATTCAGCTCGTAGCTCATCGTCAATCGTATCTGCGAGTCCTCCTAGTCCTGAACCACATACGATTGCGACCTGCGGCTTTTGCAAACCTTCTGGCAGGGTGGCTCTGAGGTGAGCAACTGCTTCGTTGGCCCGCTGGAATGAGGACAGGTCTGTCATTGTTGCTATGGTCAGATCAAATGTCAAAAAATATAGAAAGAAGAGTGTAGTTCTGTGAGGGTGAGAGGTGCGGAGTCACATGGTTCCCATTCGCTAGGCGGGGCTCAGAAGGGCTCAGAATGGCCGTCGGAGCAGAGATGCCTCTTGGAGGTCTTTCGACGCAGAATCCGTTTAGAACTTAATATATGAATTTAAGTGGAAGACAGTAATATGAGATTCGCAATGCGGGTTTATGGTTCAACCTGGGATATACATATAGTTATATATATGTACATCAGTCAACAGACTGCGTAACTGAGCCCACCATGTTCTTTTGATTATGAGCCCAAGTCCAGATATCGGCTAAAGCATGGCATACAACCAAAATGAGTATTGAATTCCAATTGATTCAGCAAAGAAATACGTGCAATGCGTCAAGGTCTAGCAAGAATGTTCATTCTGTAGACTCGACACCCTCACCGCCTTGGGCCAGACTCCCGAAAAAACCCATCGCCAACAACAACGAATCCTCCTCAATTCACGATTAACTATGTTCTCATATCAAGCGTCTCGCTCCTTACTCGGAGTAGGCAAGCGCCTCAGGGTATGTAATTGTATCAATCGATTATCTATTTTATGCTGACAACTCCTGGATAGGTGCCCGTGCCATTCCGCTCTTTATCATCCCCAACCCAGACTCCACCAGAACAAGAGAAGACACCATCCGCAGACCTAACACCGACACCTACACCAGCTGCCCCCGTGGAAGCCTCGCCCCAGGAAGCCACTTCTGCGCCCCCCGCAAAAGTAGCTCCTGCCGCTACATCTACCACGGACATCAAACCCTCTGAACCACGTGTTAAGGAATGGTGAGTGTCGGACATGAATAGCGCGAAGCCAATTGGTGAATACTATGGCTCACAATTTCGCTAGGGCTGAACGGTTAGGAGCATTTGACGAGGAAACCCGACTGCCGCGAAGTGTGCAAGCGATATACCTACGGCCGCTCCGGAGGAAGGCAGAGCATGGTCTTCCTGTCTGCGACCTTCAATTGCGATCCTACAGTGTCCGCAATGTCGAATTCTTTGCAGACTTCGCCATCCGTGCCGCTTACTACCTTAACCTCCCCGTGTCCGGACCTGTCCCTCTCCCTAGAATCACCGAGCGTTGGACTGTACCTCGAAGCAACTTCGTCCACAAGAAGAGCCAGGAGAACTTTGAACGGATCACCCTGCGACGACTGATTCAAATCAAGGATGGAAACCCGCAAGCCGTGCAAGTCTGGCTTGCTTTCCTCCGAAAGCACGCATTCTACGGTGTTGGTATGAAGGCAAACGTGTGGGAGACAGAGAGTCTTGGTATGTCACTATTGTTGTATTTCTTTCATGACCGGGACACTCATAACTAACTTCACATCAGATGTTGCCAAGGATATGGATTCGTCCCTCTCCGAAGTCGAAGAGTCTCTTCGTCCTCACCTCGCACAGTTCGGTCAGCGAAAGGACAGCTTGGCTCCGGGCACAATATTCGACACCCTGGACAGCGATCGGTTCGCAGAGCGCAAGAATGTATAGATGGCAGGGTGAGCCACAGCTCAATTCGTATACCCGTGAACATCTCGACTCGATGTCTCCTGTTGCATGCTCTGTGTCTTCATCTGATTTAAAGCTCTGACATGGGCCACATGTATTTTATTGTTTTACTATCCTATTTACCCCAAATGCATAATGGGAGTTTACATATATATGAAGACCTCCAAGTCTCTCAACCTTATCACCACGGGACCCAGAGTTCACTCTGTAGGGAAACCGACATGACTGATCCTTAGGAGATATGCCGTAGTGAAAATTAAACCGCAGCAGGCAGTCTAGCCGTCTAAGTAGTGTCACCACCGCATTGTATGATAAAATCACGTGACCGACTGTCTGATTTCTGCAGCACCGTCGAGGGCTGTTGAATTGCGATATATTGCATTTGGTATTTCCATTTCGCGTCTGCCTGTCGAATTCCAAGGATGCGTGCCAATGCAATTCGTCATGGATGTACCCTCTTTAGGTCCCCAGGTGTGAAACATAGTCGTGTCCCAAACGGGCTTTCCCTTCTCTCAAGGAGATGTCACCGATGGAACAGCTCAAGCACCAAACCACCAGTCAAAGAGCCTGTTATTTTTTCTGGAATCCAGCCAACTGGAGTTCCACATCTGGGCAATTACCTAGGAGCCCTCAACGAATGGGTGAAACTCCAGCAAAACGCATCCGAGGGAACCAAGCTGCTTTTCTCTATTGTTGACCTGCATGCGTTGACGGTACCACAAGACGCAGCCCAACTGAAGAAATGGAGGAAAGAGGCGTTTGCAACATTACTTGCCGTGGGATTGGACCCTAAGCGCTCTACGATATTCTACCAGTCTGCTGTACGTTGTCAAGCGCAAGCCGGTCAGACGTTATGTTGACTCATACTAGGTACCGGCTCACACAGAGTTAATGTGGATTTTAAGCACGGTGGCTTCTATGGGATACCTGTCGCGTATGACACAGTGGAAGGTAAAATCCATATGCTTTTACACACTTTGGCCTTTGATTGACGCCCTCTAGACCAAACTACAGCTGCCAGAAGATGCCACGCTTGACGATCAGACAGCACGAGCCCAGCTGCGACTTGGACTTTTCTCGTATCCGGTGCTTCAGGCTGCCGATATTCTCATACATAAGTAGGTTCTTGATTTGTCTTTGTCCGTTCTCTGCTGATGAACACCAGAGCGACTCATGTCCCCGTCGGGGAAGATCAGAGACAACACCTGGAATTTTCCAGATACACTGCCAACAGTTTCAACCACCTTTACGGGCCTATATTCCCTATCCCAGAGGCATTGATATGTAGGAACCTATTGGACCCCCATGCCAGGATGAACATGCAAACTAATTCAACCAGCCCCTGCCAAACGGGTGATGTCCCTTAAAGAACCGACATCCAAAATGTCCAAATCGCACGCCGACGAGCGATCTCGAATTCTCCTGACCGATTCGCCAGAGGTTATCCGTAAGAAGATCAAGGTAGCCCTGACCGATTCAGAATCGACGATCACATACGACCCGGTCCGTCGGCCCGGAGTATCCAACTTGATTGAAATCCTCAGCCACTTTGAGGGTGTCTCATGCGACGATATTGCCGCTGAATACCACAGCGCCAGCCTCCGATCGCTCAAGGAACATGTCGGTGAGCGAATTGCCTTCCACCTACAGGAGATCCGAGAGCGATACGTTGGGCTTATGGATGACCGAACGGGCTACCTGGAATCAGTTGCAGAGGATGGAGCTCAAGCCGCGCGTGCCAATAGCCAGATGACGATGAGGCAAATTCGGGATGCGATGGGCCTGTAATCGGACATCACGGTCCGCACAGGTTACTGTATACTGTATACTGTTAAGTTAAGTCAAACTTGGCTGCCTTCGGAGATGTATGATAGCCCGATATAAAGTGGCGCAGCTAAGCCCGAAAGAGGCTGGGGGGAGCGTCATCGAACCGCGTCATCCTTTTGGTGTTTCACCCCACTCTCTTTTTTTTTCTCTCTCTTATTGTATATTGATCGGAATAAATTAATGGGAGATGTTGAAAAGGGGATCTTAGTCTACAACGTATATCTATATCTATAACTATAGTCTCTACATCAGATCGACTAGATAGACGATTTCGTGGATAGTGAGTGTATAGTTCCCTCTAGTATGAACTCAAATACTACGCAGTTCGGATCTCACGGGTCCCAAAGGTCACATCGTAAACCCGAGTGACGACAACACCTTACCCCATTAGAGGAAAACTGATCAAGTAGTTTGCGTCTGGGTTTATTGGTCCACTGGCTCCCGACACAGCCGACCCTGATATTTCTGATTCTTAATCCTGTTCCTTTCAATTCCAGCTCTTCACATCTTCAGATATTCCTTACTTTTTTTTTGGACAATGAAGCACTCATGGATCTTATTGACTTGCCTGGTGCCAGCATGGGGGTTGACACTACACCAGCGCGACAATCCCGCTGTGGTGCAAATGGACATTCAGCGGAAAGATGTGGTTGATCCCGCCACAAGAGATTGGAGGAGAAAGCGTTCGACAACTGTGACTCAATCTTTAGATAATGAGGTACGACAAGTCCAAAGATCGAACTCTCTCACTCGCTAATCGTCTGCCTGCCTAGGAAACATTATACTATTGCAATATCACATTGGGTACTCCCGAACAAAGCCTACGTCTCGTCATCGACACCGGAAGCAGTGACCTATGGACCAATTCACCAAACTCGACTCTTTGCGAATCTTCCTCCAGTCCCTGCGAATCTTCGGGCACTTACGACTCGAGTTCATCCTCTTCGCATACCTTTGTGTCCTCCGACTTCAATATTAGCTATGCCGATGGGTCCGGAGCCGCCGGTGACTATGTGACCGACACTCTCACTATCGGAGGAACAACTATCAAGGACTTCCAGTTTGGCATTGGTTTCACATCAGGCTCTACAGGTGAGTGACAATCTTCTGGTCTCAATTCACGGGTGACCTAACAAATCCGTCCAGAGGGTGTACTAGGTATTGGATATACTGCCAACGAAGTACAAGTTGGCACCGGCGCTTCGTCTTATGCCAATCTTCCCAAGGCAATGGTTCAGAACGACATCATCAAATCGAATGCATACAGTCTCTGGTTGAATGACCTGGATGCGAGCACAGGCTCCATCCTGTTTGGCGGAGTGAACACCGCCAAATTCCACGGCACACTACAGACACTCCCAGTGGAGAAGGTCGATGGACAGTACTCGGAATTTATTATTGCTCTCACTGGACTTGGGGTCCAGAACTCGTCTGGTCACCACGCCTACTCCTCGAGTGCACTCCCCGCAGGTGTGCTCTTGGATTCCGGAAGCTCCCTCACATACCTCCCGGATGCCCTCGTTGAGGATCTATACGAGGACCTCGAGGTTACATACGAGTCCTCCAGTGGAATTGGTTATATTGAATGTAGTATGGCCTCGAAGGACGTCAACGTTTCCTACACATTCTCATCGCCCACGATCACCGTGGGACTCAACGAGCTGATTATTGACGTGGGTGATATATATTTCCGCAACCGCCAGCGAGCATGTGTCTTCGGTATTGTTCCCGCAGGAGACAGCACCTCTGTCTTGGGAGATACTTTCCTGCGCAGTGCCTACGTGGTATACGACTTGGCCAACAACGAGATCTCTCTTGCCAACACCAACTTCAATTCCACCGAGAACAATGTCTTGGAAATTGGCACTGGTACCGATTCAGTCCCCAGTGCCACCGTGGTCGCCAATGCAGTGACCACCGCGCCTGTTGGTGGCTCTGGGGCTCGCATTGGAGGTCCCGATGGGGGATCGGGGATCTTTACCACCATCTCCGAGACTGGTAACTGGGCTGTCCCAAGGGCAACCGCTATGCCAAAGCACTTGGCATTTGGAATTGCCGGTGCTGGAGCTCTGTTGGCCCTATAAGGTGACCAGCCTATGAATTCGTCTAGCTAGAAGTTATATTTGTTGCATTTCCTGGTGTATTTTCGGAGTTCGACTGGCTATACCTGGATTTATTTATTGTTTCTATCTCATTAGTTTCTGTTATCAAATGAAGAATATTTACATTTTCACTATCTGAGCATGCAGTAGACTGTCCCAAGACATTTTATGTTGCTCCTTTATACTGCGGGTGATCTGCGCATCTCTTGGCGCCAAAGTGAGTTTGACACCCCCCGTGGTCATCTCGATTTACCCCCAGTGTCCCCAAATGCCTCGTATACCGTTCTCGCTAATATTAAAAGCTCAACGGGAGAGCCAATTACTCTCTCTACTTCTCAAAGAATGTCGTACCATCGATTCCGCCCGTAATGAGCTTCGCTGGCTACGCGAACGGGCAATTCGCGATAGCTGGTCGCTTTCAAGATCGAAGACCAGATGGAAGTCTCGATTAAGATCTATGTGTCAATTGCGATCAAAAGGATATCCACTGCAGTATATACTGGGCGATCAGCCCTTTGGTGATTTGGAAATCCTCTGCAAAAAGGGCGTGTTGATCCCCAGGTGCGTCAACCACATTTCTCAAACAGCGAGACTTCTTCTAACTTACCCAGGCCAGAGACTGAATCATATACATACCAAGCAGCCAAATTAGTCCGTCAGATGGCCCTGGATTCAATCGACAAGCCCAGATCTGGCAGTCACGCCAGACCCCTGCGCATAATTGACCTTTGCACAGGGACAGGGTGCATCCCACTTCTGCTACACGCATTACTTGCACCTCATTTCCAGACAATGTCAATTACGGGGATAGATATCAGCCCCATAGCATTGAATCTGGCGCAGACCAACCTCAAGCACAACCTGCAGTTGGGCAAATTGACATCGCGCGCATCGACGGATATCCAATTCCACCGTGGCAATGTCCTTGGCTCCAGCAGTGATGATCCAATACCCTCGATTGATTCACTCTTCTTACCATATAACCTGAAATCAAGTTCCTCACCCGCAGACCAAACTGCGGATTGTGATCTGTTGATATCCAACCCACCTTACATATCCCAACATGAATTCGGTAACGGGACCACTGCACGCAGTGTACGACTATTTGAGCCCAAAATGGCACTTGTTCCTCCTTCGTCGGTTACCGAAGGAGCTGGTAGACCCGAGGATATCTTCTACCATCGTATTCTTGCCTTGGCATTTAAGCTGAGGGCAAAGATTACCGTCTTCGAGTGTGGAGATCTTGACCAAGCCAAGCGGGTTATTGCGCTTCATGAAACACTTGCATCTAGGGAGTCGGGTCAATACAGGGCAGAGGTCTGGCCAAGTAGTGAGGGTGACTTGGCCGAGAATGGGTTTCATGCGACTGATGGGTCTCGAGGTGTGATTATTCAACGATTGTCCTAGACTTGTGTCGATGAAGTCGTCGATGTACAATATTCAGTTGCATGTTTTGTTTCATATTTCACATTTAGTATACATTGATAGCCTGCAAGACCACATGAATTCGCCACACGAAAGAAATCACAATCAAGCTCTCAACAAAGTGCATCCTGACCGCCATAAAGATAGTGTAAAAAGTTATGTACAGAATGGGGAGGACCGTCAGCAGGCCAAGGGACTGACGGTCACTTTCGAGTATTAAAACAGATAGGGGTGCAAAAGGTAATTAATGTACTTGAATCATCAGGGCCAAGATAGAATGTCAGGGATCTAGAGATCCGAAAAAAGACCCAATAGCCAAACAACGAGTCTGTCTATTGAATCAATTCAGCTTCGGACCATTAAGCATTTGCAAGATTTGGACGTCGAGAGGAAAGGAAAATATTTGGTCGTTTTAGAGGTTCTTCTTCTTGTCAGAGGAGTAGCTGCGGTCGTCTTCTCCCTCGACATCCTTGAGAATGGTCTCCATCTCCTTGGCCTGACGCTGCCATTCCTTGTCGCCCATCTTGGTCTCGCGACGGAAAAGCTCCTCGTTGGGCTTGCGGTAGCTGCCACCAAGACGGTCCCAGAAGGTAGTGAACTGGCCGTAATTGTAGTTGAAGTACAGGTGGTGCATGGTGTGGCAAGCAGCACCGTTCACCAGAGGACTGTTGGCAACGTACTCGCCGTCATGAATGAAGACGGTCCAGAGGTTGATGAATCCAAATAGGAAGACGTAGGCCATCTTCTGCAGGGGGAAGAGGAATGGGAAGACGTGGTAAGGCACACTTTGGGACCAACCGTCGAGCGGGTGGAAAGCGTGAGAGGCGTAGGGACTGGGCATGATCCACTTATGGTGAGGCTTGTGTAGGGTCTTGTAGACGCGGGGGTGGTGCAGGCCACGGTGGATCCAGTAGATGAAGAAATCGGTGAAGAAGATGAAAAAGGGGAACTGGATGAAACTGTAGAATGGGAAGGGTTCTTCCGCAACAGAGTCGTAGAGTTTGGCGTATCCGCGGACCTCAAGAACAAAGAATGGGGCAGTCAACAGAGCCATTGGGGGCATTGCGCCCATGGCCTGTCTGATTTCCAAGCCAATCTGGTTTTTGAGGAATTTAGGGTGGTTGTAGGTTGTCTTGTCCCAGATGAAGATATATGATAGCGAGGCGACGACGAAGTAGACCAAGAGACCAAAAATCCTGTGTGAATTGAGTTAGCTGTGTCGCGAAACGGTGGCGATTTGGATCATCCGGCGCATACCAAGTAATTAAGAAGAAACTGGTGAATTGGCGGTACATGTTGTTTCTCGGCCAGGCACTCAAGTAGGCGTACTTGGAGGGTTCCAAGTAGATCATCTGTGTCGCCTGTTCGTACACAAAAGGTTCCGCGGCGCCAAAGAGGGCCAGAGAACTGTTGGCCGCATTGACGAACGCCGGGAACGAAACGGACGACGAGAGCGAGGCGGGGAGCAATGAGGAATAGAGGCGATCACCAATGAAGGTGTCCCATATTTCAAGAATGATATCCATGATGGGGGGAGGAGGGAGATGTATCACGGATAGGTGGAAGTCCGTGGGTGGAAAGGGATGTGTCCTGGTTTAAAAAAAGGAGGGACGGCGAATAATAAATTGCTCCGGCCAGTCACACCAGCGCGGAACCACCACAGCCGTTGTTTAATCAGCCAAGGGGGGATCACTTTCCAGGGCTGGGCTGAGAATGAGGTTGGAGAGGATGGGCTGACTTGGAAAAAAGGAGAGTGATTCGCGCTAGATTTTGCTCGAATTGTTCACATCATGCCATACTTTTGAGACGGTCAATTCGTATACTTGCTTGCCACTAGATGCCTGAATGCCTGAGTGCCTGAGTGCCTGAGTGCCTGAGTGCCTTCGAAACAAGTTTGTCGCCTAAAATATCAGGCATCAAAACCAGTCCAAGTAGCGCCAGGCGGTGAGGCAGGTGATGGAGACCTGGAGAGTACACAGCCGTACTCAGAGGTACCTCCACGGCCCGCACTGGCGTAGATCCAAGTATCCATTCTGCTGGCATTCGATGATATATTTGAATCTTTTGAGATTTTTGATATCTGGATTTTGGTTTTAGATCTAGGATAGTTCATGAAGATATTCAATTGTACTATATGATTCCTTAATCTCAATTAAAGTTTGACTCATCAAATTCATTGCAACCGGAGTCGGCGCTTCTCGCTTCGGGCGTTAACCGCTTGCCGCCTCCAACCTTCCCGTAACTGTCACCAGCCTCTTTCCCCCTCTTACCGCTACCACCTCAATTTCCCACCTCTATCATCTCGTTCATTATCGCTGTGGCGAGCGGCGCGGTGATTTCCACCAAGCAGCATTGAAGCCTCAGTGTCCGATTTGGATCCCATTCCCTGTCGGCACTTGAAAGCTCCTCCCTCCCCTCTCCCGTTCAAATATCTTAACTCGCTTGAATCGATCTCCCAGCGCAATGTACAACACTCATCGCGGCATGGTGCCCGCTCCCAACTCCCGTCTGACGGAGTTGCTGGATCAGCTGCGTCAGGAGTTTGAGAGCCAGTCGCGCAGCACCGGCGAATTCGAGCACCAGTGTATGTCCCTTCCTATGCGTTTCTAAAACGATTATTCTCTGGTACTTCTCAGGCCTCGTGCGCCTGAGAGCTCCTAATGTCCAATCACTTCAAAACAGCTGTCAGCTATCTTTCGATGGCTGCCGCGCCATGGGTTGCAACATTCGCTGAAATGTTATCTAACTGACAGATCACGCAGTGACCGGACAGCTCCAAGAAATGGAGATGATCCGTCAAAAGGTTTTCCAGTTGGAACAAGCCCAGGTCAAGATCAAGCAGGAGTTCGTGATCCCCTCTCCTTTGGTCTTTCATATATTTCATCGCTGACTCCCTGTTTGCTCTAGCTACGAGACCGAAATCCGAATGTTGCGACACGAACTTGAGTCGCGCGGCGTCCAAACTATTCCCTCCCATATCGGCGGCCCCGCCGCAGCTCATACCGCTCCCACTCAGGCTCCCCCGCCTGCATTGGGTCACGGCCCCAGCAATCTGTTTGGCGGTATCATGACCAACCCACCAGGTAGTGGCCCCGGTCTTGCCCCTCCCCCTCCCCAGGATCAGCAGCCTCCCCAGCATACCCTTCAGCAACCTGCTTCGGCCGCCCAGCCCGGTGCGCCGCAACAACCGCAGAGTTCCTTTGGAGGATATCAGGCTGGCGCTGCTGTGAACGGTATGTCGCTAGAGGTAAAGGGATCATTTTCAAATCGCTAATCCGCGCCGTTTCCCTTCCCAGGTTATGGACCCCCTCCCCCAACCGCATCGCCCGGCCCTGGTAAGGGCCGTGGTCGTGTCCCCCCAGGCCCGGCCACCCCTCAGCAACAGCACATTGCCTACCCGGATCCTCGTGCATCGCCTCAGATTCCTCGCCCAACTCCCCCAAACCAGACCTCTCTCCCCCGCGAACGCCCGGGAAACATGCTGGCCAATTGGAACCCTGATGAGCTCCCCGCGTCGCAAAAGCGCGAGGGTCCCGACTGGTACGCTGTGTTCAACCCCGAGGTGCAGCGTGTTCTAGATGTGGAACTGGTTCACCACTTGAACCACGACAGCGTTGTCTGCTGTGTTCGCTTCAGCCGTGATGGCAAGTACCTGGCCACCGGTTGCAACCGCTCAGCTCAAATCTTCGATGTGACCACCGGTCAAAATGTGGCCACTCTTCAGGATGAGAACGTCGACAAGGACGGTGATCTCTATATTCGCAGTGTTTGCTTCAGTCCTGACGGCAAGTACCTTGCAACTGGAGCCGAGGATAAGCAAATTCGCGTAAGTTTGACTTACTTGAGACCAACCTTAATAAACCACCACTAACACTCATCTGCTTCTAGGTCTGGGATATCAACGCACGAACCATCAAGCACATTTTCTCGGGACACGAGCAGGACATCTACTCCCTGGACTTCGCCGGCAACGGCCGATATATCGCCTCTGGTAGTGGAGACAAGACAGTGCGTCTTTGGGATATCCTTGATGGCAAGCTTGTCTACACCCTCAGTATCGAAGATGGAGTCACGACTGTTGCTATGTCTCCGGATGGTCACTACGTGGCTGCCGGTTCGCTTGACAAGAGCGTGCGTGTTTGGGATACTACGACTGGATACTTGGTGGAGCGCCTGGAGAACCCAGATGGACACAAGGACAGTGTTTACTCCGTTGCCTTCGCGCCCAATGGCCGAGACCTTGTCAGTGGCAGTCTCGACAAGACCATCAAGCTCTGGGAGCTTACTGTCCCGCGGGGCATGCACCCCCACAGCGGCGTCAAGGGCGGCAAGTGCCTGCGCACTTTCGAGGGTCACAAGGTTTGTAGATCTTCCCAATTCTCATTGACCAAAGCTAATTGAATATAGGACTTTGTGCTTAGCGTGTGTTTGACCCCCGACGGAGCTTGGGTGATGAGTGGTTCCAAGGACCGCGGTGTCCAATTCTGGGACCCGGTGACTGGCAATGCGCAGATGATGCTCCAGGGCCACAAGAACTCTGGTGAGTTTATACCGTGTCTCTCTACATAACAAGCTCTAACACCTCATAGTGATCTCGGTTGCGCCCAGCCCCACTGGCAACCTGTTCGCGACTGGCAGCGGAGACATGCGTGCGCGCATCTGGAGGTAAGTTGTTTCTCCGAAGATTTTTCCAGCTCCTGCTGACTGACTTTTCCTTTTCTAGGTATTCGTCATACACCGGACGATAGGGTTGATACTAATGCCTTTGGCGCAATGTGACGTTTTGCTTTCGTGTGCCGGGTTTTTGGGGCTTGGAATTATTTTATCTTTTGAATTTGTCTTTTTCTTAGTTGAACGCTGTGTTCAAACCAAAATGCAATGTTCATAAATATGAGTCTAATTGTATACAGCAAAAGAAGAGGTGAAGTTGGTAACACGGGGGGTGCATTTTGGCCCGAGCTGGGTTCCAAGAGAATCAATTCCAACAACTTCATCCCTGCCCGTCTGAATCACTACCGAGCCTCGCATCTCTCTCTGGCTACTGCTACTACAGTACAGTACTGTAACTGTTGCTGCTTCTATTGGTGATATGCAGAGGTGGCAACTTGCTTGCAATGGCTTTTGCAATGGGTCGAGACAACATTAGCTCGCCAGATCAGGAAGCAGTTCGTCAAAACTAGTCGCATCCCTGCAGGAACCATTCCTGATACCTCTCGTGTCAGAGCACGGCTGTCACTTCTCGGATCCTTCCAGTGATGGAGCTAAGACCACTCGCAGTGATCGACATCAGACAAGCCCTTTGAGGGAGACTACTGCCCAATGGTGCTTCAATCTCTCAGGGGGAGGGGGCCACTGTTCCAACTGCACACCCACTCGCCCACTCGCCCACTCCCCCTAAAGAAGAAACAGATCGCACCTGGATCTCGGTGTGGAGAGAATCATCTCCGCCAAAGACCAGTGATTGGTGGCTCTTCCGAGCCAGATTCAGATCACGAGGGCTCAAAAGAATTTCCAAGGCCTTGGGCGGCTAGCTGAGATATTCGATGGGCTGAGATCGGACACTATTGGCGACTATCGGGATGGCGCATCCTGGTATTCGTAATTACGGCCCACGCTGACCACTGAGCAATGAGGAATTGCTGACTCCGAGATCGACTGGATTTATCTACATGTCGACTGCAGGTCGATCACGGTCCACTTGAGAATTCCGCGATGAGGGCCGGCCCGTCCTCGAGCGTAAAGCACGGTGCTTTGAAGGCGTGTTTCTTTTCTTTTTTGCCCTGGAGAATCGGGGACTGACAGGTGTCAATCCCTTCAGATTCAGTTACACGAAAGAGCCGAAGCAGAAGAAACCGAAAAAGAAAAGAAAAGAGGTGAAACGAGCTGAAGTCGTTCGCCAGTCGCGGCTGCGAGTATTCCGGTGCAACTCGACTTCTCACCGAATGGCCACAATACATTACCACTAGTCAAGAGCAATTCCTCGTGGTACAGAGAAGTGATGCGTCCAAAGGCCATGCATCTGGCAAAGGCCACCCTACTGTACCGTACAGTATGCATGCAACCTGTATGCTCCAGGAACTCCAGTTCGTCCTTGATTTGATTTCTGGATCTTATTGTTTTGTGACTACCTCTTTTTACGGTGGAGTTAGGTCGCCTTAATCGACCCAGGATCCCTGGCCCACGGAGATCATCGCATGAAAGCCCCGTACCATGCATGTATCTTTGGCCTCGAACTGCGCTCCCCTTTTCCTTCATATTACCAAACGTCATACAGGCGATCAGTATGGGGCTTGTCGACTCTCTCACCGGCTGACTCCTCCCCCTGTCGCCCCGCCTCTCCATTGCATTAGGCCCTGGTATATCTAGATCGAGAGGCGCCACGGTCGATGCGGATGATCATCACTAGTTGTCAATCATTATATCTTTTGGTCTCTTCAGGCCATGACCTGCATATTTTTGCTATTTCCTCTCTCTCTTTTACTCCCTCATCTGTATATATAGATCCAGATCTATACCAGTCAAGACCGATTGCGCTTTGGCCGGCCTGGTTGTCTATTTCCCCCCCCATCCTTGTTCCTCTTGAGCCCCCAAAGGCAACTTGCTGTTAGCCAGAACCCAAATATCACTGTCGGGGACCAGATTACAGGACACCGTGCTAGACAAGCCAGAGACAAAATCTACCTACTCTGGGCACTGGTATACATTCGGTATACCTTGGTACCTGAAGGGAGATCTAGACTCCTGGGGAAACGGCATCCTTGCCTTTCTGAACACCACCGAAAGGGTTGAGACGAACAACTGTGGTGAACTGTGCCTCAAAAAAGATGGAGACCGCAGAACCAGTGTCTTACGAGTTCCCCGGCCATGCTGTGGGTGCGTTTGCACACAGGCGCCCGATGGACTCGACCCTGAGCCAGAACATCCCCTTCTACTCGCATTCTACAACGACTTCATACTCGTTGCCTTATCAAGCACCTAATGGTCTGCCTTATAACTATGGTCATCACGTAGGTCATGCACACTCGAACCCATACCAGCATTACTTCGTTCCTGGTCAGCATCCGCTTCAGCACCAACCACTGCGTCTTACGACGGAGCCCCAGCCGTTGCAGTCTCTTCCTCAGATCCGGCCAGCGAAGAACGCCATCAACCAGGCAGCAAAGTCTCCTACGAGCCATGATTCCGGGTTGCATCCCACGAGCGCTGGCCATAGTTCAGCCGATGGAGCCCAAGAGACGACACCGAACCCTTCTGACATGGCATTCTCGACAAATGTGGATGTCCTGATGAAGGCAATCCAGGCAAAGCACGGTTCGTCACCACACCAACAGTCCCTACCACCACTTCAACGCCTGGCGCCCCCTGTGTCTCAGGTCTATCCCATGACCACGTACCCGGTAGCCTCTCCCACGCCACCGCGCTACTATCTGGGCAGCGAAGGACAGCCATCTCGTTCTGGAAAGAAGCGCAAGTACACCTGCACGCTACCAGGCTGTGGTAAGAGCTTTGCCCAGAAGACACACCTGGACATCCACATCAGGGCACACACCGGCGATAAACCATTTGTGAGTACTTATTACAACATCAGTGGATATGATCAGCAACTTATCAACCTCAACTTGGCAGATCTGCAAGGAGCCCTCATGCGGCCAGCGCTTCTCACAACAAGGCAACCTCAAGGTAAGCACCACCCCTCAGCTGCAAGCTGACGCACCATGCGACCGTGACACACGAGGCAAAGAGACTAACAGACAGCCAACTTTCCAGACCCATCAGCGGCGACACACAGGCGAAAAGCCCTTTCAGTGTGAAGAATGCGGAAAAAGCTTTGCGCAGCGAGGCAATGTCCGCGCCCACAAGCTCACCCATCAACGAAAAAAGCCATTCAACTGTCTTCTGGATGACTGTAACAAGCAGTTTACTCAGCTGGGTAACTTGAAGGTAACCAAGTCCTCCTTTCATCTCCCTCAGCTCAGTGTATAGAGGTCTATGTCTTCAATTTTTCATGAATCTAAATTAACTTGTACACCTCGAACAGTCCCATCAAAACAAATTCCACGCCATAACACTGCGAAACCTCACTATTCGCTTCTCGCAAATCGGCGAAAACGGGCCCGTGAACCCAGCAGACCGCGAGCTATGGGAATACTTTGCGACATTATACAAGAACAGCAACAAGGGCATCAAGGGCCGAGGCAAGGACCGGCGAATATCCATGACCGGACGCTCTGATGGCTGTGCTTCAATGGATCGAATAGCCTCCGTTGAGTCTGAAGAAGGCGATAGCAAGATGATGCGCCGTGAGAGCTATGAAGACAACATGTCTGCTTACAACAGCTCCAGCAGCGATGGGGGGGATACCGAGCAGTATTATATGATTCGAAGACCCCACTACTCTTGATTTTCTCGAACTCGGTCTACGCCTTGTCTTGTTCGTATTTGGGGCATTGAAACACACGACTTCTACCCTTTTCTTGGTCATTTTTGAGCGGGCTTTTGATACCTTCGCTGTATATCCCCATTTGATTATTATTCCCATCTCTCGTTGATTTTCCCTGTGATCTGGTTTCGATCCTTAATCTTCTTCATTCACTTTATTATTTTGTTTCTGCTGGATGTGCCAACGCTATATACTGGATTAATGCCGATACCCACCTCGACACTTTGCGGGCTTTATTTCTTCTTCTATTTCATAATGTTTTTTTTATACATTCAAATCACAAGATGTATATAATTCACGAAGCCCAGCAACGATATCTTTCGTATACAATATGTACTCCATAGCTAGTCTGGAGTCTCGGGATATCACTTAGATGGACTTTCAATTTTCGAATAAAAGGGGCATCGGGAAATAACATTGATTCTGTTCTATCTTTTTCGATCTATGGCTACATATATATTACTTTATTTATTGTGCATGATGTCTGTATCCTCCCTTGCAGATGTGAGGTGTCTAACATGAGGGTGATATCCGTATACCCATGGGTAACCTACTAGATGTCGTTGGTTATTGTATCCAGCAGACTGCACATTCTTAATTTGCGAAGTACTCATAGCGGCCGGCTAACTGTGAAACACGGCAAGTTCAAAAAAGCTCCTTCCAACATTGTTACTCGAAAAACTTCAAGTCAAATTGGAAGCCGTTTAGTTGAATGATGACACTCATATAAATGCCACGATAGCTTCAAGAGAGATCTTTCATATTTCTGTCGAAGGACTTGAGTAGGTTAAACCCCAGAGATAAGTAAACAAACAATACAAAGAAGGGGAAAAGAAAAAAAAAGGAAACAAAAGAACTCTCCAGGGCGTAAATCATTTAATGACACCAAAAAGATTAATGCGAGAGATCAACATATTCCAGATGTTAACTGCAGATGGATTTCATATACTGACTGACCTTACTGGCCATCAGCATCGGCAATGTCGAGATCTCCATCAGCGACATTTTCCTGCGCAGGAGCAACGGTACCAAGAGGAGTAGCACGAGCCAAGGCATCGGTGATAAAGGTCTCCTCGACAGCAACCTTTCTGCGGAACACGCGGAGCCAGCGACGTCCCCATTGGCGGATGATGGCATCCTCAGGTAGATTACCGCTGCCATCACCGCGCTCCATCTGCTCGTCGTTGCTGCCAGCAGCGACGGAGACGATAGAGTCTTCGATGAATTTGAAGAGGGCCCGCATATCGGCACGCTCACGGACGAGGGTCTCGTCGATGACGGTCAGCTGGGGCTCGTAGAGACCGGGCTGAGTGCGAGCAGCGACGATCTGGCGCATGCGGTTGGTAACCTTTCCGACGGTGGCAGAGATCATCTCAAAGATGTGAGCCTTGGAGAGGATGGTTCCGGCCGCGACGGACTCGGAGAGCGCCCACTCAAGGACGGAGAGAGGGCTGAGGATTGTGTAGTTCAGCAGCTTGTCGATGATGTTAATGGCGATGCCGGGTTGGTCGGCCCAGTATTCCATGACCGATGTGATGATCTGGCAGCGGGCACGAGGAGACTCGGTGCCGAGGGCCAAGAGACGGTCTTTACTGCGTTCGATACATGACAGGACATGCGAAAGGGACTTGGAGCCGACGAAGCAGAGAGAAGTGACGAATGCGTCTGTTGAGGGAATCTTTGGGTCTTCGACGCCTTGGCCCTTGGCTTGCTCTTCGATAGCGGCCATCACGGGCTGAATTTCTTCATCTGTGGCCTTCTTGCGGACTAATTGCATGAGTTCCTGTCCTTCTTTAGAGTATGGTGTCACTGGATGCATGTTAGTGAATGATATCTGCGAATTATTTTCAAGGGACTCACTGTCAGAGGAATATTTGAACTCGGGAGTGTCTTTTTCTTTGCCTGGTGTGATCAGCTTAGGGTAAGGCTCCGGGAGAGTTCCCTTAATGCGCTGAGCAAAGCTCAGCCGGATCTCCTTGTCCAGAGCACCGGTGATGAAAGACATTCTAGGGTCAATGGCAGGAAGATCGAGGTCGTCAGCCCTGGAAGATGTTAGACAGGCTGATAACGCTGTACTCTGAATTAACTTACCACTCGCTCCATTTCCACGTGAAGCCAAAGTTGCTCAGATGGTGAGCGAACCAGTCAAGGAAACGGTTGGTCAACTCCAGATCCATGGTTTGCAGGTTGTTATACAAGAATCGGATCGCACGACCCAAACTGGGAGCAATTGCCGCCGGGGCAATCTTGCAGCACTCAGTGAGCAGGGAATGATAGTAAACAAGCTTGTGCTCTGCAGCCGGCAGCTGGAATAGCTGCGAGAACACAGCATCCACAGCTACGTCCTCTGGCTTCCAAGCACGCTGTTCTTCTGGAATATCGCGCATGCGGTCGAAAGGTGTGGCACGCTTAATGAATATGTGAGGAGTAAAATAGCAGTCGAGATCGATCAGGAACTTGGCCGTGGCGACACGGTTGAAATCCAGAAGGTTGATAGTATCAACCAGTGCGTCTCGAATGAGTGACGAAGAGATGTCTGAAACTGATGGGACAGTGTCGAATTCTTGATTGGCATAAACCGAAAGATAAACTTCCGGGAAGAGAGGACGCGAGCCGTTTGGTACGGGGTTAGGCACAGTAAGTTCAGGGAAGGGGACCTTGGTCACTGAGTCGAATGACTTGAGCTCATCAGTCTCGGTGTCACGAATGTCTTTCCAGGGACGAGGAAGACACTTGAGCTCCCAGCCTTTGCTGGTCTCTCCTTGGAGCTGGGACTGCATCAAGCTGATAACGCTGGAGCCAGCTGCGGAATCGCCCTCGGGACTAAATGTGTTGACTAGATCGACGAGAGCGTGTGGTGTAGATGCAATGATATCGGTCTTCTCGAGGAGCGCGGAAGCCTGGGCCTCAAAGCCGGTAGCAGGGGAGATCATCACGTAAGGAAGGGTGAACTGAATGATCTTCACGAGCTCGAGACCAAGTAACTGAAGCACCGTTAGAAGAGTCCCAAAATTATGGATCAACGGTTCAACTTACATCCTCCGAAGAAGCAGTCTGAAGATCGACGGCACGAGCGAACAGCTCCTCCAAGAGCGGAAAGATGCCCTCGCCCTCAAAAATCGGCTGCAAGATACCCAAGAACCGAATAAGAAGCTTGACCTCACGCCATGCGCCAGTATCAATGTATTTCTGCAGAGCCTCGCCGGCCTTGATCAAAACCTCGGAACCAAGCTCAGGCTTCAAACTATGGGCGACCAAAACAGTACCGGCGATAAAGGGAATCTTCATGGGTTGTTCGAGAACACTGGACAGAGCCAATTAGCAAATGCAAGATCGAATTGAACCAACTAGTACGTACAGATCAAGGGAGATGTTGACAAAGTCGCGGCGAATCTCCTCATCGTCATAGTTCTCGGAAACGGTCTTTGCGATGCTCTGAATATCATCTTCGACTCTCCGCGCAGCCTAAGCACAAGCCACAGCATTAGCACAGGTAACCTAAACGAGCCAAGCGCAATGCGCGCATGCAATGGAAAGGGAGAAAAAAGAGAAGCATACCGACTCCGCGATAGTCAACAACTGACGCCGGACCTGAACAAACAGTGGCTCTTCATATCTGCGACGCTGGGGACGGCGATCAAAGTCATCGTCATCTGTAAATATCGTAGGCGGAGTCAGTGAATGCGAGAAGTATGTTGAAAGCGCGTCTCTCACCTCTGTAGCGGCGTTTGCGCCCGCCACGGTAGCCTTGGTTTCGGCGGTCGTTCTCGGCCATTGTGAGTCAATTCAACGACCTGAGAGTCCAGATGCTGAGAGAACAGGGTATCTGTAAAGAGATTTGCAAAGCGAGGGTGACAACTTGAGAGCTTGAGGTAAATGGGGAGCTCGGAAGGGGGAAGTTCCGGTCCGGGTAGGACTGGCGCTAGCCAGATTGATCGATGTTTTTACTGAGCTGTTGCTCGAGCTTGCTTGCTCAAGGACAATTGTAACAAAGTGTTATTCGATCAACATTGAGGTAGACTTGAGTATGATCCTTTGGCAGTAGTCTCTATTATATCATCATCATCATCATCATTTCTTAAATAGATTTCTGAACTGATTGTCAAGGCCAAAGTTTGAACTAGATATATCTAATTGAGAGCTTCCTTCTCCTTTACGCTACAGGTTGAACCATCAACAGCAATTCTACCCGTGGAAATAGGAAAGAAGCCTATATTACGACCAGTCTTATTATTGTTTTGTTATATACTTCCCTCTTAGGCTGGCCTTGGAGTAATGCGTGCTCGCACCTAACCCTAATTGGCCATGTCTATTCTCTTGTAACTCCCAACCAAATAACCGGGATTGTAATCTCTATAAAACAGAACATGATAGTCACCGAGTGGTTCAATGTCTAATTCATCCGTGGTTTGAGGTACCTAGAAATCACGAGAATAGATCACTACCATCTAAATTATACTGTAGATGAAGGCAGGTCTTCCCCATTATCTATCCATGTTAAAGAGAACCCCCAGGTTGGTCTAGCGAGAGCTGTTTGCTGGAGACTGTTGGCAATAAAGAAAGAAGAATTCAATTTTATTAGTGCGCAACAACTAGAGTAATATCAGTGTTGCTTATTTGCGTCCATTGTCTCCACTCTACAGCAGGGATATTGGTGACAGTTAGAGCTTTACTGACTAGCCAGACATTGGGTGAGTGATTGTCACAGATCGCCAAAGATGTGGTGGCAATTGTGGATGTAAGGTGATGTGCATATGATGCAGACTATGTATTTGTTATGAAAAGAATGGGGCCTGTCATGAATGTGCCTTTTTCAAGGGCGAGACAAGGTTACATCTTTACAAGGAGAAAATGGTTTGCTTGAGAACTGAAATGACATATAGCTCAGGCGGGTAAGTCGGAAGGACCGGGGAACCAGCCGAGCCCGATGAATCTGATACAAGGATATTGCGAACAAAAAAAAGAAGAAAAAAAAAGGTCAATTGGGACACAAAAGGAAGAAAAAACGGGGTTTCTAGCGCTGCAAGTCGAAAAATTTGACCATAACAGAGAAGGGTCCTCCCTGAGAACTGTGTATCCAAAGAAATCCTCAAGATCTCTCATGCATGTGGAGATTGTCCCCTGGGGATCGAGATATCGGCTTGCTGCGTCTGGGGGTTCCTCTCCCTCGACCGATGAAACTGCGCAGTCCCCGATTCCACAAAGGCAGACGTGCACAGAAAGGGTATCACTTTTTCCTCCCGAGAGCTGTCTCAGACATCTCAAAATAAAACTCCAGGCCATGACCTCCCATCGCGTGAAAACCATCAACCACCCTTACCATCCTCAAAGAAACAAAGTTTCCCCATTAAAGGATGCACTTTTCCCACATCCCCCACACCACATATTTGCCTAAATTCCAGGATGTCTGCCAGGGTTGAGGTAAAAAACTAAGCAAGCCCAGGCGTTCACTCAATTCAGAGCCCATTCGAGACAAGATGAAATCTGATGGATAGGTCGTCTTTCCATGCACAATGCAGATGGCGGCACAATGGACGTATCCCTCGTGGAGGGCACACACCGGTCAACTCAGTCGAGGTGTGCGATCATTTCCTCCTTGGCGAGGGGTTTGAAAGTATCGAGACCGAGACCGCGAGCTTCGAGTGCCGGGCGAGCGTGGGCGGGAATCAACTGCTTGTTTAGTTCGGGAGCAATGGAAAGTTCTATCTCATCATTAGTTTAAAATTACTGTATTCCAATCTAGGCAGCATACCATGTCGTGAGAAATCGAACAGAGCGGGCATGTCCTTGGAGGGGTTGTTGTGGTGGCGGGAATCCGGTAGACGAGTGTTCGGGTCGCGGAGCTCATCGAAGAAGGGATGGCACATGGCCTCAACCGCCGACAATCGTTGTGTCGGAGTGTATTCCAAGAGGGCAGAGATGAGGTCGATAGCCTCTGGGGGTGCCTTGCGGAAGACCTGGGTGGCGTCAGTACGGTTCGCACACACTATGGACTGGGGGCAAAAAAAATACCTTATTGAAGGGATGAGGTTTGATCTGAGGGAACTTGTGCTCCATATAATTGGGGTTCATGGTGCGGATCTGTTCCCGGGTAGGTGTGCCCAAGACCTTGATGATTTCCACGAGTTGGTCAATGCCTGATTCACCAGGGAAGAGGGGCTGCCCCAGCATCAACTCTGCCATCACACAGCCAGTTGACCACACATCTAAATCAAAAACAGGTTAGATGATAAGAAATTGGGAGATGACAAAAGGATGATGTACCAATCTTTGTTGTGTAGTTAGTTGCACCAAAGATCAACTCGGGCGCCCGGTAATAACGAGAGCAAATGTAAGAAACGTTGGGCTCATTTTCAATCAGAATTTTGGCGGAACCGAAATCGCAAAGCTTAAGAATACCACTGTTGGGATCCAGGAGCAAGTTCTGGGGCTTAATGTCACGATGGCAAATACCCTGGGAGTGGATGTATGCCAGCGATCGGAACAGTTGGTAGATGTACAGCTTCACCTCCAGCATGGGCATGGTCGACTTGAGCTTGTTGAAGTAACGCGATGCGCGGTAGACGGTCTCTGGGACATACTCGAGGACAAGGTTGAGGTAGACTTCATCTTTCTGTTGAGAAGGGGAAGGAAAATCAGCCCACGGAACGGGGGGATGATCACGGGGTCTCCAACACATACCCTGTCGCCGTTGGAATAGTAGAAGGCCTTGAGTTCGACGATGTTGGGGTGGCGCACGATCCGCATAATCTGCAGTTCACGGTTCTACAGATGAAACGATTAGCGAGGACAAGGGAAGCTGTTCCACAATGCCGTACCTTGAAGCGCTTATCCTGGAGGACTCTCTTGATGGCAGCATCCTCGCCGCTGGGAGCCATCTTGGTCTGGAACACGACGCCGAAGGAGCCATTGCCGACGATCTTACACTGTGTGTATGAGATCTCTTTGGCTTCGCCGGTCAGTCCATCTTGGACCTTCTCCTTGATGACCTCTGCTCGGACAGTTAGCTCCGGCCATTGACCAGCGATGAAGGGACCTTACCACCCATGCGCAAGCTCGGGAACAGCCCGGGCCGACTTTGTGACATCACGACAAGATGGGAGATATGAAGTTGTAGAGATCACGAAGGGACCGTTTTGGGGGAGGGGGGGGAGGGGAGGGGGAGTGGAGTCAAGAGGGGGGGGAGGGCCAAGAAAGTTGTAGAGGAAGAAGAAGAATGAGGGAAAGAGGTGGGCAAATGGTAGGAGAAAGATTAACCAATAAGAGGAACGTGATGGAGAAGGAGTAAAATTGCGGGTTGAAGGTTCCCCTGGGGTATTCCCTTAGTAAAGCAGCACTACTAGGACCACCAAAAATAGGCAAAGAAAAGATGATGTCGGGTGACCAACTGTGATTTTCTCTGGAACTTCTCTGATTGGTCGATTCGACTTAATCGTCTCGTGACGTGGTGACGCTTGGACCAGCATGACCATACGTGACGGTATGGTATTTTACACTGACTTTACCTAGTCCCATAGTTTCATATTTACTTCTTCTTCCTTCCTACCCTGAGATCTCTACTCCGGTAGTCAACATACTTGCAAACTCAAGGACTCGGCCCGGTCTCTCGCGGATTCTCGGATTCTCGGATTCCTCAAATCTGGTATGTGGCCCAAGAATGTGCAAGTACCCGGTCAGGTACCAGATCCTGGCCTAAGGCTGCGGCCCGGCCGTTCCCTGAACTTGGCCCTTGCGCATGAATGCACCTGGCTGAAAAGGTTAATGTTGAGAGCGAGAGCCAAGGTATGGTATGGTAAATGACAATACTATCTCGACAGTACATCAAATGAAAACTGATGCCCCCTCAACTAAGTGAACTGAAACTATACTCAGTCTATTTGTTTAGTTGATAGCTAGACTCGTATATTTATATCCCTTCCATGCCGACAACTCCTTTCTTCTCTTCAGCTGGACAGATACTATGACATCACAATCTCACTCACCTGACCCGATGAGGGGCGGTGACATATCGCCACAGCTCTAGCTGTCATGCGACTTTAGACTTGCCCCTAACTCTCACGGGACAAATGACGCCTCAAATCCAAGGGATCAAACCCATGCTGTCATATTGAAGACCATGCACCAGTATGACCATAATCGGGATTCCGAAGACAGCTCGGGTCTCGGCAATGCAGCTCACGATCAGCCTGCCGACAACTTATAGTACATTTGTATCCATTGACTACCTATTCGCTCCTCGCTACTCGCTAGTTGGTACAGTAGCTCATTACTGATATCTCTGGATAGATCCAATCTATTTCTTCACAACCACACACCAATCCTCTTGCCAAATATACATGTAAGAGTGATAGCTCAGTCTTACCGTTGTACCGACGTGGTACGAAGTCCAGGATGCGATGCCGAAAATGGTTCCTGGCCCAAAATCCCATCCCGTTGGCATTGGCATGATGTTGAAAAATATGCACATGCAAAAGGAATGTATCTCAAACCCGGCATGGATGGAAGCAAGGACCAACATTACTCTGTCAGACACGTGGAATATTAAGCAAAGACAGTTATGTACCAGTAGGCTACACCGTACCTGTCCACGGCCTTCCCGAGGAATTCGGCAATGCAGCAAATCCTACCGAGACGGGGCTCCTACTGTATATCTCAATCTCGGTTTATAGATCTAGTTTCAACATAACTACAGTACATCCCACGAATGTGAACCCACGTCGAGAATAACTTACCATTTACTATATAATACCGGAAGCGAAAATGAGCCGTTTGACCCCACACACTCGGGCCCCTTAGGAAATGAAATGAACTCGGGGATAACTTGAACACTACTCTTCCAGGTAACTCCATAAGCGAACAGGGAACATGATGTCACAGTGGAAACCGATAGTCCATTCAAGTCCTCCGTACGAACCCAAAGCGCGGGACTGCCATGCCCAGCCCAGACCCAGCCACACCAGATGCAGCGACTACTGCACCTAATACAAGGCCAGGTTGAGGTTGAGGGGGCTATGGAGTTAGAATGGAGTAAGTGGCTGACCCCAACATTTACATGGACTCTCGGTTTTCTATACCGCATACAGTAGGGTGTACAGTACGGAAGTATAGTGACAGGGCATCAATGATACCAAAATGCTGGATGCTGGATGCTGGATACTGTTCGACTATGGTTCAATTTGCCGAGAAAGTTCAATAGTGGAGAAAGAGATAGTGAGAAGATGATGCATAATACTGTACATGTACTGGAGTCTCTCGTTGGGCACGTTTTTTCCAGTGTCCACTGAGTGGGAACGTGAGGCATTTGCCCGGTCACCGCTTTGGGTTGTGCGGGCAATTCTTTGTCCGCCTTCGTATATCTCAGACATGATTGAGTTGGCTTCAAACCAAGCCAAATCTGGACAAGAATGGACTCTGGACTACTATATGTCTGGGAGCAGCAACAATACAGACCCCATCCCAATAAAACATGATTAATGAATGATCTACCTGATGCACCGGTTCAAACACAACAGACTAGTTTACAATGGGTTCGGTTTCAAAAGTTGTTTTACATTGGCCCGTCTATGATGCGGAAACATAACCAGAGCTCTCCGCAGGCGCGGCCATGCCTCGCTATCCCAAAACCAAAACCCAAACACGGCCATGGCACATAGACTGACTGACCGCCCAAGCGGCTAGAGATGCAGCACCGGGTGAAATCAAACAAACGCAGTGTGAATCTATACAAAAAATATTTGGATCTCCAAGGCGCCAAACAACCGCCTGCACCAGTAACCCAGATTCAAAGGATATACCGAAGAGACTTCATGTCGTTCCAGACGATGGAGAGGAAGAACTACTAAAACAAGGGGGGGGAAAGAGTTATTATCTCGGAAAGGTAGAAGGGGAGATGGGCTCCTTAGAAGGGAGGGGGGATCATGGCGGCAGGGTCAGCCTTCTCCTGCTGCTCCATCAGGTCCTCGCCAGCAAGCTCCAGGGAAACAGCGAGACCGAGCTTGGCGGTTTGCTAGAACAGGTTAGTATGAGAAATTGCCTCAACAGGAATCAATGTGCTTACCTTAGGGTGATCAATCTCTCCAGCGAAGGAGATGGAGAGAGGCATGGCAATGCGCTTCTCGAGGAGGCAGCTGACTTTGCCGGCGCTGTCGACCTGGGCACGGAAAGAGGAAGCGCGGAAGTCGTACTTGGCACCAATGGCAGTGGTGCCATCACGAGCAGGGCCGCCCATCATGAGAGCAGCGGGGCTAGGGGTGAGTTGGAGGTTCATGTCGATACCAGCCTCAACACGCTCGGACAGCTTGCGCCAGTAGGTGGCGTTGAAAGCGCCCTGAGCTTGGAGCTGAGCGGTACCCATCCAGTCCTCACCCTTGTACTTGGCGGAGTAAGAAAGAGCGGTCTCGGGGCGAGCGGTGATAGCCTGGCGTTGCCAGATAGCCTCAAATCCGAGAGCAAGGCCGGGGGTGATGGACTGGAGGTAGCTACCGACGAAGATACCAGTCAGACCGCCCTCGAAGCAAGAAGGGTTGAAAGCCTTGAGGGAAGCAGAGAAGTCGCGGCCAGTGTAGTCGTTATCGATCTGAAGCAAACCCTGGGCACCACCGTTCATGATCTGAGCGTTGGTCTTGGTGACGAGAGCCTGGTTCCAGCGGTAGTTGGCGACGGCGGCGAGGGATCCGTCACTGCCAAAGTTGCCCTGCATGAAAACCTATTGGGAGATTGATGCGTTAGCCACCGAGACCATGGGTTCTCCAAAGCGGAGATGTCAGTGATTTCTTACCCTGGGGTTTCCGAACATGGCGGAGAAAGCATAGGGAGGCAGGTTGCCGGAGCCGCCCATGGAGAACGCGTGTGAAATTCGGAACAGAGGGGACATGCCGAAGACCTTGGTCAGGTCGGCGCGAAGGCCAGAGAACATGAAGTTGGTCAACAAAACATCCTTCTGCACCTCGCGAGCGAGGTTATCGACCGTGCCGGGGTTGGGCAGGTTGAGCATTGCCCTGCGATCGGAGAAGGAGTTATAGGCATCGCCGAGGGCGGCAGCAGCAGGGTTGTCTGTGACAAATGCTAGGGATGATGTGAAGTCGGTCATTTTGGAGAAATGTGATAATCGTTGACAAGGATATTAGGTGTCGTCACGCGAGGTCTGTAGACTCGAGAAAAGGAATTGGGAGGTAAAAAAGGATTGAGACCAGCCCGGGGATCTGGGACGAACAAACGTCACAGATGACCTTGATGAAATAGCTGTAAAGGGCTGTGTCTGATGCGCTGAGGAGATAGTAAGGGAAGCAATTCAAGACTTTCGGAGCTGTGAAAAATGCAAGTCACCTGTTGCGTCTTTGGTCTTTGCCGGCAACCGTCAAGTCGGGGCTTCCCGGTTCTGCGGATTTAGATCAGTTCACATCACCGATAGGATAAGTGAACTGTATGATATCTGTTGAAATCTCATCATTGATCTTTTCTTTCCGGACTCTCGTGGTTGTGTTGTTTGGGTTGTCATTGCCTGAAACATAAGGGTAACGACCTGTCCCTAGTTCACCGGGGTCCACCTCATACTCGATCGATTGCCTATACCGCTTCTTGTCTTTGTCGCGATTCTTGCTTTTCCTTCTTCTTGAGACTTGATCTCTAGGTAGCAATCTCTGGGTCACTTTTCATCCTGTGATATTGAATAGTCAAACTTTGTGACTTCCTTCACCTTATCTCCACCATGGATACGTTACTGTAAGTTGCCCCCCTCCATGCCTTGGTGGAACTTGTTTGATACATTGCTTTTGCGTCTTCCATCCTTGAGGCTAGAGGCATGAATGTGGCTACCCCAGATAGCTGTCAGCTATTAGCTGTTGGCTGTTTGTCGTTTTGTTGGAAGTCGTTGAAACTCCGCGAAGCCTCAGCTTGTTTGTTGGACCTGGACTGACATCATACAGCACCGCTGAAATCGTGGCCAACTCCCCACAGTTTCGCCGCAAGTCATCTATTTTTGTCGATGCTATCCATGACTTGCCAGAAAAGGCAGATCTCGCGCCGGCCCAACTGTACAGCACAGAATCTGGTCGCCTTTTCCATTCAGGTCGCATTGTGATCATTACTGTCGGCTTACCCGCAAGAGGCAAAACGTATGACCATGACCCCAATTGCCATTGGCCTTGTTCAAAGAACTAATACCTGGTAGACATATATCCGTAGCTTTGGCTCGGTACTTAAGATGGTACTTTTCTCAATCCTGCCCATTTGGGTAACCAGAAGCATGCTAATGTAAATGATAGGCTTGGTGTCAAGACCCGAATCTTCCATCTGGGTGATTATCGTCGTGCTACGATTCCATTTGGCGAGGATATGCCAGATGATTATTTCTATGTCAATGGTGTGTATGGTAGTCTTTCGTGAAGGGACAAAACTAACATGTTCTGAAGCAACCGCCAAGTCTGTGCTTTTGCGCCAAAAGATCGTCAGGAAATGCCGAGAAGACATCTATCACTTCTTGAACCACGAAAATGGACAAATTGCCATATATGACGCCGTCAATCCACTTGCTTCCGGACGGCGCTCCTTGGCCAAGGAGTTCGCAAAGCATGATATTGAGGTAGATCAGCCAGCCCATATGCCGTGACAGTGGCTGACTTGTACTAGACCCTGTTCATTGAGTCCTGGTGTGATGATGAGCGCATCATTGAAGAGAATGTTCGTCGAGTCAAGATCTCCTCTCCTGATGTGAGTGTCTTGTCTTTGATGCGTCTTTCTCGAAGAAGTTTCTAATGTTCTCTTTCAGTACGTCTCATGGAGCTCAGAAGATGCCGTTAAACATTATTTGAACCGCATCTCTTCTCGCATTCCCCAATTCCAGACCATGGAGGAGAAAGACTTGAATTACATCAAAGTATGTACTGTCTGCTTTCTCATAATAGTGATACTAACACTGTCAGATGATCAATGCTGGCGAGCGACTCGTTGTCAACAACCGAACTTTTGGCTACCTCTCTAACCGTATCGTCTTTTATCTTTTGAATCTCCACATCAAATCGCGAAGGACTTACTTTGCTCGAGTAAGTCATGCCCTGTCGATATCAATTTCATACAGAATGCTCATGTACTATATAGGCTGGCGTTTCGTTGGAAGCAGATTCCTACAAAGCCGATGCTTCGCTATCAGAGCAAGGAGAAGACTATGCCAAGAAGATGACGGCCCGCCTGTTGGCTCACCGTGAAGAAGAGAAACGAGCAATGATTGAGCGAGGAGAGACCGGCTATGAATCCAGACCCATGAAGGTGTGGACCTCTACCCGACGCAGGACAGTGGAGACCGCAAAATATCTCTACGATAACGGTTACAAAGTTCGACAGAGGTCTCAATTGAGCCAATTGAATCCCGGTGTCTGCGAACAGATGTCCGAGAGGCGCATTAGAGCCGAGTTTGGAGACGAGGTATCCAAACATGAGCTTGATCCTTACCACCACAGATACCCCCGAGCAGAGGTTAGCATCCTCCTATACCTGGACTGATTGTGTGCATTGCTGACACCCATCACCAGTCATATCATGACCTCGCCGTCCGCCTCGAGCCAATTATCCTGGAACTGGAGAGAGAACAGACTGATCTGCTTATCATCGCACATGAAAGTGTTCTAAGGGTTTTGTATGGCTATCTCATGGCCTGCAATGCTGCGGATATTCCATTCCTCGAATTCCCTCGTGACGAGATCATTGAGGTAAATTGGCATTCAAACGGGTCATATTCTCCTGCTAACCACGGCTACTTAGATCATCCCTGAAAGTTACCAGAATGAGGCCATGCGGATCCATATCCCTGACCTCCCCGAAGAGATCATTCCCGACTCTCCCGAGGACCTGAAGATCCCCGTGCCCCCGAGCGGTGTTGTATCGCCAATGCAGGGGTTGGGTAGCCCAGAAGGCCAGGGGACCCCACAGAGCGGTTTCCGAACGCCGAGTGGCATCCGTACCCCCCGTGAACCTGAAAGGATCTCACAACAGCATGTCGAAGATGTGGTCTAGGTGACATCCCAGAGTCTCGCTGGGTGATAGAGCACTCGTATATAGACTTCTTGCCACGCTCTTTCTCAATACTTTATTGCCAAATTATATCATCCTTAACCACCATGTAAGGTCGAGACAAAGACAATATTGTCCCCCTCTTGCAGTTCATATGTTTCTTCGCCTTCGAGTTCCCAGTCGGCGTCATTGATGAGCACGAGAATGCCCGGTCGTCTTTGAAGACATTAGCTTTGCTTGAGTAAGACATTTCTTTCACTTACACATTGTCCTCCATGATAAACATGTCTGTTCTCTGATCCTTCATGAGGTTTTCGACCAAGTATTTAAGCAAGTATGAGATGTTCGGCCGTGTGCTATCCTCCAGTTGAGAAGGCAGAACGACCTTATGCTTGCGCTCATTGCCAAAGAGTAGTTCTAAGCCGCCACTGTATAACCGGTCAGCAAAGTCATGTATTCAATCATTGTAGGAAAGCTTGACGTACGTGAACTCGACGGTAATTGGAATCGAGCATGCATTCTGTGCCGTAGCTGAAGAATTGGCCATTGTGCAACTCAGAAAACGAGAAGTTATGAAGATGTACAGAGTAGGAAGTGAGAGAGGGAGAAGTGATGGAGGGGCTAGGCGGAGACAGAAATTCTTATCGATAAGCCCCATTAAGAAATTGCGGATTGTCTCCAACTTCTTCTATAGTAGACATCACGCTTCGAGGGTTCTCAATTCACCATGGTCACTGTTACCACCGATTATATCAGTGTTGGAGGAAATAGGCACCCTGGTGCTGCGCAGTGGGATGTGCAGACAGGCATGTTGGCTTTTGGTGCGGACAACAATGTCGCCCTGTGGGATCCTCTAGTAGGTCCATTGAGAACTGTCGAGTGTCGAGAAACAAGAATAAGCTGACAATCTCATAAAGGACAAACATGACCGAGGCGTTTATGCCCTGCTCGTTGGACATACCGACAAAGTCAGCGTCGTTCGATTTTACACATGCCCCTCCTCTGGAACGAAATTTCTCGTAACCGGCTCCGTTGACCGCACGATACGTGTATGGCAACTGGAGAATGCAGAGTCGCGCAGCTATATACTTGCAGCTACCCTTGAGGGTCACACAGGATCGGTGAATACGATTGCTATTGCAGACGGAACGGACATCATCGCATCTGGTGCGGCCGATGGAACGGTTCGCATTTGGAGGATTAATGCCCAGGATGAACTGAAGTGTGAATTGATTGAAACAATTACTATGGCACCACGGTATTTCCCGCTTGCTTTGTCATTGCAGGGACTCGGGGGCCACTCGGACACCCCTTTGGTATTGGCAGTTGCTGGTACGACGACCAAGGTGCAGATATACGTCTCGGAAACATCCGTTGGCAAGCCTGAGTTCAAGCGCTGTGCTACTCTTTCAGGACACGAAGCTTGGGTTCGAGCTCTTTCTTTCACTGTGGACAAGCAGAGTAAGGAGGGCGATATTCTGCTAGCATCTGCTAGTCAGGACAGATATATTCGGCTTTGGCGGCTGCATCGGGGTGAGGCGAATCCCCCTGCCCCGATTGACGAAGCCGATCCTCTGCTAGGAGGCATGGAACCAACACTATCGAACAAGGCCCATGAATTCGAAGTGCAGGACTCAAAATACTCTATTACATTCGAAGCTCTTCTATTCGGAAACGAGGACTGGATTTACACTACTTCATGGAACCCTGATCCTAAAAAGCAACAGCTTCTCTCCACTTCCGCTGATAACACCGTCACTATCTGGGAACAGGATCAGGTATCGGGCGTCTGGATGTCCGCCGAGCGAATGGGAGAAATCAGTGTCCAAAAGGGATCCACTACCGCAACTGGTAGTGTTGGTGGCTTCTGGATTGGTCTTTGGTCTCCAGACGGAACCCAAGTGGTGAGTCTCAGTCGCACAGGTAGCTGGAGAGTCTGGCGACAGGAGTCAGATTCGGACCTCTGGGTGCAGAAATTCGGTATCTCAGGCCACGTGCGCTCCTCTAACGGCGTCAAATGGGACCCCACTGGTGGATATCTACTCTCCACCAGTTCCGATCAGACTACAAGGCTGCACGCTAAATGGCTACGGGAAAACATCGGTTCATGGCATGAGTTCTCTCGTCCCCAGATTCACGGTTATGACTTGAACTGCGTAGACACACTGGGACCTTCGCAGTTTGTTACGGGTGCGGAAGAAAAGCTTCTGCGCGTCTTCAATGAACCGAAGCCGATTGCTGATTTATTGGAGAGACTCACTGGCTTCAAGCAGTCGAATGGTGAGAGTCTACCAGACACTGCTGAAATTCCAGTTTTGGGCCTTTCCAACAAGGCACTTGGAGACGAAGCCCCAGTGGAAGATGAGGACGAAGATAAAGCCAAGCCAGAAGTAACATCTGCTTCTGCTTCCCTGGCTGTCGATCACCCGCCTCTGGAGGACCAACTGTCTCGCTATACTCTATGGCCAGAGCATGAGAAGCTCTATGGCCACGGCTATGAGATTTCGGCAGTGGCTGTCAGCAACGACCGTAGGCTCATCGCCACTGCTTGCAAGGCCAGTTCGATCGACCATGCAGTCATTCGTCTATATGATACATCAGACTGGCATGAAATCAAGCCATCTCTCACCGCACACTCTTTAACCATAACCGATCTCTCATTCTCCGACGATGACCGCTACCTTCTCAGTGTTGGCCGAGACAGACAATGGGCTATCTTCCAGCGGAGTAATACAGAGCCAACGATATTTACCAAACTCACCGCAAACCCCAAGGGCCACTCACGAATGATCCTGGGAGCCGCTTGGGCCCCGGTCACCAAAGAGCATGTTTTCGCTACATCTGGTCGTGACAAATCCGTGCGAGTCTGGCAAACGTCCGAAGAGACCTTTGTTTGCAAGACGACTGTGGTCTTGACGTCCGCAGTCTCTGCTATTGCTTTCTTGCCTGTAAAATACAAGGAATCGTTCATTCTTGCCGTGGGCGAGGATACTGGCTCCATTTCTATCCACCGAATCGCCGCAGACACCCTTGAAGCGCAGCACATCGTGACAGTCGAGAAAGAAGTCTCTCCATCAAGGGCGATCACGCAACTATCATGGCGGCCAATGCCAACCGCTGATGTGGACAGCAGCGATCAGTTTGAACTGGCAGTGGCAAGTGAAGACACGTCCACGCGCATATATGCTATTTCGAACATGCTCTGCTGATTTGTACATACAAAACAAAATCTTCTTAGCCCCTTTACGAGTCATGATGGTTGAAAGCTCCCAGATGTTGAATAGATCCGCCTGTATATCCAGATACCAAAACATAAACCCCGCCCATGCCTCGTGGTTGAACCCTATAAATGTTGAAAGGCTTATAGTCCAAGGACTCCCTGCATCGTTGAACCAATGATAACATCAAGAAAAAAATAAAAATAAAGATCTGACTACTTCGGAGCAGCCTTCTCCAAGCCATAACCTCCAATCCCTTCAAGAGACTGATAGGTCTTGCCCTGGTTACCGCGCCCATTGCGAGGCCCTCTAACCTGCATATCCTCCTTAAGCCACTTAAGAACCAGCTCTCCCAGTCGGCTATTCTCAGAAGTCCACTCAGGCACCTGCTCGTGGAATGACTCAACAGTACCAAACGACTTAACCTTGCCCAAATGCATATGGGCCAGATGAGTAGGCCACTGGGCAAGGTTATCCAGGATATGTGTAGCATAAACAATAGTGCAAGGACGGGTTTCCGTCTCCCGCTTCAGGAAAGCAAGGAAATTGCTCCGGGACAAGAGGTCTAGATCGACCGTGATCTCATCCAACAGCAGAACCTGCCAGGGCCGCAACAGACCCATAGCAAGCTGGACGCGGCGGCGTTCACCGTCCGAGACAGCGTGCATGCGCCAGCGCATATCAATGTCGAGGATATCGATAAGCTCGTCCCGTCGCTCTGGGTAGGCGTTGCCGCCCACAGAGGCTAAGAGGGTTGGCACGTCAATGTCTGTGCGGACGATACTGTTCAGCACCCACTCGACGCCGAGGTAGGTTACGCCTTCGAGGGTGTCCTTGAAGGGGTCCTTGCCACCCACGGCGATGGTGTCATTGGGAGCAAGGCGCTTCCCTGACAATAGGCGAAGGAGGGTGGTTTTCCCCGCTCCGTTTGCTGTGTGGTTGGTTAGTCTTTGATATTTTGAGAGTTTTATGAAACTCATTGGAACTATAGAATTTATTTACCGCCAATCAGTAGAGTCCGGCTTCCAGGAGGAAGACTCATTTGTACATTTTCCAGGCCGTCAGAGCCATCTTGGAATTTGTATGAAAGGTTCTGGACCTCGATACCTGGAGGGGGGTTGGAGTTGGGATCCGCCATATCTAGAAAAGGGAAAGGTGAGCCACACGGTTGACGAGTATATGGAAGAAGTAGAGAGAAAGGAGTTTGAGTCAGAGCATCTCGACCACTTTTATACTAGTTGGAGCCTTGGAGCCTAAGGTTCCAGACAACGGATGAGGTAACCAGTCCCCGATAACGATAACATTTTCTCCTTCTCCAGCTTTGCGCTTTCGGAATGCTCTCTGCCTTTCGGTCTCTTTGGCACAGTCGAAAAATGGATCCTCTCATAGCTGTTGTCGGCGCTACAGGGACAGGAAAGTCCAAGGTAAGAAATTCAACCCCCCCCCCCCTCCCCCACTTCCAGCTTCCCACAGTGACTGATAATTATAGATAGCTTGCAGTGGACTTGGCCTCCCGATTCAATGGCGAAATCATTAATGGCGATGCGATGCAGATGTATCGCGGTCTACCAATTATAACGAATCAAATCCCAATCGAGGAACGAAACGGCATTCCCCACCACCTGCTCAGCTGCATCGATCTCGACACGGAAGCATGGCGCATAGGAAACTTCAAGCAAGAAGCACTACGGCTCATCGACGATATACGGTCACGTGGCAAGCTACCAATTCTTGTCGGTGGCACACACTATTATACCCAAGCGGTGCTGTTTAAAGACCAACTCGTGGGCGAGGGAGCAGACGAAGGAGACCCTGAAGCAGGACAAGAGCTCGAGTCGACCTCGCAGAAATGGCCGATTCTGGATGCGGAACCGGAAGTCATGCTGGAAAAATTGCGCGAGGTCGATCCAGTCATGGCTGCTCGATGGCACCCTAGAGATGGGCGGAAGATTCGCCGGTCATTGGAGATCTACCTGAAGACGGGGCGGCCAGCCTCGGAAATCTATAAAGAGCAGATGTCACAAAAAGAAGAGGCCGTGCAGAAGGATGAGGGTCTACTGCGGTTTAACACATTGGTCTTTTGGGTCCATGCCGAGAAGAAGATCCTGAATGCGCGTCTTGATGCGCGTGTTGATGATATGGTCGAGCAGGGGTTGATGTCTGAGGCGCAAAAAATGTCGGATTATATCTACGAGAAACGATCCCAAGGATTTGAAGTCGATCAGACCCGGGGAGTTTGGGTTTCTATTGGATTCAAAGAATTAGCGCCTTACTTCGAGGCTGTTCGCAATGGAATTCTCAGCGAAACAGAGATTGAAGATCTAAGACGGACATCTCTTGAATCAATTCGAACAGCCACGCGACAATACGGAACCTCTCAAGTCAAATGGATCCGCAATAAGTTATGGCGCGCGCTTTCGGAATCTGGAAAGACAAATTGTTTGTATCTTCTGGACAGCTCCAATGTGAACGAGTGGAAGAATTGCATCACCGAACCATCCGAGAACCTTGTTCAAAAGCTACTCCAAAACGAGCCCACGCCAGACCCCAAATCTTTGTCTGAGCTGGCGAAGGTTGAGCTCAGCGCGAAAGAAGCACTGGGACCAGTTAAAGCCCAAAAAGAAATTTCGAAATGCTACACCTGTGAGAACTGCAAAAAGACCATGTCTGGCGAGGACCAGTGGAACATTCATATCAATGGAAGCCCTCACCGGAGGGTGCTCCGGGCTGCGAAGAAGAAAGCACAGCGCGATGCCTATTTTCGACAGAGGGAAATGGAAGCGAAGCCGAAGCAGATTCTCAGCCCTGAATTATGATCATGACATTGCATCGGCGGGTATAGTGGATATATTAGCGACTATTGATAGAAATACCCAATATAAGACCAAAATCGATTCCCCTGCAGGTGAAATTGGCTGAACTCAAACAGCCTCCAAAGGAGATTTGCCAGGTAGTATGCCTGTGCCTGACTGTCTAAGTCTAAGCCTCGCAAGCCCTTAGTTCTCGCGAGTGAAAGCAATAATAATACATCAAAAAGCTCAACTTACAACTCCATAGAATCCGTAGCCGTTCGCCAGGCTTTGAAAGCAGGCGAGAGGATATCCCCATGTCCCTGCTCCTCAACCTGGAAAACCTCAATGACCGAAGATTTCTCCTTCTTCCGGATCCTCCACGTTCCCTCACGGTTGATAGTATGCTTCAACCCTGAAAAACACGTCAGCAATGCTCTACTTCCCACCGAAGAGAAAACACTCACACTCCAAGAACACACCAGCGAAATTGATACAGATGTTCCCATCCCAAGAGCGCTTGCCGACACTCAATACTTTTCCTGGGATAGTGGCCGTATCCAGTTCTTCAAGGCTATGGCAGATGCCATTTTGGTCACGAAACCCGACAATGATTTTGGGTACACCAAGCAAGAAAGACTGAGCCCAGAACTTCAGTAGTTTGCGCTCATATTTCAGCATGTCACGATCATTGCGGATTTGAGCGGATGTTTTCAGCTCAACCCAGTTGATGGGTGCTCCTTCTTGCGATGGTTTGCAATCCCAGACTTGAGGACGTCAGTATCACTGATGCTGAATGTGCCACGAAGGATAGAATGGACATACTGGCATCTACCTCCCCACCAAGAATCATGCGTGTATTCCCAATTCCGGTGCGGACGACGGAACAATACTGCGCAGCGTTGTTGACAACATCATGCTCGCGCCTCTCAATTTCTTCGCGCGTTGATTCATCCCATGGCTTGCGGAGTACTGCCAGGTTTTCGAATTTGTAGCCTGGGATTTATTTTTAGTTCATAACAATGCAAGTCAGGAAAGCAATTCAAACATACCCCAATACATCATCAGCTCTTGTGGTGCCATTCCAGGTGGCGACCCTCGCTTACGCTGGAGATCTTTTTGGAGGTTTTTATATTCGTTGTTCTCTTCGATGAAACTATCATGAGTTAGTACTTGAACAGTGGCTGTAATTGACTCCAGACGCACATGGTATCCTGAATTTCTTGTTAGATCATTAATCTCGTCATTTTGATTGCAAGTGCTTACCTGGAAACAAGTCGCGTTCATCTCAAAGCTGGAGAGGCATCATTGTCAGAATTCAAAGCATCCATTTCAAAGGAGATATTCGTATACAAACCCATCATTGTTATTAAACGGGGCCGTTAGAATCTGCGTATCTCAATTAGCATTCGGTCAATCCACGCGTCGATTCAGCATACCTTGGTCATCATCCCTCGCCAGGTGACAATGTCAACGTCACACTTCTTTTGTGTAGTCTTCTCATGGGCAGCAATGGTATCAAGCAAGGCATCTAGATGCTCATCTGGAGCATCATTGAGCTTTTGAAACGTCTCATAGCCCCGGTTCAAATCTGCCGGCAGAGTCGGCGTGTAGTAGTATGTCATAGATGAATCTCCAAGTGAGAACCGGCGCTCATCATCATATGAGAAGCAAGTAATCTCCTGATATAATGTAGGCTATCAGCTTCAGTGGCCTGCCTTGACATTGCGTCTTGACTTACCCTTGGTCGCCGGATGGAGGTATTGGCACCGCCGAAGCGGTGCAGGGGCTGGATGTCAAAGCTGGACCTATTCATGTTGTTGAGTTCTCTCTATTGAGTCAAAGACATGATCCGACAGATAGGAAGATGGACTCTATAAACCACGGCCAGGCAGGGCGTATGGAATGCGCGTACCCGTGGTATCTGGTATGGGCCGGAAACGGTACAGTATAACAAATGAAGCAAGCGAGACTCCAGCTAAAGACAATAGGAGCAATTGCACACGCAAGAAGCACCCAAAAGCAGGCCAAACCTCACAAGTCTCATCAATTTCAAGAGATGACGGAGGAGATGTTCCTGGGGCCGCGTCCCCACCAAATCTCAACTCCCCGCGAATGTTCTTGCACTGCGCCTGCTTCACATCTCTTCCCTTTCATTCTGACTCAGTCTCTGTGATTTGCCCTTGACAATGTCCTCTCGCATTGATAAGACGATCGCCCGCCAGCGGGAAAAGTGAGAATCCCTATCCCATGGCCCTGCTCGCTTGTTCGCCTGTTCGCCTGTTCTGACAGCATTCCCTAGGATCGCTTCCGGTGCCTACTACGAAGCTCACCAGCAACTACGTGTTATTGCGGTCCGATACATCAAGCAATCCAACTATGATGCCGCTGCAGAGATCTTGGCCGGCGGTGCGAAGGAGCTATTGAAAGCCGGTGCCCAGCAGGGTGCTTCGGCAAGTGGCGGTGACTTGGCGATTATGCTGGTGTTGGAGGTTTACAACAAGGCCGAGTGGGAGATCGCAGGTGGCAGCAATGATACCGAGGGTCGTTTGCGCAAGAGTAAGTCGATCAAGAAGATCTGCTGGGCTGACCGAGAGAACCTGGCCTGGTGTTGTACAAGTCAACATAGCTAATGTGCGACTTGCGATTCTACAGAGCGTCTGATCGAGCTGTTGCGCGAATTCCCTTCAGAGGAACCTACACGAAAGAGGTTTATTCAGGAAATGATTGGATGGAGTGGAAAGTTTGGACCATTGGAACGGGGAGACCCAGAGCTGCACCACGCTGTTGGTTCAGTATATGCTGAAGGTTAGTGGTAATGCAAACAAAGAAAGCATTGATTGGCTCCTAACCTAGCGCAGATAATGAGCCCTACGATGCCGAGAAACATCTCATCCTGGGTACCTCCGAATCTGCAGAGACCCTCGCAAAGCTCGAGTACGAATGGTACACCAGCGATGAACCGCACACCGCTGCGATCTATGCTTCGCGGGCGGTTTTCCCATATATCCTCACCGGCAATATCCGCAGCGCCAACAAAGCCCTCCTCATCTTCACCTCGCGACTTTCCACAGCCAACCCTTCCCTCGGCGTGCAGGATATCAGCAGCGCGAATTCCGATGCCCGCGTCTACCCGGCCCTTCCATTGCTGAACTTCATCAGCTTGCTGATGTTGACGATCCAGCGCGGAAGTGCTGATCTCTTCAAGCAACTCACTGCCCACTATGCGGCACAGATCAAGGAAATTGGAATCTGGGATGATGCTCTGACTCAGATTGGTGAGCAGTACTTTGCCATTAAAATTCCCCGGCAAGGAAACCCCTTGATGGATATGATGAGCGGTATGTTGTTCGGAGGTCAGGGCAATGCCGGGAGACCGCAAGGCAGAACTGCGAAGAAGGTCGAGGCACCGCCTTCAAGCATGGAGCTTGATTAAAGCGTCCAATTGCTCATGTGATAGGCCTGGCCTAGGCAGTGGACATACCCAGCTGATAGTGTAATGAAACTCAGATGCATGCCATATGCTGATCCAGCTAGTTCAAAAATGAGTCCTTCTCGGGCTCGAACATCCAATGATCGTCATCCAACGAGGCTGCCTTTTTGCGTAGGCTGTCATTCAAGATATTCAGAAGCTCTATTTTGAATCAGCATCCATTTGAGGATCAAGACCTAGAGTACTAACCGTCAGGCTCATCACTCGGTACTCCAGCGCGATGCCGATTCACCATTTCCACCAGCGCAGCCTCATACTCTATACCAAGTGTCAGTAGACTCGATATAAAAGACCAGAGGACTTGTCACATACTCTCTTTCTCCCCTTGACTAAGCTGTGAATCAAAAGCCTCACCTTCGAGCTCACCCAACTCCTCCCCATCCTCCTCAATCATCGGTGGCGGCAACGTCGGAACTTCAAGCTTGTAGCTCCCATTCCTGTCTTTGACCACAATCTCTTTATTCTCTGTAGTCTTCAAAGGTCGTGAAGAGGGGCCCATATCAGAGGATGTAGGCTTTAGCCGGTGCGAGGGGCGGTTTGCTAAATTGCTTGGGTTTGGAGGCACGGCGCCATTGGGGGGTCCTGCAGAAGCCGGTCGGCGGCTGAGGTTTCCATGAAAGAGGTTTCGGCGAACAGAGTTTGGACCCATCATGTTGCTGACTTCTTTGTTCTGGGGGAGTTCGCGCTTCGAGTGGAGATTGTAGGTGCGGGATTTGCGGCGTGCGATACGAATAATAAGAGGGCTGGGTGGGTTGATATAGGGATATTGAGCTGCTTGAGTTGAATGAGTGTATGAAGGGGTGTATTTAGTCCTTTGAAAGGGTCTGTAGGTAAGAATAAATGTTGTTAGGGGGAAGTGGTGAAGAATGGCGCAGGATGGAGTAGAGAGCAGTACAACGGTTAACCAGATCTTTCAATCTATCTTTGAACATTTCACGGTAACTGAGAGCAGTTGGTCATACTGACTACTAGCTACATGATTAACTACTTACTCTGCACTATTTACTTTCCACTCAATAGTCCAACAGCCACAGACTCAGTTGAATATCAAGCGTTGAGCACAGGCCAACCGATAAGCCGTTTATCGCTTCTTCACGCGTTCTCGCGTCTTTGGACTCGGACTTCTTGGACTTCTTCATTCACCATGGCCGAATCCTCCTCTGCCGCTTCGCGCAATGCCGCAAAGGCAAACACTGCTAGCGCTCCTGCAGACTATGAGCTCCCTTGGTAAGGGACTTTTCTTGAGCTCACAGATCCCAGCTGACCTAGCCTTCAGGGTCGAGAAGTACCGTCCGATCTTCCTTGATGACATTGTCGGCAACACCGAGACCATTGAGCGGTTAAAAATCATTGCCAAAGATGGAAATATGCCACACGTTATTATCTCTGGCATGCCGGGTATTGGAAAGACAACCTCCGTGCTATGTCTGGCACGGCAAATGTTGGGAGATGCATATAAAGAGGCAGTCCTTGAGCTGAATGCCAGTGATGAAAGAGGTTCGTATAACTCACTAGCTTCGGTTAGGCAAGGACTAGATGCTGATCTAGCGATTAGGTATCGATGTGGTGCGGAACCGGATCAAGGGCTTTGCGCAGAAGAAAGTGACACTGCCCCAAGGTCGCCATAAGTTGGTCATTCTCGATGAAGCCGATAGGTACGTGTTACTTGCGGAGAAGTGCAACGTGGCTATTAACTTACATATCACAGTATGACGGCCGGTGCCCAACAAGCCCTGCGACGTACGATGGAAATCTATTCGTCCACCACTCGATTCGCTTTCGCTTGTAACCAGTCGAACAAGATTATCGAACCTATTCAGTCCCGTTGTGCTATCCTTCGTTATGCCCGTTTGACAGATGCACAGGTTGTGAAGCGGTTGATGCAGATCTGTGAGGCGGAGAAGGTCCAGCACTCCGAGGATGGAATTGCTGCTCTTGTTTTCAGTGCCGAGGGTGATATGCGTCAAGCCATCAACAACTTGCAGAGTACCTCGTCCGGCTTCGGGTTCGTCAGCGGTGACAATGTGTTCCGGGTGGTTGACAGCCCGCATCCGGTCAAGGTCCAGGCTATGATCAAGGCTTGCTGGGAGGGCAAGGTGGATGTTGCTCTGGAGGGATTGAACGAGCTATGGTATGTTGGAGCTCACACTACTTGAGTGGTCAAGCTTTTCTAATAATCACATTAACAGGACTCTCGGCTACTCTTCCCACGATATCATCAGCACCATGTTCCGAGTCACCAAGACTATTCCCACCCTATCTGAGCACTCAAAATTGGAGTTTATCCGCGAAATCGGATTTACACACATGCGCATCTTGGATGGTGTGCAGTCACTGCTCCAGCTCAGCGGCTGCGTGGCGAAGCTTTGCAGAATTAACATGAAGCCCGAGCTATTCGAGCCCCCCAAGGCCTAGACAGCAGTGTCTTGCATATTCCCACGGCGTTTGTTGATTTCTTTCCAGTGACTCTGGAGGCAGAGGTCCTACCAACTGCGTAATGAATTATGTCTTGTTATATGTATCAAAAAATCAATTGCTATCAACTGCGATATCATCTTCCACTGTGTGACTCAACACGCAGTGCATATATCTCACTTGCTCTCAACATGGCTCTTCCAAAGCTTCTCAACAACCGTAGCAGCCCCCAGTACCTTCTCCTCTTGAAGTTTCTTTCCAATGATCTGCAGATTGACCGGATACCCATCCACCTGCTTCCCATCATATAAAGACCAATTCCACTCATCGAGCTGGTTCCTCGGCTTATACTCAGGCGTTACATCCTGCTCGACCCTAACCTTGTCCACAGGGAACGTCAAAGCAGGATAATCAAGCAAATTCCAAATCTTAGTATAACCCACCCAACGGAACTTCCGGTGCGGTACAGTCGTATGCGGCAAAGTAGGACTGAGCAGAATGTCAACAGGCTTCCCAGAGGAAGACCGGACAGCATTCCACTTATCCAGATAATTCTTCTGCGCCGCAGCCTTCTGCTTGTTCAGCTGCCAATACTCATACACTGAGATTGCCTTGCCGCGATTGACGAGCGCGTCGACATGTGGAATGAATGGTTCACCTGCAGCAGCCACGTCCCGACGAATATCCTCGCACCCATCGACAGTATAGTACTGGTCCATCAATGCAATGCAAGATGCATGGTCAGTCGTATCCCAGAGGACAATCTCGTGTCCGTTCGCTTTTAGAACGGCCGATATTTCACGCAAGGCGCGTGCAATGGGCGGATGAACTTTCACAACGCCGTCATCAAAAATCAAGCCGATAACCAGAGGTCTGCTTTGCATTTCCTGGAATGTGCCCTGGCTCCATGGCAGAGGAGCACAGCGGGGGTCTAATTCCCACGGCTGGCTCTCCGCCAACAAACGACTCATGTAGCAGATTGACGAGAGATCTCGCGCCATTGGTCCAATTGAAGATGGGACGTGTTCTTGGCCTTCTGTTGAGACGGGAACACCTTGGTATGGGAGTCGTGCGCTCTGTATTTATGTGAGCGATTGCATGCAGCTTGCGCGCATAATGTGGGAGGTAATTTGCACTCAGTACTCACGCTAGGTTTGAACCCATACAGGCCCACTGTACTCTGTGGTATTCTCACACTCCCACCAATGTCAGTTCCATAACCGATGAGGGAACCGTGCAATGCGAGCAGGGCACCTTCGCCTCCCGTCGAGCCGCCCGGAGAGAACTTTGGATCTCGAGGATTGGTTGTGAGTCCCCAGAGAGGGTTCTCTGTTTCAGCCCACTTGCAGTATGTCAGTATGTCAGGTTCATTGATTCAGTGGACGATACAGAAGGCATGCTACCGACCATGATGCTTTGTGGGAGATTCGTCTTGGCGATGATAATGGCACCCAATCTTTCCAGGATTTGAACCAGTACGGCGTTCTCTTTGGCCGGAGCAAAGGATCGGCCTACATATCCCAATGTTGTATCGACGCCTTTGACGTTGAATTGGTCTTTCACTGTAACTGGGATTCCATGCAGTGGACCTCTGAGCTTGCCAGTTTCTTTGAATTCGGCATCTAGGGCCTTTGCTTGTTCTATGGCGTCTTCGAAGAGAATCTCGGTGAGACTGTTTGTCTATGCATTGGTCAGTGACTCACTTTGAGATATATCGACCGATGGATATCTGGATCGAATTGATAGATAAGTATATCGGACCGGGTCTTTGCGGGACATACCAGTTGATGGGCCACTACGGCTCTGGTTCGAGGGTTCAGCTTGCCTCCTACTTCACTTGCTGGAATACTTGGAGGACATACCGTTTGATATAGCTTTTGACCACCTGTTCAGCTTGAAACTCTCCCTTCTCAAGATGTTCCAGCAAGACCGCGATGTTATCAATGTCGGTGATGGTCTGGACCAGCGAATCTTTTGCCAATTGACTGCGGTCTGCGACATTCTGGACCCGCGGTCGACGATGATCTATATCATCTACTAGATATGGTGCCAGGAGTTGATCCCTAATAGTCCGTTTCTGTGAGACGATCTGCTGCCAAGCCTGAGTGCTGCCCATGGTGAAGTGTTGGGGGAAAGCATCTTGGGAAGCCTGCAGGCCTCTCTATATATAACCCCCAAACCCTACAACTGATCTCGAGACTGGCATTCGGAAAGTAGTCCGAGGCTTATCAGTTGGAGTCATTTCCCCATTTGGCGCAACTCAGCTCAAAAGAGTCAAAATATTCGACGCTTTTGGGAAGCGGGGACAAGTGGGTCGAAAGTCTCCAACCTCCTCAAAGCTTCGAAGCTCTCTTCTAGATCTTTCCGATCTTTCTGATCTTCATCTTCTGGATGGTGACATCTTTAATGGATTCAAGCTCAAGCACCGGGTCCGGCCCCATCCGCAAGAACAAGGCAATTGCTAAGCGGGCCTGCGACCAATGCAAATTTCGCAAGATCAAGGTATTGCCCCCCCCTTTTGGTAATTTTATGGATCGCATCGGGATTGACTTGCCTCCAGTGTAGTCTGTCGCAGCCCTGCAAGGCCTGCCAGTCTATGGGCTTTGAATGTACATTTTTTCAACCTCAGAAGAAGCGCGGACCAACGGGCCAGTAAGTGTGCAGAATCGCCACCCGTCTCAACAAGACTCTAACCCGCGAAGTCGCGTATCCCAAATTCGCCAGCAGCAAACTCATCTGGGGGAAGAGGCTCTGCCAAAGCAAAATGCTTTCCAGTATCAGAGTCCAACGCCTTCCGTGGAGCCCGGGCAGCCGGGCCCTTTGCCCGCACCGTGGCCCTCGGCGCATGGCCAAGTCACCATGCCTCTAGAGGGCGCAGAGGGTGCAACCAGGTTGGCGCCATCAGCACCTCCAACGTCAATAGGGACAGCCTGGGGCGCGGAAACCCCCTCCCTGGACTCCCACAGTAACAGCGCAATGAGCTGGAATGAACGAAACGACGTCGAGTATTGGCTTCCAGATCATTTGGATGCCCAAGTCCCCGTATTTGAATTCCCAGGAAGCAATGTCTATCTTAAGCCATCTCTTCCATCCATCATCCAGCCCGTGCCTGATGCGCAGACAATGGGCATGCCTCGCCAAGAGGCCCAAACCATGCCCTTCTCACCGACCGTTGGGTCCATGCACTCCGATAACCAGGAAGGTGAGGTTTCCTGGCCGTCAACGATCAGCGAAGCCAACATGATCCCTTGGATTGACGTGTACTTTGATCGGTTACACCCAACCATTCCCGTTCTCAACCGGTCCGGCTTGTACACCTCAATGCTGACTCAGGAGCACCGCAAGAATCCCCAGTTTGGAGCGATGCTCTTGTCACTATGTGCGTTCTCGCTCACGCAGCCGATTGAGATTAATGAGCAGCCGACGACTTCATCTCGGGCCCTTCAGGCTCGGGCTATGATGCACGAGGCAACCAAGATGCGGAGCTGTTCTGATTTTGGCGAGAATCCCACGATCGAGGCTGTGCTGACGAGCTTCTTCCTTTTTGGTTGTTTGTTTGGAAGTAATCAGCATAATGCTGCTTGGTTGCGGATACGGGAAGCTCTTGATCTGGCTGCCTCACTGGGTTTGAATGACCCTGATTCATATCATGAATTGTCTGGAGAAGATAAGGGTCAGAGGTTACGAACTTATCTCGTTCTTTCCATCACAGAGAGGTGAGTCAAAGATTGTGACATCTCGGATAGAATGCTAACACAAATATAGAGCCTATGCTTTGCAACGGCGGCATCCCATTACTTTCTGGGGAAAACCAGGGTTTACCATGCGTTCAGTGCACGACTTCATCCACAGTGCAACGCACAGTGTTGTCTCTGGAATCATTGTCCACAATGAGAAAGACGCCGAAGGAATGATGGGACTCGCGCGAATGATGGAACTATTCGACGCCATAGACGAAGATGTAATCGACTGCTGGAATCGACGATGCGACATCACCAACGGGTACTGCCGGAGACTAACAGAAGCCAAAGCTTTATCGATTCACCAAAATCTCAGTCGAATCAATCAAGCCGAACGATATAGAGGCTATGACTGGTTTGAACGAGCCAAGGGTGGCCGCGGCGAAACCAACAATGTTCTTCTCGCCATGGGACTACGCGAAACCCAAGCCGCCGACGTCTTCGTTACCCAAAAATGGCTTCAGAACCGTGTCTGGCTTCTCTGTTCAACGCATGGTCTTCTGAGTATCCACTCGGAACGGCCAGAAATGACCTTTGGATATGCTGTTACTGTTGCCGAGTCAACTCTCCAGCTGTGTCAGTCATTACGTCTTAGTTCCATGGAGGCCCATGGCATAGGTCTTGTTTGTTTCACTATATTTCTCCCTCACGCAGACATGATTTGATACTAACAATTTCAATAGACCGAAAAACTGTACGATATCGCCATCTGCGCAACAAACATCCTCTGCAATACCAGCCCGCCTTACGGTGGCACCGACATTCCAGTGAACTTCACCGAGAACATCGCCCCGGCAACAACGTCAACGCCGCAGTCTCTGGCAGAGGACTTCCTGCTACTCATGACCAGCTTCCGTGGGGGGAACCACCCCTATCTGGAGAAGTACAGAGCACACCTACGCTCTCTACAAATCATGGAAGCTAAGCCCCAGGAGTGGCCTCAGCGGTGATTTTGTGTTGTATTTGATTGTGTTCTCTTTTGAAATGTTTGTATATATGGAGTTGACACAGATGATGTCTGGATACGATGTGATGGAGTTTGGGTGGTCTTGTATCTTGTATTATCTACTTTCTTGTTTGCGTTCAATAGAATAGGTGGTTTTGGGCAAGTTATTGTACTTGGAACATTTCCTTCAAAAGCCATAGTAAGATATATAGCTCAGCCATAGTTGAATAATGAGAGAGATAGTGTGTATTTTGTGTTTGTATGTGTAAGGGTATCAAGTATATTTACGCGCCGCATATAGTAAACCATTGAAGACGTCAAGGATTCTTCAACGTGCGAGGCCTCACCTCAAAGGATGATTTATACGACCTCCACTTCCACATAGGAATCTTGGCCAAATACATCTCATCTATTTCAGCAAAAGTTCGACCCCGAGTTTCCGGCATCAGGAAATAGAAGAAGACAAGGATGCCAGCCATACAACCCGCAAAGATCAGATAGGTCTTTGCGCCGAGATTAGCGGCATCGGCAGTAGTCAACTGCGGGACGACAAGCGTTGTAATGACAGCTGTTGTCTGGGCACATGCAACTGTATAGGACATGGTATGGTGTCGGAGTTTAGGGGTTGCCATTTCCGATGGCATGACGTTTGACAAGGAGAAGAACGAACAAGCCCAGAAGAAATTGAATACAAAAGACAACACGGCAATCGTCATGGTGGCTTTCTTGTTGTCTTTGACAAAGGCTAGACCACCTGCCACTATGTCGATCACGAAGAGGATGCTCATCCCGACGAAGGCTGTTGGACGTCTACCTGCTCGGTCGATAACGAAGGGGGCGGTGATGGTTCCAGCCAATAAACAACAGGATGAGACAATTGTTAGAGTGAAGGTGTTTCCGACTCCCAGCTCTTTGAGGAATAATGTCGCGTATGTTGTTGAGAGGATGATGCCGGAGATTTGATTGAGAGAGAAAAACGAGCCCGCGGTTAGGGTTCGTTTGAGATGTTCTCGGTGGAATATGTGCCAGAACTTGGTGTGAGATTGAAGGTCTCGTTCATTCTGTTCACTCAGCTCCATGAGACAAAGTTCGTTGTCTACTTCTTCATCGCTGAAGCCGCGCAGTTTCCGCAAGTTGCATCGTGCTTGTTCGGTTTTGCCCTTGCCAACCAGCCATTGAGGGCTTTCTGGAAGAGGTATTGTCAAGATGAATAGCACGACAGGCAAGGCACACTGCACAGCGAGTGGGATCTGGTAGGCCAAGAGCCCATCGATCTTATCTGTTCTGAAGACCACCACCGTCCCTACGACGCCGGCTGTCAAGTTCAGGATATTTGTCGAACTGACACATCTTCCTCGTATTGAGGCTGGAACAACCTGTTCACATAGTCAGCAAATATTCAACTCGGCCCGCTTGAAGAGCATGTACCTCGGCGATATACAGAGGAGCAGTCGCATTGATCATTCCCAATGCAACTGAATTGATCGAACGACCACCCACAAAAGCCCCCAGGTTCGGGGCAAAGACCTGAAGCAGTCCACCACCCACAGATATAATAAATGCAGCAAGTAAAGGCCACTTGCGACCAAAGTGGAAGTTCAACGGTGATGCCAGCAGAGCTCCGATCACGGAGCCTACCAACGGAAGAGAGAAGACGAGAGATTGATTGCGCGCCGTGAGAACATACTTCCCAGTCACTGGGTTAAGGCCTTGGAATTTCTCCACCTAATTGATATCAGTGTGCTGTTCCTTGTCACTATCTGCAGGACACTCACAAAAGGAACCAATGCCGCCACCGGTGAAATGATTTTGTCGTCAAACCCGAACAAAAATGAGGCGGCGCCAAAAACCGCACAGGCAAAGATCAACTGGGCATTGATTGCTTTGCCAACCCTCTTCTCATGCAACAAGTCAACACACTGAATGTCTGCGTCGCAGCCATCCTGCTTTTGGCCCATGGCGCGGATCGAGCCGGACCAATGGCGAAATAGCGAGATCAACCCCAAGTCCCAGGAGCGAACAGCCACCGGGGCCATCAGGAGATGCGAGATGCAATATATACACACTGTCAATCCATGTTCCCCAAGCCAGCAGCAAGCAGGAAAGAATGGAGCGGAAGAGATTCCCCAGATTTCCAAGATTGGCCCGGACTAAACTGTCTTTAGTTTCTCCGAGATTTCCCATCTCCTCCTTTCCACGCCAATGACAGGCCCCAGAATCCGGGGTTTGACTAGCTGCTGCCAGGCCTTTGCTCCCCCTGCATATTCTCCACTTCTCCAGAGATCGTCCTGAAGGTGCAATGACTGATTTCGCCGAAGATCTGACAATCTCGCCGACAATCCTCCGTGGACATGTGCCGAACCCCGTCTCCGACTAACTGCCGGTAAATCATTCATCAGATCCCCACTACGAAGAGCTGATGAGCTCTTTTGATGCTGTTGCGTTCTTGCCCAAGTGGATCCCGCTAAATTTTCTGATCTTCGAGTGTGAAGTGGAAGGAGAGTCCCGCCAAGACGGAGATTGAATGACTAGGAGATTTCTTCTACTTCATCACGTCGTTCGATTACTTCATCCTGAGCGTTTTCTTTTGAACTGAACATCGAATATGTCGGGCACTTCAATTCCAGAGAGGACTGAACTTGCCCAGAAACCTCAGCAAAAGCCAACACGATCTGAAAGCCATGACGTGATTGACATCTCAGCTCATAAGAATGCACCGCGAAACCCGACGCAATGGCGACCATCATATCATTTCCTCGCACCAGCTGGATGGATGAATGACCCATGTGGCATCGGCTATGACCCAGCGACAGGTCTATACCATCTATCCTTCCAATGGAACCCGCAAGGCAACGACTGGGGCAATATGTCCTGGGGCCATGCCACGTCCCCAGACCTGGTATCATGGACGACATACAAGGACCCGATTCTGACGCCAACAGCCGATTATGACTGTCAAGGCGTGTTCACGGGATGTTTACGAGCAACCGACATTTCTGGCAGCCCGGGGTCTCTCACTGCCATATACACCTCCGTGAGCAATCTCCCGCTTCATTACACGCTACCATATGTCAATGGAAGCGAGTCGCTGAGTATAGCCGTCTCAGAAGATGGCGGTATAACCTGGGAACGCCAGGATTGTAACCCAATTGTCGCTGGCCCCCCTGAGCAGTTCACCGTGACTGGGTGGAGAGATCCGTGTATCACGACTTGGGCTGAGGGGCCTCTTTCCAAGGATTCACCGTCAACTCTATACGGGTTGATATCCGGAGGTATTGTTGGAAAAACGCCAACTGCTTTTGTGTATACCGTGAAATCTAGTGACCTGCGCCAATGGGAATTCCTCGGCCCTTTGGTTGACGTCGGCCTCAATCTTCGACCTTCGCGCTGGTCTGGCGACTTTGGAGCGAATTGGGAAGTTGCCAATATGATGACTCTATCCGATGGCCATGTTTCTCGGGATTTCGTCGTCATGGGAGCAGAAGGATGTCTGCCCTCGCAGGGTACAGTTCAAGGCGGAGTCCAGGAAGCTGACAGCAAGCGAGAACCCCGAGGCCAGCTTTGGATGTCTATCAAGGCGTCTGAGAAACGAGGCTCTAACTCTACAGATGACGCCCTGGCTTCGTATGCTTTCTCTGGGTTCTTCGATCACGGATGCTACTACGCAGCGAACTCTTTCTGGGATGTCCAGACTTCCCAGCAAATCGTTTTCGGATGGATTACAGAAGAGGATCTCTCTGATTCTCTGCGCCATCGTCAAGGTTTCAGTGGACTGACTTCGCTGCCCCGTGTTGTGGGATTGATGACTTTGAACAAGGTCAAAAAGGCACGCAACTCCTCATTGAGTTCAATTACCTCAATTGAAGTTATTCCCGATGGACCAGGAACAGACACTTCGACTGTCCGTACAATGAAGATCAGCCCTGATAGCCGGCTTTCACGACTACAAGAAGGTGCCCAGAAGAGTCAACTTGTTGATGTCCACCTGACTACCGCACCCACGGCCATGAAGGCGTTCAAGTCAACCAGATGGGAAATGAACGCCGAGTTCAGTGTCGGTCAAAATTGCACACGGGTGGGCATCAGGATCCCACATACATCTGGTAAGCCCATCCTACATAATCGAACCGTCCCATAAATTCACCAACTAACACTCTGGCAGACCCCGAAAATCCGAACTGCACAACACTATGCTGGATCCCAGACAGTGAAACCTTCACCATCCACCGACCACACCTCGACAACGCAGAGGTAAACCAAGGCTTCGAAACCGCACCGCATACCCTATTCACCTTCACGAATGAGGGCCAAGAAATCGAAGAGACTCTCCGAGTCCACGCCTTCTTTGATGCCAGCGTTTTGGAGGTATTCGTTAATGACCGGACGGTCATTTCTACTCGCATTTATTACCCTGACGACTGTTGCTTCGGACCTATCTTCTTTGCGGAAGGAGATACCACCCCGAACGAAGGACAGCCAGCAGCCACCCTTCTTCAAGTCGACATCTGGGATGGAATAGGGGTATAAAAAGGATGTATTGAATTGATAGATATTGCATCTCAATATTATGATTATGTATAGAGCATGGCACATCGAAGCCACAAGAAATTCAATAGTAACACAAGATAGAATCCGACCCAGCGTGGCACAATAGTCTCGCAAGTAAGAAAAGATCAAATCAAATGCACGCGCCTAGCCATGGTCATGAAATCGTATGCCGAATCGGCATGCATTTAGCAAGCTCGCAAATACAGAACAGATACACCCCAGATATATACACGGGTATGATAATCATGACAGCAAAGAATGGACAAGCTCTACTTGTCTGATCCTTTTCTTACCGGGAACCTCGCTTCCAGAATTTCAACTTCCAGCTCGGGAAGTCGAAGCGACCGTCTCGCTTGTAGATGCGCCAGTAGTAGACCGGGACACCGGTTATGATGAACGCGACCACAATTAGGGTCTGTAGGGGTTCGGCAATGACTGCTCGGCTGAGGAGGAATAGACTGACGCAGCAGAAGATGATCGGAGTGGATATCCAGGTGCGATAGGGTCGTTCTAGGTGTGGTTCGCGGATGCGGAGGACGATGAGTCCGAGGACTGTGAGGAAGTAGAAGGTGTATCCTGCCACACCATAAAAGGTGACCAGGGTGCCAAACTCGCCGACCACGATGTAGATGGTAGTGAGGGCGCCGTTGAAGGCCATGGCGTAGATGGGGGTGAGGCCAAGTGTGGCCTGGTCGCCGAAGACTCGGGAGAGAGATTTGCGAGCCCAAGAGCGGCTGCGTAGTCTGCCGCCTGGTGGAGGGCCTGTCGATGGAGTGGCGGAGAAGCCTATACGGCCAAATAATGAAGGGAGGTAGCCTTCTTTTCCAGCGGCGTAGACTAAACGGCCACTTGTGAACGTTGTTGCATTGAGAGCTCCGAAGCAGCTGGCTGAGACGACTAGAGCGAGGACCAAAGCTCCGACAGCACCGAAGACTTTTGCGCCGAATTGCACGGCAACAGTGTTGCTAGCCTCGATGGTCGAGTGAGGCAAAACAAGGAAGTATGAGACGTTTGCGAGCAAATATGATAGAATGACCAAGGGCATCGCTGTGTGAATGACCCGAGGTAGGTCGCGGTTGGGATTCTTGAACTCGCCAGTCACATAGTTGGTATTGTCCCAGCCGTCGAATGCCCAGAGTCCTGCATACAGGGCGACTGCAAAGTCCGAGATCTCAGTGTTGGTGCCCTCAAACCATCCTGTTGTCTTCCATTCTTCATTTGCATCTCCTCCGGACGACAGACCAGTCACGGCGACAATCACACCAATGACAGTTACTCCCAAGAGTGCAACGAATTTGAAGAACATAAAGAAGTCTCCAATGCGGGTTGCGAATTTGGTAGATACGCAGTTGAGCAGAGTAACCGCCAAAAGGCCACCAAATGCAACACCCTTGTTAATCCACGGATTGACGTCTCCAACATCAGCACCGACAAAGGCTCGCACGACATATTCACCGAAGATGATCGAGATAATGGCCGCCGACCCAGGCTTCAACACCAACACCGCACACCATGTAAAGAGGAAACCGGGGAGCTCTCCAAAGATCTTGGACAAATAAACCTGTGAGCCACCATTGAGCGGAATGGCGCCTCCTAGCTCCGCATAGCTGGCAGCACCTGTCCAAGCCAGCAGACCAGCCACAGCCCAAACAATGAGTGAGGCGCCAGGCGACCCAGCATTGGCATTGACCTGACTCGGCGAGGAAAAGATTCCAGAACCAATAATCAGCCCAACAATAAGCGACAGACCATTCAGATACGTCAAGGTCTTATTCCGCTCCAGTGATCCATCCACCTGTCGATCGGCCGGAGTCCCAACCGGCGCATATCCACCTTGCGTTTGCGACAGCGGGAAAAGCGTGCGCCCAAAATCGAATGCTGATGAAATAGAATATGACCGGAGACCTCTCGAGCGACCCGATTCGAGCTCTGCATCGCGATGCGACTCGCCTAGGGGATCTTCATCCTCGAGGGAGAGCTTGCGTGATGAGGAGATGCCATCTGGAGAGGAGGAGCGCGAGGAGCCTACCGACACGGGTGAGGACGATGCGAGGGAAGCGAGTTCTAGCGAATCTCGAGGAGCGAGGTTGCCATTCCTGTTTCCTTGTGTGTAGGCGTTCGACATTCTCTTTGTTCCAGGAGAGATGGCGATGCGAGGATGATAGCGAAAGATAGTAGATCGTCAGAGGCGAAGGGGTCTCTCCATTGCCCGAACGCGAGCGGATAGGGAGTGAAAGTGGAAAAGCGACAGAGAGAGAGTGTGTGAGTGAGTGAAAGAGAGAGGAAGAAGAAGAAGAGAGAAATCAAGTCGAGAAAGGGTCTTGCCAAGGGGTGCAATTTAGTGTCGATCGCCCAATCGGCGCTTCTTCCCCCCGCGATTCCTCTCTTTTTCCTTCTTCACGCTCCCATGAAGCCTCATCCGTGTCTGAGTAGAGGCTGGAGAGCCGTTGCTCGGCCTCGCCATACCTCGACTTCATCCTTGCCATTCTCGACATCCTCGAATTCCTCGACCTCGGCCTCGACCTCATCCTCAAAACCAACGATCCCGACTCCCTCCCCAAAGTCTCCCCGTCCCAGTCAAAATCGCTGGTTAGGAATTGCACTCGTGGGAGCAACAGCTGCGGCTGCAGGAGCATACATCCGGTCTCAAAGTACCGACTCCGCGACCCTAAATCCAGATACGTTCACCAAGTACCGCCTCGTATCTCGCGAGCCAGTGTCATCTACGAGCAGTCTCTTCACCCTGCGACCGCGTAAACCCAGTGAACACAATTACGACGTCTACGAAGATGCATGGAGGACCGGAGTATGGAGTGTAATGTTCAAGCAGCCGCAGCTACAGATCGGCCGGGACTACACACCGCTACCTACGACCGCGGCGACATCGTTAAGCGTGGACGACGAGAATGAGGGATGTTTGCGGTTCTTCATCCGCAAGGATCCATTCGGTGAGGTATCACGGTACCTGCATACGATTGATGTAGGTGCTGATGTGGAAATGCGTGGCCCGAAGATTGAATGCGCTATTCCGGCTGAAACAGACGATATTCTATTTATTGCTGGCGGAACTGGGATTGCGCCGGCGCTACAGGCTGGGTATTCTCTTTTGACTCGCACGACTCGTGAGCGTCGACCAAGGATTCATATTTTATGGGCGAATCGGCTGAAGGATGACTGTGCTGGTGGTCAGAGTGACTCTGCGAAGCCCCAGGCCCGAGGCTGGTTCTCTGGGTGGTTTGGCTCATCTCAGAGTCATGAGCTTGAGAGCAAGAAACAGGATGCTGTTGCTGTTATGGAAGACAAGCACACTTCTCGGATCGTACGAGAGCTTGAGGCGCTCAAGTCACAATACCCTGGGCAGGTCACCGTGGACTACTATTTGGACGAGGAGAACACTTTTATTGGGAAGAAAGATATCTTGAACTCGATCCAATCCACGCCGACAGACGGCTCCCGCAAGAGCAAGTTGATCTTGGTTTCCGGGCCCGAGGGCTTCATCAGCTATATGGCTGGACCAAAGCTCTGGGCTCAGGGACAGGAGCTCCAAGGACCTCTGAAAGGAGTGATTCGGGAACTTGACCTCAAAGAGTGGGGCGTTTGGAAGCTCTGAGATCTGATATTTGTACCAACATCGGAACCTTTTGTCATTAAAGCATATAATATAGCATGGATATACTGGGGAGTTATGTTGAATAAACAGTCGCAACTGTCTTGGACTTTTGAGTCCTATTTCGTGGCCCATCACACGTTCCTGGCTAATTCCAGGTTGAATTCGCTTAAACACAATTTTTATCCTCAATCCTATTGTCCAGTGGCAAAGTCTTCAAGGTACTTCACCAGCTTCTGCACATTCTCCAGCGGGACCGCGTTGTAGTTGCTGGCACGCATGCCGCCTACACTGCGGTGGCCCTTGAGACCCTGGAGAAGACGTTTCTCAGCACCTGCGATGAACTCCTTCTCCTTGACATCGTCACCGCCATTAATTCGGAAGCAAATGTTCATGCGGCTGCGGACGCTGGCATCCGGAACAACCTGGTACACTTGCGGGTACTTGTCCAGGACACCGTAGATAAGCTGGGCCTTGTTGTTGGCAACAACCTCTTGGCCGCTGACCTTTTCGGCACGGAATTCGGCGACAAGGTCAGCCATGACCTGGCCGGCAATCCAGAGGTTGAAGATGGGGAGGGTGTTGTAGAGGGAGTTGTTCTTGGCGATAGTGGCGTAGTCAAACACGACGGGACCGGGGAGACCACCAATGTTCAAGCGGTGGAGGAGAGCAGGGGGAGGAGTCGCAGTCTGGGGAGGAAGGAGATCCTTGCGAACAATGGCAATGGTGATACCAGTGACACCGATGTTCTTTTGTGCGCCGCCCTGCATACATAATTAGCTTAGTGCTTCCACACCGAGAAGATAGGACACTTACGAAGATGACGGCGTACTTGCTAACATCAACCTTGCGACTGATGAAGTTGGAGCTCATATCAGCCACAACAAGGCGCTCGTCCTCGGCATCCTGACCCTGGGCCTCCAACGACTTGGGGAATTGCTGGAACTCCACACCATCAACGGTCTCGTTGTCACAGAAGTAGACAAAGGCGGAACCCTTGCCGCCCTCCTTCTTGGTAGGGGTCAGAGACCAAGAATCCTCAGCGGGAATAGTGCCAAACTTGCCGCCATTGGCCTTGCGGGAATCAAGAGCAACATTGACAAACTTGGAACTGACCAGCTTGCTCGCTTCCTGGGAAGCCTTCAGTGACCAAGATCCAGTCACAAGGTAATCCAGCTTCAACTCCTCCTCAACCTCTTTCTGGAGTCTCTGGAAAACCAATTCATCAATCTGCGACTTTTCCGCACCGGGGTTCGCAGCCTGGGCGTCGGCCTCAGCCTTGCGACGGCGACGTTCAATCCAGACCGAGACAAGGTTTTGCACGACCGCGCTGAAACCACCGCTGCCACCGCCCTGCATGAACAGGATCTCATAGTTATCCGGGATATCTAGCAGAGCGGTCAAGTTGGCTTTGGCATCGTCGAGGATCTTGTTGGCGGTAGGCGAGCGGTGGGAGATCTCGCCGAGACCGAGACCGCAATCATTGAAATTGACGAAGGCCTTGGCGCCAGCCTCGACGACGGAGGTAGGGAGGGGAGCTGGGCCAGCTCCAAAGTACGAGATTTCTTGTCTGGAGGGCATGATTGAGGATTGAAGATATGTGTAGAAATGAGAGAGGGCGGGAGGAAAAGATTCAGGTGTGGACCGGCGGTGGATCTACCGGGAGTATTTATACAAGGTTATACTGTTACCAGAAGATGTTTTGGGGGTTTTGCTGAAGAAATTGTACCCAATATATTCACCGGATGTGTGTTTAGCATGCTATTGGAAGTTTTATAGGCAATTCCGGCTATGGCGGGGTATGAGTCAATGAGAACCCCGGGGTTGAGTCATGAAGCTATATTGAGATTTTGACTGTAGATGATATAGGTGATACATGAAACAGCTTGATATTCTACTATATAACCAGGATTTTACTTCATCCCTCTTCATTGATCGTTGATACAATACAAAATTCATTGGTGGGGTCAAGACGTATACTTCCTCGGTGATTTTCGGCGATAACCAAGAGATGTAGATGTATACGAATAACCTACTAGTCTGAAGCAATCATGTTCAAATAAACACAATATAATTGCACCTGAAAGTGCGATCAATCAGCTCTCCACTGTAAAAGAAGTGTTCTACATTATGAGATGCTTTTGTCCAAAGTCGATCCGGCATCGGCCAGATACCGAGTCACGTGCAAATGACGTGATCTATTTTGCACTGTTTGTTTCACACATGACAAAGACGCCCAGCCTCAACTTGCCAGTCATCACTGCCTACTGCTGTGGGAGCATAAAAGGACCCGAATGGATCATACTTGGTTTTGATTGCATACAGCGAATCATAATTGGAGCCAAAGAAGGCCTGCTTCCAGTCTGGCTGTTGGGGATCCGCCTGTTTCTACTGTCAGCTATTGGTTCACCAGTCGTGGAAGTGCTGTTCGTACCTCGCTCATATAGCAACCCGATTGTGGAGTCAGATGTGTCAGGATAGGCACCCACTTGGTCGTCATTCGATCTGCTAAGACTTGCATCTGGGTGAGGTTTGCACCGCTAGGCCAGTCTCTGGAGTATATGTGCGTTAGCGAGTATACCAAAGAAATTCCATATATCCTTGAAAAGTTAGAAAAGGCTTACGTAGACAGGATTACACTCATTGCGGCTGTACGCCACGCAGGTAGGACTGAATTCCAGATAGTGCCTGTCACAGATGATGAGACATTCAGACCGATGCCCACGAATGTGACTCCATCCGCAGTCAGGCTCTGGACAGCATCTGTGAGCTGTGAGTTGTTATGCTGGATGACTTCGAGCGGGATGAGTCGACCGCCATATTGCGCATTTTGAACCAGCTGCGTCGGGTTGGGCTCAATGAGTTGCATATAATGCTGGAAATAGGAGGACGAATATGTTATGTTCAGAGTGTAGGAGATGTTCAGCTCGTGTAAGTTTTGCAGAAAGGGTGCTATCAAAGCCTTGGCCTCTGCTGCTGTATGCATGGGCAGGGTCAGTGGCGTGAGGAAGAACGAAGAGTGTGTGATTTGCGCAATGGCCATCCCACCAGCCGCAGTATATGTGGGCAAGTGACTATGATAGTGGCCAATAGCTTCAAAGAAGCGACCCGAGGAAGAGGCATTGCTCTCAAATTGAAGCACGACACCGGTGACAGGGAAATCGGGAAATGTCTTGACAGTCATGGAATACACGACGCCATATGTTCCTCCGCCACCCCCGGAAAGCGCCCAGTACAGATCTGGATGCTGGGTAGGAGACGCGGTCAGCAATCGTCCCATTCCATCAACGACCTCCCATTCCAGGACCTGGTCGGCACCAAGGCCGAAACGAGAGCTGAGAGCAGAGTGGCCTCCGCCCTGCGTGTAGCCCCCGACGGGGCCTACCGTGGCACATTCACCACCTACGATAACCAGCCCTCGGGCATGGGCAGCTTCGTAGATATCAACGCCTTGAACGCCTGCAGCCATCCGCACGGCCGGCCCGGTGTAGTCTGGGCTGGTATAGTTGAGGAAGTCAATGTCTTTGAGATGATGGGTCCAAATAGATAGCGCCCCTGCACCTGTTGACTTTCCCAAATAACTAACAGAGGAATCGTTAGCCAGTAAACATGCCATCTAGACTTCATAATAAATACTCATGACCTGTGTTTCGAATGACGAAACGAATATTTCGTTCTTGAGAGAATCTAATGGTCTTGATAAAGTCTTCCGAGGAGCTGGCATTGACCGCATAGCGCACCATTGCACCAAAAGTGCAGGGCTTTGACCGAGGAGTAAATGCATCACAGGTTTCATTAGCCACAGAAGCTGCCATGATAGAGGAAAAGGACGCATCACTATCAGATGATCAAGTTAGCAGACTAGACATAGAAAGACCGATCTACTTACTGGAGCTCTGGATGCTTCCATTGCTTTTTAAGATAGTCACATTCGCTGGCTGAGTAGAATGGGTCATGGCAGGACTGTCCTAGCGGCTGTGTAGAAACCAATCTCCCTCCAACAGATGTGTTGAAGCGTGCCCAGTCGTGAAGAGATGGCCAGCAATTGTCACCTGGCATACATCGACAGTTTGGAGAAGATGGTAGGCCCGTGGACCGTTGCAAAATAGAAAATATGCATAGTAGGCGAATAGAACGGGATAAATGAAGTTGCATAGTGAGGTTTATTCATAAATATAATTAGTTTGTGTGCTGCTCAATAACCATGGACTATTCTTATAGTCTCTCGCCAGTTGACTTTTCCAGGATCTCCTAGGGAGAACCATACAAAGGAGATCTACTTACGCGATTTCCGAACAAGATTCAAGAACAATTTTTCCGTCGCCCCAGATAGGAATAGAAATGGAACAAATCATGCCTCGAACAGCGATTAATGCAATTCATGTTGGTTGTTCACGAGTTCTCCTCTTGGTCTGAGAAGCGAGCTGCACGACCTAAAATATGACAGCAGACCCACTACGACCACCTGCAGGAAACCTTTCAGGCTCCGAAATCAAAACTCCGAATAAAACTTAGTATTTGAGTTGTTCTCGGACAATAGGAGAAATTTGGACTCGACAGTTCTGGAAGTCGAATCGTGGTTCTTTGACGCACGCCACAACACTACTTACTACATTTCATATTATTGCCGAAAAATGTAACCTAAAGCATCCAATAATGAAATTCACCCTCGAGGTGACAAAACCTGGGCTGAAAACCAACGAAAGTCATATCTACCTGATGATTTGGGGTAGAATGTAAATTATAACCACAAATTGCGTTGCATACACATTTCATCTATGATCTGTAACATACCAACGCAGAATGGCTCTCATAGTTGTATTTGGACAAATTCAAATGCAGATTTTACTCTACTTTGGCCTGATTGCATAATTTGAATACACAACGCGAACGCGTAAATGGAAATACAATGATCATTGCTCAGGTTCTCTTGTCTCATATTTCGCTCCGAGTGCAGTTGTTATAATGTCATTCCGAGTAAGAGTCTAAAACTGAGTTCCCACATGAATTCCCCCGTCGACCAGCATATTGGTGCCAGAAACGAAGCTGGCCAGAGGACTCGCCAAGAACACCGCTGCATTAGCCACTTCAGTCGGACCTCCCAACCGCTTCAGAGGAATTTTAAGTCGCTGTTCCTCCACCCATTCGGGGTTGATCTTAGAATAGAGCTCCCAGGGGCCTCCCTTACACAAGATTGGTCCCGGTGAGATAGCGTTAACCCGGATGCCCTTTGGTCCCAAGAAATGAGACAACTCCTGTACATGTTGGAGTTGCGCAGCCTTGCAGGGTCCGTAAGCTGCAGGTGGGGACCGGTAAAACTCACGGCCCATGAAAGAGCTCTGCACGATGATGGATGCCTGCGAGGACTTTTCCAAGTGAGGAGTGGCGGCCTTGACGAGCTCGACGAAGCCCATTACATCGATGGCAAAACTACTCTCCCAGTGCTCTGTCTCACCCTCCATATGCATTGGTGAAGCTATAGGATGTCAGCATATTCCAGGCTGAGTGTTGTAACAATGCACTTACCATTGGCAATGATCACGTCGATCCGTCCAAGTCGTTCAGCGGAGCTCTCAACCCACTGCACAAGAGCGTCTTTGCTAGCTACATCGAATGCGGTGCCAACGGCGCGAGCGGTATTGCTCTCGGGAAGCGTCGCATGGAACTCGTCAAACTCCGTATTTGTGACAGTTCGGGCGCAGTATGAGACATTGGCTTCCTCCTGAAGGAATTGGTGCACCATGGCCTCTCCCATACCCCGCGTGCCTCCTATCTGGTGTCAGTCACCAGAGTCGATCTGGAAATAATTATAGGCGATTTACCCGTGATGAGCACATGAGCGCCCTTGAGACCAGTAGTGAGTACCATTGTGTATAATAATCTGTCAAGTGGGAATTGATAGAGAAGAGGCAGAATCAAAAAGCAAAGAGAAGATAAGCTGCGGGCCGAGCCTTTTTCTTTCCCAATTTACCTTGAGCTCTTTAACTACTTTGGGCGAAGTGAGTCGACCACAAAGGGAAATTAGCGCTAGAGCACTTGGCCGAATTCGAACATCAACGCCAACTCCGAAACTCCTTTGAGCAATATCACTCCCAGGAACTACAGTCTTGTTATCTTCTTCTTTTTATCCCTTTGTTTTCCACTTCAGAAATGGCTCTAGAATCTGATTGCAACTATCGAGCATGGACGAGGCAAAAATCCCTACCCAGTCCGATGGGTTGGTCGAATCCGAGCTACACGTACCATCGGAATCGTCAACTTCAGCATCGCAGATCATCAAAATGGAGCCAATTGCGGATAGTGTGAGAGACTTTCTCAAGGCACGTCAGCCCGATCACCTCGACCTGTCCGATCACACCGGCGTGGTCTTTGACAACATATCAGCCGTGGGAAGCGGAACCGGAGTGAGTTATTCTCATCACTGAATGATGAATGAGGAATCAATTGGCATTGACAGCTGGTAGTCACAAGATGCACCTACAGTCACGTCCGCGGCCAAGTCGGCCTTTGGGCTGTTGAGCCATTTGCAAAACAGAAAAAGCAGACAGTACTCTCGACCCATCCTCAGTGGATTCGCGGGTACAATTGAACCGGGAAAAATGTTACTTGTGCTAGGAAAGCCAGGGAGTGGCTGTACGACTTTTCTCAAAACCCTTTCGGGGTTATGGGATGAGTATAAGGAGATACAGGGAGAACTCAGTCTGGACAGTCATCCGCTGCAAGATGTGATGTCACACAGGCCTCAAGATATTCTGTTCTGCGGTAAGTCTCTACTACTGATTGTTATTGGATTGTATACTGAGGGGAATTAATGCTTTAGCTGAGTCGGATGACCACTTCCCTACGTTGACCGTTGCGGAAACCTTACGCTTTGCGATCCGAGCACGCTGCGGTTCTAATTTCTCGTCTGGAGCAGTTGATGAAATGGTAGCTCAGCTGGCCAAGCTCGTCGGCCTTGAAAATGTTTTGAGCACTAAGGTCGGGGATGCGAAAATACGAGGAGTCAGTGGGGGAGAGCGCCGCCGAGTGTCTTTGGCAGAGGCCCTGGCTACTTGTGCTCGGTAAGCGATCCCTATATTCATCAACTTGCTATATTTTGTCCATTAACTTGTGAAATTTCAGTCTCATTTGCATGGATAATCCAACTCACGGATTGGACTCTTCCACTGCAGTTGAATTCATGGAGATGATGCGTGAGTGGACGACCCAAAGTCAATGTGTGGCTGCGATGAGCGTCTATCAAGCCAGTGATGCCATTTTCAACTACTTTGACAAAGTATTGGTCATCAATTCTGGCCGACAGATCTTCTATGGCCCAGTTCAAGAGGCGAAGTCATATTTCGAAGATTTAGGGTTTGAGTGCTTATCGACTACGACCGTGACCGACTTCCTCAATATGATGTCTGCGGGACCAGACGTGCGACGAGCTCGGGAAGGAATGGAAAGCCAGATTCCGAGGACCCCAGAGGATTTTGAGCGTGCATTCCATGCTAGTCGTTTTTACCAGGCATTGCAAGTCTCGGTACAAGAGTCCAAGAAACGAGATCAAACACACCCCAGCACTCTAACCAAAACCCCAGCATTTGCTCTTCCTATCCTTCACCAGATTTGGTACTGTGCCGGTCGCCAGTTTCGCATCGTCACTAGTGATTACAGCTTGTGGGCAGTAGAGCTCACCACTATTGTGGTCCAAAGTCTGGTGTTGGGAACACTTTTCCGGAACCAGCAGCGAACAACAAAATCCCTGTTTATATTTGCATCTTCCCTGTTCTATTCAGTCCTGGTCCCAGCCTTGCAGTCAATGGCAGAATTCGGCAATGGATTTGCTCAGAGACCGCTGATTTTGAAACAAAAGCGATACCAGATTTGTCGTCCTATTGCTTATGCATTTGGCTTGATCACAACGGATGTCGTGTGGAAGGTGGCTGCAATCTGCTACAATATTCCGTTATATTTCCTGACCGGACTCCAAAGGTCAGCCGGGAACTTCTTCACCTGGTTCCTGATCGTCTATCTAGAACACCTTGCTTTGTCAATGTTTTTCCGCTCTGTGGCTATCTTTTCTCCCAACATGCACCGTGCAGTGCTACCTGTGGGAATATTCTTCAATATGTATGTTTTATATACGGGGCTCTACGTGCCCGCGCCTCAGATGCAAGTTTGGCTTGGTTGGTTGCGATATTTGAATGTGAGTATAAAGCTGATTTGAGGTGCGAAAAAAGCAACGTTAACAAAAGGCAGCCCCTCTACTATGCATTCGAATCGGTTATGGTAAATGAATTTGGAGACCTCAGCTACGACTGTAGCTCTTCAGATTTGGTTCCATCGGGGCCAGATTATAACGACATAGCTCATCAAGTCTGCACCGTCGTGGGGTCACAACCCGGGGATTCTCTTCTATCTGGTGCGTCGTACATTCACGCCCAGTACGGATTTGAACAGTCTCATCTCTGGCGAAATGTTGGCATCATTGCGGCATTATTTGTCTTCTTTGCCCTTTGCTCTGGGTAAGTCGCCAGTTCTTAAGTTCAGGTCTCGGAGAAAAGAATTAATGACGTTTTGACCCAAACAGAATTGGAATGGAGATGCTGAAGACACCGGCAGGCCAGTTGGCCACCGTCTTTTACAAGAGCGGCCCCCGAGGAGTAAACCGTAATCACATCACCGACAACGAAACAGGACAAATCAACGCGGTTGAAGGAGTGAATATCCCACCTGAGAACAACAGCAATGAAAGTCGTTCACAACAAGTTCAGGACCCCGAAAAGAGTCACACTCTGGCATGGACTAATCTGAGTCTTGACTTGAAGACGAAGGAGGGAGCACGACTTCTACTTAATAGTCTCAATGGCTCAGTCAAGAGCGGACAGCTCAAGGCTCTGATGGGGGTTTCAGGCGCAGGAAAAACAACGTTGCTGAATGCACTCGCCGGTCGGTCAACTGTCGGCACTCTCACTGGAACTTTGGCACTCAACGGGCAGGTTCTGCCTTCGTTCTTCCGAAGTCGTATGGGTTATGTACAGCAGCAGGACATCCATTTACCAACCCAGAGTGTCCGCGAGGCATTGCAAATGACAGCGCGACTCAGACGCCCAGAGTCCATCTCGGTCGCAGATAAGAATGCTTACGTTGAGAAAGTGATCGAGTGGTTGAGTATGGAGGATATTGCAGATGCTTTGGTTGGTGTCCCCGGTGCCGGTCTAAATCTCGAGCAGCGGAAGAAGGTAAGCATTGGCGTGGAGATGGCCTCTAAACCAGAGATTCTCTTTCTGGATGAGCCGACCTCAGGTCTCGATGGCCAGTCCGCCATGTTGATTGCTGGTTTACTTCGTCGCTTGGCGGATTCTGGTCAAGCCATACTGTGTACAATTCATCAGCCAGCAGCTGAGCTCATTGAGAAGTTTGATCAGTTGTATCTTCTCAGCCGCGGAGGAAACTTGGTATATGACGGCGCACTTGGAACGCGCTGTCGACAGGCAATTGAGTACTTCCAACCACGCAGTCGACCCTGCAGCCCGGAAGAAAACCCAGCAGAGTATTTCCTGGCCGTTATCGGTGCTGGGTCACGCAATGGCGCCCATATTGATTGGCCTACTCTTTGGCATGGCAGCCAGCAGAGCAAGGAGCAAGAAAAAGCCGAACAAGGCTTGATTCTTGCAGAGCAAACACCACCAATGGAGAAACAGTCTTTGTATTCTGCACCATTTTTTGTACAGTTGTGGGTTGTGATTCAAAGAACTTCGCTCTATTACTGGAGAGAACCTGATTACCTCACTTCCAAGCTTTGGATGAGCGTTGGGAATGCGCTCTTGAATTCTCTTACATACCTGCAATCACCCAACACAGAGCGAGGAGCATACAACCGGGTTTTCTCCGCATTCATGTCACTCATCGTGGGCCCTCCACTCGGCCTGCAAGTACAACCACGCTTCGTGACGCTGAGGGATATTTTCGTTCTTCGAGAGCGAGAGAGCCTGACATATCATTGGATGGCATGGGTCCTTTCTGCATTCATCGTGGAATTACCTTTTACATTTCTCAGCGCACTGATCTACTGGCTACTTTGGTACTTCCCGGTTGGATATTTCTACGCCCCCGACCGTGCAGGATACAGCTTCCTCATGTATGAGCTCTTTGCAGTATTTGCCACTAGCTTGGCTCAGTTGTGTGCATCGCTGATGCCCAATATTGAGGCTGCATTCGCTGCCAACGGGTTTTTCTTTATGTTTTGCAACACCTTTGCTGGTACGCTGTCTCCAAAGCCGGTAACTCCTTCCGGTTGGAGCTGGTACTACAAGGTGTCTCCCCTCTTTTACTGGAGTGAGGGAGTCACCGTGGATATCTTACATGATTTGCCGATCCAGTGCAAGCCCTCCGAAGTCTCAATTTTCTACCCGGTTAATGGCAGCACTTGTGGCCAGTATGCCCAGGATTTCCTGAAAACTGCTACAGGATACCTGCTCAACCCTGAAAATACGACTGAGTGTGAATACTGTCGATACACCGACGGACAATCATACGTAAGTAGATTGCGATCAATGACTGAAGACAACAGAGATATTCTGGTTTCTAATCGTTCACAGTACCTGCAATATGGCTACGAGCTTGCGAATCAGCATCGCAATATTGGAATTTTCATCGGGTTCATTGCGTTCAACTTCACCATGGTTTTGGTAATCACCTATCTCACCAAAATGCGTCGCCAATGATAGAAAGAATAAGAAATCTCGACTACTGTGGCTTTTGGCAGTGCACGGGGTTGAATTAGGGGAACAGCGGGTTGACTTTCGAGTAGAGAGACTAGGATCGATAGAGACAATTTCCTAAATAATTCATTACGTTTTCTCGGAGTATCATATGCATCAAACTATCAGGAGCAATCTACTATTAAGATATATATTAGGAACAAGGCATATATCCGCTACCTCAACTCCGGCTGTCAAATAGAGATCTAGCCAGAACAAGTCTTTCTCCGTATCTGAAGAAGTCACAAAGAAATGTAAAGTAGCAATATTCGGAGGCAAGTGTCACTTGCAAGATATTAACCTCTTGGCCATTCTGATTTGGGAAGCTCAATTCCAACTCCATGGAGTAAGATCAACATCCAAGATCAAGCTTGATGTCTTGGCCACCAGAACTCAACTAGTCCTTGACCTAAATAAGGAGTACCGATGCATATTTAGACTCGCAATCTTTCTTCAGGAAACACAAATCCTGATATATTCTGCAACATTTCTTCCTCCATCTGAAACGACAGTTTTTTAATCTATTCAGCAGAATGAAACTCTCCAGTGACGAAATGATTACAGCCTCATCAGAGGAGAGCCATCAGCTGAGCTATAATACCGCAACCTATCATACTGGAAATAAACAGGAGTCAGTTTGTCAACCTGTTCCCCAGATTGGTAGTCCAGTATGTACCTCATCCAAGCCAAATTGAAAATCTCACGCCGTCATGCAACATGTCATAACCTGTTACTAGACTGCTCTAGGCATGGGTGCATTTGCAATAGCCTTTACTACTCTATCGATGAGTCTGATGGAGTGGCGAAGTGCAGTAATTACCAACGCGTATATTGGAAACTGCTTTTTCACAGCTGGAATGGGCCTGGTACTGGTGGCTCAGTGGGAACTCGTGCGTGGAAACTCATTTGGACATACTGTTTTTGGTGGATTTGGTTAGTATATTGTGTGGCATATCCTGTTATCTGATTTATCTGATTATTTGGCTGTGTATAGGTCTGTTCAACCTAGCCTTTGGGGCGATTAACGCGCCAGCCTTTGGGGTGGCGGATGCATTCAAAGATGACCCTGCTGCACTAAACAATGCCGTCGGATACTTCTTACTCGGTGAGCCCTTCGTTGAAATATTTGGGACAAAGCTAATATAATCGCAGTTTGGGGTATATTCGTTCTCTTCTTTACCATCGCTGCAATGCCAATGTTAGTAGCTACAGAGTAAAGGATTGTGCACTCAGCTGACTGGAGGATAGGAACTTCGTCTACACGGCTATGCTTGGAACCTCTCAGATTACATATACTGTGCTGGCCGCTTCTTACTTTTCGATGGCAGACGATCGAGTATCTACTGGAGTAGCTCTCAAGAAAGCTGCGGGCGCATTCGGATTTGTGTCTGGGTTATTTGCATGGTATACAGTTGGTCACCTGATGTGTCAAGATGCACTTTTATTTTCATTTCCGTTGGGGGATACGAGTTCTTTGTACGCTCGGTTGAGGCGAAAGAGATGATGGGACAAGAAGTCAGGGCTTGGAGTGCCACGTGGCTGATTATGATAAATTAGGATGAGCTTTTGGTTTGAGCTTTGATGTGTGTAACAAAGATTACAATCAAATTGACAATATTTCGGTGTGGAATATGTATTAGAGTAAAATATCCTCTGATGAATGCAATCAACTTGGCCAGAGAAACATATCCGAGTGAGACTAGGGCAGAACAGGATATTTTATTTTGGCACAAGCTTGCTAACACAAACTTCTCAGTTGATTCTGTTAATATGGTAATTTATCAGTAATCTACCTGCTGCCAGTATAGACACCGGTCTGTATTCGTCGAGGCCGGCCGCACCTCCACTCCATCATCACCTATGTAGAGTAGATCCGCCAGTTCATGATAGAGGGGGATTTGAGGGTCACCCTTGACATTTGGACTTCCCGTCTTGACAAACTGTGCAATCTGCCGCTGAATAAGCTGTGCAACTGTGACATTCAACCCTTCGGACACCTCTCCATTATAGAAGACCGAAGTAGTATCCGAAAGGTGCATCGCAGGTGCCACAGCATACTCAATCGCATACCCTGGAGTCGTGACCGCGTTGTGTAGATACTTAGTATTACAGCTAGTGGTAAGCTCCGACCAGAATAGAGATGCTCGTTCGTGCTGACTGCGATACGGCCAGCTGCCGTTGAAGATGGGAGGATAGAGCACCTCAGTGGCATGAGCGCGTACACTGGCATTAGCTCCACGGAGCAGCAGATCCACGTATTTGCCAAATGTGACATCATTAGTCACATTGGCTGGAGCCAATGCAAATCCTTCATTGGAGGTATATGAGGTGAGGATTCGGATAGAGGGATCGAGTTTGCGCTCTAGCAGGAGTCTTTTGGGGCTATCAGGTACAAAGTCTCCATCAATTGCCTAATCATGAAAAAGAATGGTCAGCTCTGAAAATTCGAAAGAAAAACATGAAGTAAAAGTCATGAGATACTCACTGGCCCCAATATGCCAGCACCATACGGACGAGATGCCACCAGCACATGGTTGGCATCCATCAGAGCTTGAGATGGCAGACGCTGAGCCTCGGCAACACTAGTTACATTTAACAATCCTAAAAACGTGTTTAAGAGATCGTCCTCAATGGCCGAAGTCTTGGTGCCTGGCTCCCAGGCTGGACTCTGCGCAATGATCTGGGCGAACGGGGGACGGATAGCGCGTCCATAAGCTGTCATTTGCATTGTGATCGAGCCGCCACCAGCTGAGACACCCATGACAGTAACGCGTGAGGGATCACCACCAAACCTTTTGATATGCTGCTGTATCCATTCAAGCGCTAAACGCTGATCATATAGTCCGACATTAGGAATGCCTCCAGCAGACCGAAAACTCTGACCCGAAAGCCATCCAAATGCACCCAACTAGTTGAAAGCGTTCCATGTCAGCCGCGGAGAAAACAGTCAAAGCGATTGTAGGGGGGAAAGGGGAAACCACATACTCGATAATTGACTCCAACATAGATCATACCAGGGGAGCCATCTTTCATGCTGGCATGCAGTAAGCCAGATGGATTCTGGCTTGACTTAGAACCAGATACATATGCCCCATCTTGGAAATACACCAACACGGGTGCTCCATGTTTTTTCGAAATGACCTTTTCTGGGACATAGACATCGAGAAACAGGCAATCTTCCGACTCTAGTGGATCACGCTCTGTAGCGAGCGGTGCGTTGGTACATCTGTCCAATCCATAGACCTGATCATACGCAGCAGTAAAATTAAAAGTTGAGTCTGTTGTCTCCGCACTGACAAATGCATTTTGTACATTAAACCAACATGCTTGAGACTGGGGACAGATATTCGCAAGTCCAGTTCCATTAACAATATCGCGAGTTTGATTGAGTGGAGAGACGGGAAGGCCGAATCGCAGGGAGCCTAGTGGGGGCTCGGCATAACGAATGTTGTTAAACAGGTAATAGTGACCCGTGGACTATATGCTCGGTTGATCAGCAGATGCTTTCAAAGCCGTTTGCTGTTTGCTTTCACTTTGTCACAGGTATAGAACTCACGTTGAAACTGATGGCTTGGTGGCGCTGATAGCCCAGTTCCACTATGGGCAAATTGGCTGCAGCCACTGAAGTGATCTGCAGACAGATCCAGATGATTGGTAGCATTCCGAAGTTTGGAATGAGATAATTAATAATGTTGCATCAATTGAACTTCGCAATTCATTTTTGATTGTCAATATCATAGCTCTTATTTATGTATATAGCGTGAAGTATTCTAATTTTGCTCATGCTAAATCTCCGGCTTGGAACTCTCCATATAGAAATGGAATCATTTACTCTGCACATGAGGTTAGGGCTAAAAGGGGCTGCGGGTACCCGCTTAGTCAAAACCTGATTAGTAACAGCCCAATTAGGCAATTTTGGACTTCCCAAAGGAGAATCGGAGTTCATTTGGCTAATAACAAGCTGTGATTGGTCAGAGATGCAAGTTGACAAAGCCAACAGTCCCAAAGGAGTATGTTCACTTTTCTACCAGCTCCCATTTAAATCAACAGAAACCGTCATATGAATACATTTGGCTACCTCAGATACTCTCAATCTCTCACTCCCTTCTTCCATCTACCTCATTGGGCGCTTCCACCTACGCCTTGACGCTCGGTTCGCCATTCTTCACCATGTCTACCGAGGATTCAACCAATGAGAGTACACTCGAGAGTCAGTCTCCGGCCCGCTTAGACGACTCGGTCCCGATCACAGCTCGGGATGCCGAGAAAGATGAGCAGCCCAAAGTGCGGGAGATCCAAGGCATTCGCTGGCTACTCATTTGCATAGCCGTCTTTTCCGCCAACCTGCTTTATGGTCTAGATAATACCATCGTAGCCGACATCCAGGGGCCTGTTGCAGGAGCATTCAATGAGTACTCTCGACTTGGCTGGCTTGGTGTAGGGTTCACCTTGGGATCAGTGGTATTCATTCTTCCGCTAGGAAAAGCCTACGCCATCTTCGATACCAAATGGCTCTTTCTCGGCTGTTTGACTATGTTTGCCGCTGGCAGTGCCCTCTGTGGAGCGGCTCCCAGTATGAATGCAATTATTATTGGGCGTGTCTGGGCTGGAGCTGGCGGAGCAGGCATGTATCTAGGGTACGTTTGTTGTGAGTGGTAAGAATTCTAAAAACAGAGGACTGACAAGGTGTTAGAAATTTGAATCTGATCACCATCTTGACTACTCCTAATGAGCAGCCCGTGTACATCGCCTTGGTTGGATTGATCTATGGCACAGGCTGTATTCTGGGCCCTATCATTGGAGGTGCCTTCTCTGATAGTTCCGCCACCTGGAGATGGGTACGCTGGGTCTCTCACTTTTGTCTCTGACCACGCTAACTGAATAACAGGCATTCTATCTCAATCTGGTTATTTTTGGCGTCATGTCACCGATTTATCTGTTTCTACTGCCCTCTCTGCCGCGCCCGGCGGGTGAAGGTCGCAACTTTTTCAAAAAGCTCGTGGAGCTGGACTGGGTGGGCACGGTTTTGTCGGCTGGCATGCACGTTGCCATCATTCTGTTCATCGTCTTTGGTGGAGTTGAATGGCCTTGGACAGATGGGCGGAACATCACACTATACGTGGTTTCCGCTGTCTTGGTTGTGGCCTTCGTGTTGAGCCAGTACTATTGTATTGGGACCAATAAGGAAGAGCGCTTGTTCCCGGGCGAGTTCTTGAAGAACCCCACAATGATCATCCTTTACATCCTAATGGCCTGTGGTGGTGCTGCACTGTTTGTCGCAGTCTACTACATCCCTCTCTACTTCCAGTTTGTTCATGGCGACTCTGGTATCATGTCGGCGGTGCGATTGCTGCCATTCATTTGCTTCTATGTCGCGACAATCCTGCTTTGTGGATGGCTCATGCCCAAGACCGGCTACTTCATCCTCTGGTACCTCGGAAGCGGCATCTTTATGCTCATTGGATCTGTGTTGATGTACACCGTCCGCTTCGATACCAGTGCGGCCAATGTTTACGGCTACTCCATTCTCATGGGTCTAGGAATGACCACCACACAGGCTGCATACGCAGTCGGACCAGCCCTGGTGACCCCAGACCGTGTTGCTGAGAGCATTCAATTCATGAACATCGGCCAGGGCCAGAGCCAACTGCTTGGATTGGCTATTGCAAGTGCCATTTTCCAGAGTAAGACCCTCGGTGGACTCAACTCACTACTGAGCGGCAAAGGTTATTCGCAAACGGAAATTGAAGGCGCTGTTGCCGGCGCTCAAAGTACCTTACTGGAGCGTCTGCCTCCGAACTTGAAGGTGGAAGCCCTGTCGGTCATTGTGGATTCCATTGATGCCGTCTACGTGATGGCTATTGCGGCTGGCGCCCTATACGTAATTGCATCGTGTATGTTGCCCCGTCGTCGGTTCTAAATTCATTCGAAGAGTGCAGAAATCCCGCATCGAGGGCGAAGCTCTCGGATTTAAACTGAGATTGAAATTCGATTTGATGTTGGGGTTTTCTTTCTATTCTTCGGGCGCGAAGCATACCTCTAGATTCGGTTGCTCTTATTTACCATAATGTACCTACTTTGTTTAAAATATATGACTTCTAAGGTGAGAATCATGATCTATAGTTCCAGAACAATATAAGAAATATCAAGGAACAAGTGAGTTGAAGCCTGAGGTTCATCTTTGTATGAGAACCTTAAGCTAAACCCAATCCGATGATGAATAATCAGGGAACTCTCCCAGCGGCTGCCGCAGGTACGATGCGTGCCAATTCCTGCTGTCAGAATGCTCAAGTTCGGTGGTCAAAGTCGAATCTTTGGCCCATTCTTCTTATTTCCACGCTCTATTCATTTTCATACTTTCTGCGAGATCTCCGTCCCGGGAACAAAGTGTCCGAGTTGTGCGGTGTAAGAGGATACAAACAGGTGAAGATATCGCAGTAAAATGACCCTATCCTTGTTAATTCTCTTTATCCAATGCTCCGTTTATTCTCCTAGCTGCACATCTACAATATTGAACAATGCATAATCAACTCCGAGCGACGTCCAAACCGACCATCAAGATGATCATATACATAATGTCCCACGGGGCGAGCAGCTGATTATCAATCACGGGATAAGCGCTAGAAGAGGAATCGACGTCACGACTCCTCAGCTCCGACTCCGTATCCCAATCAGGAAGTGCAGAACTATCTCAGTTACGAGACACGGAGAAGATTATATATCAGCTATCCCTTCAAAACCCCTCCAAAAACATCCAATCCCCCAAACATTCTTCCTCAACCCTCAATTCAACTCTTGAGTTCAGTTATTCACCATGTCATCCCTTCCAGCAACTTACAAACAGGCTGTGTTCAAGCAACACGGTGCAAAGCTTACTTTGGAAGAAGTGACGTTGACACCACCAAGCCGCGGCGAAATTCTAGTTAAAGTTGAAGCTTGTGGAGTATGCCATTCTGACCACTTTGCACAGACCAATCTGATGGGCGGAGGGTTGTAAGTCTACCAATATGCATACAAGAAACAAGAAAGTAAGGGAAAACCAAATCTTTCTAATACTCCTACAGCCCCCTCGTTCCTGGTCATGAAATAATCGGACGTGTTGCTGCAGTCGGAGAAGGAGAGACAGCATGGAAAGTCGGTGATCGGATTGGAGGTGCCTGGCACGGTGGACATGATGGTATTGAACACCTTCCCGGACATTGAAATTGCTCCCAATACTCAAATCAAGATACCCAACAGGTACTTGCAGGGCATGCAAAAAGGGCTACTTCCAAATGTGCGACAACGAGCAGGTGAACGGAATATCCAAGAATGGTGGCTGTAGGTCTTCCACTCATTTCATACTTCCACCTTCCTGCTCTAGGTGCTAACAAAAACACCCATAGACGCTGAATACTGCCTCATCAACCAAGAAGCAGCAATTCATATCCCGGAACACGTGGACGCAGCCGAGTACGCACCGATGCTCTGTGCTGGCGTGACAGTCTTCAACTCAATCCGACAAATGAACATCCCCAGTGGCGAAGTCGTCGCCATTCAAGGCCTGGGTGGACTTGGTCATTTGGCATTGCAGTATGCAAACAAATTTGGATATAAAGTTGTGGCGCTCTCCCGCGGCTCGGAGAAAGAGGAATTCGCCCGGAAATTGGGTGCTCATGAGTATATTGATACCAGTCGTGATGATGCCGTTGCTAAATTGCAGGAGATGGGCGGGGCGAGTTTGATTGTTTCGACTGCTCCTGTGCCTGAGATCATCAATCCGCTGATTCAGGGATTGGGGGTTCTTGGCAAGTTGTTGATTCTCTCTAGTAAGTTAATTCCTTGGTCTGGAGTTGCCTGGGTCTGATAGATTCAACGCTAATTGGCATATAGTTGTCGGTGGAATTGAGATTCATACTGGCTTGCTGGTGAGTAGGAGGGGTTTGCACGGTGTGTGGCCAGAGGGCGATACTAAACTCAATAGGTCGGAAAAGGAAAGTCCATTTGGAGCTGGCCTAGTGGCCATGCTACGGACTCCGAGGATGCTATTGCGTTTGCAGACCTACATGGCATCGATTGCATGGTGCAGGAGTTCCCCTTGGAAAAGTGCAACGAAGCATTTGGTAAGTTCTGTTTTGATTCCATGTCAACGCTCCCTCTGATGTGTATCTCCTTTGTAGATGCTATGATGGAAGGAAGTGTGAGATTCCGAGCAGTTATCACAATGCAGTAAATGCAGAGGTCGTAGTCTAGGTTGAGGATTTCAATCGTCTTTCATTGGGGGATATAACTGAGTTGCTAGCTTACTACTGTCCACTGTCAAAGGTCTTCAATATTGGTAGTTTTGAAGATAGTTTGAATGGTAAATGAGTCACTTCCAGTTCTGATTCAGGTTATCCATCCTCCATGTTTAATCTTCCATTCTCAACAGCTCCCGGATATGTCGCACGCAATCTTCTCTGCCAGTGCATCTATTTAAATTAGAGAATTGATCCGCAATGAAGAGCCCCAGGGGAAAGCATGACTTACAGATAGTAGACTGAGGATGGCCAGGTGGTAGTAGAGCAAACGCCGAGGCATCCACTACGCGCAGGGCCTCGACGCCAATGACTCGCGCCTTGGAATCCACTACGGCCTGGGGGTCATCCAGCTTGCCCATAGCGCACGTACAAGAAGCGTGGAAAATAGTATCAAAGCTCTTGCGGACATGATCCAAAATCTCCTCATCGGTGGCAACCTGCGAGCCTGGAAAATATTCAGGCCCAATGAGAATAGGCTGAATGGCCGTGGTGTTGAAGAAGTCGCGAGTACGCTTGAAAGCAGCTACGGCGAGCTCGACATCCACCGAATCAGTCAGCCAATTAGGGTTGATCACCGGTGGCACTGCAGCGTCGGATGAAGAGATCGTAACATTGCCCCGCGATCGTGGTGTACAAAGCGACACTGCGAGAGAAGCGTAGTTGTAGCCATCGCTGGGATTGTCGCGAATGTAGTTCTTTTGATAACCGAAATATCCTCCCATGGTCAGGAATTCCACCTCAGGCCAGTCATTCGGATATTCAGCCAGTACTTCCAGAGTGTGATTTGAAAACCAGGCCGAGCGCTTGGGCTCGGGGATCTTTTCCCATGCAAGGATATCCGATGTGGGATTGGCATAGATCCCCGCGGCTCGCTCGTTGTAGTCGCGGTTGGCCTGAGCCTCAAACGCCTCATTTAACAGGGCTGACTGCGTGAGAACGTTCACTCGGTAAGAAGGGGCATAAATGATATGATCCTGCATGCCTTGACCCACACCTGGTCGGTCCGCTATGATGGGAATACCATGCGCCTGTAGCGTGGCTCCGGGGCCAACGCCTGAGACCATGAGTAGCTGGGGGGATTGAAAAGCTCCTGCGGAGAGTACAATCTCCTTGCGTGCCGAGAGTATGTACTGACGTTCCATTGTTTCGACATTGACTCCAACAGCTCGCTTGCCATCAAAGATGATGCGTTTAGCCTGAGTAGATTGAAAGACCGTGAGATTCGGATCAGCGAGGCCCCGACGCAGGAATGAGGTCTCAGAGGACTCGCGATGCATGGTCGTGGCATTGATGGTATAAAGACCGTAAGATTGACCCATCAGCACTCCACTCTGAAACCCTTTGCGAATCTTGAGTCCAAGCTCAATAAATGCCTTTTGTCCCCATGTCGCGAATGCCTGGGCATAGTGAGGATAGGTGACAGACAAGGGGCCTTTTCCATTTCCAAGGACAGTAGGATCGCTGGCGACACTGGCATTAGACCCGCGCAAGGATAAGTCTGCGGGGGTATAATGAAGGCTCTTTTCAAAGAACGGCAAAAAGTTTTCCCAGGTATAGCTCGAATCTCCGACAGTGTCTGCCCACTGCTGGTACGACGCCTTGGTTCCTCGCTGATATGCCATGTAGTTACGAGCTGAACTGCCTCCCAGACATTTTCCTCGCGCATAGTGACTAACGCGGTTGTAGGCACCCTGAATCGTATATTGATTAGTTTCTGATCCCAATTGACCCTTGGATGAGACGACTTACAGCTTGAGGGGTAGTGTGGAACCCCCAATCAATACCCGGCTGCCAATCGTCGAGATCGGTGCCAACATAGAAGGCATCTTGGGCGGGTATTTGGCTGACGTTGCCGTTGTTCAACTCATAAAAGCCCCCGGCTTCAATCACAGCGACTGTACCGGCGCCCTGTTCTGCCAACCGAGTTGCGATAGTCAAGCCCGCCGTGCCACCGCCAATAACGAGGTAGTCGAATGTTTGGTCTTTCGGAATTCCAAAAGAGGACCCCAGCATGCGTCGCGCATGCTCATTGCGGTGAATCTGGGAGCTTGGTCCTTTCCGGATTGCTGCGCCGATCACAGCAACTGGGATGGCTGCTCTGAGGATGCTTGACGTCAATTTCATGCTCAATTTTCCAAACTTCGAAGCTCTATTCCAGAAAAAAGCTGGATACAGCGTGAGCTTCTGGAACAGCAAAGTTCATGGTTTATCAGCACCGCACTATTTCAAGCCGCTCACCAGTTTCCCCCGATGGAGGGCGGAGAACCGCTGAAAAACATCGTAAACCGAGGGAAATGCCAAAAGGAGACAGTAGGAGTCTCGGAGTCCGGTATTTCTCGTATTCATATCTCACCAAGCCCTCTGCATACAGAAAGCCCCGATCGAGATGCGTGATGTGTTGAAAGGTTCGAGCAAGGCCATAAGTATTCGAACTCGGCACCGGAACTTCCAAAGACATTCCAAGCCTTTATCCACTTTTCATCTCTGGCAATGAGAACGTCCATTTGGATCAGCCTCACTGGGACTCTGGTGGCCGCCCAGGGATACCCTGGAAACTACGGCTCCAGCGCACCTCCACTGGGTCCCAGTGACTGGGAGCGCACTCCGGTGTCAGTGTTCAACAAGGTTCTCAACACGCAGCCCGATCCTGACTATGATCTCCTGAAAGAATTGGTGACCTTTGATTGCACGTACATCTCGTTGACGTTCGACAATCCCACACTGCATGGAATAATGCCTTGGGCGGGCACGCACAGCCATGTGGGACCGCAGGCCTTCATCGACATCTTCACCCGCGTCGGTCTGTATTGGGACCGCGGGCCATTCTCCATTGATCACATCTTTGGAGATGAAGGAAATGTCACCGCATGGGGCTCATTCACAGCCACGTCACGCCTCCTCGGGAAGACAGTCATTTCGCCGTGGGCTGCACGGGCGCGGGTGAACTCCGCCAACCAGATCTTCGAGTTCCAGTGGATGGAGGATACTTTTACCACGGCCTCGTCTTTCGGATCGGACAACAGTACTAAGTTGTTTTATTCAAACCCCGAGGGCGGCCACACCAGTGTCTAGAGGGAGCGTGTGAGGATTGTGGAATGTGGGAGTGGAAGAAAGGAGTTACGGAGTGCGGGATATTTCCTCTTTCGGTAGCTCAGTCAATCCCTGCACTTTTTCGCAGTCTCGCACTCGTTTAGTTGTCTTTGTTGCTTTGACTATCGTTAGGAGACTGCACTGTTCTGTATGCGCAATAGGAATACCTGCTCTAAGATTGGGAGAGCTCCTCTTGATCTTGGAGCATTGGCAAATGGATGGATATAGACCAACCGTCAAATATCTATATCTGAAAGATAGATTCCCACTCAGAAGACTTAATTGCAACAATCAGTATTCAACGGCTCATTCAATATGACTAAGATAGACGTGCACCATCATTTTTACCCTGCGGCTATGCGCCAAGGTAAGCCTCACCTCTATACTGTAAACAGCCTTGACTAAACCCTCATAGCTCTTGATCGCGCAGGAGGGGATCCCTCGGGATGGTATATCCCCCCTTGGACCTTGGATCTCGATCAAGACATGACACGACGAATGAAAGTGACAACAACCATTCTATCTATCACTGCGCCAGGTCCAGCCATCGAGTCTGATGTCGCCAAAGCCTCAGCCCTAGCTCGCAGTTGCAATCTATCAGCAGCCACTATTCGAGATGCCAAGCCCACTCAGTATGGCTTCTTCGCCTCACTGCCCTCATTGTTCGATACAGAGGCCGTTTTGGAGGAGATAGACTACGCCTACAACACCCTTCAAGCTGATGGGGTCACTTTATTTACTCGTTACGGATCGGGTCCTCATTACCTGGGCCATGAAGCGTTCCGGCCCATCTGGGCTGATCTCAGTCGTCGTGGCGCCGTGGTCTTCATCCATCCAACCCATCCAGTTGATACGCAGCTCATCAATCCCTGGCTTCCACAGCCCATGTTTGACTATCCACATGAAACTGGCCGAGCGGCCATGGATCTGTTGACAAGTGGCGTTCTGCGAGATTATCCCGGGTGTAAGGTCATTCTCTCGCACGCAGGCGGGACTTTGCCCTATCTCATCTATCGTGCGGCGACTATGTTGCCCTTGATGCCGCAGACGCTGGGTCTATCCACTGAAGAGTTGATAGAACTAGCCAGAGGATTCTATTTTGATACGGCTATCTCGTCCAATCCGGTCACCTTGAAGGCGCTGTTTGAATTTGCTGCACCTGGCCATATACTTTTTGGTAGCGACTACCCCAATGCTCCTGGTGATGCGATCCAACATTTCACACAATTTCTAGAGGAATTTGAGATGTCAGATGAAGCTAAGCTGCAGGTAAACAGTGGAGCAGCAATGGAGTTGTTCCCGAGACTTCAAGGGACCAATGATCAAGCGAGGCTTTGAATGGGCAGCAGATCGGAATTGAAAGAGCACTGGGGCAAATATGGATTACGCTGTATCTCCAGGACCGTAGTCTAAAGATTTACCAAGCTTTGTATTCAGTTTATCAATCTGCATAGTATCATTTTATCGAGAGACGAAACGTGGTCAATATTTCCATGAAGAACCCTTAGCATATGCATAGTCCTGACTTCCATCCATCGTCTCTGTTCTAATTAGAATATCTTGGATCGCTATTTCAAGCGATCGAATGGGCTTAACTGCAGATTACTGATGGCTCTTTTGGGCATAGCAAATCATTCCCTTTCATAGTAACTTGAGGAGGGGAAACACTCCTTTAGGCCAGATATCCCCTTTGGGTAGCAGTGCATCCTCATTATACATCAGTTATTGCCAGTCATCAGAGAGTCTATAAGTCGTGCCTCAGTTTTATCTGAAGGTATTCAAGAATCTGCTTCAATGGAGCCACTACTTCTGTTACTACTGGTATTGCTACCAGTCATTGTACTTGCACGATATGCGTTCACCTATGGTCACAGAATCAGCTCCATGCCCCACGGTGAGCTCATCATCCAATATTTAATCCAATAAATACTTATCTGGTCAGGTCCCTCTACTTTGCCCTTCATCGGAAATATCCATCAAATCCCAAAGAAGTATACCCACATCAAGTACGTCTGGTAAACACTTATCCCCTGCTGCGAATAGCAAGTCTAACCATCGATACCGTCAATGTAGATTTACCGAATGGGCAGCCAAATATGGAGGATTATACATGCTCAAGATTGGAAATGGCAACATGGCCGTGATAACAGATCGCCGTCTAGTCAAAGAAGTCATCGATCGCAAAAGTGGCATTTACAGCCATCGTCCGCATTCCTTTGTATCGCACGAACTCATCACCAAGGGCAATCACCTCCTAGTCATGCATTATGGAGACCAGTGGCGGACCTTCCGGCGATTAATTCATCAGCATTTGATGGAGTCTATGGTGGACAGTCAACACCTCGAAATTGTCAATGCTGAAGCCATCCAACTGGTGCATGATTATATGGTTGACCCCGAGCATCATATGTCTCACCCCAAGCGTTTCAGTAATAGCATTACCAACTCGATCGGTAAGTCTCACATCGACCCAGGACCAGAATAAATCTAACCGAATCTCTTAGTTTTTGGTATACGGACAGCCAGTAAAGACGGATCTAACATGCGACGTCTTTACAAACTCATGGAAGAATGGTCGGAGGTAATGGAAACCGGAGCAACGCCACCAGTAGACTTGTTTCCCTGGATGAAACTACTTCCGCAGGCGTTGTTCAGGAATTACATCACACGGGCCAAGGCCATTGGCGTACAGATGGAGACTCTCTACGAGGATATTCTGAGCAAAGTTGTCAAGCGGCGAGAGGGTGGTATCAACCAGGGCACCTTTATGGATCGCGTTCTGGACGGTCAAGAGAAACACAACCTTCCTCCACACCAGCTCGCCTTTATTGGCGGTGTTCTGATGGAAGGTGGCTCCGATACCAGCTCCAGTCTTACACTGGCTATTGTGCAAGCGTTGATTCAAAACCCAGAGGTGCAGCAAAAGGCACATGCCGAGATTGATGCTGTCATTGGACATGAGCGGTCGCCTGTCTGGGCGGATCTTGAACGATTGCCTTATATCAACATGATTGTTAAGGAAGGACACCGATGGAGACCAATTCTTCCACTTTGTTTCCCGCATGCACTTGGAGAAGGTGAGTCTATTCTTTCCTTTCTGATTCTATATATCACGCACTTGCTAACCAGCAATAACCGACAGACGACTGGATCGACGGCAAATTCCTCCCCAAAGGCACAACCGTCGTAATTAATACCTGGGGAGTTCATATGGATCCATCTCAACCATATGACCCAGCCGCATTCATCCCCGAACGCTTCGCCAATCACCCCCAACTAGCGCCGGAGTATGCCGCAGGGTCGTGGGAACGTCGCGATCACTATGGATATGGAGTTGGACGCCGGATTTGCCCTGGAATTCATCTCGCAGAGCGCAACATGTTCCTGGCAATTGCCAAACTGGTGTGGGCGTTTGACTTCCAGCCAGGTGAGGGCCATATGGACAGTGATCCTGTCACTGGGTACCATAATGGTTTCCTTTACTGTGCTAAGGATTATCCTTGTCGGCCTGTTGTGCGCAATGAGATCATTCGGGATACTATTCAGAGGGAGTATGCTACTGCTACGGAGAATGTGTTTTCTCGGTTTACCGAGGGGTGAATGCCTACATTCAACTATTGGGGCTACGGGATTGAGATCAGCTGGTTTAGTCTTTTTATTCTCTCGTTCTCTCTATTTGGTGAAAGTTCTATTGCGTCGAAAGGTAAATTGGTTAATAAACTTCAGTTAGAGATTGCTGAGGATAATGCCTTCATGTCAGAAATTGGCCCTTTTCAATAGTATTTTTTATTCTGAAAATCACCAGGTGTCCTAACTATTTTCCATTGAAATTGTCCTTTGACACCACTGCCGAAATCCATGCTCTCATAGTCTCACATGTAATCTCTATTACACATCCTCGCGGGATAATTCTCCTCACAGCGGCTCTGCAAAGAGCGGTGGAAGAATCTCAAGATAGTAAGCATGTATACTCTGCACGCGGTCGACATCTAGATCATTTCTTTTTCTCTCACATTGCTATAACACTTCAAGTATATCGATATCAGAGTTGTTGTAATAGCTCTCATCGCCATCAATCAATCCATCCAATGAACCATCCTCGGAATACGACAGCTTATCTGACATGCGAGTGGCGTGTCGATCCCAGTAATATAGGATCTGAGCTGCCCAAGCAATTTGAGCAACTTTGTCGATCGTTTCAGGCCATGGCCCTGTAATTGTAAATGCGAGAATATTTAATATAAGCAAAGCCAAGAGAAGGCGAAGGGAGCAACGAGGCAAAGTCTGCGGTCATGGATATGTAGACATCTCACTTGGTTACGGAGTATGTAGCGTATGTGCTGGCAAGACATTCTAGATGCGGCGCTAAAACATAAGCCAACAAAAAACCCCTGTGAACCGTTATTTATCCCGGCTAACACGATAACTCCAATCACGTATGTTTGCGTAATCACCACGATATTCAACAGATGTAATGGCGGGAAGTAAATTAATCCTTCAATCTGCATCTCGACGAAGGAATTGGTTCCATTGTGTAGCTCTACATAATTTACCGGAGCTAACAGCGACATCCTTCCAGTGGATCCAGATACAGCATGAAAGGGGTATCATTAGCAGTCATAACTATTGAGGTGACTTCCTGTCAGCGCAATCATTCCCTCTGACTCGTGATCATCGTTATCATCAATAAGAAAACAAAACGCAAAAAAAGCCATGTTCTTCATCCTCTGTCCCCCCAACAGAAGCCTTCTATGAAACCCATAAATTCCGTAAGCTCTAGGTGTATCTCAGGAAGCGAACATTAATCAGCAGATCAAGGATTGGTAGTCCACGAGTCTAGAATCATTGCACTGGCATGCATCCACTGGGCTTCAGTGCCGGCCACCAGATCAGCGGATGTGACCGACGGCATGACGCCCGACAGAGACTCGGTCGTACCCATTGTAGGCGACAGTTCGGGCAACGAGCCAATAGGCATCATATCCAACAGCTGCACGCGGGCTTCGAAGCTTGTCATTGACTGATGGGGCGATACTTCCATCGTTGTGGGTGGCAGGGCCCACTTGACAGCGGAAGACTGACCTTGTTGCCCCGGTGTTGAGAAGGATGCTTGGTTGGACGATGCCTTGCCATTCTGGCCCAAAGTAATCAATGATTGGCTGCCACGTGGGCCTTGTCGTCGCGATAAGCCTTGCTGGACATGGTCAATGAGGCGATCGGCCTGACAGCTGACTTCGCGGACAACTTGGGCCGCGTTCTTCGCTGCTAGGAAATGATCGCTGACTAGTTCCAGTGTGCTGATGGCGGTCTGCAGGGACTTGCGGGCGGAAGGAGTTGGAGGGCAGAGAGCGTTTGCGAGTACAAAACCAAGGGTGCACAGAATGGCATCCCATTGGTATTGGAAAATGAGCGACCAGCCGCGCAGGAGGTCTGTCTCGGACAGAACTTGGTTTAGGATACTGGTGATTGCCATGGCGTGGTTCAGACACGAAATATTAAACCCATCGGTCTGTGGGGTGATAGAAGAGCTGACAGGAGGAAATCTCATGAAAGAACGCAATGTCGAGATCAAAAGATGATGATAGTGAAGCTCGAGCAAGATGCGTTGGCGCTGAAGCCAGAGAGGACTATACAGGGATAGATTGAGTGCAGCGCGGTTGGTGGAGAAGGGCTCTCCTGTGCCCTTGCGAGCATTGCAAAGAGCCTGTGGCACATTTTGAACCCAATTGTGAATGGCCGTCATCTCTCTTCCAAGGAACTCAGCTAAGCTTTCCAGGAGGCGCGGGTCGTCATAAATGTCCTTGGATTTATCTCCATTCAACAGCTGAGAACACTTCCGCTGGAATGCCGCCTGCACGCCCTGGACAAGAAAAGTCAGTTTCGTACATTGGACATGGAAGCTAAGCCAGCTGATGTCCTCGTCATTTGAGAGGAGGACTGTGCCAGATAGACGTGCGTGCTCGCGAGAATCTCCAGGTAGCCCGCAGCTGACATGGGACAGCTGAATAAGTGGAGGACGGCCCAAGGTCATCGAAAGTTGGCTATCAATCCGATATAGGGTCCACCAAATTCGGCGATGTAGCTCCTGCTCTGCGGGAGAGATGCCATCCAGGGGACGGATGTGCAGACGCACCGCATGGGCAATACGCAGCGTAGCACCCAAGTTGATATGTGCCGTATTCAGGAGGGAGGTGTTGTACAGATACACAATCGAGTATATGTGGCTCTGCACCACTACCATGCCTGGATTCTCGAGTTCACTTTGCAAAAGCCTTTGAGCCCTCTGATAGAAAGCTCGACTGACGCGATTGGCATTCTTGGCCTGCCAGCCAGCATGTGAATCTCCCTCTTGATCGTCTCCGCCAACGAAAAAGGTGCTGCTGTATTGCATACAGACTGCCAAGAGTACGTCGACCAACGCGGATGGCTTCCGGGTAGAATTTCCATCCGAGGTTGGACTGGACCATAACGAGTCATAGTATTGCTGGAATTCTGATTCGGAGAGAACGGGATAGACACAGTGAAAAGACTGCCAGAGCAGATTAAGGAAGTGCTCCTCTTGCGACCGGGTCAAATCCTCGGCCTCCTCACTTCCGTCTGGGCTCTGATCCGCCTGACTGGCAGAGCTTGAATCCCATCGCGAGGGTTGATGGGTTGGGGGATTATAATGAAAGCGTGCCATGCACGCTTCTAATTTCGCATTGTCAATTGGCTGATTGAGCGCCTGGGAGAGATAACGAGTGATTCGAGTCACAAAATATGAGGACGACAAGGGACCGTAATAAATCTGACCGGTCTCTTGGAGGCCTTGCCAACCTTCTGTAGTATTGGCGAGTTCCCCAAAGTCGAACGAACTATGGTTGGCATCCGACGACGGCGGCGTCAAGGAACCTGCCTGAGCTTGAATTTCCGCATCATCTTTGAGTTTCGAAATCTGCTCTTGCAGGTCCTTGACTTTATTTCGCAGGCGTTGCATCTCCCTGCATTTCAAAACAAGCCAATCAGGTCATTGTGCGCCAACATCGGAGAGAGGTTGATTCCTACCGGTTTGCCGCCGGGAGCGAGGTAGCCTCCTGTGGCTTTGTGTTACTGCAATGGCCTCCTCGACTCAGGCAGTTTTGACATGGCTGCTTGTCGTCGCATCTCACCCGATTGAGCCGACACCAGTCACACGCGCGAGCCACCTGATTCCGCTTGGGGCGTGGAGCTGTCACCGGCGTGGCTGACGCTGACCTCTCGCGGGCGTCAGTGTCGAAGTTGGCAGAGAAAGTGGAGTACATGACGGAAACGCAGAGATCTGAATTCAGACCAGTCGACTCCAAACGGAAGTCAGATTCTTTAAGGGAAAACTGGTGGGTGAGGGGTAGGACAGGGATTCTGGAAGTCGACAAAGAGCAGAGAATTCCAGCGTTTCGAACCTGACAAAGGTCCCGGTAAAGGGGCAAATGGCTTCTGCATAGCATCAGACCTGCATGACCACAGGATACTACACGCCTCTCGAGAGTCTCTCGTGGAGAATCCTTCTAGACTCGGACTGGTTGGTTATTTTTTTCTTGGTAATTTCTAGGGGGAACTTGGTAAACTCGAGACTATCCATTCCTTGGAGCCGTAGATGTGTGAAACTATCCCTCGCGATATAGGGAAGTTAGGGTTATTCATACACAGTAGATTTTACGATTACGGGGACTCCGGTCAATTCAGAATGAAAGGGGTTATTTGTGTCAATGTGGAATACATCATGACTCCTATTCGTGGTAACTTATGTTATACAGTGTGTTTCAATGGCCATTATCTCCACCTCGAACGGATCCTGACTGGTACTGGATCCTGGCAAGGATTTGCTATGCAGACTGAAGAATCCTATCTCGGCGGACCACAAGATCCCGACCCCGAAATTCACCATTGGGAGTGACTCCTGGCTGTCTACACGACTGCGGGCCGATGACTGACCGAGGTTCAACTAGGATCGCAAGGAATTTCCGAGAAAATACGTGATGATATACAATTATAGCACCAGCGAGCATAAAATAGCGTCCAGAATAGACATGATCGACATGGTTAGTGTGAAGAATGCAGACGATGTGGATCGCGGGCGGTCGTTTAATGGCCCCAAAGCAGATAAGAAGAACCATATGCTGCACTCAGCCAGCCACTAACAGTAAGTGCAGATATTAGACTCCAACCGTCGGCGGTTAAATGAACCCCGATATTAGCCAAGATATTGATAAGAAATGGATTCCGCAATGAAATTGAGTTGAAGCTTATGTCTAATGCTACCGTGACGCCAGATTCGTCATGGCGGTCCTATCCAGTAAGCCTGACAGCGCCACAGAGCTTACAGGTTGAGAACGACCAGGTCAACGGCGTTCTTGGCAGTCCGTTGGATCCGCCGAACAAGGGATCGGAGTCAAGTCCGCTGCTCCTCTGGGAAACTCGCATCGGCTGCAGAAACGGAGTTCCCCGATCCATGCGTGCAACAAGGGGTAACAAATGAGACGGGGGAAAAGTATCTGATACACAGAGATGCTTCTAATCTAGATTAATCAAACCGAGCAAAGACCTCTTGGACCTCAGCAAACTCCCGCAGGATCGTCTGCCGCTTCTCGGGGGAGCGGAGGCGAATCGCACACCCATAGTCCTTCGGGCAATGAAGGAATCCTTTACTCGCTCCAGAGTGAGCGGAAATATCACTGTCGCTGCCGGGCGGTTCGACAAATTCGAAGGCCCAAAGCAGCTTGGACACGCCAATGATGAGATTTCGTTCCGCCAAGTGGATGCCCGGGCAGATGCGACGGCCCGCTCCGTAGCCAAGATGATCGCGTCGGTCAGACGCTGCATAGCTGGAGGCCAATGCTGGGAAATCGGCGAACCGCTCCGGTTGGAAATGCTCTGGTTCATGCCATCGGTCACTGTCGTGATGCATACCCCAAACATTGAGGACAACGCTCGACCCCCGAGGGATGAACTTGCCGTCGACGTGGTCATCTACGAAGGATTAGCAAATTATTTGTGCGGTGCATAATTCGGGATTCGTCTCGTCCTGGATTGGCGGAGGGAATTAATCGACCAACCTTCAGCGACAGCATGGGTCACGCCCAGCGGGCTAACGGGACGCCACCGGTGGGACTCCTTGATGATCATATTGATATAGGGTAATTGGGGCCAATCGGACCATGCAGGAGATCGGTTATTTCCGATAACAGAGTCAATTTGAGCATGGGCCCTGCGAAAACCCTTGCATTAGCTTCTCGCTTAGGCAGATGGCGACGAAAAAGGCCAACGGCTTACTTTGCCTGGACTTCGGGATACTTGGTCATCGCCTGGATGATGGTCAAAATCAGCGAAGACGACGTATCGGACCCTCCTTCCATCAGAACGCCTCCGAGGAACCGCAGCTCATTCCTGGTAAGCGGAGTCTTGTCCTGTGCGTCTAGAACTCGATCCATGAAGGAATCGCGTTGAATACCCCGTTGACGACGCTCCTGTACCTGGTCGAGCACGGTCTGATAGAGTGACTGCATGAGATCGCCGACTTCAACCGCACGATTCCGCCAATTTCCTAAAAGACTCTGCGGCACGAAGCGGAGCAGAGGAAAGGAGTCAACTGGCGGAGTGGCGCCCAGTTCCTGCACCAAGGACCATTTGTCCATTAGAGAGAAAAGTTTGTTCATGTATTCATCGCGAACGGTCTTGGTCCGAATGCCAAAGACTAACGAATTCGTGATACTGTTACTGTAACGCTTTGGATGCAGCATGTGATCTTCGGGCATGGTCAGGAAATCGTGCAGCATTTGTTTTGCCTCGGCTTCTTGGACTTTCCAGTGCTCGCGCTCGCATTGGGGTTCCATGAAGTACTGGTGAATAATTTTACGCAACATGCGCCACCGCTCCCCGTACTGCATGACCAAGAGGTGGTCGCTTTGCGTAATGAGGTGTGATACTAGCGACGCCGGCCGGTGTGAATATATGTTACTCTTTTTGTCCAGAAGTTTTTTGATCATCTTCCAGTCGCTGATCACGATTGTGGTGTTGTTATATCGCTTCAGTGTGAAGAATCCGCCATATTGCTTAGCCCACTTGGAGAACCTATGCAAATCACTTAGCATGCTTCTTGAGTACACCAGAGGACAACCATTGATATTTACTGGAAGTGTGCGTCTGACTTTGGCACCTGCAATTCGTTTCCAAACAGTGGAACAGTTGGAGGACCTATATGTCTGTTAGATATGCAATCCTCCCTCTTCGTTGAGCCTAATTACCATCTGGAAAGTCTGATGGCCGATGCCCTGAGCGGAATAGGTATGTCAAAACGAATATCGCGCTGGCACTACTCAGCAGTATTGCCAGAAGATGTGTCGGGGCGAGTGGTAAGAGGTCCATGGTGTTCACAAATGATGAGCAAATGTCTCTTCAGGGTAGGTCTTTGCCTATACTTATGAACAGCGCGGGGAAAGGAAAATTCATCCGTTTGTGGAGGTCGAGCAGGCCGTATCAAGGCCTAAAGCTTCTGTTTTTGGGTTCCTAAAGGAGAATCGGAGTCTCTCGAGCATACAAATCCGCAGTTTCATATGTTGGATGAGGCCGTAATATCACACAAATACAATCGGAATTATGTCTCAATGGGCCTTTTCAGTGTCAGGCATTTGCTACATGCGGCCTGAAAGGGCCCTGAGGGGAGAGCCTTTTGCTCTATTAGCCCCGCTGCATGAGAGCTAATCTCTCTGTTTGGCAGAATGATGAGAAAAGTGAATACCCAGTTGGAACATCACTTTTGCCTTTACATGGGATTTATTGGCCTTTTTCTCTGGACAGGTGAGACCCGTACCGCGTTTTGTCTTCCTTGATGAATCCTGCGATTTAGCGTACGTATTTTGAGTCTAACAAACATGCCAATGACGATTCAATCTACACAGAAAAAGGGAAACTCGAAATACCGTAAACAACGTTTATATTGAAATGCATGGTAAGCTCATGAAGTACATGTCTACTTATCCGCATGTTCGACTTCTGTCCGTCGCCGAGTCCATGAACCCAACTGCTCTAATTTCTCTTGTTTGCCCGTGGAATGACCATTGGAGCCATTTGTCAGCCCAGAGTTGATGCCGTTGAATTGACCCTGATCATATGCCACTGGGCCCAATTCCAAGCTAGTTGGGGACATATCCTCCGTCCATTGCTCAAACTCAGCATTATTCGGCTTAGCCTTGGGTTCCAGATCAGCCTGCTTAGCCCATGACTTTTCTTCCTCCCAAGCAGAGTGAACCAGATGGCGCTGGAAGAATGAGCCCTTCATCTTCGCCACAGCAAAGTCCCAATCAGTGGTATATTCCCGGAAGAAGGGCTTATACCCAAGGAGTCCCCCAATCCACCGACCAACAACTACGCAGGTCCAATATCCAACCTGTCGTCGAAATGGTACCCAAGCAGGAGCAGGTGTATAGGCATCCCCACCATCCTGGATCTACTAATTGTCAGCCCAGCTTCATAGAAGGACCGAGAAGGATATTAAAGAAATACTTACCGCGAGGAATTGAATCCAATCAAGTCCTCCATCGTGCAGAAGCGCGTCGTGCCAGTAACCATACCAGTTTTCGAAAAAGACCCGGTCAAGCTGATAGTCATTACCCGAGTCTGAGGCACTCAGGTACACCGTCATGCTCTCGGGAGAATCAGGATGAATAAAGAAGTTATGCACGCTGCCTGCCTTGACTGAGATCTCTCCATCTTCAGGAGTGATGCGGCGGGTGACTCCGTCTACCGTAATTCCGAGCACCCCATGTTCGACGCGGAAATACTCGGTTTGGAATTGGTGGAAATGAGGTGGTGGGCCCTTTGGTCGGTTTGGACTGTTGATCAGCTTGCGCAGGTTTTCTGGGATGGGACCCTCAATGGTGTGGCGATACGTCTGGCGGAAGAGAAAGCAACGGCTTGCTGGGGGCTCGAGGAATTCAGTCGTGAGAAGGCCACCAAACCTATTATTATGTCAACGGGGACTTGACAATTACTTGATCATTAGGCAGGGGAATGAAGCAATTGCGTACTTGACAGTAGTTGACTGGCCGGCCGAGGAGTGATAGGGTACAAATGGTGCCATTATGATAAGATCGGTGTCAAATGACTCGGGGAAGTTAGAATTTACGGTAAAAAGTCAAGTCGATGGAAAAACGGTCTTAAATTAGCTGATATTCGTTTTATATCTGCTAGAAGTTGTGTACATATCATTCTACCATACCGCCTTCGCAGTGGGCTGTTGGAATGGGCTGATCCAAACCGATGAAGTTCCTTAGATACTGACTCTGGAGCATCTACACGGAGTTTGCTTAAGGCAAATTGATAATTGCGTTCCTAAAAGGTGAGATAACTCACCTGAGCCATCGGCACGCTTTGGAGAATACGAGCCCGGCACTCCTTTGGGTGAATCAGCAGAGTCCCGTTTGGGCTTAGGGATTACGGTGGCTTGCACTCTTCATCTCGAAGCCTTGGCACTGGTTTCAAGATCAACACTGCCTACAGTCGATCTCCCAATACATTGGTCTCGTGTCATCTCCTATCAGCTGTCAGTGAGATTCATACTCCGAAAGCTTGGCAGACGGTGGCGGAAGCCCTAACAACAGCGCCGAACGGAGCAGTTCACCATCGACAAATCCATTTCCCAATCGGGAAACCGAAGAGACCATCTGGGCGACATGTCTTTGATGACTGATGCATTTCCTTGTGAAACATCAGTCAGCCTGTTGAGAATGATAAGGATAGCTTGTGGATCTCTATAAGTCCGAACTAGCCCCTAGTGCACACGATATATAAGATCAACTCAACGACCTTCAAAAAGCAAAAAGGCAAATGAGTATATGAAATGCAAATCACAAACATGCACTCGGAGCCTTCTACATCTCGCTCTCAGGGAGCATCTCCCCCACCAATTGAAACTCCTGTAACGGAATACAGTGAATATGCATGTGGCCACAACCTCCAAGTGTCTGTCCAACTTCAGAGCTGACAATATAACAGGAGTTTTCCAACGATGTAGCCGTGGTAGGCATGGCATGTCGGGTGGCAGGAGGAAACAACAACCCCGAGATGTTGTGGAAATCGCTCCTCAGTCAGAAAAGTGCAGTCGGTGAGATTCCAGAGATGCGCTGGGAGCCTTACGCCCGTCGGGATCCGCGAAATGCAAAAGCCCTCAAGAATACGACAACACGTGGGTACTTCCTAGATCGTTTGGAGGACTTCGATTGTCAGTTCTTTGGTATCTCTCCCAAGGAGGCTGAGCAGATGGATCCTCAACAACGCGTCTCGCTTGAGGTGGCCGTGGAAGCACTCGAAGATGCTGGCATTCCCACCAAGAGCCTGTCGGGAAGCAACACGGCTGTCTTCTGGGGAGTCAACTCGGACGACTATTCCAAACTAGTGCTAGAAGATCTACCAAATGTCGAGGCATGGATGGGTATCGGCACCGCATACTGTGGTGTGCCCAATCGGATTTCCTATCATCTCAACCTGATGGGACCTAGCACTGCAGTGGACGCGGCTTGTGCTTCATCACTCGTGGCTATTCATCATGGTGTTCAGGCTATCCGGCTTGGAGAGTCTCAGGTCGCTATTGCCGGAGGTGTGAATGCCCTCGTTGGACCGGGATTGACCCGGGTTCTCGACAAAGCCGGGGCAATTTCATCTGATGGATCTTGTCGATCTTTCGATGATAACGCCAATGGGTACGCCAGGGGTGAAGGTGCTGGCGCCGTCATCCTCAAGAGCCTACACCGTGCTCTCCTCGACCATGATCACATTTACAGCGTTATCAAAGGCAGTTCAGTAGCCCAAGACGGAAAGACAAACGGCATCATGGCTCCCAATGCTAAAGCACAACAATTGGCAGCGTGCAATGCTCTCGCAGCTGCAAATATTGATCCTCAAACCGTGCGCTACGTGGAAGCCCACGCCACATCTACACCCTTGGGTGACCCAACAGAAATATCCGCTATTGCAGCTGTCTACGGTACAGATAGACCCGCTAACGACCCGTGCTATATTGGGTCCATCAAGCCAAATATTGGTCATCTGGAAGCTGGTGCAGGCGTTATGGGTTTCATCAAGGCTACCATGGCCATCAAAAAGGGTGTTTTACCGCCACAGGCCAACCTGAAGAAGCTCAATAGTCGAATCGACTGGGACACAGCTGGTGTCAAGGTCGTCCAGGAAGCTACCCAGTGGCCATCATCAGACCCAATTCGTCGAGCAGGTGTCTGTTCGTACGGCTACGGAGGCACGGTTTCACACGCAGTCATTGAAGAGTTTGGTCCAATCTTGCAGCCCGAGCTCCTGGCCGATGTGACAGTTACCGGACCTGGAATCCTGTTGCTATCTGGCCCCCAGGAGAAGCGGTTAGCATTGCAAGCCCAAACCCTGCACGATTGGATGACTGCTCAGGGAAACGAGAGTGAGCTGATGGAAGTTCTCACCACCCTGGCGACACGACGGGATCATCATGACTACCGAGCGGCACTCGTGGTCGACGACCAGCTTGATGCTCTCCGAGTTCTAAAGACATTAGCTAATGGAGTCGACAATCAGTTCAAGACCCAGACTCGTGTCCTAGGTACAGATGTCAGCAAAGAGGTTGTCTGGGTATTCTCTGGGCATGGTGCGCAATGGCCGGACATGGGCAAGCAACTCATTCATAACCCTGTCTTCTACGGAGCAATTCAGCCACTCGATGAATTAATTCATAATGAAATCGGCCTGTCGCCCTTGGAGCTTCTCCGAACTGGCGATTTCGAGTCATCTGACCGAGTTCAGATATTGACCTATCTCATGCAAATTGGTCTCAGCGCCGTTCTTCAGAGCAAGGGCATTACCCCACAGGCTGTGATTGGCCATTCAGTCGGTGAAATCGCTGCCAGTGTTGTTTCCGGCGCTCTGTCCCCAGCAGAGGGAGCCCTGATTGTGACCCGCAGAGCGCGCTTGTACCGTCAAGTCATGGGTAAGGGTGGCATGATTCTTGTCAACCTTCCTGCCAAAGAAGTTGAAGACATCTTGGCCGATCGAAATGACCTTGTGGTGGCCATTGATTCGTCGCCGTCTTCCTGCGTGGTCGCTGGAGAAAAGGCAGCGGTGGTTCAAGCCGCAGAGGATTTCAAGACAAGAGGCGTCAAAACGTTTACCGTCAAGAGCGACATTGCGTTCCATAGCCCAGCCTTGGCAGGCCTCGTCAATCCACTACGAGAAGAACTTGTGGAGAGTCTGTCTCCCACTAGTCCTGCAATCAAGCTGTACTCTACCTCATTGGTCGACCCTCGTGGACAGGATCTTCGCGGCGCTGCGTACTGGACTGATAATATGGTGAACCAAGTGCGTCTCACCTCCGCTACGAAAGCGGCGGCTGAGGATGGTTATCGCCTCTTCCTCGAGGTCTCAAGCCATCCAGTTGTATCTCATTCTATCAATGAGTCCCTCATGGAGGCAGGACTGGAAGACTTCGCGGTCATTCCGACTCTTCTTCGCAACAAGCCCACTGAGAAACACGTTCTGCACAGTATTGCGCAACTTCATTGCCGCGGTGCAGAGGTCAATTGGATGGCGCAGATGCCTGGGCCCTGGGCTATCGGTTTACCGACCACGACCTGGATGCATAAGCCTATCTGGCGCAAGATAGAAACAGCGCCCCTTCATACTGGACTCACACATGATGTCGAGAAGCACACCCTTTTGGGACAGCGCATTGCAATTTCAGGCACCGATACCGTGGTCTACACTACTCGACTGGACAATGAAAACAAGCCCTTCCCCGGCAGCCATCCCCTGCATGGTACAGAGATTGTCCCAGCAGCGGGTTTGATCAACACTTTCTTGAAGGGTACAGGCGGCCGCATGCTCCGGAACGTGGTTCTGCGTGTGCCCGTCGCCATCAACGCCCCACGTTCAGTTCAAATTGTGGTGCAGCAGGATCAGATAAAGATCCTATCTCGACTAATTCCGAATGAGCCCTCACCCTTGGATGATGATGCATCCTGGGCTACTCATACGACAGCGTATTGGGATCGGGCAGTACTGGCTCCCGAAGATCGCATCGACCTCGCAGCTGTCAAAGCAAGACTGCCAACGAAACTGGCAGATAACTTCTCGATTGACTATCTGGACAAAGTGGGAGTCTCAGCAATGGGATTCCCTTGGGCAGTGACCGAGCACTACCGAAATAACAAAGAGATGTTAGCGCGCGTTGATGTAAACCCTGCTGTCCTGGGAAATGCAGCTTTACCCTGGGACTCTTCTTCTTGGGCCCCGATACTCGACGCTGCCACCTCCGTCGGTTCGACAGTTTTCCAAACAGCTGCACTGCGCATGCCGGCCCAGATTGAACGCGTTGAGATCTTCACCTCGCAAGATCCGCCCAAGATCGGCTGGCTCTATGTCCAGGAGGCCCCTGATGCGGTACCCACTTCTCATGTCAGTGTACTGAACGAGAATGGCGACGTGGTTGCTAAGTTTACTGCGATGCGGTTCTCCGAAATTGAAGGCACTGTTGGTGTCAGTGGTAGCATGGAGAGTCTCGTGCATCAGATTGCCTGGCCACCAGCGACCCCAGCTGAAGAACCCTTGTCCATTACGACGGTAATTCTGGTCTCACCAGATGATACTGCTCGGGCTCAGTATGCGTCAACATTGCCGTCCCAGATTGGGTCTTTCCAATTCTCTGCTGTACAGGACTTCATCAAAAATGCTGCATCTCTGCCTCTGGAGAAGGGTACCGTGTTAACCTATATTCCTGGTAATGTCGCATCACTTGAAGATGTTCCAACCGCGTCTGAGTCATTTACATGGAATCTGCTTGAGCTGATCAAGTTTATCGTCAATGGCTCCCTGCCCATCAAAGTCTTCACTCTCACAGATAACGTGAGCAATGCTCAGACAGCTACTGCACTTGCACAAGCGCCATTGTTCGGGCTTGCCCGCATCATCGCCTGCGAGCATCCCGACATGGGATCTCTCATCGATGTTGAAGAGCCCACCATGCCACTGGCGGCCATGCGGTATATCCAGGGAGCTGACATTGTCCGAATGAGCGACGGGATCGCCCGAACGGCCCGCTTCCGCAGTCTACCACGGACCAAGCTGCGCCCTGTGAGCCAAGGATCTCGCCTGCTCCCTCGCCCCGAGGGCACGTATCTGATTACCGGCGGACTAGGTGTGCTTGGACTTGAGGTCGCAGATTTCCTGGTTGAGAAGGGGGCCAGACGTCTGCTTCTGATTTCTCGGCGCGCTCTTCCCCCTCGCAAAACCTGGAACCAAATCAACCCGGATCTCCAGTCTACTATTGACAAGATCCGTCAACTGGAGAGTCAAGGCGCATCGGTTCATGTACTGCCACTTGACCTGACAAAACCAGATGCAGCCAAGCAGCTGTCTGAGGCCCTGGATCGCCTTGCCCTCCCCGCGGTTCAGGGTGTCGTTCATGCTGCCGGTGTCCTGGATAACCAACTGGTACTGCAGACTACACGCGACGCCTTCAACCGGGTTCTTGCGCCCAAGATCGCAGGTGCGCTAGCTCTCCATGATGTCTTCCCACCCAAGAGCGTGGACTTTTTTGTCATGTTTTCCTCATGCGGAAACCTCGTTGGATTCACCGGCCAAGCCTCCTATGGCAGCGGTAACGCGTTCTTGGACACTCTTGCCACGCACCGAGCCAGTCTAGGGGACACGGCAGTCTCATTCCAGTGGACCTCCTGGCGAGGCCTCGGAATGGGCGCCAGCACGGACTTCATCAACGCAGAACTTGAATCCAAGGGAATTACAGACGTGACACGTGATGAGGCCTTTGCTGCCTGGCAGCATCTCGCCAAGTACGACCTCGACCACGGTGTAGTCTTGCGAAGTCGGGCCTTTGAAGATGGGGAGCCGATCCCAGTGCCTATACTCAATGATATCGCCGTTCGACGCGTCAGCACTACGACTGGTACCGGACAGGCCACTGCAGGTTCCAATAGCAATGATGCGATGCCGAAATCCGGGCCGGCACTCAAGACGTATCTGGATGAGAAGATCAGGGAATGTGTGGCTAAGGTCTTGCAGATGGCGGCCAGTGACGTGGATTCGAAGGCTGCCCTGGCTGATCTGGGTGTCGACTCGGTCATGACTGTTACTCTGCGCCGCCAGTTGCAGTTGACATTGAAGACTGCCATACCCCCCACTCTAACTTGGAGTCATCCCACCGTCGGTCATTTGGTAACGTGGTTTATCGAGAAGATTGGTAATTGAGTGACTTCGGTTTGACGGAATTGCCGGTTGGTTGAGGCAAGCTATGATTTACGATCGATTTTTGTTTATGGTTTTCGCAATACAGATTGGCTTGCGTGATTTCGACTTCTTAGTATAGACTTTTGATTAAATTATGTATGAACTGATTATATTGAACATTCTTTTCTTCATACAACGTGAAATCAAAATTGAAGCACAAAGTCATATATATAAAGAAAGCGGTATCAATTATCAGCCTATTTCAAGATAATAACTTTGATATCTCGGGCCATCAATATCTGGAAAGGGATGGAAAATAAATCCCTCGATGTACTCTTAGATATATTTGGTACTCTCACAAATTGAGGTAAAGTTATAATCGACAGAACTGCTGCAATTCAACTTAACTATCCTCAGGACGCAAGAGCAGCTATAACATCCTGGTTCCCAATCAGCTTTGCAAAATCATAGACACTTCTGCCGTCACAATCCCGAATGGAAAGGTCCACCCTGTGGCTTCCCTTGAGCAATTGTACAAGATGCAAGTCTTCCACTTGTGCAGCATGAAATATAGCAGTTCTGCCTTTGTTGTCTCTCAAGTTAAGATCAGTACCTCCAATTTCCAATAGTCTCGACACAACTTGCGAATCTTTCAAGGTGATGGCGAGAATGAGAGGAGTCTGGTTATTGACGTCCTGTGAATTGACATTGACGCGTGAGATGCGCAGAAGAACCTCAACAAGTTGAATGTTACGACATGCTGCTGCGAAAGCCAGAGGGCTATTCCACATGGTCTCCTGCAGGGATCCTCCCGTCTTTATACGTTCTTGTTCTCCCCTGGCCATCATCAGTCGCCTTTTGTTCTGTTGCTCCAAGAGTATCAGCTGATTTTGATAGTCTTGCTGAACAGAGTTCATCATATTGGGATCACCAGGAAATCTCAAGGGATTTCCCGCAGGTGATCCGGTCGACAATTTGCGTTTTTCGCCAATTGAGTTCCAAGAGAAAGAGGGTGGGAGGTTATCTGCTTCTTTCTTCAAGCTGACTTTGCCCTGGAATGGTTCGTTTGGGTCAATATTGGCATGTGAAATGAGGAGTTCAAATGCTGGACTCTTCCACAATCCAGATACAATGGCGCTCCAAAGTGTTGTGCTAGCAAAGCCTCTGTCTACCCACTCCTGTAAAAGGGATTGATTGGTAGACGCCTGAGAAAGTCCCCGAGTTGTTTCCTCCGTCACCTCTCTCGGTTGAATCTCCCTAAGAGGGTAGAAAAATTGCTTGACAAAACGAAGGTTGCGTGAACTGAGACACACTAGTATCATCCGGTCCCAGATCGCGTTTTTAACAAAGAATTCTGCCACTTGAATGAAAAGTTTCCAAGCCTCTGTGTTTGCATTTTCCTCGAAAAAGTTGCAAAGCAATACCCAAAGGATTGGTGGAGGCTTCAACGTGCCCGCCGTGCGATCGTTTAAAACCCATCTCAACCCTTTGGCTTCATTCGCTCTGATCAATAGCGGCAGAATGGACATTCCTGCCGTGCCGTGAACAAGCTCGATCACTTGCATCACAAGAGCATCGTTCCCATGCCGAAGAACGTTTTCAAATATAGCTTCTAAGCGAGTTCCTTTATTATCAATGAGGAACGAATCGCAAATAGTGTCTGTGGAGAGCGTTTGTGCTATGGCTTGGCCTTTTTCAGAGGCGATTGACTGAGAGTTCGCCAGTAGATGAAGAAACGCAGGCCAGTTGTACTTGCCACAAATCGCCAGCATTATATCCTGGCGTCCAATCAAATTTTCGAGTATTTTCAGATTGCCTTTCTCGGCCGCATTCGTCAAGGGTGTCTCGATTTCACCGGCGACATTGATCATGCAGTTCACGTCGGCTAAAGGGTTTTCTCCCTCGAGCAAGAAGTTCACTAGTCGCAGTCCCGCGTTCCGATCGGCCTTCGCTGCAAGAAGGAGAGCGTAGTCAAAGAAAACCCGGTGCAAATCGATCTTCTCCGAACCTCTAGCAAAGATATATCTCTCCCATTGCTGGAAGGCTGCCATCTCTTGTTGTTGAAATCCATTCTTCTTGATCATTTCAATTTCACTGGCATCGGAAAGCTGGTATTTGAATTGTCCAGTTCCAACCAAAAAATCCGCGATGTCATGAAAGCCTAGCGAGACAGCCCTCTCCAAACAGCGATATTCTGTTTCAACTTTGCAGTACGGCCAGAGCAGTTCGAGTATTTCGGCATGTCCTCCCCTAATCGCGAGATCGAGTATGATTTGTGAATCATCGTCCATGATAGCTCCTCTGGCGATCAGAGTTCTGCATGCATCGATATGACCGTTATGAACAGCGAAGAAAAGAGGCGTTCTGAAATTTTGGTCCGGTACATTGACCTCGCATCCTGTCTCGATCGCAAATTCTATGTCATCGACACTACCTTGTCTCGCGGCCTCGTAAATGTCCATTATTTGAGGGGTTATTGTCATTGAGTTCATCGTTTGACTGGAGGTTGAGTGGGAGCTTTGCATTCTTTTTTTCAGGAGAACGTGAACGAAGCAACGTGAAGAGCGCGACGTGACTTGTCAACTTATTTTGAACTAGGCTACAATTTGACCAGGGCGCATACAGAAAATATGTGATTGGACTAACAAACAGGGGTCCTAATCCAGCGGCTGGGCCATGGGGGCTGAAACTGGTAACCGAAATTTGAGTGCACTTACTTCGGATTTCTCAAAGCCCTCTTCGTATAATACAAGAAATGTTTTTCTTCGAAACGACCTGCAAAAATAGGAGATCTAGACAGGGAACTTTATCTTCAACGTAGATCTGGCGACTACAATATATTTTGGTTGTTCAATTTGTACATAGGAGAGGAGATAGATATATCAAGCACCAACCCTGGATATCTGGCACTTAACGATCTCATAAAAATGCAATGAGAGCGGCGATTTAGCTTCAAAAGCTGTTCATAGTATGATACAGCAAGCTTTCGAAGGATGTCATTGACTTAACTATACGTATATTCACTTGCTTAACTAAGAAAGTACATCAAAGCAAAGTAAACCTAATTCAGCGTTTTGATCAGGGAAATCAAAGTCAGCTTTTGCATAGAAACGCTCCTTTAGGGGATAATATTGCCGATGAAACCTTGTTTGGAATCTGTCAGGCAATGGTTTTGGACTCGGGCTAATTTTCAGAGCAACAGCAGGCGGCTATGGTGCGACACGTACAACATACTAAAATTCTGCAATAGAAACATAATTTGCTTTGAATTAAGAAATAGCTTCAGTAATGTCAACTAATTTCTTGCAGTAACCGTCGAGTGAGGTCAGTTTGGACCCATTGTTCTACCAAGGCCACTGTATCACCCACAAGATAATCATAACTTGCTCCTGGGATAAACATTGACGTGTGCGCTTCAGCTTCATCCATACCCTCCACAGTCACCGGTAGCCAATTAGAATTGCTGTCTTCTTTCCAATGGGCCGAGGGCAGAAGAACAAATTTGCGCATCTTAATGGCCTGAGACTCAGAGCTTTGACTCGAATCCAAGGATATCGCAGAATCGCTTGTTGGAAGAGCCCCTCGGCTGTTTGGAGTGCAAAACTTGTTTGCAGTACTATGTGACTCTAGGTTCTTTTTTGCGTTTTCTTCTATCCACATCTCGTTAGAAACAGGGAAAACGGTTTTGTTCGATATTAATTATACCTTTGAGTTTTGGACGGCCCGTGCTGTAGGTGTAGTAATTGACAAACCGGATTCTCTCGGGACTGTCTTCTGCATTTTCTAGCTCTTGCAGGCGTAGATATCGTCGACGTAGCATGGCGTAGTTGTTCACACTACTTGCAAACTTGAAGGGTCCCAGAAGACTTCCAAGCGCCGATTTTCCCTGACAAGCCTGTTCTTTTCTCTTTTCGTCGGCTCTTTCCTGCATGAACCGTCTCATACCTTTGACCAAGCCACTTTCGGACAAAGGCACGCTCTCAATTTGTCGAGGATTGAGTGTAGGCTCTGGAAAATCGGTGGGATTGAAGTTAGGATCATTGTAGACCGTTTCAAATCCAATGGCTTTTTCCTGATCTGCTAAGTTGATCTCCGACGTTCCACCCTTTTGGAATAAAGATCCAAATCCAGTAGAAATCGCATGGGGGTGTATCCCTAAGAACGGACTATCGAAGTTGACCAGACCTAAAATCCGATGTTTTGAATTGACGCCTTCCTGTAACAGGGCGACATCGGCAGCGATGATTCCACCCATACTATGCCCCAGCAGAATAATATCCTGCTCATCTGATTCATACGGTGAAAGCCTGAGATATACATTAGTTTGGTATGTTTGACCAAATAACCGTATCGCATCGCATACCACTTGCTGAATTGGGTCACTGCCACTTGGAACTCCCCATGGGACTTGTAACCAGGATAAATTCGAGTGTACACCACATGCGACTCACCTAGCAACCCTGCCAAAGCACCATGGACATGCACGGGAAGGTCTTGGAATGTTGTTTCCGTCCCATTGAAGCCATGGATGTAAATCAGCAACAGTCTTCGCTTTGGCTCTTGAGATCCCCTCATCTCATTTATAGGGTACGGGGTAATCGGAAGCATTTTAAATGTTGGAATCTATCGCCAAGCAAGTGATACCAAGAGCCAAGAGTGCGATGCAAAGTCTGGGATCGAAAAGGAGACAAGTGAGACCCCGCGTCGGCCCCCACTCAGCCCCGAACACAAATCAGAGGCGCCTCGTTCGGCCGAGCGCAGTCAAAATACCATGGGAAATTCGAGTAAGGAGAAACTTGTGTGTCAAAAATGACTGTATAGCATCCCGTAAATTCGCCTGGGTTGAAAGGAAGTAGTGATGAAAAAGGTCAAATTATTTAAAGATTGGGAAATAGGAGCGACACGGAGCACACTAGCGCGGCTCTTGGAAGTGTTAATCCAATAATTCTCTGGTTTGTACTTGACAAGGGCAGCAAAGAATTCCTGCAGCAAGGCGAACCCAGCCTCCGGAAAGGCCCTTTCTAGCTCTCGGACAGCTCCCGCACTCCGGGCATCATCTGATAATCCAATGCCTGACGCCGCTCTCCCGTCTCATCATCTATGTCTTCACTTTTATCTGAATTATTTTCGTCATTCAGCAAGCCGAAACCATGTCCAATCATGGTAGGCCTCGTGGGATAAGGCTTAATATGCAGGTCGAGGGCCGCAGCGGATCTTCGGGCGGCACTGGCATAGATGCTCTGCACCATACCCATGCCACCAATGAGCACAAGGAAGGAACCTGGACTTTTGAATTTTAGCAGTGGAAGCTCTCACATCGAGGAACTAGGGGGACTCAAGGATGATCATATGGGTCAGTTTGAGAATGCAGTCCAAGAGGCATAGAAACACTGCAAGATGCCTACCGGAGATAATAGAAGATCCGCAACGGTTGAAGAGAGAGAGATGAATCTATTTATCTAGGGGGAAAGAGGACTGGTCTGGTCCGAGATTAAACTTTGTTTCATTGTTTATATTCTTATTTTCTTTATTTAAGTGAAGTGCTAAAAAGCCACCCCCCCCCCCCCCCACCCAATAATTAAATCTGACTAATACACTAGCGACATTTTAACTTAGCGCTTTTTGGGTATTGAAATTTACATCAAACTTTACCTCTAATGTGGCATCAAAGTCTTGGTACTTTAATGAATCAGATGAATCATTAGTTCTCGCTTAGTAACCCACCAAAAACCCAGTTTTTGCTAAGGGTGTAGGCTTTATGCTCTCAGAGTACCTGAGTCTGCTAGCAATCTGCTACGTAAATCATGTTACTTAAGTGTTTGAGTCCCCTAACTCCCTTGCTCCATCAGATGAAAGTGATAAAACTACGAAAAAATGGAATGATTTGATTGACTCTAACTATCAGAGCCTAGGGCCTGAAATACCATGATTTACTATGCTGCCACATAGTAAAATTACGTCCTGCTTACCCACCAAGCCCAAAAATTGTAAATTGACAAGTTCATTAAAATGCGCTACAAATCGACTAACTTAGTAGCGCTGATAACATGTTTGGGGGGGGGGGGGGGGGTGGCTTTTTAGCACTTCACTTTAATTATGGGGTTTAGAATATCAACACGTTGCTTTACACCCTTCTTCAACGGAAAGGAAATCTAGAAACGGAGGGTTTGACTCGACAATATGCTACTGTAAAGAAACGTGTATCCTGAATTTAGCGCCTTTCGCGATAGGTGGCTGGCTGACTGACTGACGTGGCTGGATTTCAGCTTACTGAGTGCGTTAGTACTCTCTATAATAGAATGTATTGATGCCCAGCCAGTCACTACGGAGCATATCTCGTTTCTTCTTTCACTTCTGTTAAAGCATCTGTCCAACGAAAATTGATCTGCTACGCTGATTTGTTCTGAAAGCAACATGAGCTGCGATGCATGCAACACTTGCAGGAGGGTCTTTCAAGCCGCTCTACAGGTAGACTCAATGACTCAATTACATCACGAGCGGTTCGATGACTTGGTAGCAAGTAAAGAAAAAGGTTGTATTTCGTGCAACTGGTTGTTTGACGAATATACTCTGCGGAACGAAGGTATCCAGCAAAAAGATATGGAGGGTTTCCACACCACAGCTACAAAGAATACGCACTCAGATTCTATCTCGTTTCATACAGTCGTCTCGTGGGCTGTTAACTTTACAGTGGAGGGTTAGTGGGTCAAATTAGAGTTTGCTGAATCGATTACATTAACATGGGAGCTAGTATCGGTGAAATCTAAGCCTGAGGTCTCACGAGCCTTAGACTCCCGGCCCTGGGAGAAGTTAGAAATATCTACGGACTCCTCGGTTTCTATAGGTCAGATAGAATCTTGGCTATCTCTTTGCGATGGGACTCATAAATTTTGTCGCAATGATGACTCAACATCGTTTTTTCCAACCCGCCTGATCGACGTCAACGAAATCGAACAAGGTAAGGTGCATCTCAGAAACCATGCGGAAATTATAACACAAGAAGGTCTCCAAAACTTTGCTGGAACAGAGACCTCAAAGAAGCTGAAAGATCAGTGTTACGCTTACTGGACTCTATCTCATCGATGGGGTGACCCGAAGAAGATTCTGAAACTCATGCATGAAAACGAATATCAATTCAAAAATGGGCTGTCTTTGACTGCTATATCGAAGACTTTTCAAGATGCAATGTGGATAGTCCACCGTCTGAATTACAGATATATCTGGATTGATTGTTTTTGCATTTTTCAAGACTCGATTGAAGACTGGCAAAAAGAAGCAGCAGAAGTACCTCGCATTTACAGAAACTCGTTCTGTAACATCTCAGCAATTTCATCGTCATACGAGCCAATAAGTACGCTTTTCAACGACGGACGAAACCCTAGACTCTTGTTTCCTTTCTCATTGGAACTTGTCGCCGAAAATGGCCAAGCAACATACATTATCAACAGAAAGAGTCTGTGGAAGGATGAAATCGAGAATTCACCTCTCAGTACTCGTGGATGGGTTGTACAGGAGAGGTTTCTAGCTCCCAGAATAATCCACTTCGGCACAAGCCAAATTTTCTGGGAATGCCTGGAGAATACAAATTGCGAGGCCGACCCGGATGGTCGAATTGGGACCATTGATGATATGGGCACCAACCGTCTAAGATCCGGAATGACTGCATACAAAGAGTCCCTTAAAGAGCTCACATTATTATCTTCAACATTTCGTGCCTCGAAATTGGATCGTAACAACATCAACTGGGAACGCGGCTACGTCGGCCAACTTGCGCTTTACACAGAGCGACTTCTCTGGAGAAAGATGATCAATATCTACACCGACTGCAACCTCACCGAGCAGTCCGACCGACTCATCGCTATGGCTGGCATTGCAAAAGCCTTTCATAATGTTACCCTTTCGACATACCTGGCTGGACTGTGGCAGCATACTCTACCAGCAGACCTTCTCTGGCAATCCAATGCCTCCGATGGCAGCATGGTGCAACGTCAAAACCTCTATGTTCCCTCCTGGAGTTGGGCATCGGTGTTTGGAGGGAGTGTCTCTATATATGCGTACACCCGCTTTGGCGGCGATGCCGAGCCTAAGATTGAATTGATCGCCTCGAGATTGGAGTCGCTGAGACCCGGCGGTGACCTTATGGGTTTACTCAGACGGGCAGAGCTCGAGATCAAATGTGTTCTTCTCTATTACCGGTGGAATGGGAATTCGCAAAGCTTGGATCTCTTCGCTAATGAATCAAGAACCCAACCCGCATTTCATGGGGGTCGCATATGGGGCAGGCATTTGAGATTGGACACATATGAGTTGGTTCAAAAGTTCAAACATCAACTTTTTATTGAGGGAGAATGTATTCCGATCACTGTTGGAAGGGAGGCCTATGGTTCTTCAACGTGTAAATTTCTGGTTGTTGAGAACGCGTCGGGAAGGAATTATCGAAGGGTAGGAGTATATGAAGTAGGGGAACAAGGAGCACACTCTGTGATTGACGGAAAGGAGCGCACAGTTGTCACTCTTGTTTAAGGCTGTAATATGTCGCAATAAATTCACGTCACGCCACTCAATGCCCCCCTATGGCGGAAACAAAGTTATAGGACAAGTTACGGAAATCGGGGAACAATATACTGAATAGGTATAGTCTTTCGAAACGAGGGTAAATGGCTAGGCAAGAACGAAGAAATCTCGTCATATGGGCTTGTGTCTTCAGAAATTTCGTAAAGAGTTGAACTTAATGCGAAACGATCTGTGATAACTTTCAGTTTCTCTCTCCAATGCCGTGGAAGGTAAATCGGGTTCCTTCATCAGAGGCTGGCATTCAACCATATACCAAATAGCTAGAAAAGTCACTAATATTGATGTCGAAAGATGTATCCAGCAGGATATTCCGTGGTTTGATATCGCAATGGATGACCCCGTTCCTAGGGACGCGAGGTAAATACTCTAATTCAGCGAACCTTCACAGTCTTGTCTGATGCCCATACTACCGGGATTATATTGTATCTCATATTAAATCTGCATGATTGTTACCTTCACTCCACCAGAAACAGTAGCATTTCCAATAAGGCCAGTCCTGTCGGCGATCGAATAACTTCCATCGAACGGAGGAACCAACTTCCCTTTCACGCCTTTGGGAGCTTCAATTTCCATTATAATTTTTCCATTGGAACCATAGCCCCATGCAGCATAGATGATACCATGAGGAGTTGGTACTCGCCCTTGAACCCAGTTTGTCTTGAATCCAGTCAGGGGAGCAAACACGAACTCTTTATACCCAACGGATGCGGCACGAATTCCAAGTACATGCTCAGTAAGAAAGACAGTTGGATAGCTACCCCAGAAATGGCTCAGTCCTGTAAATAGATCAATGCCTGGGTATGCCCCATCAGGACTCTGTTTGGATGAAGTTAGTGAGGATTGTAACGGGTGAACGGAATTAATTCCATGACTGATTGAACTCACAACGTATTCCCAATATCCGCCCGTATAATTGCTATCCCTGCGTACCATTGGACCCCATGTCGCGTCGAGCAGGTTTTGCGCCATTTCGGTCTCATTGGACATTGCAAGACCCTCTAGTAGGAAACTCATGGAATAAGGGTTCACAATGCCTGGAGTGTTGACATAACGAGTCCCATTCGAATATCCAGCAGGAAATTGAAGGTCTACAAGCCTCTCGATGGTTCTTGTCCGCTGCTCGGTCGTTCCAATCTTTGCCAGAAGAACCTGCGCAATATCTAAGACATCAAAGTCAGTTCCACCGAGTGTGGATGTGAAATATCCTCCTGTCTCATTCCAGAGAAGAGTTTCTATCGCATTCCTAGACAGACGAGCTTGTTCTTTGTATCTGTTAGCGGAATCATAATAACCAAGGTAGTCGGCCATATCAGCTAATCTCTCTAACCCCAGTATCATGGAGACTGTAACAGCGGGTCCGAGAGCTTGCCCTTTTTGCCCAGAGAGAGGCAATCCCAGGGCTCCACTTGGAGCCCCGAACAGCTTTGTCGCGGGATCAAGAGAACGTGACATAGCGTAACTTGTACTTGCTACCATCTGAGGCCAGTGAGCTTTGATAAATGTATCATTGCCAGAGCTGTACCAGTAGTTATATATCGTTTGCATGAAATCGAAGTTATAGTCCACAAGCAAAGGATCAACATTGGCTGCGCGGATCAATGCGCTTTCCATGTTCAGGGGGCTGAACAGTGTGTTGATGGGAATCTGACCAGAAGAGGTCTGTCTTGAGAACATTTGCTCTGCTGGACCCCAGACATACTCGCTCTGATGAGTGCTAGCCATTATGACACGCGAAGAAACGAATCGATCGCCTAGCCAGTCGTACCGATCTCGCTTGCCAGAATCGGAGCAGGCATATTTGTCATTTGAGTGAACGCCATATTCGATGAGCACATCCGAGTCTGTCATTGGGTTACTGTAGACGTTCTCTCCTGTGCTGAGAGTCACATTCACGTTTCTTACGTAGGCAGCCTGATCTTGCCATGGCCCGAACGCGAAGCTCTTGGTCGCACCGCCCTGAATGTAAGGGTTGGGATCGCCTAGGCCGTAAGAGCTGATGTTGAAATGGGCGATTCTGTGGCTGTCCAAGTACACACTGTATGTATCGTCACCTGGCGATTCAGTCTTGATGGTGTGCCAGGTTTTCTCGGTGACATTCTTTCAAAGGGTCAGTCATTGCAATGACCCCGGCGAAACACGATCGTGAGTTTCTTTGGCTAACTTACAAATCCGATTGAAAACTTGTCAAGCACATATCCAGGTAGGCTTGTCTGATTTTGCAGCGACCAACCTCGACCAAGAACAAGCGTGTTTGGGGGCACTAAAGATCGATCGATGTTTGCAAACGATCCTTCCGGATAGTTGCTAGTCAGAATGACTAGACATCATGCACACTTTTAGCAAGACAAAAAGAACATGTGAGAGCAAAGAAACTAACAAATAGGACCGGTAGCCTGAATAGCATCTATCTCCGTGTCAACTCTCCATCCGGTACCACCGAAATCGATCATAGTCTCAAACGTCAGGGTATAGTTGGAAATATTAGGAACACGTGCAGTTGAGGCGGGCTTTTGTCCTCGAATGTAGGCACCATTTGGTGTTATTTCCCAACTCGATGTTTGAGAGCCCGGACCATAGCAAGCCAACTGTTGCGTTCGCGGCCCAAGAGCCCAAATATCGGTGTACGATGCATTGCTGGATGCAAAGTATCCTTTGATCGATGAAATCTGGTATGCGAATCAGTAAGATCGATACATCAGGCGAATATTTGTCGATGAGTGACGAACCGGAGTCTGATCTACGGTGGGGGTGATTCCGATTTTCTTTATCACCAATTTTTCACCTTTGACAAGTTTGATAGACTGCCATCTCTGTGATCCTTGGATGAAAAAGCCGTCTAAAGGCCCGATCTTCGTAATATTAAACGTCTCAATACGAAACGTACCAGCCAAAGCATTTGAAAATGCGAAGGGGCCATCACTTTGAGGAACCAACAGACCGCTGTGTTTTCGTCAGCTTTATCCAAATATCCAACCCAGTCTCAATTCATACTTGAAAGCTTCGCTGTATTTGACCTCAATTTGAGGGTTTCCCTTTATTTCTGATACCTCAAATGTAGCCTTTCCAGCCACGTCAACTCCATAATCCACTGCAAAATGATTAATATAATGTAGATATCCCCGAATCCTCTGTAGCCTTACAGGTGTAGATGTCTCCGGTTTTAGTGAAGTTTAATACTGATTCTCCGCTGCCATTGACACGGGTCTCTGTCAAGCCTTTAGAAATGAATTCTGGAGATACATGAACCGATTCTGGTAGGGCTTCTCTCAATGTTGAAGAAGTAACAGGGGGCCAGGGAAGGTCAATCGACTTCGAATTAGACGGAGACAACGGATTACCCCAAAGCAGAGCCGCGAGAGGGAGAGTCAGGACAATCGACCAAGAGCCCGACATAATTATGGTGAAATTACCAACAAACATAACAATATACGCAATATGTTTCAGCACTTTATAATCTTCTTCGGAGAGGTGGGCGCCCCCGGAAAATCGTCCACTTGCCGCGCCACAATTGCCGTGTGGGCAGCAATTGATATTGAATGACCTTTTTGTTATAATTCTGTGAGCTCTTCTCCTGGCTACATTCTATTTGAGCATATCGACAGTGTCTTATTATTACTTGACCCAATATGTATGATTTAATTGATTTAAGCTTAAAGAATGCTTATAGGTTCTTTTAAATAACTTTACCTTATTCTAGTTCCATCAAATAATAGTGCAAATACTGATCAACGGCCTTTGACGCCGTTTGACGCCCACCGTGGTTGGTCTTGGCGTCACGTGCGCCCAAGCCCTCTGCCTATTCGGAGGTTGCCTAAATATCGACTCTCCAGCAAATCCTCCGGCCCTGGGTCTGGCTTTCTAATGGGTGACTTATTCAACTTGAAGTAATATCAGTCTCAACCATCCCCTCGTGCTACTACTCGTCTTCCCTCCTCCTGTGCCCTCTTTAATTCAACATTGCGTTCCCCTACCATGCCTTCTTCACGTGTGCATGCATCACCCGCAGAACCCTGGTGGCTATATCCGTACTTTTATGTAATTAATTGGCCATGGAGCGCAATCAGTAAGATACACAACGGAGATAACCACATAAGTTGGCAATCACACTTGAACTTCAGAGAGGAAGGAGACGCGAACAACCAACTAAGCGTGTGGCGGTCAATAGCGTACAATATGACGACTGAATCAGAAAGTATGGCCTCATCTGACCCGGGCTGAAAGTCTGCAAACCCTGGTTTTTCTCTCCGAATTCAGGATGAATTAGCGTATCAAGAAGAGAGTAAGACCTGGTTATAAGTTACTAGCACGGTGACCAGGTTTGCTGACCATGCAGCAAAGCCCCGCCACGGTTTCTCGCAAGCGGGCTTCAAGTGAAGGCTTATCTCCAGGGGTCTTCTTTGTCGATAACAAGTCGAGAATACTATAGTGGATCGGAGTTCTATTGGCGTTACTAGTGTTTCTAAGAAATTTCATATATGTGTACATTTTCCCCCTGGAATCTAATTAGCGCAAAATACTCGTCGGCGCTTTTCAAAATTCCTGGAAGCTTACATTCGACAAGGCAAAAGAAAGAACTCCAAATCACATTGCTAAGCTTTAAATCTCCGAAGATGGCTTTCCCATGGCCGTTGAATAATTCGCCGGGGTCAATTATCCTGTCATTTTCCTTGCTCCTAATTTTACTGCGACGCGTTCGTTATCATTTGAAGTCAGCAAGAAAACTGGTCACCTCACAGCACAAGAAGCAATTGGTTGGTTGTTACTGAAGGAAATTCACATTTATTGCTCCTCGCTGACGCACAATGTTAATAGGCATTGCCGGTGGCTCTTTGTGCAACTCAGGTGACATTTAGTTGGTGCCTTATAGTGAATAGCCATTATGTTCCAACTGCTGCACTTCTGGTTGACTCTACTTTATTATTCATGACCTCAGCCGCAGTCCTCTCGCTCCGCATCCTCGAACAGAGACGGGGCATCAATTCATCAGGTGTTATTCTGGCGTATCTCACATGCTCATTGACAAGAGACATTTTAGAGTTCGGACTTGGAGGCTGCTCAAGTATTGGAATCTGCCATTTCCTCAGATTAAGGATTGTTCTACAGGGAATCTGGTTGACCTCGCACCTATGGGTCAAAGGTTTCCCCTCACATCATTCCCAACAATCCATCTCCTCAAAAGAAGCAGCGGGTATTCTCGGCCGAGTGTTTTTTCAGTGGATGAATCCAGTCCTAAGGGAAGGATATAGCTCTAGGTTGAATCTTGCGAGTTTGCCGGATATCGACCAACGGCTCTTATCAAAAGGGTTACGTAGGAAAATTGTGACTTACTGGGACAGAGAATGTGAGTTAAGTGCGATCACAACACACGCTGTGCGACGCTAATCAATCCATGTTTAGCCAATTATCAGACAAAATGGACGCTTCTATATTCATTAACGCGGTGCCTTAAGGGCCCATTTTTGTCACCATTGCCTCCCCGCGTGTTTCTCATCATATTCACATACCTGCAGCCTCTTTTCATCGGAACAGCGATAAGGTTTGTTAGTGGCGAAACTAAGTCCATTCTTGGCGGAGATAATGGCCTTGAATTGATGCTTTTTGCTATAACGGTGTATCTGGGACTAGCGGTACGACACTTAAGGGTCATGTCCTTTTTCTATCCATCTGACTATATAACATCTAGGTTTCAGCGGCAGTCTACCGACATCAAATCAATAGGCTGCGCGTTATGGTTCGGGGAGCATTGATTGGTCTCATCCACCACCAGTATCTTCATTTGCCCAATGAGAAATCTCGAGACTCACCCGCATTGGCACTGATTACCTCGGATATTGATAGCATCGAATCTGTGGGAGAGACTTTTCACGAGACTTGGGCCCGCCTCGTCGAGGTAGCTATAGGAACAGTGCTTCTAGCTGCTCAAATCCAATGGTTTGCATTTCTACCCTTCGTAATAATCTTCGGTAACTATATATCTTGGATCAATGCTTCCACTTCTGGAGAATATTGACTTTTGCTCCTTAGGTTGTTCGCGGATGAGTGCGTATGTGGCAAAGCACTTGGAGGATCGGCAAAAAGGCTGGAATGCGGCAACACAGAGCCGTCTTGCCGCGACAACAGCAGCTTTGAAAGGAATCAAGAGCTTGAAGATGATGGGGATGGAAGACGCCATTCAGTCTCAGGTTTTGCATCTGCGAAACAATGAGGTACAAATGTCAAAGCGCCTACGATGGATTCTGGTCGCCTATAACGCAAGTGGTATGTATCGGGTCAGATTGTCAACATTCCTCTCTTCGTTCTGATTTTGTATTCAAGCAAATGCACTTGGGATCCTCGCCCCAGTCTTGACTCTCATCCTTTTCCTCTTGTTCTCTCAAAGCAATAAAATGCATGCCGATCAAACATTTACGGCTCTAGCTCTGCTAGCCATGGTGACACACCCAGCCAATATGGTCATGACTCTGATTCCGCAGGCAATTTCTGTTATGGCGAACTTTGATCGTATCCAGGCTTTTATTAGCCAAGCTTCCATTCAGGACAAGCGAAATGTCTCCCAGGAAGCCAGTCATCAACAATTTGTTTCAATGCAAGCGCTAACGGTAGCACATCCTCCAATATACTATCCAATACTCCGTGAAGTTGATTTGGCAATCACTAGAGGGGAAATTGTCGCTTGCACTGGTGCCGTTGGAAGTGGTAAGACAACGTTGGCAATGGCTATTCTCGGAGAAGTTACCGCTACCACAGGCTCGATCTCGTTATACTCTAAGGAAATTGCATATTGCGCTCAAGAGCCGTGGCTGCCTAGCGTCACTATCCGGGAAGCTATATCAGAAAATATCATTGCCCTAGATATGGAGTGGTATGGCACTGTTATCGAAGCCTGCGGCTTGGTCCCAGACTTCGATTCTTTTGTCGCTGGTGACATGACACTGATAGAGAACAATGGAATCAATCTCTCTGGGGGACAAAAACATCGTATAGTAAGAAACTTGTTGAATTGCCTTTAATGTCTGCTTAGCACTGTTTTGTTGACAAACTCATCACATCAAAGGCTTTGGCACGAGCAGTGTACTCGAAGTTTAGAATGATTGTCCTAGATGATCCGTTTAGTGCTCTTGATGAAGCTGTCACAGGCCACATCGTGCAAAGACTATTAGGCCCACGAGGTCTGTTTCGGAAAATGGGGAGTACAGTGCTTTTGATCAGCAACTCTAGTGAGCTCACAACTCTAACTGAAAGGGTCAATTCTTTTTCTAACATTGAGGGTTGAGTAGGAGAAATATTTTCAATCTCAGATCGAGTGTTTCTCCTTCATGGGTCAAGGCTCGATCACAAAATGAACCTTGATGATCGGAACGCTGCTGTAGGAGTTCCTTCTTTGCCTTCAAACATTTCCCATGACCTCAATGCATCAAAGAAGTCTGGAAGTCTTGGAAAGAGTCGCAAACTGCATTTAAGCGATGCTGAAGAGGATACATCCCGGAGGACTGGCGATGTTGCAATATATGGTATGGAATATGTCCAAAGCTTTCCTGCCATAGCTTACTAACCTTGAAAAGGGTATTACATTAGAGCAGTCGGGTGGTCAAACACTCTTCTTTTGATTAGCTGTACAGCTGGTTTCTCATTTTGTTCCACATTTTCTCAGTATATTCTGAAATGGGCGATAGAATCACCCTCGGAAAGATTGAAATTTTATATGTCTCTCTATGCCGCAATATCGTTCATCGGATGGGCGGCAACTAGTGGGACTGTGTGGTACGACGAATTTCCCGTTATTGAACAAGATCAATATTGCTAATCATCTTCCAGGGCCACTCAGATGAAAGTTGCTGTCAGGTCAGGAACCTTTTTGCACGCACAACTGCTTGATCGAATGCTTAGGTTTGTTTCCCGCGGAGGTTCAATTATTTCAGAGTACTGATCGCGCTGAATCAGGGCGCCTCTGTCATACTTCAGTAAAACTGATATCGGTAGCATTGTAAACAGGTATGCAGGACCTTTCAAGGTCGAAAATATGCATCAATTATTATGCTAATGTTTGAAATTCAGGTTTGGGCAGGACATCAATCTCGTGGATAAGCAGCTTCCTCCAACGTTGGCAAATCTAAATACCCGTCTGCATTTCACAATTGCACCTTTTGATATTTCTACTGACAATTATTTCCAAAAATCTTCAAGCTTTCTATGCAGTTAGTGCTACTATTGAAGGTCCGACCAATGATGACCCTCACCGTGCCTGTCTGCGCCATATGCGTTTATTTCATCCAACGGATTTATCTTCGGACTTCTCGACAGCTACGCTTCCTTGAACTTGAGTCGAAATCATCATTATTCACAAACTTCCTGGACACGGTATATACTGCTATCACAATATCGGATACTTTACATTTCTGATCTTCAAATTAGGCAAATGGAATTGTTACAATTCGAGCGTTTGGATGGAAAGAGAAATATGAGAACCAGAATTCAATAGCCTTGGATCTGTCTCAAAAGCCTTTCTACCTGCTTCTTTGCCTACAGTGTTGGCTGAAGATGATTTTGGATTGTATTATCACGGGGTTTGCAGTTGTCCTAATTGCGTTCACCATATTTTATCGAAACAAGACAGCCGGTGCCGATATTGGTTTGGCTCTGAACTTGATAATTGTCGCAAACACCACGCTACTAAGGCTTGTACAGTCCTGGACGTCCCTTGAGACTTCTTTGGGGGCGATTGCTCGGTTGAAAAACATACAAGTCTGTCTGCCAACTGAAGCCAGCGCTGAGCATACACTGGATCCTGGCTTGCGATGGCCCTCTTTGGGAAATCTGCAGGTCAACAATATTGCGGTCGGTTATTCCAAGTCCTCGCCACTTGCCCTGCACAATGTGTCTCTCACAGTAAAGCCTGGACAAAAGATGGTTGTTGTGGGTCGAACAGGGAGGTATGCAGGTCTCCAGGCTGATGAATTTGATTGTGTGAAGCTTTGACTAATTTTATTCTATTGACAGTGGTAAGAGTACATTGATGCTTTCGTTGCTACAACTACTCAGGCCCAGTCAGGGTCTTGTATTAATTGACGGCATCGAAGTCACGCATGTATCCCCGAAAACGGTACGAAAACGCGCGTTTATTGCATTGCCACAAGATGGGTTGACAATTTCAACGGCCAGTCTACGCTTTAATTTAGATCCTTACCATACGAGCTCAGAACAAGAAATATCTCTGAGTCTCCAAAGAACAGGACTTTGGGATAAGATCCATTCAATAGCAGGTTCAACCGAGGAGACAGGCAGGAGTCTCCAAATCCGAAGCCTGCTTGATCTTCCTATGTCATCATTTCTGTCATTTTCGGCTGGACAACTTCAATTATTTGCCTTGAGTCGAACACTGCTACGAGTGTGGTCGTCCGCACCACACAAGCCGGTTGTTATCTTGGATGAAGTCAGCTCTTCGTTGGACTCAGACACTGAGTCTATTCTGGTTGATATTCTTCAAAATGATCTCCGAGACTACACTGTTGTGATTATTGCACATCGCGTTGCTGGTATCATGCGTGCTATGAGACCTGGGTTTGATGTAATTGCCACCATGCAAGATGGCAGGCTGCAAAATGTTTCTATTATCGATAGCCCTACTTGAAAACTCCTACTCTTCACCAGAGATTGAGCATGAACTGGTGAATCTTAGCTAAGATATCAATAGCTTGCCGAATATGTGTTTCTGAGCAGGCCCAGAGGCTAAGAGCTATCGTTGGAAAGAGTCATTTGAAGCACCAATTCGTCAGATCCTCATGTTCTAGATGTAATATTTATGGCTGCAAGAAGAGAGGGAGAATAAGTATCTATTCATCAATCTATGAACCCCGGAAAATATATCCCTTAAGGCCCAGGCAATAATCATGAGGACAACTCCTACCTGAAGCCATGATTCTCAACAGGGTGGTTCTCGCCCTCATCTCACCTTGTTTATAGCGCACTCGGCCTTATTAGCCACCATGACGTAAACTATGTATAGTCATAATATTACCCTTCACTATAATGATTAGCACATACGACCACAGGGTGTGGAGAACAGGGCTTCCCGTCCGCTCAGCCGTACTTAAGCCACACGCCGGTAAGTTAGTAGTTAGGTGGGTGACCACTAGCGAATCCTTACTGTTGTATGTTTTTTTTTGTTTTTGTCTTTTTTGTGGATTCCTAGTTCTGGTTCAAGATGAGGGAAGGGCTAGGTGGTGGTGAGAAAAGAAAGCCAACTTGATTGAACCCCTGCCCGCTCTGTCAGAAAGATACCAATATAAGTTGCATTTTTTGCTATTAATAATATTTTAATCCAGGTTAACGAATCAAACTAAGCGTATCACAGCCTCCGGATACTAAATCAGTGTCATAATATAAGAATTGCGATGAATTTTGTCTGGAATCCCTAGCCGATAGGCCTCTGAGAAATGACTCCAATGCAAGGAAAAGTCTTGAGGCTTTCCATTGCAAATGACTTTCTTCGTGGCTCTTTCGAAATTATGCAGAGCCTGGACAAGAGCTCAGTATTCTTGATACGAGTCATCCGTGCATCAAACTTGCAGGGGCTACAAGACTATATCTTCCGTGGTTAGTCTTGCTATCAGATGACTGGAATATTATAGGGATAGTCATAATTTCAGGCGGATAGTTCCATTTTTTGTGATCACTACTGGATCTTTAAAAAGGTTGAGCACTCAATGCAGGTGACCAACGTGCCCTAATATTGTCAAGAAATGAATGACATATGTATTCGCGAATGAATACGTCTGCGGCCCACAATTAGTATTGAAAACAGCGAAATAGCGTGGATAAACGGCCTTACAGTAAAGGGCGCAAAATGTTTACTCAAAGTGTTGACATCATACCCATTGCGCTCGATCTTCGGTTTGGACAACCCTAGCAAAATAAGTCAACTTATATAAACTCTTATTCAATATATTTCGATAGCATTAATTCCAATCTCATTCAAAAAACTACAATAACACAAAGACCTAGTTTCTCAACAGTGCAAAATGTCTCAGCCACAACGTTTGTTCATCCCAGGCTGCACAAGTTCCATAATTGATTGATTATAGAGTCCCAGCCCGAAGTGCCACACCACGAAAATATCGTGGAGAGACTATTTGAGCATCACGGACATCACCACAAGGACGACAAAGCGGAGGGGACTCAGGCTGATTCACAACCCAAAGCTCCGCCAAAGAAAAGTGAAAAGGATAAGTATATGGATTGGTATCACGAGGAAGAGGAAGAGGAAGCGGAAGGAGAAACATATGGAGGTCTCATGTAAGATTTCGACTACGTGTTTATAGCAATGGGCTGTTTGAAATCGATTTCAGGACTAATAGGAGACACTTTTGGGGGTTTCAAAAACCGCGCAACAGCCGATTGTTGTCCTAAGACGAAGTCAAGTTGTATACAGATCATTGATAATTGCGCAAACAATTGTGCTTAGTTTGAGGCTCTAATGCCACCAAAGTGCTTGGATTGGAATGTGTTCAAAACTCGCTTCTTCTTGTTATTGCTAACTAATGTTTTGGGAAAGTCAACCCTTGCTGAGATTTTCACAACCCTCAATGAGCTTGGCGCCCGCATATCTCTCTGTCAGTGCCAAAAGCAATCTAGTACTTGTGTAAAGTACTGAACCACGACTTAAACAGAGCAACCTTCTTGCTCGATGCAGCCGGGATCTGACCCCATCCATCTCCAAGACGTTGAACGAGCGCGGACGAGTTTGCGGCCGGCCAAGCAGTCAAACCGCGACCGTTAGGATTTCCGGTCTTGATAAAGTTGGCCCAATAGCCGTTCATCTTCTTAGCAATGATGTAGTCCTCCGCAGTCCAAGGCTTGTCAGTGCCGTAAAGATTGTTCAGAACATAGTTGATCTCAGATTCGTGATAAGCACCCTGATCCTGACCAGGAGGGGCGTGGTCCCAAATGTAGTTGTAGATCGGGCTGCTGTAAGCCTTGTTCCACAGCTGAGACCAGAACCATGTTCCAACCTTGGAGCGGTCGGTGAACTGAGAGTTGTATGCGCCTGAAGCGGTGGTGTTATCGTGTGCCGGGTATTGATCGAGGAAGCGCTGAGGCCAGACACCACTGTATGTTTCGTTCAGGTCGGTGAGATACTCCGACACGCTGATATCCAAGCCATACGTGGCACCGCTTTCGTCCTTAGTGTTTCCGGTGATCACGGGGACATCGTGGGCCAACTTCTTGACCAAAGTATTATAGTAGGTGTCGGGGATAGCGTAGTAATCAAGCGTAGCCTGGAAGTTGAAGTTCGAAGACATGAAGTTGGTAACCAGGCTTTCCATGGGCAGTTCCCGGGCTTCGGCAATGGTGGAAACATTGAGACTCTTCAAATAGGAGGTTCCTGTAGAGTAGGAAGAATCAAGAGTTGTGTAGGCCTCCGCAAGGCTAGTACACAAAGGATCTTGGGGATCCCTCACACCACTCTCGACGATGGCACCAACAATCAAACCCTTGGTCAGAGGGCTGTTCAAGATGTGCTGAGTTGCAGCAGACCCAGCAGATTGACCCATCACAGTGATGTGGTCAGGGTCACCACCGAACTGGGCAATGTTGGCCTTGATCCACTTGACAGCAGCAAATTGGTCAAGCATGCCCCAGTTTCCAGAGCTGTTATGTCCATTGTCGAATTCCTCTGTCAACTCTGGGGTCGCGAGCCATCCAAAGGATCCAGTTCGGTAGTTGTAGTTGACAAAGACAATACCCTGGTCCGCCATACCACCACCATCAAACAGAGCGTCCGCCGCTGTCGAGAGAGCCGGGTAACTCCACATCACGACCGGAAGCTTAGCATCGGTGGAATTCGCAGGACTCCAAACATTGAGATTCAAACAATCCTCATCGATGGTGTAGTCATTGTTACCATCTGTTGCTGAAGGGCAGACGCTTCCGAAGCTCTTGGCATCCAAAGTTCCATTCCATGCGCTCACAGGCTGGGGGGCCTTCCAGCGATTCTGGCCTCCAGTTGTTGCCGCGAATGGAATACCTTTCCAGACGGTGATATCTTTCCAGTGAGTCAGGTTGCCGGTGTTAGAGCTGTTGAAGGCAGGGTAGCCCTGGACGCCTCCATTTTTAGTTTCGATGACAGTGTTGTGGAGTGCGCCTGAGACGATGGGCGCCAGGCCGCAGATGGCCGCAGCAATAGTTTTATACGACATCAGTATTGATTCGAACACGCGCTCGACAATCAAGAATAGAAGATAAAGTGGAAGAGGTGATCTCAATTTTTTTTCAGGCAAGTGTGCCCGTTGATCTTATACTCTTTTCAAGCATCTCCGGGTCCCAGTTAAGGGAACGCTGTTCCAAGTAGACAGCTGATTTCATTGATGATCATTCCGTAGTTAGTACTCTTTTCTTGTTTGAGCGTACGTGTTGCAAGTGGATCCACTGTGGTCTATTCCGAACAATCCATGTCATTCTCGTTTTCATTGACTACCACTTGATGTTAGATGGTATCGAGATAACCTACGTTCTGAGTCCAGATGATAAAAAGTGCCAGAGGCTCTCCGATCATAGCAGACCTAGAGGCCATCCATACTCAAAAAAGCATCGTCTTGATCATCGTTCCAGACAAAAGCCAAACAGTTTGGACTTTGGTTGGAATCAGGAGCTCCGGAAGATGGGTTTACTCCGGAAAGGATTACTGTCTTGGGCAATCGATGGCAGATCTTCCGACGATCGCTCTCGGGTTAATCGCCCTTAACTTCCCGATCAGGTATTTTTGACCGATATGCTCGGATTGAATCTTTTGTCTTCACATCTGCTGGTTACTCTTGTTTCTGAAGAATCAGCGTAAGGCACAGCTGACGCATTGTTATGGATAAAAACGTTCACTACCAGACAAATACCACATTGTGGGGTAAGTTTCCGGGTAGGGCTATTCATATTTCGAACCTTGAGGATTTAGACTCGTTCCATGGCGCGTGGCAGATGCAGGTACGTGCTATCATGTCACCAATTAATTGAATGAACACGTATGCTCTACTTTCCACCTCCATATATGATTAACTCTATTCAGTATTTTGTCCGTTATCCCGTTGGCTAGTCCGTCTTTTTAAACCAGGGCGCGTATACTCGTATAATTGAGAGTTTGAGTTCCGTTTGGACATATTTTCGCATAGCTGGACATTCAAATTGTATAAGTAGGCATCCGGTAATCCCGAGAGCATGTTCCGATCCAAGTGACTAGTTTTGTCTTCATTGCCTTGCCCAATTTCCCGGCGACTTACTTCCCTCGGGACTGCTTGCGCTCTCTCTACTCGTTGCACCATGCGTTCACTCATCACATTAGCTCTGTGTCTAGGGGCTGTAACTGCTTCAAAATTCAAAACCTCCACCGTCTATCAGTTTAGCTCCAATGACACCTGGTTAGAGAATCTCGCCACACGATCCAACGGTGTCATCCTAGCCACCGAGATTGGCCCTCCCGCCAACCTCCTGGCTTTTGATCCGCGGGAAACCCCAGCTCAGAAGAGGGTGATCAAAGAATTTTCCTCCGTCCTAGGTATCACTGGAATCACGGAAGGTGCGCACGATGTCTTTTACGTGACTGGCGCCAATACTACATCCGACAATATCAGCGATCCACCGAAAAACGCAACGCACGTCTGGGAAGTCGATTTCAACACAGGTAGCAAGAATCCCAAAATCAAGCTTCTATGCCGTCCCACGGCACCTACCGGCTTCAATGGGATGGCGACCTTCAACGAGACGATCCTCCTCGCCAGCGCCTCTTACCAAAACTCCATCTTTGCCATTGACGTCAAAACCGGACGCACCTGGGAGGCAATCAAGCAGACAAATCTAATGTCTTCAATCAACGGCATCAAAGTCTCGGACGGCTTTGTCTATTGGACTGCCAACGGAGCTTTGTACCGCGCGGAGCTATACTCAAATGTCACTGCTGGTACAGGGCAGCTGATATACCAGGGCAGCGCGTTTGACGATTTTGCAATTTCTCCCAACGGATTCGCGCTCAACGAGACTTACGGGTCCAGTTACAAATTTGCCTACCTTGCTACTGCTGCTGAGAATACAATTGAGCAGGTCATCTTTACTAGTGACGGAACTGCTGTCGGGGGTGAAATCATTGTCGGATCTGAGGATTCTACTGAGGTTGCTGAGCCTACTGGCGTTTTCTTTGGTCGGGGCCATGGTGAATTGAACAAAATCTATGTTACCACAGGGGGTGCCAGTGCCGTTAACGTTGATGTGAATGGCACCGAGACTGCGGTTGGTGCACAATTGTTGGAGATCCAACTGTCCTAATTTTGGAGAAAGGGGGGATGGATAACCAACCGTATTTTTTATGTGAACCTGGGAAGTGATATTGGTTAGATATTTAATCTTAGTAAGTTCATTGTGTTGTCTCCGTGTGATCGTACATAGAAGGGCCTGATCCAAAATTTCATCATCGGGTAGGTGGTAAGTGGCAGATCACAATACAATTTTTGACAAAGAATCCCAATACCATCAAGGGGCTACTGACAATTGAATGTTGTCTCCGCATACGATATCGAGTGGCTTTCCGTTCCGTTAATTAAAATGTTCCCGAAAAAATAAAGTTCAAGATCATTCAGCTCCAAGTCCGTCATTAACAACATACTTTAAATCAAGCCGCTTTCTAGAAATGGTGAAAAGTTGTTTAATTGAATGAAGGAAACAGTATAAATTACTTGCAACTTCAAGGGGAGGTAAAAAGTATAATGCACTAGATACTTCCGATGCTTTTTTCATCACACAGCATAGAATATAAAACATAACTAAGCACCAAAGCAGCGGCAAAACAAAAACATAAGATACAAGAAAACCTCAGCTCCATCTTCGCTTCAATCAGCTCGCCGAGGTTATTAGACAGAATAAAAGGATAACATAATAAAGTCGCATTAACCAATATTCGATTCGTTTGTCCGTTTTCGTTATACTCGCTTCGCTGAGGTTCTCGGAGAGAAAAAAAGGATAAAACAACAGAGGAGCGCCGCCTGTAAATCAAGTTGACTGTTGGCTGTTGAGAGCCGACTGAAGAACGTTCGATATGTTATGAGAAACGCTGGCTATTGCCTTAATGTTTGCGCCATCTTTGGTATATGCCGTATAGGGAGGGTCCTTGATTTGGGTACCGGGAGTGTAGCAGAAGGCCATGGGGGAAAAGAAGGGAAGGAAACTTGTTAGAGGCCCCGTCGGCTCGCGCTACCTGAATAAAGCCTTGTCTCCAGGTCACTGGGGGGAGGAAGAATGAACTGAACGGCACCGGTAGTCAATTCACTCAGTGATGTCAGTCCGACTCATTAAAATGCCAAAAATTTGATGCCATATTTTGGGGAAAATTTGAGGTAAAGATTGAGGTAAAATTTGAGGTAAAATTTGTGGTAAAGTTTGATGTAAATTCCAATACCCAAAAAGCGCTACAATGCGGCTAGTTATTACTATGGTGGGTGGCTTTTTAGCACTACCATATCTAAAGATACTTGATGTTTTTTGGTCTTTTTATCCTGTCCACCAGATTATCTCTTTCCCCTTTCCTTTGACATATCACTCGACAGACGTCATGAGTGAACCACTATATCCTCAGTTTCGATACTGCCTCACAATGGGAAACTGCAGGTCTTACTTCAAGTGAAGGCTATGCATCTGTCATCGAGTTCGGTCAAGGAAGTTCTGATGCAGCAGGGACTTGAAATGCTGGCATGGATCACAACAACGCTTGGGATTCACAGGTCAGGGGGCCAAGAATTCAAGTTCTCAATTCACCAATCAGAAGGTAGGTTTGACCATGATCATTATACCAATGTTTAAGAAATATCATTAATCAGTTGTCTATAGATGGGTCATGTTAGCGCAAAACGCCAAACATATATTTTACTGTCGCTGAGCTACATGAAGAGTACATCGAATACTTGGTGAAAGGCACAATCTCTGGGAACCCTCTTGACAGCAACGCATATCTCACAATACGGTTACTAGGACCCTTCAGTATTTATTCCGCCGAAGAGATCAAAGCCTTTGGTTTTCTTGTTGTCGCACTTACCATTGCCCAGCACCAGATTTGGAAGCAAAGCAAGAAGAAGCATATAGGAAATGAAAGAGAATTTCAATCACGTTACAGTCCTCGTCACCACCCTGTCTATAGCGCACTCGCTCTTCTTACCCCTGGTCGCACGATCGTAAAGCGGCGCTCAGCCATTTCTCACCCACCCGACTAAAGACTGCAGGTAAGCTGTACGCCTTTAAGTGAGTATTTAGGTGGGTAGCTACTAGTGGATCCTGACTTTTGTATGCTTTTGGGTTTTAAATCATTCAATCACGACAAAATATGGTATTTCATGCTCACATAGACAGACTTTGCGAGACAAAATCACAAATCAAACACATTTCCAGGCACTTTCATCTTCATAAGGGCCCGGGCCAACATACTTATTATGCTTGGGATATTTGCAGTGCAAGCGACGATATTCGACAGTGGTGCCGTTGAACTTGGTGCCACGCACATGCTCCGGGGCAATTCCCTTCTCCACCCATTGGACCATTGCAAGCAGAACATTATCTTCTGGTGTATTGTTAACAAAAGTACTACTACCCTGACCAATAGAACCAGCGCCGGCACCGGGCGAACAATGGCTCATTCCGCTAATAGGGAAGAACCGATAAAAGTCATCCAATTCCGACGGACTGAGGCTCATCGTGTCGGCAACGTGCTTATAATAGTACTTCGAGCTTTCGGATGTGATAATGGGATCTTCAAGTCCGTGGTAATGCAGCACCTTGCCTCCAGTCTTCTGGAATGCTGAAATGTCACCCTTGAAGGTCGAAATCTCAAAAGGATCCTGGGCATCTGCGACCACGGCGTCATTGACTGTCCATAAAGTTGGGTCCCACTTGGGGTTGTTGTATACGACATAGCGGTACCAGTCCTCGGCGTAAGCGAACGGTTGACCGTCGTAATAAACAAACGCTGCCGTTTGTTCCGACCCAGGCTGCATTCGAGGGTACAACCATTGGCCATCTTTACCATAGAGCGGGCTGAATATGATATTGACTGAATTCACTTGCTTTCCAGTAAGGCATGAACCGGAGGTATTACTTTCAGTCGAGTTGCAAAGCAAAGTCTCAAACACGGGATTGCATAGATCAGGGTCCTCGATAACTCCGTCTGCGGCACCATCTAGGTCATCGCATTGACGCAAAATCTCAGTGTGCACAAGACCCCACTGAGCGGTAGTCAAGAATGTGTCTGCGCTGGAATTTCCTGTCGTCGGGAAGAATCGAGCACCCCAGCTGCAAAGGTTGACAAAGTTAAACGCAGGTGCCCCAGCAACCACGCCATCGAAGTCGTCTGGGAATTTCTGCACTGACTTCCATCCTTGGCGACCACCCGTTGAGCAGCCTAGGTAGTACGACTTCTTGAAGCCCTTGGTATAAAATTGCTGAGTGATTGATTTTCCCACCACAACGCCAGTGTGGAGGGCTCGGTAAGCAAAGTCCTCTAGTACTTCGTCGTTGTGATAGAAGTAAACACCAGTGTCGCCGAAATGGCCATTGTTAGTTCCCACAGTAGCAAATCCATACTGCGCGGCATAGATCATGTCGGAATATTGAATGCCTAAAGGGGGGAGAGGTAAGTCATGGTTCTGTTTTAATTCACATAGAAAAAGGAGAACATACATCCCCCAAGACCTCCGTTTCCGGTACTAAGGAACCGCTCGGAGTAGTTGCTTGGCAGCCAGGCTTCCATGAAGATCTGGCTTTTGGCCGAGGTCGTCACATTCAGCGCAACACGACAGAATTCAAAAGGGCTACTGGTGGCGCCCGTTCCATCTGAAGCACAGACAGTAGGGTTGTTGGCCATGGAGATATTTGCCCCTGCCGGAACATGAGTCACTGAATGCACAACAGCATTTGGTATTTTGAGTTTATGCTGAAACGACGCGCATTGGGTTTCGAAGGAAGACTTCGTAGCGCGGGCGTCTCGAGCGGAAATGGTGTTAGACGCGCTGGCGACTGCACAGCCAGCCAGAAAGAGTGTAACTCGCATCTCGACACAGTGAAGGACTCTTGTCAATTATCCTCTCACCTGGCGGAGAGTAGACTGTTTTATACTTGGCACGACACTTCAGAAAAGACGGAAAACAAGCCCCAAACAACCCTTGATTTACTGCTGCGGGGCCCCGCATTCCAAGGCAGTCGAGATCGGCAGATCCGTCCCTTAAGCTTGGTAGAACTTCGGCTGGTTTCTGCCAAGTATCTCGTCAATACCAAAATTTACCCCGGCTTTCCGATGGCGCTCCACTGCCGTGTATCAAACGCCCCTGAGCCGAGGCTCGGAGTGGTGATGAAGCAAGCACTCACAGCAATCTAATCCCCCGGCCGCGTACTAAGACGCTTTCGTTTTAGAGGCAAAATAAGCGACTCGAGTTCCATACCCCGCAAATGTTTCAATTGAGGGGTATTGACTCGCAAATCAGCGAATGCGTCATATCAATATCTACGGCCACAGCTTCAGCCTCGATTGCTTGGACCGCTAATGGGAAGCAAGCGATTGTCTACCTACTTTCAAACAAGCATTCAACAATACGATCATAATACAATGAGTGAATTCTCTTTTTCTTTGTTATGTAGGTCTGACCATTATCTATGGCATTTAGTATGGTCCAATGGTCCAGTTTTCCGGTGCGCCATACTTGGGTAAACGCTGCAAATACCGCATAGTTGTCTACGGTCACATAGTCACCGCTTCTCCATACACATTCATATCACCATGCCCTGCCTGGTGAGTCCCACATCCTTTTTATCACTGTATCTAATGTGTCGACTCTTATCCTTGAGGAAGATAGCCAGTTCTCCGGAAATCAGCTAGCCAGCGGCACTATTCGACTACCGCCTGCTGTCATTATTCCATGTGCCTCCGAATGCCTAGATAATCACAAGCGTCTACCAGAGGGTAAGTTCATTTTTGATTATCATATTATGAGGGATCATCCCCGTCTCCAGAGTGGAAAAGATCTACGGCCTAAAGAACGCAAAGCTCTGATTTGCAGCAATCTCAAACCTCATCCACGAAGTTCCAAGTGGCTACCAAGGGGCACATTCGATTATGTCAAGATCAAATAATATTCCCACGGGGACTTTGCGGGATATGTGCGAAGGAAATCGAGTAAGTGTAGTAGTTAGTAGATGTTGGAAGCTATTTAATTTATCTATAACCGTGGTGTTATTTATTCCAACATTGATCTATGTCAGTTTTTCATTCTCGACAACTTTTATCTGCGACTGGGGGAGCTTAACTATTTGCAGTGCCCTGGCTATATCGCGCTTAGCTACTAGAAAACCTTCGAACATCGCACTGCTTACCATGGCTCATGATCTTCCTAATACGGAAGCTGCCGACATCTTTGCTTTGGGATCTACGCTCTATGAGTAAGTTGCTGGCAAAGCCCCATATAGCAAGCTTTATGGGTCGAAATGCAAGGATTACGTGATCGATAAGGCTCGACTCTGACGCCAGCTCATAATAGACTGTGGCATTAAATCACGCTATGAGAATAGCGACTTCCCAGAAGTTTCTGATTTGTTGAAAGGAATAATCATATTAGGTTTTTAGCAAGGAAAAAATGTTACTATCCAAGAGGCACTTGATTTATACTTGCACGGCTGATCTATTCCAAGACCATTTCTTAAACTCATCAGCATTCGTCGACAGCTGTCGGATTCTTCACTTTCTCGCCAACACTGATCAACTAGTATATCCTTGAAGGGTCATGGTATGCCACGGCTAAAATATCGTCTCATGTTATTTCAAAAGGAAAGCTGCAATTTGAATGTGACAGATGGGCAATCATCAAATAATGGTTGTCATTTTACAAAATTCAATATCCACTGTGGGCCAGAGTGGCGATTTTTAAGACGGGACGGGGCGGGCCCGGAGACCGACTGGTGTGGACCACCAAGGCCGGTTTACTTAGCTTGGCATATTACAGACTCATAGCTTCAATGCAGCTGCAAACCTTGGAACACCCTCAAACTCCTCATTCAACTTTGAGCTAAGCTTCTTGGCATCACACCCTGGTACCAAGCGTGAGATGGCTCTTGGTGGCTAGTCGCGTCAGCCCATAGGGGCAACGAAGAACTTTTCAAGGGTTTGGAAGGAATCGGTGTCACCGCACTAAAGATCAGGAGCCAATGGATCTTATCTAGTTGATTGTAATTGTAATTGCCAAACCACGTTACGTTGATAGAGGTCACGTGGTGAGTAACTTGTAGTGACTTATCTCAGGGATCGAAAATCTTTATTGCCTTGGCGGCGCATCGTCCAATTTTTCTAAACGTCAGCCCCCGGCCTTTTCGCCCAGAAGCTGTATTTTCTTCAAATCAGAACTGACTGAAAAGTACACATGATAACAAAATCTGTCATACAGGCGAAAGGCGCCGTGGTCACTTCTGACAATGACGCCCAAGCACATCCGGTCGAACAGTTGGATGGGGGAGTTCGCGCCTGGACAGTTGCTGCTGGGGCGTGGTGCTGTCTATTCTGTGCCTTTGGTTGGGTAAACGGTAGGATTGGATCTGTACCTGACCATTTCTCAGACCAAGCTAATTTGAGATGATCGACCCCACTATTAGCTATTGGCATTTTCCAAGAGTATTATCAGAATAATCAACTACAGTCTTACTCGTCGTCCAGTATCTCCTGGATCTTATCTTTGGAGCCCTTTGTACTCTTTGCAGCTGGACTCGTCATTGGAAGAGTAAAGCTAGCCCGTCGAACATGTCTACGATTTGCATAATAACCGTCTTCCAGGTATTCGATAACTATGGCCCTAAATGGCTTCTTTTAATAGGAACATTTCTTCATGTTTTCGGTCTTATGATGACATCTATATCCACCGAGTACTATCAATTCTTCCTAGCCCAGGGTATCTGCAGCCCTCTTGGTGCAAGCTTTGTGTTCTCGCCCGCGCTCTCGTGTACTGCAACATGGTTTGAAAATCGACGTGCTTTGGCCTTCGGTATCGTTTCCAGTGGCTCATCTCTCGGCGGAGTCGTCTTCCCAACCATGTTATCTCGCCTCTTGCCTACCATCGGGTTCGGATGGTCCCTACGTATCTCTGGATTCATTGTCCTCATGCTCCTAGTCATAGCCAATTTAACCGTCCGATCAAGAATTGCGCCTGTTCCTCGGCCGGTTAGATTGAGTGACTACACGAGTCCGTTCACGGAGTTACCGTTCGTTTTGCTGGTGCTAGCCTCGTGTTGTGGATTCTTCGCCATGTTTGTGCCAATCAATTATGTTGTTTTGGAGGCCCAGGAGGATGGAATCGACCGCAACATTGCTGGGTACCTGTTGACAATTTTGAATGCCGCCAGGTGAGTAGTGCAGCGTATTTTTTTTTTCAGCAAGACTATTGTGACCAAACTAATCAAACTTTCCTTAATAGCCTACCTGGTCGAATTTTGCCAGGCTACCTCGGCGACAAACTGGGTCGATTTAACGTCATGATCGCCATGTGCTCTTTGTCAGCCGTTGTAATACTAGCCCTATGGCTTCCAGGCACCATTCTGTCGCCAGGAAGTGCGGCTATCTACATTGTCTTCAGCATGCTTTATGGCTTTGCATCGGGTGCGTTTGTGGGCATGGTGCCCGCCCTACTGGGCCAGATTTCGCCCGATGTGACCAAGATCGGGGTTCGTCAGGGAGTGCTCTTCAGTTGCATTAGTATTGCGTCGTTGACGGGAAGTCCGATTGCTGGGGCCATATTGAGTCGACAGAACGACACATATTGGGGATTGCAGGTATGGGCGGGTGCAATGATGGTGACTAGTGTATTTTTCTTTGCAATGGCGAGAGTGGTCATTGGTGGGATTTCTATTACAAAAAGGGTTTGAGGTTTTAACATTGACTTTATTGCAAGACTTTGCATATATCTATAGTGGAATGGTAAAAAAATACACCCCCCTGCCTAATCATGATGATAATTCAATAGCACCATTTTAGTGCATGTCATTTTGAGAGAAGTTACAAGTCACACATAGCTTGGCTGCTTCTTCTGTCACATTGAAGGGCGCTCGTTTATCCCGACTGACTCTCATCTTGCAATGTCGCCGAAACCTACAATGAATACTGTCTTTGGTCAAGCATGCACATTGCTTCTATAAAATAATTAAAAATAGATATTAGATACAGAAAGAATAACAAGATAGTAGAAGATACAAAGACTTCGACATCAGCTCAACCCCAGCATCCCAGCTGCCTTTGAAACGAAAAAGTCCTTCCCTTTGATTATGGAAACTAGCATTCCCCAAGGCTTCCATCCAAACATCTGACCCGTGCCGGTCTTTTCCCCAATGGGCACAAGCATCATGACAGAGCCATTGGAAGAATAGGTAGCGGACTTTCCGTGACCAAGGATTCCAACTTTGAGATTGGCGACAACAACGGGGACCTGCTCTGCCACTTTGATTGCCGTGCGCAAGGGGAGTACTGTAATGTCTCCAAGAGCGTAGATTGAACCATTTTCCGACCCGCCCATGACGCGCAGCTTATCATCCACGTTGACCCAGCCATCAGCGGACAGGAGTTCCTTTGGAATGAATTGGTTATTGGGGAGAGCACCAATCGTGGAAATGTAACTGTCTGCTTCCAGCTGCTCGCCGTTATCAAGGCTGACAACCCACTGAGTTTTGCTGCTGGAACTGACGCGCTCAGCCTTCACCACCTTGCGTGAGGTAATTAACTTGACGTTCTTCTCTGCGAGGACCTTCTCCGCCATAATGCTGCTGCCTTCCTTCAAAACGGGCAGGACATGTTTTGTCGACGAGATGAGGGTAATAGAACTGCCCTTTTTGGTTTTGAATGCCTCTGCAAGCTCGCCAGCAAATTCTACACCAACCGGGCCAGCTCCTCCAATGATGACACTTTTGGCATCGGAAATAATCTTCTGAAACGAGCGAATAGAGGCGTCGATATCATGGTCGCCGAACGATTTGAAAGGAGCCGGCTCTCCTTGCAGGGAGGAGGTAGTGGTGCTACCGGACGCAATCACAAGATAGTCGTATGGAAGATCGGATTGCAGAGATGAGACCTTAATCGATTTTGAGGCGGTATCAATGCTCGTTGCTGTTCCTTCGATGAATTGGAAAGCTTCTTTGGGGAAACGCGCGAATGACTTTTCAATGGAGAGCAGATATTGATCCTGCTTGAAGAAGTCGGGCTTAGCCAGGATTCGAGGAGCCGCAATATTGAAGTAATGCTTTCCCGACGGATTGATCAAGACAACTTTGACCTTGTCCGAGTCTGATTTAAGCAGTCCATTTGCAACGCCAAGTCCGGCGTGAGAGGCGCCAATTATCACCACAGTTGATCTAGTCATTGTGAAGAATGTGTAGTGGTTGTGGTAGATGAGTAGTGAACCTAGGTTATGACTGTGAAATAATAAAGGATCAGAGGTTGAATTTATAGAAATCGGATAAACTTGTGGATTGGCCAATAAAGGTACAAGAGGGTCAGAGTTTGTAATCAAGTGAAAACTCGTCAACCTTCCGTATTGAATTCCCAGATTTCTAATGAACTCCTTCTGTGCTTATGAAGCTCTTCACCAAATTGTCGCCAGGTCGGCCGCGGGCGGCCGCCACTCAGCCTCATTGGTCAGTTGCTCGGGTTTGTCCGCCCTTCGTCTCCACTCATTCCGCACTGGGTCACTTTCATTAAGTCAATTGTTTTGATCTGGCAGCAAAATATTCAAGTATCGTTCTAGTGAGGTTCACGTTAGTCGTCTGGTTACTCATTACTACCGTAACCGATAGTGCAATAACAAGGTAACTTACTGGCCAGCCCCCATCGTGTAGCAAAAGTTCGAAGCCATCGGATGAATATAGAATTCGTCCAGCATTCAGCATCGGGAAGATCCATCTGGAGGATATGTTTGTGTCCCAAAGCCGCATAATAAATGGCATTGATTATCGATGGTGGTATCGAATCAAGGCTGAGTCCGGTGCATACAGTGACCTCCTCCAAATCACTGCATATCGCAGCCATACTTTGGCATAATTGCTGGAGCTTCGCAGTCCAGAAGTCATCTGTGACCAGTTCTTGGGGCGTCTGACATAGATGGAGTGATAGCATCAACGCAGCTCTGAATGATGATCCTAGGTGAGTTGAAGGACGCAGTGTAGATAATAAGAGATGGACCTACCCAATAGTGGTTGCAAAGCCTCCACCAAACGGATTGCACGGGGATATATCATGTCGACTTCGTATGTATGTCAAAGTCTCTTCCAGGTCATTGTACATCTGGACTGCTTTCTGCATCCATCCGATATCATTATTATCGGTTTGGCGGATCAAATCTTGCACTTGGCCGAGTTTTCGAGCCGCCCTTGCTTCGGAAGAGTATTCCCATTCACCTTCACTGTTACCACCCGACAAAGGAGATGACGGACCTCCGAAGCCTGCGCTAGGCCATGGCTGGGATTGCCTTGGAAGGTTCTTGTCGGGGGTTGGATTATCTACGGCTGCCGGTTTGACTGACGCCAGTGACTCCATATTAATACATCTAAAGTAGTGGTCAGCAAGGTACACACACAGTGTGGAGCCGAAGCGAGAGAGGATATCACCTATCTACCACAACAATACCCCACCAAGTGCAATTCTGCTCCTCCGTCACATTTTGAACTTCCACTGTCATGTTGGCAGGGCATGATACAGCTCTATGCAGTCCGAGTAGAGAGGATAGCCTCGCACATGTTCCAATAGTGACATAAGCCATATCACCGGCTCCTTGGGTAAATTCGTATACAGCTATTAATATCCCAGCCTGCACAAGCTCTATCGAAGGGTAGGATAGAGACGCGGAGAGGGTAAAATGATATTTCGTGGTCAAATATAAGTGAGATTCGGTGGGCGAGAGTCTTTCCTCGTCATCGAACGGATTGGAAGTAACGAGTAGCATGGAGAATACCAATGTGGCGCATGCCACAGACGACTCGTTATTTTGAATTATACTGAATTCATTCAGGATCAGTCTTTCGGAGATGATAGGCAACCAGCCATAATGTTGCGAGTACGTTTGACGTATCTTGTCCATTGAGGTTTTTCTGACTTCAATGAATCGCATCAAATCAATACCTGAAAGAAAAGCACGGTACGATGGCCTGAGAAGACTTGGCTTGATTTGCCAATTTTGTACCTCGGTGCGATTAGCTGGCTCTTCGCTGGCATGAGCCGTCTGGGGTAGAATAGTCTGATTCTCTTCGGCAGACTCTTGATCCTCATCTTTTGAGAGATGGTTCTCAATATTGCCAATTCGACGCAGTATTTCCTTCAAGAGAAATTCCGAGCCAGCGCTCGTGTCAGGCGCATCGGAGGGCTCATCATACGCGCAGCTCAGTGAGAGTCTATGTTTCTATGTCAGGAGTGTTTTAACATATAGGATCGCAAAATTGGCCTCATTGGCGTTGATAGCAGATGAAAAAATTACCTAGAGCATCGTGCACAGCTTGGTAGCGCTTTATCGCATTTCTTTTTGCTTCCTTTGCACCGAGCGCAAGTGTTTTTAGCCGACTGGTTCTCAGCACCTGATAGTGACTCAGGTAATATATTCATAATTTTGCTTGAAAAACTTCACTCGGCTGTTGACAGAAGAAGCTTTGGTACAATGTCGGTGTCGTATTAGTGTAATCGGTATTCCTATTGTTAAGATGTGGGACTATGGCTGCAATGAGACGCATTAGTGTAATCACGTGTCTCGAGTCTTAGTACCGCCTGATTCTGCCAATAACGTTTCATTCGCGCCACGATTTAGTTCGGTGGACTTGCCTTTACGCGCGCTTTGCGTCAACCAAGTGTATTAAATTATGCAAGTTTACCTGAAGAGCGCTGGATAACCGAGGTATCGTTTTCTCACATGTCTAGAGCAACCTCTGTGCTTCCGCTACTGCATAGTAGGTATCCTTCTTGAACAACACATACTTTCATGGGACCACTCTGGCGGCTACGGCGGTCATGAGTACCACCCAGCTATTCTGGCTGTGAGCTTCACCTGGGTGTTTCAATATATTCTTGGCTGCGGAAGATCAGCTGGGGCCAAAACGGAGAGCAGCCCGAAGAGTGGGCGAGATGCAAGCAGGAAGCGGTAATCCACCATCCAGAAGAAACTGCTAACTACCCATTCATTTTTCATTAATACACATTATCATTCACTTTGCAACCACTGATGGTACTATTATAGGATCTGTTCGAGCTGGTACTAAATAAACCCCAGGGGAAAAGATTAACGACTAATCGCCAGGGACCAGCCCCAAGGGGAGATAAAGAAGATATTATTCACTTAAAATATTCCATGCAGCGCTTAACCCAAAATTCTCCGTTCACCCGGGTAAATCCGCTATAAACGAGGCGCGGCGCCGACTACCACTGACACGTCCAGCTAAAGTCATGGGTCCATGAGTGTGCAGTAGGCAAAATATTATCGCCAGAGGTGTCCAATCATGTGACCGCCACTCCTTGGAGACTATTTACTAGGCGAACAACTCAGCCTGTTGCGTGCAGGTGATAGGAACTCGTGGAGTAGCGCCCCCGAACACGTCGCAGTGCAATTCATGATTGGCTGCCCTGCCGCGTCGACAACGTGGCTAGGCAACCATGCACTGCCATCCAGTTCTCGAAAGTGACGTGCAATGCTAAAGGCAGACACACTCATTCCGTTTTCGCAGTTGGAGTGGAGCCTCACTCCACGGTATTAGTACTTTCGTGTAGTCCGTCTCTCAATCTATTGTATTCTCCGCATCCAGCAAGAACTTGTACAACAGACTGCTTTTTGCTGTAATCTTCTTGTTAATCTATTTTTGTGAACCATATTCTATTTACAGCTAGTGAAGCCTTTTCTACCACGTCCTCTTTTGGTAACTCCTCGCAAATCAGCACGGAGAGGGGAAGAACAACCAACATGGCTGCATCTACATATCTTGGAGTCCTCACCCAAGTACTCGTTATCTATCCTACTTCAATTATCACTGCTTCTGCGCTTTGCTGCCTCTTTTATCTTGCGTTTCTGCTTTACACGATCCGATTCAAACACCCACCCAGCCCCGGAGCCCTACATGTCCCAACCACGCAATCCGCCATTCAAAGCCACGAAGAACTAGGTAGCAGCCTGTTCACACATCCAATCGGATCTAGCAACTATAAACACGTTCCAGAAGAGTCGACGTCGCAAAGCGAGGACCAGAGTCACGATGTCACCCTCGCTCTGGAAGAATCTCGATGGCAACCAGCGAATAACGGTCCACTTGCTGCTGAATATCCCATACAAGTTCTGTATGACTGCGAGGACGCAGATATAGAGTATGTTCACATGATGGAAACAAAGTTCCAGTTAGCTGACAATCATTCTAGCATTGTGGCCGTACATGGGCTCGGCGCAAATCCAGATTATGCTTGGGTCTGGCAACCGAAGAATAATCCTCTGGGAGGTTCTGGGTACCCTCAGGAGTATTACAATTGGCTAAAAGATCTACTACCGATAGGGCTCTCTTCTACTGGGATCTCATGCCGGGTTATGACATTCAATTACGACTCAAGTTGGTTCATGAACGCCCCTCAGCAACGACTTTCCAACATTTCGGACAGTTTGTTGGACAGTCTGAGAACAAAGCGTGAAAAGGTAAGTTTGTTTCACATCGCCACAGGATTTGTACGGTTGAATAACTGTGCAATGAACAGACTAGGGGGAGACCGTTGATCTTTGTTGGTCACAGTTTTGGGGGCAATCTCATTGAACAGGTCGGTCAGTCTCGAACCACAAAATAATTCTGTACTGATATTTCACAGACTATTCTATCCGCCTTTCGCAGACCATCATATCAGGATATCGCAGAATCTTGCGCTGGTGTTGTCTTCCTGGGTACGCCTCACCGAGGCAGCGCCGCTGCTACTTGGGGTGCAATGATTGCTTGCTTGGCACCGGCTGGTCTCGACTCCGAAATAAGAATTTTGAAAGACCTTGAAGAGCATTCTGGAGCTCTTACAGATCGGCTACATGAGTTTTCGTGCTGGCTCTTCTCTGAGTCTGTTCCTGTTGTTTGCTGCTTCGAACAGCTCAAGACAGACTATTCATCGAGGATAGGATATATTGGGAAACTTTTATCTCCTAATATGATAGTAAGTAGCATTCCATTCCCTTTATCATCTTCTTACTAATTTTTAGCTTGTGCCCGAGACCAGTGCTTGCATCGACGGACACCACAAGATATCTCTCAAAACAGATCATCTGAAGATCAACAAATTTTACGGACCCGATGACCCATCTTACAAGAGTGTCTATCCTGAGATTGAAAGAATGGCTCAAAATGCAGGGGAGATGACTCGCCGTCGTCGGAACCCAAGAGCCCTTTCTGTGAACCAAAGTGCTATAGATGGCGCCCTTCGAACGTGTTTGCAAGAAATGAGAGTGACGAATCCCCATGACATTCTCTCGGACATTCAGGTCCACAAAGGCAAGCGGATTGGGCATACCTGTGAGTGGATATTAAAAAGGGAAGAGTTCTCTGCCTGGTGTGTCGGCGACCATTCGCATTTCTTGCGTCTGACTGGCCCTCCTGGAATCGGGAAGACGATGATGTGCACATTTCTCATCGACTTTCTCAAAGGTAAAGTTGAGAGATCGGATAACCAACTCCTGGCGTACTTCTTTTGCGATGACAAAATTGAGGACCGAAAGATGCCGACCGCAATTCTTCGAAGCCTTATTTGGCAGCTACTATTGCAAAGAACAGAACTATTCGAGCACCTGAAACCCGACTATGAGGAACGTAAAAAAGGCCGGATTTTCATTGATTTGTTCGATAACTTTGCTCCCCTTTGGCGGATTTTCCAAGCTATGCTTCAAGATGACCGTGCTGGCGACATTTTCATTGCCATTGATGCCTTGGATGAGTGCGACAAGCCCGCACGGAGACAGTTTCTCCTTGCTCTACGGGAACTATTCCAAACACCAAGACAACTCCGAAGCAGAGTCAAGTTCCTCATCACCTGCCGTCAAAAGATCAGTGATATTGAGTATGAGCTTCATGGAGTCGGAGAGCTTTTGGAACTGAACTCACGAGTCGTGAATACCGACCTTATCGAGTATATTGACCACGAAGTTGAAGAGCTGGCGAAGAGAAGGAATTACATCTCAACATTGAAATATGACGTTGCAGAGGCTCTGAAGCGTCGTGCTGAGGGGACGTTCTTGTGGGTATCTCTGATGCTCAGCGAGCTAAAAAATACGCCAAACTACGAAGTCCCGGACAAACTCAACTCGCTACCGGAAGGACTTGAGGAGGCCTATATCACCATTCTGAACGAAAGCATTCCACACGAAAGGCGCGATGAAGCTCGGTTCTTGTTGCTCAGCATGGCCTCCGCCCGACGTCCTTTGAAAAGGAAAGAAATAGCGACCTCATTTGCTCTTTGGAAAACTGACCGTGTGGTCTCAAGTCAGAATATCAGCGTATTCATGGATATTTGTTCCTTATGCAGCTCTATCATCTATCAAGATGATGCCGGCAACCCCGAGGAAGCCACGGTCACGTTCTGCCATCAATCACTAAAGGACTTTCTTCTTGACGAAAGGAAAGGCTCTTCCGATGCATGGTACTACAGTTCCCCGGATGAAGCAGATCTTGTTATGTTCCAAGTATGCTGGCGATATCTGAGTAGTGATGAGTTTGACAACGGAAATTTGATCGATCCGAACCAAGCTCGTGACTCTTCAGAACTGAATAGTTACTTTCAGAAGCACTGCTTTCTCAAATATGCGTCCAGCTTATGGATTACTCATGCTATTGCCAGTTATCCAGCACTACTGGGTGGATTGGAGATCGATATTTCAAAGGCGCCATCACTACGTGACGCATGGTTGATACAAGCAGCTGGAGCAGGCCAGCTAGAAGTCTTTAAACTTCTATGCAACAACCATGCCAATCTGAACTCAGTGGATATACATGACCAGACATCTCTGTTGTGGGCAGCAAAATTTGGCCACAAGGAAGTTGTTCAGATCTTACTCGCCGAGAACGTGAACCTTGACACAAAGAACGAGTGGGGTCGCACACCATTTTCATGGGCAGCTCACAACGGACACAATGAGGTCGTTGAGATGCTGCTCGCAACTGAAAACATTGAGCTGAATTCCAGGGATAATCTTGGTCGCACACCGCTTTGCCGTGCCGCTAAAAACGGACAGGAATCGATCGTGGCTCGCCTTCTTCAGATTGAGCATATTGAGGCTGACTCAGTGGATAATCTGGGCAGAACACCTCTCTCCCTTGCCGCTGAGGGTGGCGGTGAAGGTATGGTGAGGTATTTCCTTGCACTGGATCAGGTGGAGGTAGACCTGAGGGATAAAATCGGCCGAACACCGCTGTCTTGGGCGGCCGAGAATGGTCATTTAACTGTTGTCCAGTTGTTACTTTCAACACAGAGAGTGGATCCTAGTGTCAAGGATAACTCTGGCCACTTGCCATTATGGTGGGCTGCCGAGAACGGGCATGAGTCGGTGTCCCAGCTGCTGCGAAGTTAGAGTGGAGATAGCTGCGTCTCAGGGCCAGCACTACTCGAGTCATAGGACGGTGGTTGTCAGAATACGTAAAAATAAGTGTTCCCCTGTCATTTTGATCAATTGATGAGCTTAAATTTATCGTATCCAAAGCGAATTCAGTTCACCGTCCCTTCACTCGATGCGCGTGACACCTTCCAAACTATATGTTGGCTAAGCTATCCTCGGTTGAAGCTGCTCGCTTATGAAAGTAGCCTTCAATAAATACCGACACGCAGCAATGACTGATGGTCGACTAGTTGTGACTCGAATAATACAAACATAACATGAGAGACGGGCATTCCTTTTACGATGCGCATTCGCTAGTGACGCCACCTTTGAGTGAATTATCATTCAAGTTTGATCCCAGCGGGACATCCACTTTTAAAGCTCACGATGTTTTTTGAGTATTTTTTATATTTTACTTATCGGATCGGTGCGAGTAAAAATCCCGATATAGCGCAAGGTAACTTGATGACTTAAATTGACAATCCCTGTCGATAAATGCAGAAAGTATTCATTTACCTTCTATAGCCAGGAGGGATACAGAAAGTCTGGTGGTTAGCTTTGGCCTGGTGATTCTCGAACAGGCAATCACTGACGCGAATTAACGTTTGCAAAATTACGTGACAGGTATCGGGCGATGATCACCCGAGAACCTATTGTATCAAAACAACAAATTGATGATGATCATTTATTCTTCACACATAATCCTCTGACGTCGAAAATGTGGGACAAAAGGATGAAACGGAATGTGGAGAGCCATGCCGAAGTGCAGGTCAGTCCGGGGTAGCATGCGAACAAGGATATATATACCAGTGGCATTGTCTTCTAATTTTCCATCTCACAAAAGAAAAAAGACAAACACCCAAACGATTCCTTGAAAATTTCATTATCTTACCTCGTATTTTCGGTACAATGGTCAACTTTCTGTCAATTTTATCATTCTTTGTTGTCACCAATACAGCAGGAGTTTATTGCGCGACTACATCATCTTACCTTAACTGGAAAACATTCAATGCCAATGGCGCCAATCTAGGCGGCTGGCTGGTCCAAGAATCTACAATCGATACTACCTGGTGGGCACAGAATTCTGGGGGAGCCCCAGATGAATGGGGTCTATGTGTCCATCTAGGCTCCCAGTGTGGACCAGTCCTAGAGCGCCGCTATGCTACCTGGATTACAACTTCCGACATCGATACTTTGGCGGCGGCAGGTATCAACACTCTTCGAATTCCAACATCGTACGCTGCCTGGATTAAAGTTCCTGGATCCCAGCTCTATACCGGCAACCAAGTGTCTTTTCTCAACAACATAGCCACGTATGCTATCAACAAGTATGGCATGCACATCATCATCGATATTCACTCTCTCCCGGGAGGTGTGAATGGAATGCCATTTGGAGAGGCCGAGGGACACTATGGGTGGTTCAACAACGCGACAGCCCTTGATTATTCTTTGCAAACCGTTGATGCAGTCATCAGCTATGTGAAAAATTCCCAATTCCCGCAGTCATTCACTATTGCGCCAATCAACGAGCCTGTCGATGTGCCTGATATCACTCTCTTTGGAAGCCCCTACTGTCTTACCGAGAGTGGTGCGCAGTGGGTAGGAAGCTACATTCACCAGGTCATCGCCAAAGTCCAGGCTGTCAATGCTCAAATTCCCGTGATGTTTCAGGGTAGCTTCAAAGGAGAAGAATATTGGTCCCCGAACTTCACCACAGACACGAATTTGGTTTTCGATGTGCATAACTATTACTTCGCGGGCCGTGGAGCCAGCTCTGCAAATCTCACTCAATATATTTGTCAGGATGCGGTCAGTGCGCCTGGCGATGGAAAGTTTCCTGTGTTTATTGGGGAATGGTCTATTCAAGCAGAAATCGCCAATACGTTCTCTTCTCGCAAGAAGAACCTCCAGACAGGAATTGCGGCGTGGAAAAAGTACACTCGAGGCAGTTCATACTGGACTTCAAAGTTCTTTGGAAATGCAACCGTTGATGGAGAGGGTACGCAAGCCGATTACTGGAATTTGGAGAGTTTCATCAGCTTAGGATACACTGGCTCATCCACCAGTGCGGTAGTATGCTGAGGAATATCGGATCTGATGTATATATTTCGCTGTAATGTTGCAATGCTCCACTTCGGAACGTGAAGTCTATCTGGACGTGATGCCAACTCTCTACGGCAATCAGTGGAATCCTCTAGATAATGTCCGAGAAATCAAGGTCAACAATTTGTTCTCTGGCTGAAATACAGTACAAACATTTGAAGTTGCTATAATATACTTAGTCCTCTTTTTGATACATCAATTTTCATTCATTGCAATTGGCAAGTCCTTTAGAGACAACAGTCCGTTTTCATTTACTACAAAAAAAAAGTCTTTTTGTTTGTCCCCATACTCTTCATCCCCCGTACTCACATCATAATTTCTGTTATATACCAGCGATGTACTTGATACAACCAGGTAATGCACATTATTTTCGGGGCTAACATCTTGGAAGGAACTTCTGAGCATTTGGTAGCAATGCAGCTTGCTTTCTACAACTCAAACTTGATCGAAAGGATTATTTCAACATAAGGACCTTTTGATACATAGAAAAATGCATGGGTATTTCTCAAATACTGCTCCGAAGCTCAGGTATCAGCCCCACGCGGTACATAAGCAGTTCCGAGGTTCCTCTGGCGGCCGCCAGTCCCCAATTTCAAGTTCGATACTGTATCGGTACATCTGGATCCGAATTTCGACTTGATTGGATGATAGAAATCTCGACATGACAAATGTAATTAAATTCTAGCAGGCTTCTCCATAGTGAGATTTAAGCCAACCTGGAAGTTTTGAGGGGCTTCGGACCCCCACAGGGACCTTGCATATCCTGTCCACCCCCACCCCCACCCTTACGTTGATTGGTTGACATAGAACTCCGCGATGAAAAGAGTCGTTTGAATTACTTTTGTGAAGAAAGGTTATTCAGTAGTGGAGCCGAGACTTGTGTATCATTCCGATAGCCCCGCTTGCTTTTCTGGAAATGAAAGACGGGGCCAATTGGGGATTGTATAAAGTTTCATCAATTCTTTATTTTGATTTTAATACCTTCAATTTGTGTCGGGTTGGTCAAAGTTTTGGAATGCTTTCATCTGCTCTAGCTGTCATCGACTCTGACACCAGCAAATATTAGCAATCACCGTAGTGTTCATTCACATATTGACCTTTTTCCAGTCAAGTATATAATAGTTGCACCAAATGTAGTCTAGAAACGATTTCTTTACTCATCAGCGAGTGGATTTATATGATCTCAACAGATTTGTAGTCCCTCAGCAAGCTTAACTTGCTGATGTATCTCTTCAATGTCTGGATGATGATGTTCTACCGTTTGTATTGCACTCAGAATAATCATTGGAGGGGATACACTGCTGATGACCACGGGCTGGCATGGATTTATCGGGTCAATATTATCACACTCTTTGTATTTTTTGTTGTCTATGTTCAAGTTGTTTTATAGGATGTTTTAAGCAACAAGCAAAAAACCGTGCTCGATTGTCTCAATCTAGATCAGTTACAGCGCAGACACCCCCCTGTCAAAATTCCTACGGTCACAAAGACCTGAATCACGGTGTTCTTTTCATTGATCCCAATCAATTCCAATGTCTTTGTTAATATTCAAAGAGTGTTTCTTGGCAGATAAAAGGACAAGACAGTTGTTTCGATCGACGCCCATGTGATAAACTATTGGTACTTGACCTATGGTGACTTGGGGAAAGGCAACAATAAACCCTCAAATAGAATGAAACCGTGTAATAAGAGTTTTTCCAATGAAACAAAGTTTTTGCAGAGAAGTTAGAAGTGGAAGCTTTGAGCACACATTACAACTCTTCCCAAGAACATAAATAAATTTGCTTTTATCCGATCCCATCTCCATTGAGGGCAGGATATATTCCATTCGTTCACATGTCCATAACCTCGCCCGGCTTGCACAGCCCAGAGCTATTAGTATGGATGTATCAATGGTGGCACTGTTTTAGGACATCGTTCTCGTCACGTGTGCTCCACCTGCCGAGGCTCTAAGATTGTAAACAAGCATTTTGTATGGCCTCTAATGCACCCTGCGAGGGGCGATTCACTGCAGACTCATTGAAGACAGAATTATCTAGATTTCGGGGTAATATACAGCCAAGAAATCTAGCCTGTCCGTTTTGCCCCTATATTTCAGGCAAGGATAACACGGGCCACGTCAATTTCTGGTTGAAATCCGGGGAAACACGCTAGGGTCCAATCAGGAAAGTGGTTGACCAGTTAAGGCTCTCGAATCTGACCCCCAATCACGGAATATTCTCTATGAACCAATCGCTTCCCAGCACTCATTTCACCTCACCCCTACTCGATTTAACTACGGCAATTACCCCGGCTTCAAAGAGGAATTTACCAGCCACGGGCAAGGATCACAGACACGCTTTGTGTTTCGCCTCCCCATTTATCCAGAACTTAGCCTCTTAGAGCCTTTCGCTGCCAATGCCTTGGCTGTGTTCTGCCGCGCCGGTACTTTGCTTTGCCTAGAGTCCAAGAGTCCTTGGAAAAGCCACCCACGGAGCTTGATTCCGCTTGGCCTGGCGAGGTCTCGGGATGTCTTGCTTGATTTTTTGGCGTCTCCATTTTATCCATTTTTGCCGCTAGGATGGACCCCGGCTATGCTGGTACGTGGTTGATTTTACCCCTCCGACTATAAGACTCCCATGCAGCCGCAGCGATGAGGATCCCGGATCTTCAACTCTCCGCCAGTCAGGCTCACACACTCCATATAATTGTTTCGTCAATCTCTCCATAATGGGAAAAGACACCTTCACCCTGGGTGGCCGGGAGTGGCCTAAGGTGACATGGTGGAGGATGAAGGGCATGCGCTTCGTTTACCTTACTTTGTGGGCGGCGATGATTACCTCGGCTACCAATGGTGTGTTCCCCTTTGACCACACTCTGAATCATGCGACTAACAAGATCGAAGGTTATGATGGGTCTTTGATGAATGGACTGGAGGCTATGGACTCCTGGAAAGGATGTAAGTGCAGATTGAACCGCAAGAAAGTAGACCAATGCTCACTGATGTTCTACGACAGCCTACAATAACCCACAAGGCTCTACACTTGGTCTTCTGGCCGCATCCATGGCGATCGGTTCTATGCTCTCTATCCCTGTTGTACCCTACGTCGCAGATATCATGGGACGACGGGCTGGTGTTGTCATAGGCTGTGTGATTATGCTTTGCGGTGTCGCGATGGTGTCTATTGGATACCATATTGCCTTATTTGTGGTCGGGCGCATTGTCCTTGGCTTTGGCCTGGGAATCTCGCAGGAGTGCTCGCCACTTTTGGTCACGGAGCTTGTCCACCCTCAGCACCGCGCTGTCTACAGTAGTATTTACAATTCGCTTTGGTATGTCGGCAGCTTGATCGGCGCCTGTGTTGCTTTGGGTATGTTTTTCTTCTATCACACGTTCCGAAACAGTTTATTCATTCAAGACTTTTAGGTACAAACCATATTGTTGGTGCCTGGGGATGGCGTGTTCCGTGTCTTTTGCAGGGAATTCCATCTATCTGCCAGTTAATATTCATTTGGTATGTCATCTCTTCCAGTTGTATGTCTCAACCCGTTCTGATTGGATGTTCCTGATAGGACGGTACCCGAGTCACCTCGCTGGCTCATTTCAAAGGGCAAGCTCGAGCAGGCCAAGAAGATCCTGGCTTACGTCCACGCACAAGGCGATGAGGATGACGAGTTGGTCAACGTCGAGTTTGACGAAATCCAGCAGACCATTGCGCTGGAGAAACAATTCGAGGGCAACAGCTGGTCCGAATTCTGGTCAACAGCTGGAAACCGTCACCGTTCCATTATCCTGATTTCCATCGGCTTCTTCTCTCAATGGTCCGGAAACGGCATTGTGTCTTACTTCCTGCCCCAGGTTCTCAAGCTCATCGGAATCACAAACAGCAACACAGTCCTCACCATCAATCTTGTTCTCAGTGCGGTAAACGTTGTTTCAGCAACCGGAATTTGCTTTTTTGTCGACTATTTCGGTCGACGGAAGCTTTTCCTTACCTCAAGTATCAGCATGCTTCTCTGCTTTGTCTCGACTACTATTGCCCTGGCTCGGTTTGCCGATGGACCATCTGGCAATGACACCGCAGCACATGCCGTTATTGCATTCATCTTCCTCTACTTCATCGCCTATAACATCGGATTCAGTGGTCTCCTTGTGTCCTACTCGTCGGAGATTCTGCCATACCGTCTCCGCGCCAAGGGTCTCACTCTCATGTTCTTCTGTGTTGATCTGAGTCTGTGGTTCAACCAATACGTCAACCCGATTGCCCTCCTAAGCATTCAGTGGAAGTACTACATCGTCTACTGTGTTTTCCTGGTCTTTGAGATCTTCGTGGTTTGGAAATTCTACATCGAAACCAAGGAAACTCCTCTGGAAGAGATTGTTAAACTCTTTGACGGCGATAAAGCCATTTTGGGTGGAGCGGCCGCGTCAGAAAAGATCACTGCGCTTACTGCTCGTGATGGGCAGCCAGTGGAGATCGATGGCGAGAAAGCCATTACCACTCAGGTTGAGCTTAGAGCCTAGAGAAGGCGCTACGAATTTTTTGGTCTCATTTCGAGCAGGGACGCGTTTTCTTGTGGCTCGATAAGATTATAACATCCCAAATATCAAACTCCCCCGCTGATGAATATAATTGGTACTTTTAATGAAATTCAAATCACCTCATATCGACGCGATATGTATAATGAAGTTATACCGTATAAATAATCAATTAGGTCATGAAACTTGAAGCAATGAGATCGGAACTATCCCCAAATTTGGTATCGCCAAGTCCAAGTGGCCATTTCAGATGAAGGCAAAAGTACTTTGTCTCGCACTAGTATTAGCCTGGTAGACCTCGCTTGAAATAACAGTTTTACGAAATCATGTAAGGCGAAGGCAAAATCTCATTCTAGCCCCGGGCAGTAATTGCTCGAGAGTTCGCCTGGGGGTCAAGGCAAAAAGTAGCATTTCGGCTCCCTTTCTATTGACGTATAGAGACGAGGCAGACCACCTTTTATCATATATTTTGCCTGGTTTGACTGAAAATTTTTCCAGACTTTTATAGAAGCGACGCCAACAGCTTTTCCCCCTACATGCTTTAAGAGTCACAGGTAACTACTATAGTCAGATTGGGGGGGGGGGGCAAATTTGGCTCGCTTGATCAAACTCGCTTGAAAGCGAATTGCACGCGCTAAAATTAGTGGTTGCTTGAATAAACTATATTCCTCATTCACCGATAGATGAGTTGATACCTCCGGATAAATTTACAAGTATGACTGTTGGTATAGCAAATATTAGCCTCTACGGCACTTTTCCGACTCCTCTCTCGGTATTAGTTTGTGGCTTACCTTTAGCTTCATAATGATTGACTGGAACATTTCTACCACCGGGGACCGAGCTATAGCCTAATCCCCCGCATTTACCCCGGAAACTACAGTGAAGGTAAACACCCGGGAAATTCACGACTTCAGCCTCTCCACTGTCGACCTTGCCAGACTTCGGTTAGCTGTTTATGATGAAGAGGGGTATAGAGCCAGGTCCATCGGCTTCTGTTTTTATTTCTATTTAAATCACTTCCCCCGGCGACATGGAGCAGGATACTCACGCTCCGTGCCAGTGACACAAATCAGCAATGATTTCCTTCATCGCCCTTGCGGCTCTATTTGCCAATTTTGTCAATGCCGCACCTCACGCCCAGGATCACACCGGCGCTGGGCTAAATGCTCTTGCGCAGAGTCAGGGCAAGCAATGGTTCGGAAGTGCCGCTGATATCCCTGGAACGGCGGAAACAACCGATGCCGCATATTTGAAAATTCTTCGACACGAGTTTGGCGAGCTCACCCCGGCTAATGCTTTGAAGGTTTGTTGTTATAAACGGTCTCATGACTGTCTCTTCCTGGGTGCCGGTGCGCTGACCATAATCTTCGTAATTTAGTTCATGTACACAGAACCCGAGCAAAACGTGTTCAACTTCACCGAGGGAGACTACTTCATGCGCCTCGCCGAGGAGTCCCAGTCTGCAGTACGCTGCCACAACCTCGTATGGGCAAGCCAACTGTCCGATTTCATAACGTCCAAGACCTGGACTGCGAAGGAGCTCACGGCGATTATGAAAAACCACATTTTCAAGACAGTACAGCATTTCGGAAAGCGCTGCTATTCATGGGATGTCGTCAACGAAGCTCTCAACAGTGACGGAACTTTCTCTTCTAGCGTTTGGTATGACACCATCGGTGAAGAATATTTCTATCTCGCATTCCAATATGCGCAGCAAGCTCTTGCTCAGATTGGCGCTCAGCATGTGAAGCTGTATTACAATGACTACGGCATTGAGAACCCCGGTACGAAGGCAGACGCCGTTATAGGGCTTGTTCAGAAATTACGCAAGCGGGGAATCAGAATAGACGGCGTTGGGCTCGAGTCTCACTTTATTGTTGGCGAGACGCCCTCTCTGGCTGATCAGCTCACTACGAAAAAGGCGTACATCAAGGCGGATCTGGATGTGGTTGTGACGGAACTCGATATTCGATTCGCTGAAGAGCCATATTATACTCTTAATGCTCAGAAGCAACAGGCTGCGGACTATTACACCAGTGTGCAAAGTTGTCTTCAGGCTGGTCGTCGTTGTCTCGGTGTTGTTGTTTGGGACTTTGATGATGCGTACTCGTGGGTGCCTGGCGCTTTTGCCGGTCAGGGCGGCGCCACTCTGTTCAATGATACCCTCCAGGCTAAGCCGGCGTACTATGCTGTTGCTGAGGCACTGCAAGGTAAGAAGTGCACTGTCTGCTAATTTTTCATCCGTATTGTCATGTGCTCTTTGATTGTCGGCTTAGCCGCTACTCGCCATTGAAAAGGGGATGTTACACAATAAGCTTGATCTAAATGTCAACCAGGAGTGAATCAAAGTCGGAACTCTTTTGTCAATTATGGAAAGTTGCTGAGAATAAAGTATAAATGGGACAGAATTTGGAAAACCATGCGCTTTTAAGGTCTATTTGATACTGGGCCGGACTAACATAGCCTCTGAGTTGTTGCAGTCCTATTTATGTGGTTGGTTGGCGTAAGGGAAGGGCGTGCTGAAGACAGCTCTGACAATCTAAAACATTTGATTGACCTACGTATACTTCTATCTGGAAGTTGAGAGTATACAGAACGTGTACTAATGGATTCACCATGATATTGGTACTTGATCTAGTTACTGTCTATTCACATATCCCGCTATATATATTGTTACCAAACAATCATTCCTCAAAAGATCGAAAGCCGATTCATACTAAAGCAAGATTTGCCGATTAGCCAATCACTAGCCAACCTGAAATGAATATTGCTACGTGCTATTACAATACCAGGTGAGATTTGCAGGTAAGGTGTAAACGGTTACAGTTATCTTGGCATTCTATGCCTGGAAACAGCGAATTTAGAAAGGCAAGGCAAGTCCATAAGCCGCTGTAAGTTGGCGAAAAGAAAACAAAAATTTATTCGCCGATGCCTCTTTCTTAGGTCTCACAAGGCCTGGATAATGCGACGATAGCTCACCATTAAGTTCTACTGAGTGCAAAATAACCACAATCAAGGCCATCTACGAACGTTTAGCCAAGAAAACAAAACAAGGAGTTAAACGCGCTCTTCATAGGTAAAACCAATATCTCAAATCTAAGCCACATTCTCGTAATGCTGAGAGTCGCTGTTGTCCTTCTTCTCAGTGTGGGCCAAATCAGATATAACCTCGGTCCGGGCAATCATGGTCGCCTCCTTCCAGCTAATCGCATTCCCCGAATCATGCTTAATCTCGAATAGCCGATCAATCTGCTCAAGTGAAAGATTCGCGGTCTCAACATAGAAATACCAGATGATTGGCAAGAAACAGAAGTTGAAAATTGCAAAAAGCATGTAATACTTCCACTGGATGTTCGCAATAGCAGTAGGAGTAGCAACGACGATAACATATACGAATAACCAATTCGTAGTAGTGGCGAATGAAGTTCCTATATTTCGCATTTTCTGAGAGTTGATTTCCGCCGGATAGATATAAGGTATCGACAGGAGCGACACGCCGTAGAAGACATAGTAGACGAAGATGAACACAACCGCAAGGATGGACATACCCCGATTACTAGGGCCGCCGTACCGCAGTCCAACAGCAACAAGCGCAAAGCAGAGACTGCTGCCCGCAGCTCCGAAAAGCATCAGTCTCTTTCGGCCGATGCGGTCGATAAGCAATGCTGCAACAAAGCCCCAGAACATCAGTGACATCGAGTCGACTGCTGACAGAATCAAAGCCATTCTGTTATCCAACCCCACTGACCGTGTCAACACCACAGGCAGGTAGTATGCAATCACATTGGTTCCGCCGACCTGTTGGAAGAAGGCAGTTCCAGCCCCCAAAAGAATTCGGCGCAATGTCTGCTGCTTGCTGTTCCTCTTGAAGATCTCCTTCAAAGGCTTCGCATGCTGGAGCTCCTGCTCATGATTCACAGCAATCTCTAAAGTTTGTATTTCATCTACCACCTCTGGGTCATCGATGGATTTTGCAAGAAGCCGGGCTAGGATTTCGCGGGCTTTATCGGAGCGGCGGTTCATGACAAGCCAACGCGGTGACTCTGGGGCGACAAGAACAAAGAGTATGGTAACGATGGCAAAGGCGCACTGGAAGCCGAGAGGGAATCGCCAGCTCACTGGAGAGTGAGGGATAAAGGTGAAGCCGTAATTCATCCACTACCCCGGGTTAGTTTCGTTCTCAAATACCGGTAAATATAACTCACATTCGTAATGACAATACCAAAGATGTTCGTCACCAGCTGAGCAACGATCAACTTGCCCCGATCCTCGGCGCGTGCAGTCTCTGACTGCCAGATGGGAATCGCGATAGTATTCATTCCATTTCCAACGCCAGCAACCACACGACCAACTATCATCTGCACGAGAGAATAGGAGGCTGTTTGCAAGATAGCACCCACAATCAGGATACAACAACCGATCAGAATTGACCGTCTACGACCAAGCTTGTCTCCTGCAAACATAGACACCAGAGTGCCTATAATACAGCCGATATCATAGGTCGCAACAATCTGGCCTTGGATAGTCACAGACGGATTCCCAAAGGTTGTTAGAAAGGGTTCATTCTCTAGAAGTCCCCCGAAAACGCCCTGGTCATAGCCAAAGAGAAGAAAGCCGGCACCACATGCTGCAGTGATTCTGTATTGAAGCCATTTGCCCTGTGTCTGTTGGAAACCCATTTCGATTTAGTAGCCTAGTAGTGCGTGGATGGTGCATCTACTACTGTAAAACTTGGGAGGCAATAACAATTCCTGCCACTCGTACAAGATATCCATATTTATATTGAATCAAATAGAGTTTCTCTCATAGGTGGAAGCTCAATTCTACCCCGTAAAATGACCCAAAAGACATGATTTCCGGGTCTGGGGAAAATGTGGGATATGCACGCAGGTCGGGTTTCGTTTTCCGCAAGCTTTTGCTAGTCCCAATCGACATACATGCTGCGGTAATACCAGCGATTGGTTGCTTATGGACGATAGAGCAACAATTGAACGATATCTCTTTCACAATCAAGGCTATCCACCGGACATTGCGCCATTTGATGTCATTCCTCTCATTGTCATAAACGACTGTAGATATCTACCCCGCACTTCGAGGTCAGTATATTGGCAACGGGGGCTTTGGTGGCAAGATCGTCATGATTTACCCTTATCATCTCTAGCACTGTACATGTCCCCTTTTAAGCTGATTTCCAGCACATACGACCACAGGGTGTGGAGAACAGGGCTTCCCGTCCGCTCAGCCGTACTTAAGCCACACGCCGGTAAGTTAGTAGTTAGGTGGGTGACCACTAGCGAATCCTTACTGTTGTATGTTTTTTCTTTTTTAGTTCTCGTTCGTTGCTGGATGAATCAGCCTACCAAAATAAATAGTGAAATGGGAGATACTCGATAGCAGTCTGGTCAAAACAGACGGGTCGACAAATGATGGCAAGAAACCCCAACAACAAGTCAGGTTAGGAGCCCTAGGCAAATGACTCTTTAACAGTGATAATCGGATGCTATATCAAGGAGCATAATGATCATAAACGTAAATCAGAAAATGAGTGGCATTGTTGTAACTGTCCATCATTCCCTACAGTCGTAGATTGCCCATATGCCTTCCTTGAGGACATCGCTGCCTGAGGCAGTAATCATACAAATCTCGTGATTTCCCCACTACAATAGTTAGCATAAAGAGTAGCCGAAATCAATGGATTGTATTTTCTCACAATCATCATAGTATTGGAAAACTACCACAAGCTACCTATTTTCCTATGTTGTAACAAGCCAATTCTTTCTGAAACGGGTACTCACAACAAGAAATCTCCGGTGGACGACGATAATGGTACTGCCAACCCTCTCTATCTAATTCACACCAAAGAAGAAACATCACATCATAGAATGGAACCTTTATCCACCCTACATCTTCCAAAGTACAAACTTCAATAGCCTCGTACTCATCTTAAATCCTTTCCCCATTATCATAAGGGTCATACTCCTTCCAGTCCTTTCGAATAAGTTGTACAACTCCCCTATTCTTTTTAGAAGTGAGGACAGAGTCTAAGACATCCTACGTAATCTGAAGACAGTACTTGTTTCGGTGAAATATCAGATTCGGGCTAGTACCCTGTACTTCTGGTACTACGCTCGCCGAATATTGCTAAAAGTGCCGCCGAACCATACTAGTGGTAGCCCCGTCTAAACTTTTCGAGTCTTCAATCATAGCCAAGGCAAAATTATCAAGTATATTAGGGGCTCCAATTTCTTCCGGAATCTCGTAAGTATTATTAAGTAGTCGACTCAGAAACTCGTTCTAGGCCGCTTAACTCTGATAGGTGCACCGGTAAATAAGAAAACCCTAGGCGCGAAGGCCATTTTCACGGAGTTCTTGGTCAATTTGGTCGGGAAGGCACGGGGGGTCCACGTACCATAGAGACTCCTCTAGAGGAGGGAATTGAGTAATTGAACGAGTGTGCCTTTCAATAAGACTCAGGCAGATAGGCGAGATTGTTGCTGGTAGAATGGAGGAGAAGGCCCGATAGGGGATATCTTGATACCAGTTTCTTTGGCTGACTCCGAACATGCGACCCGCCTTGAAGACATGGAGTGAGGTTGAAGTGGGATGCAGGAGTAAATGCAGCTTCGCTATCCCCCTAGCCGGAAGACACATTATATGCTTGTACGGGTGGTGCGTGTGAAAAGGGGGTTAAGGTGCGTAGTTGACAAAACCGGTGACTTGCTGTCCAGGTGTTACATATCACGCTTTTTTAGTTACAACACGCTATTTATCAAGTTGGCCAGAAATGTCATAGGAACGATTAAACAGATGTGTAATTACTGCCGCAGTAATATATACACCAAGCTCCAGCTTCCATTCAGGTTGACACTGTTGAGGCCTCGGCATAGCATGACAACTTAGTGAGCCGATCCAAAATCCACGCCAAACAATCAAATAACCGATTTTTTATTGAGATGAATATAAAAGTTCGTCTTCTTTTAGGTTTTCCCGTTATCCAAGAACAATGGCCGCCACAATCTCATATAGATCGATGATACAGCTTGGGCTAGCGAAGTATCAACCTCCCGGACCCTTTACTGCCGCCCCCCTTAAAGGAATAAGAAGGATCAAACAAGTCTCCTTTGATCATGAGTCACGAGCGCCGATATCAGTATTTCTATGCCAGTTGTTCGGTCATGGCGACAATGAGGCCATCGAATCTTTCATCGAGATCTGCGCGCAAAACCGCCATGTAATCATCCGGCAGGGGGGAGCCCTCAGCAATCCAGCGGAAGCGAGTCTTGTTGGGACCGAGAGAGTCCAAGGCAGTTGTTCCAAAGGCGACCATGTCAGGATAATCAGGTCTTCGGACTCGGAAAGTCATGGAGTGCTTGGAGGCATCGCACGCCGTAAGCTCCTCAGAAAAGGTGTATTCCTGACCCTTGTTTTTGCCGGCAGGATAGACATAGTTGAAGGTGCGTATGCTGCCCAGTCCGAATCCTTCGAGAGATACGGACTTGGCTCCTGGGTACCATGCCTTTTCGGCGCCAAAGCCCGCCACAAGGCCCCAGACTTCGCCGATGGGCGCGTCGATATCACGGGTCACGGTGGTGTAGTGGATCAGAGATGATTTGGACATGGCGAGTCTGGATCCAGATAGTTCTTCTTTATTTATCAGGTAATAGAATGCAAAAAATGTAAGTATTCAAAATGATGCCAGTATGACTAGAGGAACGGAGATGATCTGCTAACCAGGCACGATCTATTCTTTTTATGCTCGTCGTGATTCTGAATCTACAACGGCTAAGATTTCATCATTATTCAGCGTGCCATTCACCACAACTGTCGGAATTTGGTTGATAATCAGCTGTTGGCTAGAAATCGTGAAGATAATAAGAGATTGGGCCGCTGACTCGATATTCTCCCGTTGGTAGCAGGCCGACGCTCCGCGTTCCTCTCCGTCCGTCCGTCGTTCCGTCCGACAGAGGAAAGAGAACGTGCCTCTAACCAATCAGATCAAGGCTGGTATGGATGTTTCTCAGCAGTTTTGTTTTAAGGAGTTCAGTCTAATAATTATTAGAAAATAAGAGAGATCGAGTGTCATCAAGACATCCAATATTATTCACGGACGAGCAAGCACGATCGCACGATCGGTTGATTCAAAGTGAGTTATTCTTCGATTGAAAAAGTCAAGATTCTTAGAGCTAGTCACTTTGTGAAAATTACTACTGTAGTTGTCAAAAGCCCAGAAGCATCAGTAAAAGGCCAAATTTTGAACTTGAGTATATTCCAGAATCTTTACAACGCTGTAAACAGAGTACATGTGTTTAAATAGCGAAAGTTCAACCTATTTTCGTGAACTTTTCTACCAGTACGTTGATTGTAAGACAAGATCCAGTCACCTTTTTTTATTTAATACCAGCTACTCACGCTCTAAAAGAGGAGTCGTTTCAGTACATTCCAACTACACGTCGGGGTTGCGACGGAAGAATTCCTCCAAACTAGTCTGCTTGACGTTCGAGAAGCGCGCAACATCAACCGGCTCATAATCCCAAGAACGGGCCGGAATATGATACTGATAGCAGTATCGAATGAACTTATACCAACCGCTCTTCCCATGTTCAGCTCTTGCCTCAGTCAGCTTACCCTCTGCATCCTTCACTGAGCCCAAGCAGTTAAGCTTAGCAGTGACACGGCCTTCTCTCGCAGCAGTGTATGCTTTGGCGATGTCCTCGGGGGACGCTTCGAAGCTCTGAACACGAATAAAGCCTCCATCGGCAGCATCCGGGGACATGATAGCCTCAAGCACATAGTTCCCGATGTCCTCTGCGGTAGTATACCGAGTGGGAAATTTCGAAGGCCCGTGGAAGTTGAATGTTTTGGTCTCCGGATCCCAGTCATATGGGCTTCGCTTGAAGTAGTACTCAGCGATTGCGCCGGTGAACATGTAGATCGGCTTGATAGTCGAGCTCACCGCGACATGATGGGCGAAGCCGCGCATGTCATCATATATCTCATGTGAACCAGGAGTAAGCGTCCAGTCGTAGTTCCATGAGGTAGCGTGGAAGATCTCAAGATTACTCAGTCAATTGTTCAGAGGGAGACCTGGTGCTCACTTACCTTCACTCCGGCTCGCTCTGCGGCTCTAATGAGCAGCAATTGCGAATCCATGAACATTTCCGGGATTCCGGCGAAGGAACAGATGATAGCATCAACATCTTTGGTGGCCCGGTCCATTGCAGCGATGTCATAGGGGCTCGACAACGTCTCGAACCCTTCAAGCTGGCTCCGAACATCCTCTGGGACATTTTTGATGTTGCGAGCTAGGCCCCGAACTTTGAGGCCACGCGCAAATGCGGACCTGGCACAAGGAATACCGACAAAGCCGGTGATACCAGCGATCAAGACAAGCATATTGTATCGATTTCGAGTTCTGAGAGTGATTGAAGAAGCGTTTTCGTTTGATGCAAAATAGAAAGTATCTTGAGTCAATTATATGCTGCTAGGATTAATAATGAATGAGTCTCGGTTCTTGCTCGCGCTCCATTAACACCGAGCGGCTGCCCAGCGCCGATTTTGGTATGCAATCCGTAAAAAACTCCTAATTTTAACAAAGGAAAAATGCATCAGGCACAAAATTCCAGAATACTATATGGTTTAATTTCCTGATTTTCATGAAATTCACTTCCATTACTTCACTCATGTATGGCTGTGAGATCCTCGAACTATTTTTTCAGTTCAATCTGAGATACTTTGGATTTAATTTACAAAACGACTTCGAAATTCTATTACCATACAGTTTCGATTTCTACTATGCAGTTCTCTTTGCGTACAGCAACTTTAGATTTACGGCGCTTGCCTTCCGATTCGTCTTTTTACTTCCGGGTCCGAAACGTTGACATCTCCGTCCGTCCGTTCGTCTAGACTCTTCATAACTGGAATAGTCATTTGTAGAAAGCTTTAGATTATATATTGCACAAAATGCCTATAACAGATAATCAGAGGTGGGATTCTCTGTCAAGGCATCTGATCTCATCCAGCCCAGCCATGGTTGAGAATCTATCAAGTCCCATACAAGTTCATCGTCCGGAGCAACCAGTCCGTCTTGACTGACAATACCTTGATCTGGTAGATCATTCCCACCCTCTTGGGCGATGTTTGAGCCCATGAAACTTCCGATGCTTGCCAGAGGATACTGGGTAGCCATGCTGGTAATATTTGTGTGTTCATTTCCTTGAGTTGCAGCCTCCAGAATGGGTTGAGAAAGCAGGGAGTTAGGGCGATTATGGATTAGAGGCTCGACCATTGCCAGGAAAGCGGAGAAAAGCTTATATATCTCAGCAATGGAGGGATGAATTTCCACAAAGCGCAACATCCCTTTAGTAACTGCCGCCATCAACAAATAGTCATCCTGGTTTGCCGAGAATACAACGTTGCAAAAAAGGACAAAAAATGGACTAAGTGGGTAGAAAAGTAGTGTCCTGAGAAGGTTAAAATCAAATCCGTAATAATCTTATGAAGAAGGACTAACCAAGTGAGAAAATATGGATATTCATCGAGGAAGTTTGCATCCATGTACATCTCATCCTGGATTTTCCCCAGGCATATGAGCGCTTGTCGAGAAGCCTGCAGACAATCTTCCCGTATTGATCGGTCTTGAAGAACACGTTGATTCAAGTGCAATATACTAGCTAGTAATGCATAGTAGCCAAACTCGATAGCAACCCATTCATAGGTTGTTCCTCGGAAAGGTAACTGATTTTGATGCTGATAGAACGAGTTATCAATATCTGTTATTCTTCATTCCCATCAAGTGAATCTTTAGGTTGCTCACCTTTTTTATCAACGCATTTATTTCATGCATATCCCGTATAAGCCTGGTAATTATTGTGGCCTGATCATTCTTATTGGCGTGGTTGAGTATGTCGAGAACACCTTCCTGGATCTGTGCAAACTCAACCATGATTTTGACACTGGCGCTGAGAGGAAGCTGACGGTCTAGATGAACTAAGTCTGCTGGCTTAATTCTCAGCTTTGGAAGTGACGGCGGTCTGAGAAGGAGCACGCTAAGCATTTTGTCGAGATAGTAACATGTATACAACGACCCAATTATGTCACGTTTTGTTTTGTCGATAGGCGTAATGGAGTCAATCGAGTGATAATTGAGAGATACCAAGGTTCTAGATGCGAAAGCTGCCAATGTCCAACTTCGGGACATGTCGCCTTGATTTTGCATGAATATTGCCTGGTAGGGGGAAATTAGTATAGAAGTCAATCAAGTCGAATAGGGAAAAGGGGGTTCAACATACACCCGACAGAAATGCTTGTAAGAGAAGCAAGCTTGGCGGTGTAAGATAATCTATTTCGGAAAGAGCTTTATGTACCTCGTGTTCATATTGCGTTTTACTTTGTTCAAGATGCTTCCGAAGTGGGACACTCCGATCTCTCTTTGGTAGTCGGCAAAGCAACGCGGCAGCTTTCATATAGACACAGACACGGTAGCAAGTAAGCCTGTGTTTGTCCTCTTTCCCTTCGATGAGGGACGAGCACATTTCTTCCATGGTCTGAAAGGAAACATGGTCAGGCCAAAATGACTGTTTCATAGTATTCGGCTCAGTGTCTGGAGCACTTGATCAGTAAAAAAAGGAAGAAAAAGAAACAGAAAATCCAGTCATGGTCATAAGCTCACCCATTGTCATCATATATAACAGCTCTGGCGGAAACCCCTTTGACTCAAGACCCTCACTTGCTTCGGACGCGTTGAAAGTATCGGTTGAGAAGTATGGTTTTGATGTATTAGAGAGCCGACTTATAAAGCTAATTGCCTCCCTCATCACCATAGATTTGCTTGTTTCGAGAAATGGATTCGACTCCAGCTCGCATTGCAGAAATTGAGTACCCTCTGAAGTTTGCTGAGTCAAGCCATCGCTGGCATTGATATTCAATGGGTTGGACGATCGCCTCTCAGCCCTTTCATTACTTTGTTGCCCGATATGAGGAACACCATCATTGTCGTTTGTATTAATCTCCTGTTCTGGTAATTCAACCGCTACTGCATGAAAAGCCGGGCCGTGTTGAGACGGAAAATCGGCAACTGATGACTCGAGCGCAGCAAGTCTTTCAGAAAAGGTGGTCACGCTTCACAACATGAGCGAAGATATTCATCAAAAGTATTGCAGTTCTTACCGAGCTCCTTTCCGGCGTCTACTTTTTTTGGGCCGATCTCTGCGGCAATCTACTAGGGCTTCGATGCAATTGGCACATGGGAACTGCCGATCGCATTTGATCTGGGATCCTTTGATGTCAACAGTTATAACCCAATAATAAAAGAGGCGACCGCAAGAATCAGTGATGCATGCATCTGGACTGCGCATTGTATGTTGTGATTGACGAACCTTTCTCAAATGACAGAAGTCGCACTATCTCTGCACATTAGCTCGCGTCTCCATATTGGCACAACTGCCAAGGATCCGTGATACACATACCGCTGGGCGTTCAGCTTCCACAGCATTAGGCGCCATATTATGCGATGCTATGAATCCGGATCTGGAGGTACTGCCGTTTGTTTTCCGAGTCGGAATGCTGGACGGAGAGTAGAAAGCTGAGGGGGGACGGTGACGCATTGTGGCAATTACCGGTTCCGTCCGTCCGCCGTTCCGTCCGACCTACAGATCACTCATGCTTGGGACTCGGGACTATTTGGATGCACATCTGTGTTTGATATTGACGATAGCGCTACCTTTGTAGACTCATGGAACAATTTATCATAACAGAAAGGACTTGGTCTCTGGTTCGTCATCCGGTTTACTTTCAAAACTTTGTACGCAGAACTTTCGATAGGGTGGACCATTTTCTCCGATATATATTACTCTTGCTAAGGTGAACCCAAAATATTGTTAGCGTCGCTTGCTACTTTTAGGGTCTTGAATATTAAGCTAACTACTATTTTTCCAAAATCACCGTCCCCCGAATACAATCGTATATAAAGTCCATGTCAGGGACTTGGGTAAAAATACTATAGTCTCGATGATTGCCTAGAGTAGCATCAACAAAGTTCGGAGCCTAGCACTCATTATAGATACTGATTTGTAGTTCCACCTGTAAAATAAAGCCTACCTGCAGGTTCGAGATTTTCCCATTAGCTCTTGCAAATAGATTACAACACAGGTCATTTTGCGTGCCTCGTTACGACACCTGATCTCATTAGCATCCTGAGACACAGTAGATTTCCAAAATTAATATCCTAATGCTCTACTCAGATCCGCTATTTAGAGTCTATGAGTTTTACATATAGACATTTACTGAGCGGAATGGGTGTTGTCCCTAGTCAATGGGAATCTAATAGATGTTATAGTGGATGAATCACGTGATTTACATGATTACTGCCCCAGGCAGTGATGTCCTCAAGGGAGGGATATAGGCAATCAATAACTATAGAGAAGGATAGCGAGATATAACAATGCCACTTATTTCTTGATTCACGATTTATAATCATTATAATCCTTGACATAGCATCTGATTATCCCTGATAAGCGTCATTTGCCTAGAGCTCCCTAATCTAGCTTGTTGTTAGGTTTTCTTACCACCATTTGTCGACCCGTCTATTTTGACCAGACTACCACCGAGCATCTCCCATTTTATTATATATTTCGTAAATCACACGTCGTAGCCGACCATAGTCCTAGATTGTAAATGTGGAATCTTCGGGGATACTAGGGTCTAGCCAGCTAATATCTACTGAATTTTGTATAGTGAAATCAAATAGAGAAACATACTACTATTGTATCTCATGGTGAAAGGTATTTATTTATAATAGTATTCCTTGATTTAACAAACTTATTTTAAAACTAGGGTGATAATATCGTCTATATGTTTAGTGATTAATTAAATGAAAGATTTCTCCCCTGGTTCTCACCCCGGCTCACTTTCTCAAATTGTATCCTGTTTTTTTTTTTCAAAGACCGCTCTCGCTTCCATCATGACTAAGGGGCAGAAGCAAGACAGGGATGATAGCGCCAGGTTTTAATACTTAGTAAAAGGCTCTCATTTTCCAACAATCGTTGGCTCTATCCTACTTGTTGAAATTGTAGCACTAAAAAGTAAGGTAAGAAATAAAAGATTCGTTTCCACCGTCCTAGAAAAATCTCTATCCTTTCTCTCTTACATTGAACATGTCTTTCTAGTGATTTTGCTGATCAGTTTAGGGGACATACGCAAGGTTCAACATCAAAGTCGAAGAATTGCAGATTGATCAAGCCGATCTTAATACCAAGCGCATGCTAGATCTGATGGCTGTTGGTCAAGATAACGGCGGGAAATGCGAGTCGAACAGCAAAACTGTGGAAGTGGTTTTGATTATCCTAAGTTGAAGAGTAAAATACTTGACTCTGGACTCACTCCGGCGCAACTTGAGCCATTGAAGCAACGTTTGGATACGCTAGAAAACTTTATGTCACCATAGCAGGTCTTTCATAAAGCTGGAAAGAGAATGAGAGTAAAACGATGGGGCTCTGTCTGGACACCGCAGGTATGCGATTCTTCACATGATGTATGCGTCATCACTAAGATGGATCAGCCGAGTCAACTCACAATAGTTGATCTTTCATGCCCGTGCATTTCTTCTGATACGGCCTGCTCCCTTTTCAATATATGTTTTGGTATCTTTTTGGAGCAAAACACAGATGTCGGTCGCATAGTGGCACTTGATGAGGCCCATAAAATGAGCTTTGTTCCACATACACTAGCGCTTCCCGCTGATAATTTGAAGGATATGGATAGTTCTGTTGAGGCACGGTCTTTCACGGAATCTCTTCTCTCTATTGTGAGACTCCAGCGCCATCTTGGAATACGTATCGTTATTTCAACTCAGGAACCGACGATATCGGCCGCACTTCTTGGTCTCCGCTCCGTCACCATTGTCCATCGATTTTCATCCCCGATATGGCTTCACGTTTTGAAGCACCATATCGCGGGTGTTGTAATAGGCGGAGACATCTCAGGAGAGTCCACTACCAGCACAGGATGCCAGCCTCTTTTGGATCGATCGCTATTTGACAGAATAGTTCGTCTTCGAGTGGGTGAGGTATTGCTTTTCTCCCCAAGTGCAGTGATCGGAACTATTGCTTCGGAAAGCTGCATGAAAGAGATAGTTCAAAAGCTGGGACCTGGCTATCTTGAAGTGAAAATGCGAAGTCGGCTCACTGAATATGGTAAGAAAAGTGTTGTCTCCTCTTGAATACGGATACTTCACTGCCTGCACCTATTGGTTGAATGAGGTAATGATGTTTTGATTGCTTACATTGAATGACTTCAATTTTGTTTACATGTAGTTTCTTTTGATTTTCGTAAATTCCATTAAAATTGCAATTAATTCCGGACCCCTTAGTTCCAAGGAGATGATATACTTGGGCCTGTCATGTACTCATATTTGTCAACTGATAGTCTGTGACTAGTACTCCTGAATAAAAACAAACCTGTTCATGTGATTGAGCAACAACCCCTGATAGAGTGTGGGGATAGTGGCTGTTTATTGGTGTATATAATATTATCTATTTTCCCGTTGAAGAAAGCATAAAAAGATGGGTGTAGAGAGGGCGAGAAGATGCCGCTGAATTGATTTCAAGTAGCGAGTAGTGAAAGCAATAATACAGTGCTTCCGGAAATCGGTGTCACCACTGCCACTCTTTGATTGTTTCTCGAAACTTTATTAATAGGCCACACTAGTATATATTGGGAATTTTTCCGGAAATCCCTGTTGATACTGATTGTATTGTTCTTACAAAGCGTAGTGGGTCGTAACAGTAATGAACCCTGACGCCTTCATTCAAATGATAATCATCTAGTGCTTTGTGAGAGTAAAATATAAGATAAATTAAAATACTCAAAATGCGCTACAAATCGAGTAATTTTCTAGCGCTGATAACATATGAGGAGGGGTGGCTTTTTAGCATCACCGCTTATATACGGACCGTGGAACACTTCCCTGGTTCTTCTCCATATCATTCAATTGCAGACATATCACCAGTCCCCAATAGTTGACGAGCCTTGCTTTTGTGCGTTTGGGTATGAGATCTCTTCTTTCGATACATGTAATGAATCATCAAATACTTCTTTTCCCTTCCCTTTGCCTCTGTCGCTATGAGTTGCATAATTTTGAAAGCAACTTAACCAGAGTACTGTGTATATAGCTCATTACAAACATTCATACCAATCACTCATGGGGCAAGAAGCTTGATAATCGCATAATGTCCCATCAATCTGGCATAGTCAAGCGCCGTTCGGCCCTGATAACCTCGGACTTCCTTATCAGCTCCAGCCTCAAGTAGCAACCTTACGACAGCCTCATGCCCTTTCTCGACAGCGCATAGGAGTGGTGATGTATCATATCGATGAATATCGGCGCCAGCATGGAGCAGTAGGCGTAACACTGCGTCGTGTCCTTTGTCGGCAGCGCATAAGAGTGGGGAAAAGCGTTCTCCAGACATCAAATCGACATCGGCACCCTCTTCAAGGAGGAACTGTACACTCGAAATATTATTCCGCCGAGCTGCCAAGTATAGTGCCGTAGCCCCTTGGTGGACATCATTGACATCAGCGCCGGCATCGACCAGCAGACGCATCACCTCCTCTTCTCCTGTCGTAGCAGCGGCTGAGAGCGGGGGAATGCCTTCTTCATATTCATTGACATCGGCTCCCGTGTCAATCAGCATTTTCAAGACCCGTGCTTTGCCTCTAATGGCCAAGAGGGATAACAGCGCGTAATCACCATATCGTGCAGTCGCTATATTGGCCCCAGCATCAAGAAGCAGACGTACTGCCTCCTCATAGCCCTGTGCAGCTGCGGCACATAGTGGGAGCTGGAGATGGGCATTCCCGTTGCCGCTCTCGGCTGCTATCAGGAGCTTCAACGCCTCTGTATTCCCTTGTGTGGCTGCGCAGAAGAGAGCTGTTGCCGTGTTGTTGTCCTCCGCTGCAATCCCGGCGTTGGCCTCAACCAGTAGACGCACCGTCTCCCTGTGGCCTTTCTTAGCAGCGGAGAGGAGTGCTACCTGAAGATAAAGACCTTGAGCACTCTCACCACCGGCGTCTAGCAATAGCCGCACGGCTTCGCTGTGTCCGGATTTAGCAGCGAGGTTGAGGGGCGTGCGCCTGGCAAGTATTCGATGCATCACGTAGTAACCTGGGTCCCTGTCCATGCCATGCTGAATTCTGTCATCGGTAAGACTCTCATCGGAGTCATAATACTCATAATAACTGTCATCATTCTCATCTCCATCGGAATAGTTCTCATCTCCATCGGAATAGTTCTCATCTCCATCGGAATAGTTCTCATCTCCATCGGAATATTCACCGGAATCCAGTCTAGAAGGCTCACTGGCACTCTCATTGGTGCCTTCACTGACACTTTGTCTCCCGTCATCCACACTAACATCCGTATCATACCTACCGACATCACTGGCCTCATAGCTGTTATCGAAACTGACATCTGATGGGAGGTTGTGAGCCTCACTTGTATCTTCCCACTCATTAGAGCGATCACTGGCATCCGACTTCAAAGGGGGACCAGTCTCGCCAGCCTCGAGTAGTAACCGAACAACCTTCTCATGCCCGGCCCTAGCAGCGACTTGTAAAGGAGTTTTGCTGTCTCCTGTGCGCCCATCCTTTGGGACACCAACATCTAGTAAAAGCCGCACCACGCCCTCATGCCCACGATGGGCAGCATAGAATAAGGGAGTTCTGCGGGAATGTGACACGGCTAGCTTATTGGCGCCAAAGTCCAGCAGTAGCAAGACTACTGCTTCGTGTCCGCGAAGAGCAGCAACATGTAGTGGGGTCTTTCCCAGCGAACTTCTTCTTTCTTTGTTTGCACCGGCTTCTAGTAGCACTTGTACTATCGAGTCGTGTCCATGATGACAAGCGATCAATAGTGGCGTTGCCTTTATCCGGCTGTTTCCCTCTTTGTGGGCACCCTGATCGAGCAGCAGATGGGCAAACTCCTTGCAGCCATTTGCAGCAGCCCAGAACAGCGTAAGTTTTTGAGATTCTGTTTCCTTCTGAAACCCTTTCTGAAAGAGCCACTGCAGGGCGGTTCCGAGCTCGTTCTCTGCCGCAAATTGAAGTGGCGACTGCCAACTCTGCCCCGGTAGGGTTAGATATGCATCAACATCCTTGGATGTCAACATCTTAACTATACCATCATCCTTATTGATGGCCTTACAGTGCAGCGGAGTCCAATTGTGTGAATCTTTTGAGACGCTATCGGCTGGACTGCCGGGTAGAAATTCCAGTAGCTCTGTATGCCCATTTATCTCTGCGAATTGTCGAGGTGTCCAGCCAAATTTATCCTCGGCTGTCCCATCGGCACCTGCGTCAAGTAAAGCATTGAGGCACGATCGTTCACCATTGATTGCAGCAATATGCACAGGTGTCCAACCAGCCAGGTTGCCATTTTCAGTGAGTTCGGCGCCGTAATCGATCAGGAGTTCAACTATCGCTTTGTGTCCGTTTCCGACCGCACAATGCAAGGGCGTCAAACCAAGCCTTCTATCGCTGGTACTGAGGTTGGCATATTTCAGCGACTCAATCACTTCCTTGTGACCATTTATAACAGCGAAATGAAGTGGCGTCAGATCATTGAAACCCGCCGCATTGATGGTGCTTTTATTGATGAGAAGTTCTGCGACCGATGCAGCTCCCATCTGGGCTGCAATATGCAGTGCGATATTTCCATCCTTGTCTTGCGTCATATCATCAATCCTTTCTTGCAACAGCTGCACGATGGCAGCAGAACCTCCCCAAACAGCACTGTGTAAGGCAGTGCGGCCCTGATCACACTGTAGGCTTGGAGTGGCTCCGGAGTCTAGTAAAACCTGGACCATCTTTATATGTCCTCGTTCGGCTGCGAGATGTAGCGGTCGACGTCCGATCTCGTCCGGCGCATCCAAGAGGCTGCATTCCTTGAGATAATTAAACGTATGCCAATCTCCCCGCCATATCGCACTGCGCAATCTTTCAGGCTTGTGAATGCCCTCAGAAATATTTCTGTCATCCACGTTGATATCATCTTCATCGCTCGTGCTTGCCGAGTCTCCTTCTTGCTCATGATCCATATAGCCCGATATTATAACTTCCTTTTCAACCCAGTTGTCCGCGCTTGCATCCAGTGCCTGGCGGAAGTACACCGCCCCGATATATTGGTAGCAGTCATTTAACTTCATCTTTTTTACAAGCAAAGCTCGTTCGATTAAGTTCGTGCCGCGTTCGGCCAAGAGTCGACAATCTTGAGGAGTTTCGAGTGCGCTTTGGATCTGAAGTCTTACCAGAGCATGGGTGTCACCCCACCAACAATCACTTACAAGCCCAGATCTCACACGACTCAAACGCCAGCTTCCAGAAACATGCCCTTCTTGAGAAACAACCAGAGAGGCGGGTGATGAGTCCAATGGAATGTGAAACAAGTTGGCCGGACACCAACGTAAGCCCTTGGACATGGTAGCGGTGTTGTGAAAAAGATGGCCAGGTGCGATCCGTCCGAATCTTTTGACAATACTCTTGTATGTCTCCTGTTGCTGCTCTTGAGGCTTCACACCGACTAAAAGCGCAGAGATAGTAGCCATATCCTTTGGCCAAGACGTATATCTTGCTCCTAACACGCTTAAAAGGTCGTTTAGGCTTGTAACCTCGCCACGGAGATTTCGAATGATCTGAGATGCATTTTTTCGAGCAATTTCAGTGTCTTCACTGCCCTCCTTCGCTAAGATCTCTTCATCTAGATCCTTGATAACAGGCCCTTCACGCCCCTTAAAAATGACTTTGACTTTCCGTGACTTGGTCAATTCAAGCGCCGTCCAGCCTCGACTAAACCAAGGCGACATAAGGATAGCAAAGCAAGCAGTTTTGGGGTCCCACTCCCAATTCCGAAGAAAACAGTCATGTACCAGGGTAATCCGCGCATCCTCGTAATTGACTTGAATCTTTTGAATAGCCTTATTCCGAGCCGCCTTTTCACGAGGAATGCAAAGGGTATCCCACCATATCCCCTCGCATTCAAACTTCTCCGCGATATCCCGGAAGAAAGCATATAAACACTGGTTGACAGCGCCGTCTTTCCAAGCCCCAGTTCCGGTCCCGTCGGACCAGACGTGGGAAATAGCCATGTAGGGCACAGGCGATTTGAGAAACGAGATCCCGTTCAATGCCCAAACCGTTGAGGTGCCATCGCGCGCAGCACGGTCTAATGCATACCTCGGGAATTGACTTCGCAATGGTCTACATTTGGCGTCTCTGCATTCATGACGCTGTTGCACCGCGCTGAAATCACGTTGGGAGTATTCACAAAAGTCGGATGTACATTGTCCGTGGTCCTTGTAGTCTGGGTGACTGCGCTGCTGCTTTGTCAAGGAAGCGACTGAGTTGAAGTTTGGGAAAATGTTTGGTAAATTCTCCCCCGCAACTGCCCAAAGGCGATTTGGACAGAGCTTGAGCTCTGTTGCTTTTTCGAGGGTTTGGAGGAGCTTGGTGTTATCTAAAGCCATGACACTGGGCGAGCTTCATTTATGCACATGTAGGATAAGGTTTTGGGAAGTCGGGGTTGGCCTTGGGATCTCCGACTGATGGGATTTAAGCCCCCACGTTGGGCGCCGAAGTTGTGCGCCCAACTTTATCACATACAGTTGCGGCTCTCTATTATCCAATGGCTTTGCTCTATGTGGTTTTACTTTCGGGTAAGGATGGATACATATATTTAACATGTTAATTGACTTAAGCATGGGTACATAGGGCTGTGAAAACCAAAGCACAGCCACACTAATGCAAGAACACGTCGGGCGATAATCATATCAGGCTTTGGGAATTTCAACTCTTTTGAACTTATTCTCTTGAGCTTCGATGTCAGCCTGCAAATCTTATAGCTCGATATCAATCTCTTCTGCGGCATTGTTGTTCTTCTATTTGTTTGATTTCTCTCATCAATCAACACGCTATGGCATTTCGGTGGTATTGCTGCGGGTGCAATTTTGGGCCGCTTACGTTGACATTATATGATTCATGTATTCAATGTGGAGTTAGACGCTGCACTCGATGCACAGTGGAGAAAATCGATGGTCCGTATGCGGAACCTTACATTGGCCAGAATTCGATGCTGGGCGACGACTATGATGATACGCCCACTCCAACTGTCCTAGCTAGACGCCGAAAAGGTTCCAACTACAATGAGATATCAACTGGTTCTTCTTCATCTTCGACAACACCAGTGACATCAAGACGAACGAGGCCAAAATCTACAGCTCCTCGGGTGCGGAAGACTCGCCCTAATACCATCGGCACAGGGACTCTGAGGATTCGAGGTAATGACAGCCAAATTCTGGGTGATGTGGCCCTTGAACGTCCACCGGCTATCTCGGATTCGTTGGATTCTCCTTCTCCAAGTACAACTACTTCGTATAACAAGCCAGATGTTGCCCCAGCAGACCTGGTGCATATAACTACAACCATCACATCTAACGGTAGCAGAGAGAGACTGCAGCGTCGGACCGCTCACGAAGAATTAACCGACAGCACCGCATCATCCAGTGAGATTCCTGGTTTGCCAAAGTGGCTGCATCAGAGTTTTAGATCCCTTGAATCATTCAGTCGGCAAAAGTCCACTTCTAGTCCAGACAATCTACTTTACAACCCCATGGACGACATCCAGATTGGATCTTTTACTACGCCTGAAGCTTTCTCTTTCTCAGTTAGACCCAAGTGTAGCAGCACCCGTCTTATCGTCTATTCCTCATCGCTTGGATCGGTCTTGCTAGATTGGGTGCACGCGCAGTTGTCTCGCGGTATTTACTCTTTCAACGAGACTCAGGCGCTCGAGAATGTTCTCGTTGAGCTGAAGAATAATCCACCAAAACTGATATTTTTGAAAACCATGGATGATGTGTCTTTCTGGAACACTTTCAAGGGCAAGGTTGAAACAATCATGGGTGAAGTGCTTGACTGGAGGCCCTTCCAGCCATATACGACACCCCTGGCCCAAGATCAAACTAGGTTATGCTGGGAATGTGTATGTACGCTCCCTCCAACTGGAGTCAATTGATTACTGATGCGAATCTCTCCAGCCCTGTGGTGATACGCGTTGGGCAGTGGTGCCTCAGTCCTTTGGACTAAAAGCTGAAGGCGCCTTCAGGGCCAATGCCGCACAAGCAAATCATAAGAGCACACCTGGAAACGACAGTTCACACCTTGGAACAGCGACTTCAAGTCAACTCCCTGGCATGGGTAAAAGAATACAACCCGGAAAATCGATTCTCGAATCAAAGATTGCTCGGCCCACAGTTGATTGTCAGAACCCAGAAAGTCCTCGCAATGTCGGCTACCAGCTACACGCGTTCCTTGTTCTCCTGAATTCTTCCATTTTCGGCAGTGCCCACTGTCTTGCGCAGACAGCCGTTCATGATATGAGTGATCACGAGTTCTTTACATGGATGCGGAACTCATACCACTCCCACCGAGGGTTGATTGCCATCTGGTTTGGCCTCTATAAATACGCGCACTGTGAATTCTTTCGGGTGAGTTCTCACGACACAAGCTCCGTTTGATCGGTGAAATGCCCAACTGGGATGATAGTTGACCAGGTGAGTATTACTAGTTTCGAAGGTTTGATGGGTATGAGTACGCCCCCTCCTACCGGAATATCCCGATGAGGATCAACCATTTTACCATTTCGCGCCCAAGCCCATGCGGCCTCGCCCGCCAATGGCATCACATGAGTTCAACCATTGGTTTTATAAACAATCTTGGTCTCGCACGGCCAGACGACTACTTTCTACGGAGCGGCACAGCGGGAAAGGGAAGAGAACATGTCTTCCACTAGGAAGCAGATACGTGGTCGAAGAGAAAATCCCCAAACGAGAGACTGCTCTTGAAGAAGGAGTCCCTGCGAGCGAGGATTTCTGGGGTCTCTACGTCGTAGAGAGACGCTCAGCATTCAGACTGGTAGTTTACAGCCTGGCTTTGTTATTTCCCTCTGTCTACTTCTTCTTTGCATGGTTGTTTCAATGGGGGCATGTAGGGGATTTGCAAAACGCATCTATTCCAATTTTGCTTTCACTAGCTCCCCTTGGGACATTTTGGGGATTTGTTCTATCTACTGCCCCTGGATTCGACACTAGTCGAACATTTTGATATGAATTTAATGAACGACTGGGGGAAACGAAACAAAGTCCAAGCGAAACCAAGCTTTCGCGCTCTTGATGCACCTCTTAGATAAAACACGATATATCTGCATTTAAACTAGAAAGGTTTTCTTGATTCTTACTCCCAGAGCCTAGGGACAAAAGATACCTCAACTTACTCTACTGCTACATAGTAACTCCAAAATGTGTGGGGTGTGTTTTTAATATTACCTTAAACATAAATACGGCTGATCTTATATATTGTCGAATCCATGGTTCTGAAAGATCTTAGATAACCTTAATTTGACCATTTTGCCGCCATTTCCCGCGTCTGCCAGTGCATCTCCTCACGGACTTATCAAACCCCATGTGATTTAGCGCTAATCATCTCAGCCGCTCTCAGCCCCCCGCAATGTCTGTATTCTTCGAGTCTCGAGTCCGCCATGGACCCGATATCTGCGATCGGGTTTGCTTCGGCAATTGTTCAGATTTTAGGCGCACTTACGTCGACCGTCCATGGCCTTTATGAACTGCACGGAAAGTTCAGCGATGCTGACTTTACAATCCACTCGCTTATCCAAGAGCTGAGCTGTATCCAGACAGCGCTCACCAGTCTGAAAGAATGGTATCGCCTCAATTCTTCCTCTGTGATGGTATCAGAGGAGTTTAATGAACAACTGCTTACAGCGATGGGTGGCTGTCAAATCATCATGGAGGTTTTGTCTGAGGAAGTGATGGCTTTGGTTCAAAGCAGTCGCAATGACGGAACCGTTGGGTTTAGATTTCGCATCCGAGTCATTTGGAAAGAAGATATCATGAAAGGGCACCAGGAGAAACTGCATGCGCAGGTCATGGCCTTGCAGCTACTACTTCAGGTCTGTCAATGGTGAGAATGTCCCTCTATACTTGAAGATCTCACAGAGGTTGATTGATTCCGGCAGTCATACATCGCAAGAACAGATCCGCCTATTGAGACAGGCAACAACCCGCCGCATCATGCGCCGAGTTCGCAACGATACCGAAACGTTGATATCCGCACGGAGTCAGGCCGCATCTAGCGCGGCCAGCATCTCACAGAACAGCAATGTAACAGCCAGTGATCGAGTCTTCGATTTCAACGATGCCCTCGTGGATTCGCCGGTCTATCGCAGGTCTCCTCAGCAACTCGTACCCTCAATAGGGGGCTTCGGTAGTCAGACCGATACCCATAGTGGCCGAAGCCCATTCACAGACGAGGGCTATGCAAGCACTCCTACACGCAATAGTAGCGTTACAAGACAGTCATTTGATGCGCCTCCACCGCAGCAAGATCATCTTCTCTTGCCTACTAGCCCATCGGCACCAGTGCATCCAGCTCACAGGAGAGCAACATCTTATCAAGACACGCCGCGCCCGGGCTTGCAGAATATGTCTCGAAGCAAGTCAGATACCAAGGCATTCAAAACACCGGAAAGATCTGCTTCGAAACTCGATAGGATATCTTCCCTGCTCCGCTTGAATACCTCTAGCCGTCTCAATCTGACCTCTGTATCATCAAAAGGCTCACCGAAAGTAGCCACTGGCGGAACTTTCACACGAATCAAACCCAGACGAGAGCCTAATCCGCATATCAGTATTGACTTGACTGGCGCAGATGCTGCCTCTATTCCACAAATTGTGAAGGCCGCCCAAGCCGGGTCTCGAGGCGAGGTAGCACGGCTCATCGAATATGGCATTAACATTGAAGAACGACATAAAGCATCGGGTCGAAACGCGTTGCTTGTTGCTGCGCACTGTGGAAAGGAGGACGTCGTTGAGCTCCTAATGGGGCATCATGCTCGACTAGATGTGACAGATGGGTCTGGGTGGACCGCGCTTCATCTTGCAGCTTCACGTGGGCATTGCAACGTCATATCCTTGCTTATGGAAGAGAGCGACATCGCCGAAGTTCCGAACTACCAAGGCCGCACAGCATTGCGAATTGCTGTTGACCGTAGCCAACACGAAGCACTCAGTATGTTGCTCATGCATAATGCTAAGGTCAACACACGTGCTGAGAATCAAATGACCACTTTGCACGTTGCTGCAAAGCAAGGTGATGCGGAGATTGTGCACATACTTGTCTCAAACGGCGCTGATATCGAGGCCAAAGATGCTACCATGATGTCAGCGTTGCACTATGCATGCGAGGCAGGTCATGTGGAAGCCGTATCGGTGCTTCTGGCTTATAAGGCCAATGTAGAAGCGGCCGGACGTGATCGCAAAACGCCTTTGATATGTGCTGCCGAGGCAGGTCGAGCCCAGTGCGTCGAGTTCCTGTTGAAATCCAAACAAAAGGCTTCGTCTAGTGGTGTGGATGACACAGGAATGACTGCCTTGCATTGGGCTGCGTACAATGGGCACGAAGAAACAGTGAACATACTTAGCCAGAAGAAAGGATCTCTGGTGAAAATTAACGCAATGGGACGAACGGCTTTGCACTTGGCCGTTATCCAAACCCAATTTGCTGTTGTTGAGCCCTTACTACGCAAGGGCGCTGATCTCAACAGCAAATGCGCGACAGGTCTTACTCCGCTTCATTATGCCTGTATGGCAGACAGTATTGACATAGCAAGACTGTTACTCTTGGAGGGCGCCGACATTGAAGCATCAGAATATCAGCACCAGCAAAGACCTTTGCACATTGCAGCAGCTCGGAGCTCAATACACCTTTTGGATCTTCTCTGTGACAAAGGTGCATCATTAGATTCCCGGGACAGCGTTGGAGACCGGCCTCTTGGTGTAGCATGTCGTTGTGGAAATGTGTCTGCAGTGCGAAAGCTCTTGGATCGAGGATCTCCTCTATATAAAAAGCACGAAGCTACCTCCCGCAGCGACTCTCCTCTGTGCTTGGCCGCTATGGCAGGTCATCTGCCTGTGGTCTCGCTGCTGATCGAGCGTGGCGCATCCCCGTCAAAAAAGGACGAGGTCGGGTGGCAGCCTTTTCGCTATGCCGCATATAACGGCCATCTGGACGTGCTTCAGGCGTTGTTGGCTCGCACCAGTATACCCGACATGGATGTCCCAGATATCATTCGCATGCCGGAGATAATTGGATTTTCGCCCGATGCTGTTATATCTGAAGACTGCAAGAGCCAGGTTAAAGAGCTTCTCAGTCAGGCTTTGACGGACTCTGGTCTGATGCCTCCAACCCATATCCAAAGCATACCCCAGACTGTGAGCCAAGTGATTTCTCCTGCTCAGTATTCACAAATTCATAATGTCCGAGACTCTGGAAGCCCCTTGCCTCAAGAGCTTCCTGCCACTCTAGAGCAAGGGCTACCAAGCAGTCGTTCAACAACTCCCGAACGTGGTTATCGGGCTGAGCCCCCAGAGTCCATCGACCCCTTGTGGCATGTTCGTCAACGAACTAGCGATCAAATTTCACCGCTAGTGAATGGTCAGACACCTTCTTCCCGCAATGAGTCCCGCACGGTATCTCCTATACGGCAATCTGAACAGGACCACAGTAGAAGGAATTCGAATCGGCCTCCGGTCAGAGAGGAACCACCAGTATCAGCCACCTTTATGCCCCGGCATATTCCTGTGTGGCCCTCACAGACCCCTCAGAGATCATCCTTAACACCGTCTCGTCGCTCAAGGGTTGGGGGCTCTGGTGCTGTAGATACGCCAGTGCAGTCTCGAAATCAGGGTGAAGCGATTCACGTTTCGAGAACAGTCCTTCCGCAGCGTGAAAGTAGAGTGTCGACTATGTCGTCTGAAGAGCCATCTGGAGGTACCCAAGCGACCATTGATGCTCACTCCGACCCAGATTCGGATTCGGATTCGACATCTTCTGTGTACACAGCACCTGAAGGGGATGTTGACGCCGATGCTGTGTCCAGGATGGGATACCGAAGCGGGCCGTACGAAATGCCTGCTGAGAATATAGCGTGAATCTTATTATGAATCCAGTTTCAATATGACTGCTTGGCGGTGCTGTAAATCTGAGGCAAGCATGAGTTGAGTTGCTTGATGGGCGTGGTCATGTCCCTGCGGACATTTCGCAGTTTCCCGGTTGATTGATTCTGCTCGACTATTTATGTCCTCCCTCTCCCTTTTTTCCCTTCTTCTTTTTCAGTCTTGATATCCCCGGTCTCCTGAAGCCATCAGTTTTGAGAAATAATTCACATTTCACATCTTCATCAATCCGCACCTTCACTCACCCACATCCTCTAACACCCCTCTGAATCATCCTCATCAACAACCATGGCCACCTTGATTCAAGTCTCTATGTCCGACAACCCACACCTTACCATCTGGAACTGTTGGTTCTGCGATCACAACTTTGTCGGGTTTTCGGGAATTCTTCACCATTGGGAACAAGCCAGATGCATCAAGTACGGGCGCATTAAAGAGCTCGTCTTTGAGACTCCCGAGTACGCCTGGTGTGCCAACAGGATCACCGATATGTTCCCTTTCTTCTGTCACAACTGCAGGGCCCAGTTCCAGCAGATCTCTCAAGTGTATTACCATGCTGAGCGAAACACTGCTTGCCAACACCTCCTTCATCCCGACCACTGCTTGGGTGCCTTGCAGAAGTTTATCCTTGACTATTACAACGCCGAGGGTACGGACACCGTCGAAGACATGATGTGATGGAACTTGGCTGAGTTGTCTGCCACGGGGGCGGGAGTTGCTGTTGATCAACATCTTGCGGTTCGCTTCCTTTCACCTCCATGGTTCTTCTACATTTCATACTTCGGTATGTAATTGAATAATCAGATACATTATGACAGTGGCTGTGGAGAAGTTTGAGATTGCATTTGCGTGATGAGGGTTGGGTGTGATGTTCCTTGGTTTGCTGAAGCGCGGTAGATCATCGATCATACATGGAGGGGTGTTGACAGCAGGGGTGTCCCATGAGACAGAAATACTTATCGGTCAAGCGTGAAGGGAGGAAGATGTATCTTAGCAGCTGTCCAAGTGCCTTATCATGATACCCAGAAGTCCTTTAATGATAGTTGTTGCAATTGACCATTTTTACGCCAACCTAATTTGTGCTCTCGTATGAATTTACAATTGATACATTGGATTTAGCTGCAATGTCAACTCGGAAGTTCATTATCCATTTTTACTGTAGATTAATCACCTTCCAAGGTTGTTTTGATCTATGGGTGCTTCTATACTTCGGGGAAATGATAACCCGACCGGGTACGCGCCTGAGGTGTCGATGTTTTTGACCAAGGATCCAACAGTCAGCTATCTCGGTATTCACTCATTGCCTTTGGCTCAGTCTCTGCATGCGAGCATCTAATCGACTCCTACGTTGGGCCATCCCAGTCGGTCAAGCAACGAGTCGGCCGTGGCCCGCGACATGGAATAAACCCCATCTCCGACGTCATGTCTTCTCCCGCAAAACGCCAGTGCTGCGGCAAGCAGGCGCACAAGCTCGCGCATTCTCATCCACTAGGCCAACTCAGTTCATGCTAGATGCAGACTCCACAATCTACGCTCTTTCCACCGCACCCGGCAGAGCAGCTATCGCAGTGATACGCGTCTCTGGCCCAGCCAGTGTACCAGTATGCAGTTGCGCAACCCTCCACACAAAGTCTCACAATCTAACACACCATCCAGATATACAAAGCCCTTTGTCCAGACAAGCCCGTCCCAAAACCGCGCGTCGCAGCCCTCCGCACCCTCTACGACCCAACCAAACCGCCAACCCAAAACACAGTCCTAGACGCAGGCGCCTTGGTCCTCTATTTCCCGAACCCCAAAACAGTCACAGGCGAAGATGTCCTAGAACTTCACATTCACGGCGGGCCAGCAATCGTCAAGGCAGTTCTCGCCGCAATCTCCAGCACAAACAGCCCAACCCATGAAATCCGCTACGCAGAACCGGGCGAATTCACCCGTCGGGCTTTCATGAATGACCGACTGGGTCTCCCCCAGATCGAGGCATTGGGCGATACACTCTCCGCAGATACAGAGCAGCAGCGCCGACTGGCCGTGCGCGGATCCAGCGACGCCTTGCTAAAGCGGTATGAAGCCTGGCGACAGCAGTTGCTCTATGCGCGCGGCGAGTTGGAGGCTTTGATTGATTTCTCTGAGGATCAGCATTTTGACGAGTCGACCGAGGAGCTGGTTTCCTCTGTTGCTGCGCAGATTGAGCTGTTGAGTGTGCAGATTGGGTTTCATATTCGGAATGCGTCGCGCGGGGAGTTGTTGAGGAATGGGATTCGGGTTGCGCTTTTGGGGGCGCCGAATGCGGGTAAGAGCTCGCTTTTGAATCGGGTTGTTGGGAAGGAGGCTGCTATTGTGAGTACGGAGCAGGGGACGACCAGGGATATTGTTGATGTTGGGGTTGACCTCGGTGGGTGGTTTTGTAAGCTTGGTGATATGGCGGGGATTCGGGCTGAGAAGGGCGATGGGAATGGGGAGATCGTCATTGGGGCTGTTGAGAAGGAGGGGATTCGCAGGGCTCGGGAAAGAGCTTTGGAGTCTGATGTTGTTATTGTGGTTGTTTCAATGGAAGACTCTGCTGATGGAGTTCGTCTCTTCGTTGAGCCCGAGGTTCTCGATGCAGTTAGCGACTGCGTGGATGCAGGCAAGTGTCTGCTTGTGGCGATTAACAAGTGCGACAAGCTGCACCCTGATTTGACTGGTGGTGTACCACAGTTGCTATCTGATACGATCCATGACATCTTCCCAACGGTACCAGCAGACCGCGTTTTTGCCATTTCATGCGAGGAGGCGCAGCGTGGATCTACGATGACCAGAGACCCTGGAAACCTACAAGCATTCCTACGCGGTCTAATAGCGACATTCGAGCAGATTGCATCGCCTCTCGGCATGGAAGGGGATGGAAGTCAACAATATGATACCTCTTATTGGGAGGATTCTCTAGGCGTCACCCATCGGCAAAGCTCCAATTTACAAATTTGTCTCGACCATTTAGACGACTTCATGTCCCAGGCCTCTTCTGCCAAATCCCCAGGCTCACACGAGGGTGAACTTTCCTCTGTTGACCTCGAATCCGAAATCGATATCGTCACTGCTGCAGAACACCTTCGCTTCGCAGCGGATATGTTGGCCAAGATCACAGGCAAAGGCGAAAGCGGAGATGTCGAAGATGTGTTGGGAGTTGTCTTTGAGAAGTGAGTCCAAATGGAGACATCGATTCTCTAGTCTGGATGACAAGCTAACGATATCGCAGATTCTGTGTTGGCAAGTGAACAGCCCTGATTGGAGTATACTTCCAATTGATCATGTTGGTTTGCAATACCGTCCAGATCGATCTTGCTCTGTCAAAGTCATGACATCGACTGGCTGCTGGTTGCAATGTGATATGCAAATGAATGAGGTCCCCGTCAGGCGTTTTCTGACCTGGCGAGCGATCTCAAGTTTAATTTTGACTGGGAGATGCTGGCTCCGGGGTTGGGTGGTTTGCCGGGGTGTTGTATCCTCCTCGACCCATTGCAAAGGATAGTCGCTGAGAGTGAAATGAGGCAGAACAATTGCGAGGGAGACAGAGGGTTCAAGAGTGGAGCAGCTTGACAATGTCGACGATGAGACGTTGAAGTTGCAGTACAGCGGTGCGTGTATACTTGTATGCTTGTATGAATAGATCGATAAACCAAACTATTATTGCATAATAATCAATCCTTCGCGACCACAGTCCATATTTATACCAAAAAAACTCTCCCTTTCAAAGTTGTCTGCCTTGGTCCAGGGACGCGATGAATCATCCAGGCACCCGAAATCTTCCACATACCACCAAGTCCAGTCCCAAAGCAGAGATAATCGCCATAGTCTCCCCTGTCCAAAGGCCTCCTGTCAAACCAGCATGGTCTCTGTCTGAGTCACGGCTCTTCAAAGCCCATAGTCGGGTGTCTCAGCCAGGCAGCCAACCGTACCGACACAAGAACTCGGCACGCCCTAAGCACCGAAATCAGGCCCGAAGAAGGCTGATTCTCGCTCCGTTCGGGCAATTCAATGCTACGGTATCATGAAGAAATGTCCAAAACAGGTGGAAGGAGCCTCTTTCAGCTTAGTCGAGGCATTCGAGTTTGAGGTTGAAACGAAACATGCTTCTTTGAGATCCAAAGCCGGAGGGCTATTCCCTCTTATTGGACTGCTCGCGTTTCCCAAGGTTGGCGACATCGTTCTATATCACCGTCCCAGGGCTACCCAGGGCTAAGAATAGCTTGGCTGCATCGATCCTGTTCCTTCTAGAACAATTGCCGAACTGGCGATCCATGCTGACCCAATCATGGTATTGCATGCCGCATCTCGCATCTTACACATGGCCGAAACTCACACTGAGAATAAATAAATCCCACGTTGTTCCCCTGCAGAAACCCTCTCCGCATCATCTTCTCCCTGTCGGAGCTGAACCTGGGTGGACCTCGTTGAGAGCCTTGGTCGAATGCGAAATTGGTCCCTATGCTGTGTTCCCTCTGGTCTCCTGGTCTCCTGGTGTTGGTAAAAAGAATGGACATGGGTGGCGTCTTCTTGTAGTCCGGAAATAGAATTCGGCGAAGATATTTGTTGGATAACCGCCGACGCGAGGTGGTGCAGAGTGTGCTATGAATAGCTGCGTCTTAGGCCGGCAAGCATCCTTGTTCTTCCATGTGGCTTTGCGTTGAAGAGGTTGCTGGTATTCTTTGCCGATTAGATTTTGCTTTGTGCTATAGTATTTGGAAGGTCTTCTCTGAGTCTTTTGCTTTTCTGAGCTTCTTTGTGAAATATTTGTCTGGAATTTTAAGCCTGCATTCTTAAGTGTTAGGCTGTGCAGTTGATGAGAAAGGAATAGAATATAATAATGTATGGTACTATATCGTAAATAGTACGTCCTAAAGAAGCAGTGCCCATTACGTATCTAGTCCTGAGCTTTGGATTATATCCAAGAAAGTGGAAATACGGTCTAGTCAGAGACTACCTATAGATCGGACATTGATTGTTTGCCGACATAGCTGATGATCTCAGATTGCCAATTGTAATCTATTTCAAAAGAAATCGTAATCTAGATTGCAAAAACCAGCTATGCATCTAAACAAGCACAATAGAAAGTATATCAACACGACTCTATCGTCACGATACATAGTACGCAGAGAAAGTCTTTCCACAATAACCAGCACAGAGAGTACAGAGAGGACAAGGCTTAAAGAAGAAGCAGATTTCAAACTGCAGCGTGAACAAACGGCTCAAATGCAATTGGATGATACACCCTCTGATCATGGCAGCATTCCCATAAACGGCAGCATAGCATGTTAAAAGGGTAAACAGAGTAACGATTATGTACATAGAGAGATAGGATGAGAACCGCACGGAGAACAAAAATGTCAAGTGGGTATGTGATGACGAAGAAGATGATGATGACGATGATGGAGGAGATGAGGAATGAAGATGAAAAGGAAAAGAAGCTTGCACATGAAAGAATACTAGTAAGATAGAGCAGGTGCTGGGGTAAAGAGGGAAATTGAAAAATGAAATTCGAAATGAAAAGAAGAGAAGAAACAAGGAAATGGTATCATGACACCATGCTCGGCTCATCAAGTCAGGATCAAGGAGAGGGCGGGTTCAAGGAAGGTGTTGGTAAGGGTATTATACAATCGAGGGCGGATGTATGGTAGAGTAGTTGGTAGTTGGTAGTTGGTAGTTGGGGCTGGATGTGTAGGGATGATCAAAGGGGCGACATCAGGGAGAGGCGAACCCTCAAACATTACATTAGAGTCGACAATTAGCGGACTCAGTCCGACAGATCGACTGGTTTCTGGGGCGAGGAGCCTTCCGAGGGAGGATCTTGTGATAATGTGTCGTCCTGCTCCGAGACAACAATCGAAGGCGGAGGTTGAGAGTCGGGTGGACTGGCAGGCGCATCATCCATGACAGCCGATTCGGTTTGTGTTGGAGAAGCAGGTTCTTGCACTGTGGGAAGGCCACCATCGGCACTATCTTTGCTTCCACTTGTAGGATTGCGGCGTCTCATGCGGCGATTTCGGCGTTCTTCATCGGCACTCTCTCTTCTCCTTCTTTGGCGCTCGCCGCCTGCATCGGAATTGCTTCGTAGACCAAGAAGCAGGCTAGCAGCACGATCGGCAACATCCTCTCCTTCAGAAATCTGAGCTTCTTGTTTGCCGTCTTCCTCCGTGGGGGGAGGGCTGAGGTGACCATTTTCATCAACACGGCCTTCGCCATCAGCGGGCTTCTCGGCTCCATCTTCTTCTTCCGCGTCATTTATATCAGACGGCGGTTTCTGACCAGAGGCCACACGGACTTGGTGGCGCTCCTTGAGACGAGCACGACGACGACGGTCTCGTTGATCCTTGGCCTGAGGCGCCGCAGCACGTAGCTTCTCAAGCAGTGAATCCATGGCGCCACTGGTAGCAGGTGATTGGGCAGTTTCCGTGGGCGGACCATTGTTCGCAAGATTGACATTGATACGCTTGCGGGCAAGGGATGCTTCTGTGCGTTTCCGCGATTCCTCCAAAGAAGTATTCTTCTCGCGGGATTTCTTCCACTCAACCAAGAACGAGCTCAACTTGGCGAAGAAGTCACGTCTGGCATTTTCATCTGCGTTATCTTCACCGTAGAAGACCATGATGTCATCATACGTCTTGATCATCTCGTCGAGATAGAGCTGCAGCTGCTCAGCCTTGCGTCGGGCATCCTTCATGGACCGCTGAACGATTTGGCTGACCCGATCCTCGGGGTGGAAACGTTTAGTGTCACTCAGGTTACCAGCATCCAGACTGGACTGCACATTCTTGATATTGCTGATGTACTTTGTGGCATCAGAACGCAGCTGATCAACATTGACCTTCTGCAGACCAATGACACCACTGATCTCATCAAGGAAGCCTTCCCACTCCGGGTATTGGTTACGAACAATACGTTCAACAAGATCCGCAAAGGTAGTCTCGTTCTTGTCGTCTTTGACCATGCCCAATCGAGCGAGGGAGCTTAGCTTGAAACCCTGAGCCTGCTTGTTGGCGTCGTTCATGAAGTTACCAATATCCAAGATCAGACCGAGGACGTTCATCAAAGACACGGAATCACGCAGTGACTCGCTGACTGCCGCGACTTCCTTCAATTTGCTGGAAAGATGCTCATACTCCGGTTCGTAAGAGCGTGTCAAAGCAAGCGCTCGGTTTCTCGCTTTCCAATAGTGATTCAGCTCAAACGCAGTGTAAAGATAGATCTGGTCTTCGCGGGTAATCTCAGTGGGATCTTGTTCACGGTCAGAGCTGGCTGCGCCAGGGCCCGTCCAATCCATACTATATGGTGCCATGAGCTTGGCGACATTCTCCGGGATATTGCACATCTCCTCTCGTTGCAAGAAGTCCATGACAACCATGTTGTCGAGGATATCTTTGTCACAGTGGATGATCATGCGGGTGACCTCTTCAGCGGGGAATTGAGAGAACTTAGACAGGGCAATCTGGAAGTTCTTGGATAGGTCGTTCGAGATGATCTGTTTCTTGTCCTTGCGTGACTTAGCAGCGGTGCTGGCTCCGAAGATCTTGGTCTCCTTTGCCATAAACAATCTTTCGACTTCGTCCAGCACACCCTTCTTGGCGAGTTCAGTGTACTTCTCTTCCTTCTGTTCGGCGGTGGGCGCGTGAGCAGCCCAAACAGTCACTTGAGGAGTGTCAACCTTGTCCCAATGCAGAGCCTTGAGCTTCTTCTTGGGCCGGATAGAAGGCATCATGGTTGTACCTGGTGAAACATCACCAACCATATAAGCCGGTCGCCAGCCAGAACCCAATGCAGCGTTGGGGGGTGGGGGCGGAGGGGGCATAAGACCCTTGGCACCAGGAATTGGAGGAGGTGGAGGAGCCATTCCACCACCACCTGGAGGAGGCGGCGGAGGAGGTAGCGCTCCAACCTTTCCACCGGGAGGTGGAGGTGGTGGTGGAAGTCCAGGAACACCCTTGGCACCACCCGGAGGTGGTGGAGGAGGAGGCAGTCCAATGTTTCCACCAGGTGGCGGGGGAGGAGGCAGTCCAGCTGCTCCACCCGGTGGTGGAGGTGGAGGGGGGATCATCTTGCCACCTGGAGGAGGGGGAGGAGGAGGAATAGCCATGCCACCTGGAGGAGGCGGGGGGAGGAACAGCCATGCCTCCAGGGGGAGGCGGAGGAGGTGGTGGAGGGACCATCTTGCCCCCAGGAGGGGGCGGTGGTGGCAGAGCTGCCACAGGTGCTGTTGGAGTAACATCAGGATCTTCGGCATCAAACTTAGGAACCTTGGACGCAATCTCGCCTAGCAGTCCAGCAGCCTGGGTAGGGCTCAGACGGTGACGGTATAGATCAGCAAGACGAGCCCGATCAATTGGCTGGCCATTGTTGTCCAGAATTTCCTCTCCATTTTCAAGGGCATCCATCTCAGGGACATGGCTGCGCCTGCGATAGACAGAACCCAAGGAACCAGGGTCCAGATTGCGGCGAGTATTCTCAGCAAAGTCATAATCTTCCTCTTCCTCGCTTTCGTCCTCGCCCTCTCCATCCATCTTTTCACGTAATTCACGCAAGCGATCAGATGGTCCATGCTGGCCCCAAACCTTGCCCTCAAGCTTGAATTGAGTCTTGGTCCGCTCAAGCTGACGCTCCAAGCGTTCCATAAGCCTTTCCCGGTCCATGATACCGGGCATCTGTGAAGGATTGGCCTCAGCTTCGGGGTTGGCAGCCTTGCGAGCATTGGAAGCGGCGATATCCTGGGCATCTCGGAGCATGAGGTATAGTTCTCTAGTTTCCAGCTCATTCCGCTGCAATTCCTGCGCACGCAATCGCTGGACTTCCGCAACCTCGGCCTTGAAAGATTCAGTCTGTCGTTGTTGCAACTCGATAATACCAGCCTGTTCTTCGATCTGCTTCTGCAGCTTCTTGACCAAGCCCTCTGCTCCAAGCTCAACCTGAGCTCTCATCTCATCGCGTTCAGCGATGGCAGCCTCGGCAATCTGTCGGGCCTCGAGAGACTCATCGTACACACGTCTCGCCTCAGCGTCGGTATGCAGTCGATCCAACAAGCTCTGTACGGTGAAGGTCAATCCTTGCCGTAGGTCAAGGTCTGGCAGCCTTCGGTCCATAGCCACATAACTCAACATGGCGTCAACAAGCTGGAACATACGCAGTCCTTCCTCGCCGGAATTCTCCCGGATCAGAAGCATATGCTGCATAGCGGAAAGGAAGTAGTCGTGAGAGCGACTGCCATTGATCTTGGTCGAAATGGCATCAACAATTTGCATGGGATCGCTCATATCCTTGACTTCGCCTTCGATGCTATCCTTCACGCTGCTGTTCTCGCGCTGGAGGAGATCCTCATAGTCGATCGCTTCGTTATCGTGGAAACGCTCGATTTGCTTGTCGATGACCTCGTACTGGAAGCCCTCCATCTTCGTCAACAGACGCTTTATTCCACATGATGTGAACTGTGCGCGGATATGGCATCGTAGCTGCAGGTCTGTTTCGGCTCCATCAACCAACATGTTGATCAGGATCATGGTTGAGACGGCATATTCCATGAGTAGGTTCTCCATGCCGATGCCACCGCTGCGGTACTCCTCGCTGGCACCGACCAGACTGCCCATTTTTCCACGGCCATCGATGGTGACCTCGACGATACGCATCCAAGCGTCAAACCGGCCAGTCTCATTGTGATCATGTTTGACCTTGTCCATGGATTGGAGAACCTTCTGGTGGCCTTGGCCATCGCCCCAGTGACAGAGGAAAGTGAGCACCTCGCTGACGAGTTTCCGGGTGTTCAGACGGGGGGATGATAGCGAGCTGACAAGGGCAACCAAAACATTTTGATGTTCTAGGGCATCGTCTGCACCGTATTTGTTGTTCATGAGACCTTTCAAACATTTGGCAATATCATATTCGCGGTCGAGATCCTTGTCTCCGGTTGGTGGCGCGGGTACGGGTCCAGATGCTTTCCTGCGGTTGATTTTCAAGAGGACATTGGTCAGAGCAACTTGACCCTGAGCTTCAACAAAGCATTTCACCCAGCTATATGGTAGTTAGTTGGATGTCTTCAGAGAAAACCAAAAGAAACAGCACTTACCTGATGGGTTGTGTCCGCAAGCTGACGCTCAAACTAGCAAGTTGCTTTGAAGTAATGGTATCATCCATCACCTTCTTCACATACCACTCCGGACTACCCTCCTCATCAGCACGCTCAAGCAACCCAGAAAGACCATCATGGCCATGAGTTTGGCGAGCATTCTGCCGTCTCTTCTGTTCACCTTGTAACTCAGTAAGACGATCCTGGTGTACAAGCGTCCATTTCTTTGAAGCGGGGTATGACAACATCTGGCGCTTCGCCTGTTCAGGCAAATTCTGCCAACCTCTCTTCTGCATCAACTCTAGAAACAGCTGATCCACAATCCTGTCATCTCTCGGTCGAGTGAGATAGTTATCCTGAGGTCGGGGTACCGCAGCCGGTATGGGTTGGGAAATCTGGTGGGTTGATGGGGCGTTTGACAAGCGACCAGAGCTGGCGCTTGAAGGGAATCCGATGTTGCGATCACTTGAATGCGAGGGTGTAAGGGTGCGGGCAGAACCGTCCGAGGCGAAGTAGTTCGAACCCCGCGCATTAGAGGAAATGGAGGAATAAAGGCTTGTCTGGTCGAGAGAGGTGCGGGAGTTGGAGGATGAATCGATCGAAGAGGAATTATGACTGGGTCCCACGTTCGCGGCCGAACTACCTGGTCGTCCCCATTGTTGATATCTGGCACCTCCCGCGCCCGACTGGCTACTTGACATGGTTGTGTTTGCGGTATGCGGGGGAGGACGCGGGCCAGAGGGCGAGCCGTTTGGCGCAGATGTCGAGGTCCAGGTGGGATATTGGTGGTAGTCTGCCCCAGATTTACCCAGGTGGTTAGGCGACGGTTCATGGCGCGAATCTGGACGAGACATGCTGTCGATCGGGATGGGTGTGCGCGTGTCGGAGGGAAGGCTTTCGAAGGGGATGGAAGTGATAACACCCGCGGTGGGAGCGAGGCTGCCTGGGTCTATGTCATGGGTCATGTCGACGGACTGAATTGAAGATCGCTTTGAGTAGCGGGATGAGCGAGAGCCAGCGGCACTCCCCGGGGGAGCTAAGCTGTCGTAGGAACCACCGTAACTTTCATATCGATCATCCGCAGGTTTTTCCTTGTACAGCTTGCGTCCAAAAAACGATTTTCCGGCCGACGTTTGCCTCGATTTGTCGGCATGTGAGCTGGACGGCATATTGGCGGGCGTCAATGAGAGGGGCACAGCATAGGGGCACCCTCAACGCTCTCGAATGCAGATGCAAGGGAAACAAGAAATCGGATCCAAAGCGCTAGCTATGGGGATCTATAAAAACGTGGTGACATTCAAATCGGAAACGGTCTATTTGTGTCCCTGGGATGCGTGTTAGTATACCCGTCCGGGGAGGTGCCGAGGAGTCAAGGGCGTTCAAAAAGGCAGGACACATATACATACACATGCACACACATATCCCAGGAAGGTCAACGGAAATTAAAGAAGATTTGCTGTCAGGTCTAGTCTTCAAGCCCAAGCGTCAATCATCTATTGATTAGGGGGCTCCGGAGAAACACTAGGTCCGGTCACGTGGACTGTCTATCAAAGGTCGATCTGCAGCTCTGAGCCCCGGACTCTGATTTCTACCCCGTGTTCCAGTCCGCAGACAAAGACAGCTCATACACCAGGCGCAATACCCCTCGCTGCCTGAAGACTACACGCGTTGGCCCGATATGGGATCATCAGGCGTCTTTGCAAAGGCATGCTTCACCCCTATCCAGCGAATCCCACCCCATACTTCCTTCCTAAACCTACATCAAACACCAGCAAGCCTCTCAAAGCCTCTACCTCCACCTCTACTACTTCTACTATTACTGCTAGTTCCACTCTCACCCCAATCCAAACAACCATACCTAAACTCAAACCCGCCCAAAAAAAAACTAAACAAAACAAACAACCAAAACTAACCCACCACTCACCTAATAGACAATTCTAATACCAGCCCTCATAGCCCTAACAATCTATCTCCTAACAACCTGCCTAATCCTCCCAATCTTCCGCCGCTACCACGCCCGCTACTCCCAATACCTCCCCTTGCACAACATATCAGCGCACACCCTCTCCCTCCGCGACCGAATAGCAGACGCGCTAATGCGCTTCTTCCTCCGCTCGCGCGGGGCGCACGCGCACATGGGCGATCACGAAGATGACAATATTAGTATTGATGATGAGGAGGGGGAGATTCTCGTTCGGATGGAGATGGATGCTGCTAGGAGGGAGGTGTTGGAGAGGAGGGGGGGCAATGGGGGGTCTGAGGGGGAGACTGAGTCGGGAGTTGGAGGTTGGGTTTATGGATGATAGTGAGGAGGAGGAGGGGAGTCGGGATGGGATACGTTGATTTGGTGTGGTGGTTTTGGCATTTGGGATCTGTGGATTCTGTGCATTCTTATTTTGGGGTTCAGGTTTGGAGTATGGAGGGTATCGTTATTCATACATGTGTTGGGTGTTTGTGTATAGTTCATTGTGAATATTGCATTATTGGGGCGCTGTATAGCATTTGGTTGTGCTTGGGATAGAGAGATTGTTTTATTTCAGACTGCTTAGAATTGGGAAGATCATACTACTGTACAGTGACATGCTTGAACGTTGAGTTACAGTATATATTCAGCATTGCGTTTGAAATGCTTAACTGGCTCCACCGGGGCTGATCGACGGCTCCACAAGATCATCCTGCACGTTTCAAAAGGCAAATCTGAAAATAGGAATAAAGTAGGGATAGAAAAATATTATTTCATTGGTATCGTGAATGATGCTACCTTTTCAGCATCGCCCATTAGGGCCTATGAACATTCATAAAGAAAAGCATAAAACAGGACTAGGTGCACTTTTACTTGCGCTGACCGTAAGCCTTGGTGGCGTAGTCACCCTTGTGAACAATCAAATCCTCAGGGCGGTAGTCCTCACGACCGGAGAAGTAGCTGTCGAGGATAGCCTTGGTACCGTTGGCGTAGCGGACCTGGGCATCGATGGAAGTACCGGACATGTGGGGGACCATGGCGTTACCACCACCCCAGGGGTGCTCGGCGTAGCGGAGAGGGTGGTCCTTGGGGGCGGGCTGGGGGAACCAGACATCACCACCGTATCCGCGGAGGTGGCCGGACTTGAGGGCCTCGGCGACGTCCTCCTTGACGACAATGGCGCCACGGGCGGTGTTGACGAGCCAAGCGCCGGGCTTCATCTTGGAGATGAGGTCCTTGTTGAAGAGACCGCGGGTCTTCTCGTGCAGGGGGCAGTTGATGGTGACGACGTCACACTGGGCGAGCATCTCCTCGAGGCTCTCGACGCGGCGGCAGCCAATCTCCTTCTCGGCCTCGGCGGAGAGGGGCTGGTAGTCGTAGTACAGGAGCTCCTTGCAGTCGAAGGGCTTGAGACGGCGGAGGACACGCTCACCGATACGGCCGACGGCGACGGTACCGACGACCTTGCCCTCGAGATCGAACTCGTTCTTGGCGACTGCGGCGACGTCCCAGTCACCCCGCTTGATCTGCTCGTGGGCGGGGACGAAGTTGCGGACCAGGAGGAGGATGGTCATGACGACGTGCTCTGCGACGGAGACGACGTTGGAGCCAGTGACCTCGGCCACGGTGATACCGCCGTTGGTGGTGTTGGCGGCGTTGAGGTCAACGTGGTCGGATCCAATACCGGCAGTGACAGCAAGCTTGAGCTTCTTGGCCTTGGCCAGACGCTCGGCGGTCAGGTAGCCGGGGTGGAAGGGAGTGGTGATGATGACCTCAGCGTCGACGAGCTCCTTGTCAAAGGTGGAGTTCTCGCCCTCCTTGTCGGAGGTGGTGACCAGGGTGTGGCCAGCATCCTCGAGCCACTTGCGGATGCCGAGTTCGTTCTCAGTGGTACCAAGCAGAGCAGGCTGCTGCTTGGAGTGCTCACCACCCTATTGCATGTTAGAGATGTTGGAATCATTGCGGGAAGACCATGACTTACGTCGTAAAGAACCAAAAGAACCTTGCCCTGTAGATTGGCGGTGGCAGTTAGCATTCGTGCGCCGGAGATAGCAAAAGGTGACGTCCGAGCGAACGGAGTGGCCTTGAGGCCTGAGAGGAAGGGCCGTGTCAATTGACGGGAAAGGGACCGAGTAAATACCATTGTGAATATGTGTATGAATATGTAAAAAAGAAGTTGAGAGTCAAATCTACTGGAGGTCAGTTGCCTGGTCTTATATGATGCAGTCGATGAAGTCAATCGACCCAAAACGGTGTTGGAGAAAACAGCGGGGGTGGGGCACGCGGGGAGAGATGCATATCAAAACAAGCAAAAGACGGAAGAGTTGAACTTACCAGAGGAAGATGGAAAGGAGGATGTAGAAAGGATGAGAAGGAGCAAATGAGACAGCCAACAGAGCACAATATATAGACCTGTTGAGACACTCCAACTGCGGGACTGGTGTTTCCACCTGTCTCCGCATGAGGGACACGTTGACAAGTGTAACAAGTTTCCCCTTTACGAGGGGGTTTCACCGGCTGATCCCCCGAACCTTGTCAATTGTCCATTGTCAATCCTCGATCGGACACGATGCATGTTACTTGCAGCTCATTCGGATTATGGTTGGCTTACGGTTGACTGTTGGCGAATTGAGATCCCATCTGATAACTACTACTGTACCTAGTACCCTATACCCTAAGTGATCTATTGAAGCTTATAATTATCCCAGATACAGATAGTCTTTGTGAAGACTGATGACCATAATACAATATAGTGAACATTATTCTTAAGAACAAGCTATACAATGACCTGTTACGGATGTTCCCAGCTCCGAACTGACTCGACAGTAAGGTAAACTCGACCACGTAACTGGGTTCAGGTTCCCCGCAGCGGGGTGCTGACATAATGAGGGGTAGCTCTGGATATCGGAGGCAACGGGCACAGGAATCCTATGATGTTCCAGTCTCCAAGTCGGACTGATGGTTCTTTAGTCCCCAAGGTACTAAAAGGTACTAAGCAGATCAAGACCCAGTTGCCTATCGGCCAACCGGCAACCGGCTGCCCATCCTATCTCACGGAAGCCACGCCGAGTTACACCCGCGCTTCTGCCGAAACTCGGCCTTCCCCCATCTCCAACTCTGACCCGCCTCTACACTGCCTCCTCTTGCCTCCTCTGAGGAGGTTGGAGAAAGTGTCCGCACGGGTCCACTGCACTGACAACTAGATTCAGGCCGGACTGCATGACCGGATCAAGAATGAAAAGGGGGGTTGTGGATTGTTTTAATCCACCACCACCCGCGGGCTTCCTGGTCCGTCGTATTTGTTTTGCGCCGTCAATTGCCATGCATGATAACGTTACGAGTTGGGTGACATGTTTGACCTTGCAATGCCCCCGGTCAAGGTTCAGTCGGAGACTTGGAATCAATTGAAAATGCGACTGGACTTCATGACGAGGAGCACAAGAACTCCCGATGGGCAGCGATAATGTCTCTTCGGTGGGCAACGATAACAGCTAACATACCAGCTCCCAATATTACCACCACTTCCATCCACTTCCCTACCCGACGAAGACCACAGGTCAACTATTTCGCGCCAGCGATCAGTACTCCACACGAGGTTCGAGACTCTCGGCGCGTATCCTTGAATTGTCGCATGATCAGCTGCGGGGCAAACCCAGAAGGCTTGTCTGGACACGCTTCATGCTCTGATGGGCTTTCGAGTCGCATTGACCTCGAGTCTCCGAATTTAGGGTCTCAATTGTTGTTGATTTTCTCAGCTCGCAAACCTCCGCTTCGTGGGTGCCTCACGACACCCTTGACACCTTTTCATTTTCGGATACACCACTTGTTCCACAACTGTCATGTGGTAGAGATCACTCTGACATGACCTCAGTTGGCTAGCTTCGGTTTGTTGGAATTACGAGTGAATTTATCTACACTCTGGGATTCATGGGCTTTTAAGAGACGTTCCTCCGATGGTCAACAATTGGAATAAAAAAAAAACAAAGCAGGAATATGAGACAATCGAAAAAAATGTTATATTTCAATCAACATGGGCATATTTGCAACGTTTGATGAGGAGGTTGGAGTGCAACAGAAGACACAAGCGAATGACAGGCGGCGATTGATAATACCGAGCTCCGGTCCGACTCGGACTCTGCGCTCGGAGATAGCAATTCTATTAGTTCTCAACATCCGCGCTGTTACTCTTTTCAACGCTTGATTATATTTCACGATCTTTACTTTCACTTGTATACATTCATGCGATGAGATTGCGACCAACAGCACTACAATCCGTCGCGCGCGACTGGACCGGAAAGACCTGTCGCATCCGCCTGCTATCCACCACTCCAACCCGCAACAGCAGACTACGCGTGCGTCTAGATATCCCTCCTCCATTTCCCGTGACGGAAAAATGTCCAGAACCAAGCTGCGATTGCCCGACGACACCTGCCATGCCCGAGGGCCTTCCAATCGACCACGAGCAAGCATTGAACGGGACAATGGCAGCCTTTACACAGCAACTCCTCGTCTGCACAGGACAACGGGATTGGACAAGTCGCATCGATGAAGACGGCGAGAACCAAGGCTGGGGAAATCTCCTACGAGGAATGAAGCGTCAACTAGGTCGCGGGGGGCCTTACCTAGATGTATGCGATCCCTCGCCCTCAGCTCACTTGCCAGCACAACGAGACCTTGCTAACACACGGAAGCCATTCAACAACGTCCTCACGACAGCCACCTCAATCGCCCCCTCAGCAAGCTCCCCAACAACAGCCTCCGCCTTCCTCTTCCCAAGCTTCAAATACATCCCCTCAATACCCGTAGACACGGCATCCCCCACAAACCCAGACCCAGACCCAAAAGCCGACCTCGTCACATTCATCCGCGCCTACCTACTCCCAAAACGCCTCCACGACATGCACTCCTCCCTCCCCCCGGCAAAACAAGAAGCCATGACGCGTGCCCCCGAACTAACCTCCCACTTCCCCGACGCAATCGACATCAACCACTCGCCCACGATCCTCATCTGCGGCCACGGCGGCCGCGACATGCGCTGCGGCATCATGGCGCCAGCCCTAGAAAGCGAGTTCCAGCGCGTTTTCCAAGCGCGCGGATTCACCGCTGGCAGTGACGGCGCCCAGGCGACGATCGATGCACCAGACCATGTGAATATCGGGCTGATTAGCCATATTGGCGGTCATAAGTACGCGGGTAATGTCATTGTTTATATTCCGCCGGGGATGATGTCTGGCGAGGATGGTTCGGTGCCGCATCCGTTGGCTGGGAAGGGCATTTGGTATGGGCGTGTTGAGCCGAAACATGTGCGGGGTCTTGTTGATGAGACTGTCTTTGGGGGGAGGGTTGTTAGGGATCATTTCCGTGGTGGTATTGATCGGTCGGGGGATATTTTGAGGCTTTAGATTTGGATTGTCGTGAGCTCGGGTGAGTACTGTATGATATAGATTGATTTGTATTGCATATGATAGAGACATTACTGTATATACGCATACTCAAGATACAAATGTATATATGAACTAGCAAGCTGTCTATGTTCCTCAGTGCTGTCCCAGTGCTCTACCTACTCGACCAAGGGCTCATTGCTAATTCCGATTCCTGACTCAATCACCGAGCCAAGCACGTAGAGAGCTGCTTGGTAGCAGACTCGTAGCTTAACCTGTCTACTATTTCATCAAGGTCAAAAGAGCAATAGAGCATAAGCATGAACCACGAAGCTGAGAAATTCCAATTCCAATTCCAATGCAAATGCAAATGCAAATGCAACTGCAATAATATACAATTCTATCCAGATATAACATAATAATACAGACTGAGACCATGGCCATGCCCATGTCCATCTCAATATACAAGTCCCCCTCCGATCAAAACACAACATTGACCAACTTCCCACCCTTGATCACAATAACCCTCCTCCTCTTCTCCCAATCATGCTTCTCACTCAGCCACAATTTCCCCTCAGGAGTCTCCAGCACCCGACTAACAATCCAGTCCTGTTCCTCCTGCGTAGGAGGGGCATTCTTCTTCCCCGCGCTTGTAGTTGGTGAAGCCTTCATGGACGGAATGGTAACCGCACAGCGGGTCTTGCCGTTAACCTGCACGGCGACCTTGACTCCCCCGCGAGCGGATAGGGTCTCTGCCTCGTCTGTCGTGAGGAGGGTGCTTGGCCACGGTGATGTGAGGATTGATGGGATGTTGTTGTTGGGTTTATTGAGTGTCTTGTGTAGGGTTTCCCAGCATTCGGATGAGAGGGCCGGGGCGATGGGAGCCAGGAGACGGAGGAGAGAGGAGATTGTGAGGTAGAGGATTAGAGGGGTAGATGCGGGAGTTGTGTTGAGGGTGTTGGTTAATTTGGTTAGGTCTGAGATGACTGTGTTCAGACTGTAGGGGTTGCTCTCGATGCAGGTTGTGACTGAGGAGATGGTGTTGTGCGTAGCCAGGATGGCGTCTGCGTCTGCGTCGCTCAGGTCGTTTAGGGATGAGGGGAGAGGGGCGGCGTGGCCGGTTGAGGATGAAGGTTGGGCTTCTGCGGGGAGGGAGAATGATGCTGTTGTCAGGGTTTGCTGGGTATCTTGGATGAGCTTCCAGAGTCGGCCGAACCAGCGTTCTATGCCGACGATCTTGGATTCGTCCCATTCTAGGACTTCGCTGACGGGGGCTGCGAAGAGGATCTGGGCACGCGTGGCATCGGCGCCGTACTTGGATGTGCATTCGGTTGGGTCCACGCCGTTGTATTTGCTTTTGGACATCTTCTCGAAAGAAATATTGGGAGTGACTTGGGTTCCCTTGATCAAAGGCTTGTCCGGGCTGGTGAGGTCAACTTCCTCTGGGCGGAGGAATCGGCCAGTTGAGGGCTCGGTGAAGGTCTTGCCGTGGACCATTCCTTGACTGAGAAGAGTTTTGAATGGTTCTGCAGGTGCGTCGGAGGTTCCAGCTGGGAATAGCTCCGATTGAGCGAGGAACTTGTAGATGAACCGGGCGTAGAGGAGATGAAGAATAGCATGCTCGACTCCGCCGATATAGACATCTACTGGCCGTGTTACGGCAGGAGAGAATGGTGCCTCCTTGTTGGCTGAGTCGAGGAACCGAAGGAAGTACCATGAAGAGTCCACAAATGTGTCCATGGTGTCTGTATCCCGTTTAGCTGCTCCTCCACAGCTGGGGCATTCTGTGTGGAGCCATTCATCGGATGATTCGAGAGGGTTGCCCTTCTTTCCTTTAAGCCAGTCTCCCTCGATCTTCGGCAGCTTCACTGGGAGATCCTTCACAGGAACAGGAACAGGACCACAGTCGCCACAGTGGATGATGGGAATAGGGGCACCCCAGTACCGCTGACGACTAATCAGCCAGTCTCGTAGACGCCAGCTCTCAACAAACTCCGCTTGTCCAACCTGCTTGAGGTCATTGACAATGAGCTCGGAAGCTTCCTTGGAGGGCAGCCCAGAATACTTCCCGCAGATGGAAGTCAAGAAGCCCTCTTGGGTGAAAGCCTTGGAGTCAGAGGCTGGGACAGCACAATTTGTCTCGCCGTCCGTTACCTCAGCCTCAACAACGACCGAGATATATTCCGGGTTCACATTCTCCTTGAAGAACGACATATCCCTGGTATCGTGACCAGGAACTCCCATGACGGCTCCTTCGCCATAATCGCTAAGAACATAGGGCGCCACGAAAACAGGAAGCTTCCTCGACAACTGTGAACTTTCTGTGTCAATTTTGCGCAGAGGATGAGACACTTCCACGTCGGATAATTTGTATCCAGCCTTTGAGTCTGGCGGAAGTGAAGCAGCTTCGCTCAAAAACTTGCTGAGAGCTTCATCCTTCTCCGCAGCCTTGAGCACAATAGGATGACTCAACGAAAGAGCAAGATATTCCACCCCATACAAGGTATCCGGCCGAGTCGTAAAAACATCCACATTGACCTCCTCGCCCCCATTGCTGTTCACAGTAACGGGGAAAGTAACCTTGGCCCCATAAGACTTCCCAAGCCAATTCCGCTGCATGGAAAGGACACGCTCCGGCCAACCACCAGCAAGGGAATCAAGATCCTTCAGCAGCGCTTCCTTGAATTCAGTAATACGGAAGAACCACTGCTTCAAATTCAACTTCTCAACCTTTGCACCAGATCTCCACGAGAACCCATTGGCATCAACCTGCAAATGAATTAGACAACAGACAACACAAAACACACACATCCCAACCCAAGACTCACCTGCTCATTCGCCAAAACCGTCTTATCAACCGGATCATAATTGACCAGTGCCTCAGCCTGATACGCCAAATCCTTCTGATAAAGCATCAGGAAGATCCGCTGGGTATGTTCATAAAACTCCGGAGAGCACGTCGCCAATTCCTACAGACAAATCAATTAGCCCAATCCAACAAGTCATCCACAATCCAATCCAATCCAGCAAAAGGTTCGAGGGTGATAATTCAGAGACATACCCTCTCCCAATCAAACCCAGCAGATATACACCCAAGCTGCTCCTTCATGCGATCGATATTCTGCCCCGTCCAAACACCCGGATCAATCCCCCGCTCAATAGCCGCATTCTCCGCCGGAAGACCAAACGCATCCCATCCCATCGGATGAAGAACGTCATGCCCGCGCATTTTGTAGTACCGCGCTAGGACATCGGAGATCGTGTACACACGCAGATGGCCCATGTGCAGGGTTCCGGAGGGGTAGGGGAACATGGAGAGGATGTAGGATTGGGGTTTGGTTGATTTGGTTGGAGATAGAGATTGAGATTCTTTGGCGGCAGTCATCCGCTCTGCAGTCCATTTTTCTTGCCATTTCTTGTCCAGTCTCGGGAGGTCGAGTTTGGTCAGGGTGGTTGCTGTGCTTGTGTGTCGGAGTAGCGTGGATGCATTGTAGGGTTTGAGGTGATTTGGGCGCGCGCGGAGTCGGGTTTGCGCGAGTGCGCTTGGGAGGCGCGTTCGGAGGAGGGATTGCATTGGGCGCTTGGGGTTGAGGCAATTTATTGTTTCATTCTGGGTTGTTCGGGGGGTTAAGGTTGGAATTAGGATTGGAGGTTTGCTTTTGGTTTGCGCATCTTCAATTCTCCCCGGAGGTCGGATAGCTTTAGCCCTATTTTGGACTAGCGTTGGTATTTTGACTTGCAGTCTAGTCGGTTGTTTATAGTACGAGCAGTTCATTGTCTAGGGTTTAGGCCTCTGTAACATATTTCCTGGGCTTTTCTATCTGCTGCTTTTATGAGGGCGCTCAGAATCAGGCCGAGTAAATTTCAGTCTGAGCTCAGACCCAGTGAGCTGAGATACTCGACAATATAGCTCTTTGGCATATCCAATTCTATATACTTCGTATAGCGTCCACTATGGCATCCTGGGTATCATATATAAAAAAATCCAAACAATCAAACCATCGCCTCACTCCGCATCAGCCCCTTCACCCAAAGACCTCTCCCTCGGCTGTGTCTCCCCCAACGGAAAACTAAGATGCTTCCAATCCTCAATCTCCTCAATAATACACTTCAACCGATCCCGTATACTCTCCACCGCATAAGTGCCCAAAATCAACCTCAAAGGCGGATAAGCACAATGCCCAAGCTGCCAAACCAAATGCGCCGCCTTGACCGCACTAGCAGGCTGCTTATCCCCCAGCCACATCAACATGCGTCGGGCATGGGCCGCCGGCGACGTAGAAGTATTATACGGCTCACTGGGCGGCTTGACCAAGAAATGCCCATACAACGGCAACGGCGACGATAAATGATGCTCGGACGGATTCGCCGCCAACGCAGAAGGCGAAACCAAGTCCCCGATGTCATCGCGACGCATATGTCCCGGCTCAACAAGCGTACCCTTAATATTGAAGCTATCAACTTCATAAAGCATACTCTCCATCAAGCCCTCCACGGCATACTTGGACGCACAGTACGGGCCCAAGCCCGGCACGCCCAGCGCACCACTCGTAGAACTGAAGATCAGATAGCGGCCGGCGCGGCGCTGTCGGAAATGCGGCAAGGAGAGCTGGATCATATTCAAGGTGCCGGTAAAGTTGGTCTCGAATTGGTTGCGGATGTCGTATTCGTCTTGGTCTTCGCAGGCGCCGATGACGCCGTAGCCGGAGCAATTGGCGATTACGTCGATGCGGCCGAAGTGGGCGATTGTTTGGTCGATTACGCGTTTGACGGTTGGGCGTGCGCGCACGTCGCAGAGGAGCCCCAGGCAGTTTTCGTGTTCGGAGGAGAGCTCGCGCATTGCTTCGGGGCTGTTTTCGTAGGTGCGGCCTACGGCTGCTACCAGGTCGTTGTGGGCGAGTGTGGTTTTAACTAGGGAGCGGCCCATGTGGCCTGTTGCACCGAAGATCTGGGGGTTTGGTGTTAGTTGGGGAGGTTTGGGAGTTTGGAGAGTGCTTGGTGGGGTTGGGCTTACCAGCCATACGAGGGGTTTGGGAGGGTTCTGGGGGCTTGGAGGGTCTGTTGTTGATGGGAGATTCAGAGTTGGTTCGCGAGGAGCGGGCGAGGTGGCACCTCTTGGTGATGTTTCCATTGTTGGGTGGGAGAAGAGAGGAGGAGAAGAGGAAGAGGTGGAGGAGAGAAGATGGCTCTCCGCATTCTCCGAGACCCACTTGGGTTTATACTCTTGTTTTTTGGTCTTTTTGGACTTTTAGCATAGGATCAGTTGTGAAAGAATACCTATTTTGTTTCTATGACGACACTCTACTCTGAAACTATTGTAAAATCACTGTAAAACAGAGACATCATATTCCATTACCATATACACCGGCAATTCCATTATCGACCGACCTCCCGTCGCAGCCGTCCCGCAGCTGTCGAGGGTCCCGGTTCGGGCCAACTACTTACAGCATCATCAACCTCCTCCAGGAATGTGGTACTATTGTGAATAGAAGTGCTACCAAGGACAACACGCACTCCTGGAGAGCTAGCATTGACCTGGGCAACCATCTTGGCCTCTTCATAGGTGGCACCACCGACCATGAAAATGATGATATCTTGTGGCTTGTCTCTCGTGTGGCCACTGCCTTCCAGGAAGGGATACTGCAACTCCTTCAGTCGTCCTTTGATGAGGTTTTGTAGTGTCACCTCCAAACGAGGTGAGTGCTGTGTGTAGACGTTCTCTACTCCCTTGAGGCCCTTGAAGCGGTCTCTGGCGCCGGAGAAGAATGATGTTGATTCGAAGAGGTCTGAGAAGCCGCCGGCGACTGGGGGGGCCTGGAGGGAGTGGTGGTAAGTAAGCAGCTTAGGGATGATGGCCGCACGGTTGGCTGGGACATCGCCTGCTGTGACAAGAAGATCAAGGAGGATTGGAAGGGCATTGTTGGGTTGCTTCTCGTAGCGAAGTGCATAGAGAGCCACCAAGCGCAGCTTGCTATCAGCTGGAACATTGGGTAATGGAATAATTCGTTGCAGAGACTAAAGCATAGTGAGTATTAGAGCGAAACATCCAAGTCTTTGTACGTACCTTCAGATCATTGGAATGGTTATCATTGCAAGCCAAGCTCTGTTCTAGTTCACTCACGTCGAGGAGACTTTCCTCGCCAACGCGCCGACTGAGCTCACCTACCAAGGTGACATGCTTGCTCACATTACCCGAGAGCTTGCGGAACTCGGGATAATCCTCCACGAAACGTTTCATATCCGCAATAGAGTCAATGTTCGCACTACTCTGCGTTTTGGTCTGGTATTGTTCGACATATTCTTTGATATTCTGTCCCAGATCACCAAAGTTCTGGTACATGTTCTTCTTAAAAAAGGGGTCCTGGTCCTGAGCCAAGACAATCTCCTTGAGCTCTGGTCGGATCTCTGGCACATCCCGAAGATCCACGCGGCCATTATTGATGCCAAGTAGTTCATGTACCATGGCCTGATATGTCCACTGCGTCAACAGCGGGGTGATAGGATCATCGCGGCGGTCAAGAACGAGGAGGATAGGCGGTGTATCCGTCCGGCGGAAATTAAACAGCTGCTCCTCCTGCGTGATGTGGTATCGGACCTCTGTCGCTAGCTTTCTAGCTAACACACTGTTCTTCTCGTATCGAATGAGAGGGTTTTTCTTTAGTGAAAGCAGGAGTGCCAATACACCTTCGGTGGCTCTTTGTAGAGAATCAGGGTTCCACAGATCGGGCGACTGGGTCCATATCCGCTGCAGGGGGAAGCCCTGACCTAATGAACATAGATCTGGGTTTATAACCAGAAAGTCGGCGAATTGTTCTTGCACTGACTGGACCACTTCGTGGCTATCTGCCTCTGCGAGCCGCTCGAGAGCGGATTTGCGGATGATGTTGCTTAAGTAAATGTAGTATTCGCCGTATTTGGGATCTCGGAGTTCATCAATTAGGAATTGGATCGAAGTGGGTGACGGGCGCACGAAGCACAGACAGCGCAGGTGGCGCATCTTCTCGCGCGCGGCATTGTCCAGGCGATCGATGAGATAGACCTCGTGATTAAGCAGGGCGGATTGGGTGATGGCAGTTGAGACGATGGGAACCTGTGATCAGTCAGCGCGAGTCAGCAAGTAACAGCCGAGTATATCCCACGGTCTCACTATCAAGAAGCAAGATCTTCATCTTGGAAGCTCCTGAGGACTCGCCCACGGTAACCATCTTGGAGATGTACCCCGAGGCAGCCGCGACGACATCCATGATGGGATTGAGAAGAAGACTGCTGATAGGTATCCAAGCACAGATCCCACTCTGTTAGGCCAAAATGACAACTGCAACTGCAACTGCAACTAGCAACGGACAACTGACAAGAAGGTTGAAGATGAGTTGTGGAGATGGCGGGACGCGGGAAGTTGTTGGGGGCTTCCGCTTTCCACATGACGAAGCTACTACTTTTTTTCTCTCCTTTCTTGTTTCTTCCTTTCTTCATGTTCTGATCTCCTCGATTTTCTTCGTCTTCTCTGTTAGGTCGACATGTTGCCCTACATAGACCAGAGTGCGTTCCCTCTAAGCTTTCCAAACAACCTCGACTGACTCTCCCCGCAGTATTCGAGCTGCCAGCTCGGCTCACTGGCGCATCAGTTGATGAGCGTACGAACCTCCGTCTCCATGATTTCCGGCCTTGTTAGCAGTTTCTGACCACAGCTCCAGTCAAGCTGATCGGCTCCTTCCTACTCTCCTACCCACTCGCAGCCCTGCTCAAGCGTATTCCCGATGCCCAGCCCTGGAAAAAGAATGCCTTCATTATTGGTGTGTCGTTGTTCTACCTGGTTGGCTTGTTCGACCTGTGGGATGGTCTTCGCACCTTGATGTACAGTGCCGCGGGTACCTACGCCATCGCATACTATGTGGACGGATCTTTGATGCCCTGGATTGGATTTTCCTTCCTTATGGCCCATATGTCGGTCAACCACATCTACCGTCAGATTGCCGACGAAGCACACGCGGTTGATATTACCGGCGCGCAAATGGTTCTTGTCATGAAGCTCACTTCTTTCTGTTGGAATGTCTACGACGGCCGTCGGCCCCAGGCTCAGCTGTCGGATTCGCAGAAGTACTCTGCCATCACCCAGTTCCCGAGCATCGTGGACTACCTGGGCTACGTGATGTTCTTCCCCTCCCTTTTCGCCGGCCCATCCTTCGAATATGTGGACTACCGCCGTTGGATCGATACCACACTGTTCGAAGTCCCTCCAGGAACTGACCCGTCCAAGGTGCCCGCTACCCGCAAGAAGCGTAAGATCCCTCGCAGCGGAACCCCTGCTGTCAAGAAGCTGGCCATTGGACTGGTCTGGATCTTTGCCTTCATCCAGCTTGGCGCGTACTTTACCACCGACTTTGTGCTTTCGGATTCTTTCCTGCAATACTCTTTCCTGCGTCGCGTATTCACCGTACACATGGTGGGCTTCACTGCGCGCCTGAAGTACTATGGCGTCTGGTCTCTGACCGAGGGTGCCTGTATCCTGTCCGGCATGGGATACAACGGCTTCGATCAGACCACTGGCAAAGTATTCTGGAACCGACTAGAGAACGTCGATCCCTGGGGTCTGGAGACGGCGCAAAACTCGCACGCGTACCTCGGCAGCTGGAACAAGAACACCAACCACTGGTTGCGCAATTATGTCTACCTCCGCGTGACCCCCAAGGGCAAGAAGCCCGGTTTCCGCGCCAGCATGGCCACCTTTGCCACCAGTGCCCTCTGGCACGGCTTCCACCCAGGATACTACATGACATTTGTCCTTGGATCATTCATCCAGACCGTAGCAAAGAGTACGATCCCCTCCCATCCCCCTCCTCAAACCTTCAGCTAACTGACCAACCCAGACTTCCGCCGCTACGTCCGCCCCTTCTTCCTCACTCCAGACGGATCAGCCCCAATGCCAAACAAGCGCTACTACGACATCCTCAGCTGGCTCGCAACCCAACTGACTCTCTCCTTCACTGTCCTCCCCTTCATCCTGCTCAGCTTCAACGAGTCCATCACCGTCTGGTCAAGAGTCTACTTCTACGGAATCGCCAGCACCCTCTTCTCCCTCGGAGCCTTTGCCTCCTTCTCCCCACTGAGAAAATACCTCGTGTCCGCACTGAAGCGTCGCTCCCGTCCAGCCGTCGGACGCAGCGTCAGCACCGACTCCGTCCGCCCGCCGGTCCTGGGTCTGCCAAATGACCCGGAGCGGGACTTTGACGAGGCCGTCCAGGAAATCAAGAATGAGATTGACGCTAGAGCGAGACGCGGTAGTGTTGCTACCATGCCTACCGGTCAGGAACTGAAGAATGCCGTTGAGCAGAAGATTGGTCGGAAACTGTGATGATACATTGTGTATTCAGCGCTGTTCCGGTTTCGGTGCCAATTTTGGTATTGGTATCGGAGGGAGACTGTGGTAGATGAGTTGGATCTTGTATCTTGCATAAACGGGGATGGTGGTTGGATTAGAGGTGATGTTGCGGGCTTGATTTCGGGGTCGTTTGCAAATAACATAGGTGCGTTGGAGCGTTCAGCGTTGGAATGTCCTTGGTGTATCTTTATCTTTCAGTTCTCTGTTTATCTTAATCTTGGGTTTTGACGTTCAACGCGATTATGGTGAAGGTGGTGATAAAATGGGGTTAAGTCAATCGAGTTGAGTTTGTCCTTTGCTGAAGACAGCCATAAATCAACTTAACACATTGAGCCATACGAGTAAGTTAAGTGATGGGTGAGATGCTACTCCCACAACGAAAGGAGCCCAAGACTGGAGAAGTAACAGTAGGCCTCGAAACTGGAAGAATAAAATAATCGAATGAAATATGAAACTTAATAAGGATATGTATAACACAGGATGGGGCGTAAGCCCGATAGATAATAAGGCAAGCAGCTAGCTAAAAGCCAATACTATATCAATATCAATAAAATCAAATCAAACAAACAACGATTCAGAAAAGGTCAAAAACAAGTCAAAAGGGGTAATGAGTAGCGTATGTCCAATACATGGAGCACAGCCAATAAAAAAAGCTTGAAGGCGCCATGCAGAGCATAGAAGAGAATCCCGGAAAACAGCAGCAAGGCAGTGTAGAAACAAGATGGGATATTATGTGCGTTGAATCGTGTCGTGGTCGTGTCAATGTGTGCAGAGAAGGGAATTGAAGATGTCACTGGGTAAAAGGAGGAAAGAAGGGGTAAAAAATAAGAGGTGTCTGTAGTAATGATGAATCAAGGACGATAAATGATCGAACAAGACAGGTAGAAAGAAAAGAAACCAGCCAAACGGATTGTTGGGGAGGGCTACAAGCCCGTGTTGAAAGTGAGTGAGTGGATCAAATCACAGAAAAAAAAAGAAAAAGAAAACATCAGAGGGATGGTTTTGAGAAAGAAAGATGCAAGCAAGTAAGTCCAAGTCGTAAGAGCATTAAATGAGAGATGTCGAGTCAAGTCGAATCAAGTCGCCGGCCATGATCCAAGAGAGAGAGAGAGAGAGATGGATCATGGTCGATGGATACCGTGGTATAGAGCAAGAATTAGAAGCCGGTAGTAGTTCCAATAACAGCCAGAACAATCTGCAAGAAGGGGTCATTAGCCAAGAATCCAACAAAGTAGAACCAAACCCAGTAGGCAGAACTCACAATCACAACAATAACAACAACTCCCAGCGAGATCATCCAGCGATTAAGATTCCTCCACCAGCGAGCATTCTCATAGCGCCTCTGCTGCAAATTCATACACTGCACCTCAAGGGCAGCCTCAACATCCGACTCGGACTCATACTCGACCATCTCAGGCGCCATCTTCGGTTTCGGCGGGAGAGGCAGAAACGCAGCAACACACCAGGCCAGAGGGAAAATGAAACCCAGACAGAAAGAGTAGACCTGGATATTGCGGCGTCCGAAGAACGGCTCGTTCCGCGAGTCCAGGGAGGGCGGTCTCCAGATACTATTTGAGTGTTGCAGAACTCGGCGATCCGGGAACAGATGCGGAGACCAACTGTGGTGTAGTCTGTAGCGGCTGTTGACGAATTCGCCGTGTTCTGGTTCTGGGGAGGGGACCCAGTGAGCGCGTGGATCGCGGGGGTCGCTTTCGATGCGGCGTTGGGGGATTAAGTTTACTGTGCTGATGGGTGCGCGCACTGGGGACACAGGTCTTTCTCTTTCTGGTTCTGTTTCTCTGTCTGGGGATCGGGGCCTGGGGATGTTGAGGGGTGTGGGCATGAGGTTGAAGTTGAAGGTGCTTGAGTTGGATGTTCCGGGGCGAATAGAGGATGGACGACTGGCGTCGATCATTGAGAGCGTTGAGTTCAGGCCCATTGGCTCGCGGAGGTAGTAGACCTTTGCCCAGGTTGGGAGGATGTTGAGGATAGTGCTGGAGCCTGTGCCAGGGCGTTGCGAGCGGTTGCTGTTGCTTCGCTTGGAGCCGGAGGAGAGGCTTTGAGCGAAGATTGGTCGTACGGGGAGGTTTGTCAGGCTGTCCAGACGCTCTTCGTCGCTGTCGTTGGAGGACTCGACGAGCCATACCGAGGATCGAGTGTTCTCGTTCTTGAGCGCTGCTGGTTGAGGTGGCGAGGGTGCGGCCATCTCTGCGTCTGAGGAGGTTTCCGCTTGCGCGGCCAGGTTGCTCAATTCATCTGCTGACCAGATTGAGGAGACGGTGGACAGGTGAGGGTTCCATCGGCCGGAGGCTGGACCTGGCGTGAAGTCGCGCTCGGGGGTGGCTGAACTGGCGGCGCGAGAGCTTGTTGACGACGGGGCGCGGATACGCGGGTATTGAATTGGAACGCCGCTGTCGATGGCTGCCTGTAGGTCAGATGCTGAACGGAGACTGCGCGAGGAAGATGTCGCGGAACGCGATCGGCTGCCTGATGGGGCGCGCGATGTTGACCGGAAGGACGCCACGGACTGCCAGGGTGGGCTGGACCGGAATGATGGCGAGCGATAGCTCAATTGCTCGGACGAGGCGGTGTTGATCCAGGGGGCGGCGCCGGCGTGTCTTACCACGGTGCCGCCTGAGTTGTACGACGACAGCGAGTTTCTTCTGGGGTCTGACTCGGAGGAGGCCGTCGCAGGACGGAAGTTCATGCTCGAGTTGTCCAGCATGACAAAGTTAGGACTTGACGGAGCACCAATCTGCTCTAGGTTCGGGCTGGAGAAGCCCATTGATTCTACGGAGCCTTGGGAGGACTGGGGCGAAGTGGGCGGCTCTGAAAGGACTGCCTTGATTGTTGGCGTGGCAGTCGGCAGCACTATCATCTCATCGTCCGAATATTCCGGCTCTGAGCTGTCGCATCTCCAGTCGCGTGCTTTACCGGAACCCATCTCGGGCAAAGACGACTTGCTCGAGGTTGGATCCTCATCCCACAGCTGCGGCGGCGAGTGGCCGGTATCAACGGTTGACGACACATCCCAACTCTCTCCAATGGAATGATCACGCGGGCTGTTGAGACTGGTCGGGCTGTTGGGAGCGGTGCTCTGGCTGAAGGATGGCGAGGAATACGCCGATGTGGAGGGACCTAGGTGATGATCTGAATAGCTAAACCCGGTGTCTGAGATGTACTCTTGCTGGCCTTTGCCCGGCATGGGTAGCAGAATCTGCTCGGGCTTGGTCGGGAAGGGCGTCGCGGTATACATGTCGACATCTTCCTGGTCCACCATGCGCAACGACCGAGTTGGTGATCTTTCATTCGTGTGAGCTGAACTGCGCTCTTGCAATGCCCTCCGCACGCGCGAGGTCCGGGGAGAAGACATGGTGCGTGAGTGTGTCGACGACTTACGGCATTGAGGAAGTCAAGATTCAAACTTGCTACACGATAAACACAACCAAAAGAATGACAGGGGAATGCTGATAATGCGAGAAATGAATGGTAAGGAATGTATGACCCAGGAGGATCGAGATCGCGGGTCTAGAGGCCGAAATTCATCAAAAGAGTGTGGGGACGTGCAGTCGTCAAGATTAGTTCGTTTCAGACATCGAAAACCATTAAAAGAGCGAAAGGGCGCAATAAACAACAACAAAGCATACGACAGGAAGCAATGAAAAACCGAACGTGAGACAGTCGAGGGAAGGGGGAGAGGAATTTTGTTGCCCAGCGGTGAACGAACGCCTATCACCCCCTTCTAGGGGTGCAGCTTGCATGGGCTCCAGTTTCCGACGACTCCGCGACTCAGGAACCGTTGACATTGGGGAGGCTTGACTCGATAGGTCGAGGTGCGTTCAAGACTGCCTCCAGACTCTGCCAGCCGGTCTCTCCAGACTGCCTCTAGCCTGCCTCCAGACTCTCTCACCCGACCTCCCGACTCGCACCCCAGCCTCCAGAATATAATGTGTGTCGACTACTGTCAATATACGTTCGGACTTGCAGATGGCATGCCCGATCAGCAGGTACTAGACGCAGCCTTTTCGGTTTTTCCCAAGTCTAGTGCTCATCCAGTGGAGACGGATGTGTTGTCTCGACTAGGATCGGTTTGGCTAGCGCCTGCGTGTCTGACTGTCCTGCCACCCTTGACAGGCAATAATATGAAGCTCCCTCAATAATTGTGCTACCACCTGCTTGTGCTCTCGTGAATCGGAGAATTATCATCCACGAGCCCCTCGCATTGACTCAGGTTAAATGAAGATGGGACTCCAGGGGGAGGAGACCGATCACATTGACGCTCGGTCCACCGGTTCAAGATATAGATAGATTTGTCCTCGACTGGTCCCTGTACAGTAACCGTATAGACATGGGTATAGATTTGATGTTCTAACTCGTGATTGAGAGGTTCGAAGTATACAAATGAAGTCAACAAAACACCCAAACTAGCAGCAAACTGTCCATGGCTCGTGGTGACAATACCGTACTGTAACACATCACTAACAGCCAATCACAGTCTCTCTGGTCACCCCCCTGTATACCGTAATAACAACAAAGCAACGTCCCAAACCAACTCTTTTCCGCGGCTCTCGATACTTCCCCAACTGCGATCTCAACATGGCTCCTGTCAGCATGTTGGCTCGTATCAAGAGTCTGTACAAAAAGCAAGGCATGTAGCATCCCTCTCATCCATAAATCCCAAACTAACACCCCCCATCCAGATGAACCAGCGCTGTCAAATCAGACGGTCGCTCTTTTCTCAGTATGTAAAAAAGAAACAGCCAACTGAAAACCAACCCCAGCAAAAAAGAAAGAAAGAAAACAAAAAGAAGATTAAGAAAAAAAAAACACCCTCAAATCTAACACCCCCAGGTCCTGCTCACATTACTCTACGTGGTCCCATTCTACCTGTCCCCAACGACAAGACCATCGCCAAGCCTAAGCCGCGATGCACCCTCCGTCATCAGGGCCCGCATCCGCACCGTGACAGGTTCCTGCATCTTCAGCTCGGGAATCGTGCTCTGGCTCGCCGTAGAAGAAGGCAACACCTCCCTCGCAGCCGGCCTGCGCCTCCTCGGCTGGTGGCCCGTCGGCGTGCTCGAAGTCGTCCGCACGCTCCTGTTAACCGCCATTCTCTTTACGGGCCCGCTCTTCGAGCGCGGCATCGTCGAGGGCGAATGGCGAGTCTGGTTCCGACGCAGCAAGCTCTCAGAGAGTCTGGGTGGCTGGATCGGATGGAGGAATTACGTCGCCGTATGTATCACTAATTGAATTGGCATTCGGATCTGCATTTGAACATGGTTTCTCGAGACAGTTCCATTCCATCCCATCCCATTCTATCATTGCTGATATCCTATATCCCGCAGGGCCCGATTACCGAAGAAGTCATGTTCCGCTCGGCCATCATCCCCCTGTATCTCCTGGCGCAAGAATCGCCGGGCCGGATTGTCTTCATTGCGCCGTTGTATTTTGGCATTGCGCATATCCATCACTTCTATGAGTTCCGGCTGACGCATCCCGATACGCCTGCGCTGGCGGCGTTGGCGCGCTCGCTCTTCCAGTTTGGGTACACGACGATCTTTGGCTGGTATGCGACGTTTGTCTATTTGCGGACGGGCTCGTTGCTGGCTGTGATTGTGATCCACAGCTTCTGTAACTGGTGTGGGCTGCCGCGGTTCTGGGGTCGTGTGGAGCCTGGGGAATTGATGGGCCCGCCTTTTATGCGTGGCAAGGAGGATTCCGAGGGGAGTGAGGGTGAGGGTGGGGTTGGGGATGGGTCGCTGGGTGTTGGGTGGACGGTTGCGTATTATGTGCTTCTGGTTGTGGGGGCTGTTGCGTTTGCGCAATGTTTGTGGCCGTTGACGGAGTCTTATCATGCTCTGGTTTCTTTCTCCGGGAAGTCTGTTTAGGTGGATTGGACATGGATATGACATGGTTATGGATATGGATTTGGACATAGTTGAGCTCTTCCTGTTGGGGCTGTGCCATAGAGATAGGCGTTTCTTTTTCTTTGTTCGGAGGTCTCTTCGTTTTACAATTTCTGTTTATAGTTAGTCGGCTGGACCATGGGATCTGTTATCCTTCAGCTGGTATGCATTCGAATATACTGTATGCTTTCAACGATTACTTTCAGATGAACAAGTTGCACAAGCGCTTGATTAAATCGGGAATATATCACTTTAACCCACTAACAGAGCAAACTCACGTCCGACATGTACTGTCAGTCGGACGGATGCAACCAGATCGCACCTCGTGGGGATTCAAGTAAAAAATAAAGAGACAATATTACCAATGCATACTTAGTAGACAGCAATGTCCATAATTATTGATCTCGAGTGGAAACTGAAAAGCGGTCGACTGAGCGAGGGGTTGAGTAGTTCAACTGACTACACCCTGCCGATATATATAGCGTAACAGGTCCCCCTAACAACCAATTATTGCATACAGCGGGTTTGAGAGAAATATCAAAGTAAATAAAATAGAAGCCAGTATATATATATTCTCTATTACCTTTTCTCAAAATGTCAGCATAATTCAGCAAGTTATCAAAAACAACTGGAGAGAGAAGTTAGTTTCCGCATAAAAGTAAACCGTGTCAAGGAGACCATTCTTCACAACCCTAACCCTAACCCTCCTAAATCTATATCTATATCTATATCCATATATATATATATATATACCAAACCTACCCCCCCCAAAGCAAAGCCCCATCAATCATCTCCGACCAACCCCCCTCCTCCCCCTCCCTCACAACCTCCCGCCCCAGCGCAAGAATCTGCTCCCGATTCCTCTTCCACCCCAACGCAAAAGCCGAATTCATACCTCCATTAAAGAACCCAATAAAGTTCTCACAGACCGTCCGACACAGCGGCTGCTCGAGATGCATCGCAAAGCCCGCCACTCTCAGATCCTCCGTCTTGGCCGCCAATTGGGCGAGATTGTCTACGATTTCGGCGCGTTTCGCCGGCGTGATGTTCTTTCGGGTGCGGAGGTCTCGGTGCTGCTCGCGGAGGGAGTCTAGGAAGTCAGCGCGCATGTTTAGGTAGTCTTTTTCGGCGCCGACTGCGTCTCGGCGGACTAGGGTGCGGCGGATTTTGGGGAAGGACATCTTGGGAGTGTGTTTGGGGGTGGGGTTGATTGTTCGGATTGTCATATGTTTTATGGTTAGTGTGATAGTGATGGTCTGTGGATTGCTGATATTGTGTATGTAGGATGTGGAATTGGCTGGTATGTGCCGATGGGTTCTCGAGGATGGGGTGGGATCCATGGTGTTCTTTATACTGGCTGTGGGTGCTGTGAGTTGACGACAAGTAGCTGGTATAGACATTGAAACGTTGGATGGGGGTGTATGAGAACAATAGACGTGATAAAGGGCATTCTCCGGACTCTTTGTTCTGGTCTGATGTTGAAGGTATTCGGTGTCCGACAAAGAGGTTAGTTATATTTATGGACAAAGGGTACAAAGAGGAGAATCATCTGCTTGTAGCCTTGGTATGGAGTAGCAACTATTTGCCTCCTGGAGAAGTAGAGACCTCCCACCACGAGTTTAGTAGAGAGCTGAGGCATAGAAGAGAAGCTAAACCACCATTTAGGACGTTGCAAAGACCGAGATCAATTCTCCCACACGGACAGTCAAATCCCCACATTGTCTTGGGTTCCCAGGTTGCAGATAGATCAAACTCAAATTATCGGCATAGATGGTAACATTGAACTTATATCCTCGTCTCCATACCACCCCTCCCCCCACAAATACCAGAGTAAGAATTAGCATCGACGTCGAACCGTAACCCAATCAAGATATCTCCGATCCCTTTCAACCGGACATTTCAGAACCCTTTGCCAGAAGAACACGGGATTGGCTGTCGGCTATTCTTCGGCCATGCTCTGACCTTGCCCTAAGTCCTTGCAATTGCGGGGAAGCGCAACATCTCCACATGCCGATATTCCCATATTCTGAGGGAGATATTTCAGTTCACGATAATTAGGAATAAAGAGTCCGAGGAGTAATATTCACGCCCATTGTAGCTGAAATCGTATAGGAAAGAGACCATGACATTCCATAGGTTGGACAGCCCTCATCAGTGGGAGCCGTGTTAGCTTCTCGGGTCAATGCCGTCGAACATCTTCAGCAGACTGACTGTAGGAGCCGGTGTCGGAGGAACAAGCTAGACCCACAGTATGTACCCCAGATATCTCCCCCACATACAAAAGCACTATATAAGAGATGATCCCAGCCGAGCTCGTCGCCAGCAACTCGAGCACTGGCAAGGGACAGACACAGGCACGATGCGGTCGTCCATTTTACTGGCAGCATGTGCGCTTGCTGTTATCAGCACTACCAAGGCTCAAGATATCTCAGAGGCTCTGCTAGATGTACCATGGAAGACCAACAATGTCAGAGTCAACGATCTGGTCGTTGCTCTGACTCCCGAGGAAAAGATCTTACTGGTTCATCATACCTTGTGGTCAGGAAGTCAGAATTTTGCTGGCTATATCAAGCCGGTTCAGAGACTTGGGATACCGGCTCTTCAGATGACTGATGGTGAAGCGTATGAGCATCATTCCACCCCCCTCTTTTGACTGGTAAAGTGATAGGCTAACGTACGACACTGTAATAGGGGAGTCAATGGGGTCTTGAATGCAACAGCAATCCCAAGCCAGTTGAATATTGCAGCGACATTCTCCCGAGAACTTGCATACAAAGCCGGTTCGGTTGCAGGGAGCGAGGCGCGGCTGTTGAATGCCAGTAAGTTATCTTTCCAAAGCGCATAGCATCCCAAGCTGACATGTTGTACTCGTTAAGCTATACTGCTAGCTCCTCGCGTGAACGTCCTCCGCGACCCGTTCGAAGGATCCTTCTGGCAAGGCTATTCCGAGGACCCGTACCTGAACGGACAACTGGGCGCACAAGCCGTGCAAGGAATCCAAGACCAAGGCACAATGGCCAACTCCAAGCAAACAGGCCCGAGCAGCACGGGCGCCAGCGCCGGCGACTTAAACTCCGAAGTCGATCTGCAGGTCCTGCATGAAGTCTACTGGGCGCCGCACCAGCCACTCATCGACGCGGGCGTGGCAACCATGATGTGCTCGTACGCCCAAATCAATGGCATTCCAGCTTGTCAGCATGACGAGCTTCTTAATCTCACTATCCGCGGGGATTACAATTTCACAGGGGCCATGATGAGCGATTGGACGGCGACGCACTCCACGGCGCCGTCGATTATTGCAGGCTTGGACTGGGAGATGGGGTCGGATACCTACTACTCCCAGCCTTTGTATGATCAGATCTATGTTCAGAAGAACATCTCCGAGTCGTATCTGAACAGGGCTGTTCACCGCATTTTGTCGATGTATGACCGTTTTGGGATCCTGGATGGTAATGGCGCTCAGGGAAACTCGACTGCATTGCTTCTCGCTTCGAAGGATCTGCCGCAAGACACGCTCAAGGCTGGACAGGATGCTTCGTATGACATCGCCGTTCGATCGGGTGTGCTTTTGAAGAACGAGGGCACCCTTCCTCTCGACGGACATCAAAGTGTTGTTGTGCTCGGCGCAACAGGTCTGCAATTGACCAACGGAGCCGGGTTCGCAGAACGGGCCTTTGGATTCCAGAATCGCAAGGTTGCGCCCGTTGACGCCCTGAAGAAAGCATCCAAGGACCTGAAAGTCTCTTCGGCAATCGGCGTTGATATGCACGGCACACTTGTGCCTGCATCCGCCCTGAGAACTGTCAACGGCAAGCATGGGCTCCTTCGAAATGACTCAATGGAAAGGACCAGCGTTGATTCCACCCTCAGCTTCCAAGGGAAAAGCGCTCTTCCCGCAAATACCAGCTATACCTGGACAGGCGAGTTGCTTGCTCCCACTGCTGGATACTACCGGCTTGCTCTTCAGCGTCATTTCCCCGGCCCCGGAGGACCCGTCAACAGCACCGACTACAGCGTCTTCTCCCATGACACGTTCACCATCGACTCAAACACAGTCGATGGCTACCGCATCCTCGGCGACGGAGGAACCCGCCCCTGGAGCTCGCCGCTCCCGACAACCGATTTCTGGGACGAAGCAGGAACAGACGTCTACCTCACAGCCGGCGCACACAATCTCAGCGTCGCAGCGACATCGCTGTTCGGCGAACCTCTCGAAATCAGACTGCACTGGGTAACACCAGCACAGCGGGAGGCAAACATCAAAGAAGCAGTCCGACATGCCTCGGCAGTAGACGTGCCTATTGTGTTCGCGCACGCGGCCAGCCCAGCCGAAGTAGGCATGCAGCTCATCGAAGGCTTCGACGACCTCATCCACCGCGTCGCAGAAGTCAATCCCAGAACAGTCGTCGTCCTGCACAATGCAGAGCCGGTCCTGATGCCGTGGCTGGACAAGGTCTCCGCCGTGCTGTGGATGGGCCATCCGGGCCAGGAAGGGGGAGCGGCGATCGCGGACCTGCTCGTCGGCCAGCACACGCCCCAGGGAAAGCTGCCGGTCACGTATCCCGCGTCGGTGAATAGCAGCATGACGCGCAACCCGGACTATCCGAATAGAGTGGACGGGCTGAATGGCACGGCGGTGTTCTCCGAAGGCATCAATACCTCCTATCGGTGGTATCTGAGCACGAAGACGGCGGTTCTGTTCCCCTTCGGCTTTGGGCTTTCTTATACGTCTTTCGACTATAGTGATCTGGAGATTGTCGAGACTGCTTCTTCTGTCTTTGATGTTTCGTTTACTTTGAGGAATACGGGATCCGTGGCTGGCGGGGATGTGCCGCAATTGTATATCGGGCCTCCTTCTGGTGCGGCGCGGAAGTATCCCGGAATCCAGTTCGCGGTGTCGGCTCTTGCTGGGTTTGATTCGGTGGAATTGTCGCGTGGGGCTGCGAGGAGGGTCACTTTCCAGATCTCGAAACGCCAGTTGAGTTTCTGGAATCAGGTGGACCGGTCGTGGGTTCTGGCTGAGGGTACGAGGGAGGTGTGGATTGGGACGGATGCGCAAACTGCTGTTTTGAAAGGGACTATTGAGATCTAGAGAGGTATCATAATAGGGATAGGGCTCTTTCGGTGATGTCGTTGGACGTCTCCCATTTCAATGACTATGGTTGTTGTTAGGGCTAAGGTTTGGCGGGAGACTGAGAAGGATCGTAGTCATATTTTGACCGGATGATGCGTTTTGAATTGAGCTATGATCTTTATAGTAAATATGATGAGTTACAAGATAGCTTGAAACAGCAGTGTTTACCAGACCCGCATAAGACTTAAAGTATCTAAGAAATCTCTTTGAACTGACGGAAATCGAGACATGTTTATTCATGAGAGCATGCATATCCTAAACAATGCAATGCAAGGATAGAGGGAGAGCTTTATACAAGAAGGGAGGGGAAGGGGTATGCTACACCTGGACATAATCATCATCGAATTAGGCTGAAAGGAGAACAAAAAGGACCAATAGACGAAAAACAGGCCGAGACAGAGTCTAAGTCAAGTCTATGCTCGTTCTCAATATGATCAAGCGGGCAAGAGACACGGATTAGTCGGTTGCATGGATGATACAGAGCTCGTTTGCATGCCAGATGCGGCGGCGACGCACGACATCCGCCCCGAAGGTATCCTTGATACTATCAGAGTCAGGGCCATGAGCGGCATCACCATCAGCTGCAGGGGCATCATCGTCGGCGAAGGATGGACGCAGAAGGCGGGCTTCTTCAACGCTAGCGCCGAACTCGTACTCTCCGCGACAGAGAACTGTCACACCGACGGAGGCGGTGGTGGACTCGCCACTTTGCAAGACAGGGAGGGCCTGCTGCAGCATACCAGTCCAGACGAGGCGACGGGTGAGGTCTAATGCGACGTTGTTTGGTTGGTGGCGGAGACTGGGCTGGAGACGGAGAAGGGGGTGGATGGCGCGAGAGGAGCGGTTGCGGACGGTGACGGTGAGAGTGAGGAGATCGTCGGTCTTCACGCGGAAGCGAGAGCGACCGGTTTGCTCTACACCTGGGGTTGTCTCGGATGGGGATGGTGAGGTCAAGGAGAACATCATTTCGATGTCCTCAAGACGCATGGCTTCCACCATGCGGTTGTTCAGTCGGACGTTTCGGAGGTCGATGCTTCCCTCGCGTCCGGTGGCGGGCTCCTTCCAACCACCGAGGACTCTTTTGAGGAGTTCCTCGCGGAACCAGAAGGCTTCGCGCGAGGCAGCCTCGGCTTCGAACGAGAGCTTGTTGGCACTCACGACAAACTGTCTCCGAGTGCCGGTGTTGACGACGGGGATGGGAGCACAAGGGTTGTCAAGGTAGACGCGAGGCAGGACCAAGACGAATCGACACACTTGACCGGGTTGCAGTTCTCCACCCACGGAGTACTTGCCACTGGCGTTGTCGTCGGTAGCCTCTGGCGAGTCGCTTATGGAGTGCTCGCTAACACGCAGCCATACAGACAGAGGACTTGGCCATGCATTACGCAGATCAAGCAACACAACGCAGTGATCAGGCCCATAGGCCCCGTTACCAAGACGGGCCAGGACCTGGGAGAACGGATCATGATCAGTGGTGGAAAGTAATGTATCCGGCTTCTCTGAGTCAATGGGTGGTTCAATGTGATTTTTCCAGGCAAAGTCACCACTAAATGGTAGGATGTCACACCGAGCGACCTCCACGCTGGCGTTAACCGTGACAGTCAAGGGCACGAACAGCTGCCGGGTATAGAATACATCTGGCAATTCACCAGGAGCTGCACCGACGCAGGAGTAGTCAATTTGCACAGTCGTATCCTGCAAACCAGGCTTGCCCAGGACGTCAACAGTAAAGGTTGCCTTCTGATTAGCTTCAATCGAACAGTCGCTGGGGTCTGGACCCTCGCGGCGCCACCGCAGGGCAGGCTTGTTTGCTAATTTCAACTCAAGCTCGTAAATCTCAACAGGCAATAGGTTTTTGTTGCTGAGAGCGGACTGAAGCTGCCTTGTGGTTGAATCTTGGAATGTGAAAAGAACAAAGTCCACAGGGCACGAAGATGCGTTCTGGAGTGTGATGGTGAATGTTCTTACTTCACCTTCCAGCACCATCAGGGCCGACTGTGACAATGACATGCATTCAATGACAAGCGATGGCTGTTTTCCAATCACTTTGACTTCACATGTCGCCGTCTCGGGGCCCTTTTTGATGTCTACCTTTCCATCCTTTGATGTTGTCGAACTCCAGGAAAGCGGTCGTTCTGTCAGTGGCTTTTTAGCCCCCAATCCTGTTCGCTTGAACTTAACGTCAGGATCAGGTCTCCAAAATGTCTTGAAGATGGGGAACCTGCGCATACGACAATGTCGCACCTTCACGATACAGCCAGTGATGTTAAGGCTGCCTGGCTCGTGAGCGACACCGAGGACGATAACATCTTGAAGAGACAAAGGAGCAAGGGTGATGTTTTCTGCCACAGCATCGAAAGAGACACCGCTGCTCTCTAAGCGCAAGTGTTCAATCTCAAGCTCAAATTCATACGGATTTTGAAGTGTCACTTGGAACGAGGCAGACTCATCGGTGACTGTGAGCAATTCCAGTGCCTTGCTACTGACCTTGGCGAAGGCATTGTATAGGAATGGGTCCTTTTTTGACTTCTCGGTGCCTGGATTAACAGCGTTCAGTTCTGTCTTGTTCCGACGAACAGGTCGCTTAGGATCTGGAAGTGGCAAAAACTGGACATCACGGACTAAGAAATCGTCCCAGTACTCTGCAACCATATCAGCGGCGCCTAACCTGGTACCGGCACCCACAGTACGCTTGATATTGTTGAGAAGACGAATTTGTTCGTCTTGAGGTAGATAGGGCTGGGATTTATAAGTCTCTCCTAGCATCATATCACCTCGGATGGTCTGCAACAGCTCGACCGTGAAGCGAAGCACGCCATTGAAATCTGGAAGAGCTTCGCAACAGTTGATGCAAGCCTTGAGAACATCGATCTTCAAGTTTAGATCGCCGTATCGATCTAACACGACATGTCGGAATGCCCTTTCAGCAATGCTGGAGACTGAGTCATACTCAGAGCCTTCTTGCAGACCGCCGATGGCAGATGATTGGCTTGACCTCTTCTCCCATTCATAAAACGACGAGGGCTGAACGCCATATATCTCTCCAATCGTGGCAAGAAGAAGGCGCACACTTGTTTCCATGTTCCCAGAGCCCGTATCGAGGGCATTGACATCAAAGGCGGCATCGCTGAGAGATGCCAGTCCAGCAGCAGGATGAATTCCGACCTCGGCAGCACCAATTTTGCGTGCTTGAACCAAGCTTGGTACCATGACGGAAAGAAGTTCGCGCATGATGAATGCCTTCTTTCTCGGCAGATCAAGAAGATTAAGCACGGATACGACACCAACTATGATAGGCACTGCGTCTGTCGCGGGCAAATCCGCGCCAGGGGAAAGTGGCAATGCCCGATATAAAAAGTTCGCAATTTCAGATTTTCGGAGAATAACGGTTCCTCGAGGAAGTTCGGAGTGGAACAATGGAGTCAAGGGCTCGTTCATCACAATGTGCTTCAAGGCATTGTCATCTAAAGCCCCGTCACGAACGCGAGCTGACACCAACAGCCGTGATAATCGTATGACTGTTTCTGAGAACACAAGCTGTGGCAGAGGCTCATCCGTGATATTGGCAGCACGGTTGTAAAGATTTAGGATGTTGTGCGCGAGATCTGGTAGGAGGTTGGCTAGATTCTGCAAAGAGATGACCCGGTTTCCAGCACTACTGGGTGTAGTCGAATCACGGGAAGATTTAGAAGACTTCTCGGCAACTGGATAAAGAACCGATGGAATCTAGGAGATATGTTAGCTACCCGCAACAAGTTGCATGTGGGGTTGGATAAGTGCATACTTGGAAGTCCATACCCGCCCAGCCAAACATCAGCAGGCAAAGCAGGATTGATTCAAGCGCTTTGGCATGCCAGACATAGTCGCTTCCCGCTCGGGCATTGTTCACGGCTTCTGTCAATTCCTTTAGAGCGTCTGGCCACCTTCCTGCCTGCAGGAAAAGAGTTCCAATGACTACACCGGCCCGGCCTTTAATTCGGTTCTTAGTCCTATCGGTGGCACTCATTCCACTGACGGACATCCGGTCACGGCTGTGCTCTTTCGGAGATGCCACTGATGGAGTCCTGCTGCCAGAGTTTGTGCGGCTTGATAGGTGAATTGATCGCGTGATCTCGTCAAATGTCGTAGGAGTCTCATGATCGCTAGGAGCTGGCGAGCTGGCATTTGAGCTCAATGGAGTATCGGGTGTCCCGTTGGAATTAGAGGGAAGCGCAGGCATAGTCATTCTCCACGTATTTAGCAGTCGATCCACTGGGCGTGGTCGTAGCTCCGGGTTCCGGTGTGGACCCCAAGAGGATGCCTTTGGCGAATCGATTGACGGGATGTTTTGAATGGTCTTTGCAAACTCATCCAATTCGGAGAGCAAGACCGAGGTGATATCACACAGAACGGTCTTCATTGTGGTGGCTTTGCAGGCCTGAGGCGGCGGAACCCAAAGAACATTATCGGGCCCGTTCATGACCTTGTCCATACCTTCATGGTCGAATACCAAGAGCTGGTTCACCAATGCCCGAGGGTTCCTCTCTTTCAGCCCACCGAGCTCCTCCAACAGCTGATCGAGACCTTCTGGAGTTGGGTGCTTTTGGCTGTTACCTCCTGTACTTGCTGGCAGTTCTGTTCCATCTGCTATGGCAATAACCACCAATGGCTCTCTGTAAATCTCAAAGGGAAATAGTTCGAGGTGCGACGTAGGGGGAACGGAGAATGTAAGGTCGTAGAGGATCATGCCAGTCGGAAATGCCAGCGGCGAGAACATATCTAGACAATAGCAAATTAGTATACATTGGATTGAGCTGGTACCACCATTGTTTGCTCGGGATTAGGTGCATACTTCTGTTTGGCCGCGCATCGGGGCTGATATCCCCTAATCGAACTACATTCTCGGCCTGTAGTCGGGCAGCAAAATTCAGAAAGCGTGAGCGCTTGATCTTTCCAATAGGCAGCAGGAGGGCCCTGAGGCGCACAGGGGCAATTGGAGACAGAGGGTCAACACCCATGCTGTTCGAGAGCTGTTGAGCAGGCGATTCAATATCAAGCCTGCATCCACTTAAGCTCTGTTTCCAGACGGCATACGTTAAGAACGCAGCAATAAACTTCCAAAATGAAGCAGCACGAGGCCCGACTGAATGCGCTCAGACAAGATCTGGAGACGAAGCCAGCAACGTGCTTCGTTTCTCTGTTGAGCTCCGAACAACAAATGGCTGAGGTAATAATGTTGCATACGTGGGGGTTTTGGCTTACCGTAAGTATACACGGGGTACCTTCATCCACATGCAAATTGTGTGGGCGGGGAGGTACCGATACCTGGGAATTACGTACAGCTCACGTAAAGGCGGCGGTCGAGGGCAGTTTGCGATAAGAGATAAGTAAACTCCGCATCTCCGAGTTATTTGTCGACTTCATATTAGTCTCGCCGTCATTTTATACTTTGATTACTTCGTTTTGGATTATAGATTTTTCGCAGCGTTATAAAGGTGTTATTTTGCTGTTTGTTGCTGGTATCTGTCGCTTTTTTAGACGTGTCAAGTCCGACTGCAGCCTAAAACACCTTCGATCTCACGTTTACCTCTGCTGCCACGCCATGAACTAGACTTCGTCTCATCTACCAAGCGTCTTCCTATCACGACTTATATAACAAACTACTCGAGAACATGGCCATGAATGTGGATTTCAACGCCTTGAAGGCGCGGACTATGGGGTCCGGGGCCGACGAGGAAGCAGTGACGGTTGATACTAGAGGATTGATCTCCAAGGTTCTTGCCCGATATTCTGGTAAATGGTAAATGAAGCCATCATTCATATGTCTAGTGAGTTCCCATATGCTTACACTCTCACAGGACTGTACTTCGAGAAATGATCCAAAACGCCGCCGATGCCTCTGCCACAAAGGTGACAATCAAGTTCGAGACTCTTCCCTCGACTACAGTACCATCCCCATCAACGGCCGACCCGACTGCACAGCTAAAACACACAATCAACAACCATACGCTTCGTCGACTCTTAATTTCAAACAATGGTTCCCCATTCAGTGAGAAGGATTGGGCACGCCTGAAGCGTATTGCAGACGGAAATCCCGATGAAACCAAGATTGGTGCATTTGGTGTCGGATTCTACAGTGTTTTCGACGACTGCGAGGAGCCGTTTGTTTCTTCTGGCAGCCAGGCTATGGCTTTCTATTGGAAAGGCAATGCACTGTTCACACGCCGACTGGACCTCGGAGAAGCTGCAAGTCAAGATACCACCTTCGTTTTGGACTACCGCAATGATTCTTCTCCAATCCCATCGCTACTGCAGTTGTGTCAATTTTTATCAAGCAGTCTCACCTTTGTCTCCTTACAAGAGATAGAACTATGGTTAGATGATTGGAATCTTTTGCGGTTATCGAAGAAAACTGCCCCTAGTGTTGATGTTGCAATCCCCAGAGACATCGACACTAAAACTGAGGATGGGCTGATGAAAATCGTCAAAGTCACTCGAGAAATCGCGCAGGTAGACGCCTCTTGGATGCGAATCGTGGAATGGAATCCTAACGCAAGCATTTTCCGCCTGGATAATATCCGTGATACAACAAGCTCACTGCGGAGTTTCTTTTCCAAGTTTACCGGTCAGCCAGAAAAGCAAATCAATCAACAGCCAGAGCATGAGCGCCAGGAAGAATCAAGCAACTTGAACACTATGCTGTCCGCATCGGTCTTTTTGCATATCAACACGGCGTCGATCCAGCCTTCTATTAGCTCCTCGCTAAGCAAAGAATTAGAACGGGCTACAAGAAAGCCTCCCCCTAAGAGATGCACCATTGCTATTTTGACACCCTCGTATGACGCCAACATAGCTACTGGGGCATCTTCATCACAGTCAGAGATCCTTTCATCAATTCTGCCTACCAAGGCTGGAAGAGTATTCATCGGATTCCCCACACAACAGACCACTGGCTTGAATGCTCATGTGTCTGCTCCATCTGTGATTCCCACCGTCGAACGAGAGAGTATCGATCTCAACACTCGTTATATCAGCAAGTGGAATCTCGAGATGTTGCGCGCGGTCGGTATCGTTTGTCGAGTTGCCTGGTCTGCAGAAATGGCTACCATCAAGTCCAAATTAGCATCAAAAATTGGACCATCACGCTCAAAGATTCGGAAGGAAGATATCGTGGATGTATTGCCGGAGGCTATTCATACTGCGAATCAATTTGTGTTTCGTGAATCTACCCCGTCTTCGGTTCTGGGCCAAACTATTGAAGACGCATTTTGGATGTGCAACAAGAACGCCTCTATCGAGATTCTTTCCACCTGTGGTGTTATTCCCAGCCATCAAACTCGCATTGCGCCGAAAGAATTGAGCTTTATGGATTCAATTCCTGCTTTGCCTGACGATCTCGTGAACAACGCCAAAGACTTTGTGAAAAAGCTTACCGATTTCGGGCTCGTTACAGAAATAACAGTATCAGACATCAAGCGTGAACTAGAGTCCAGTACTTTGCGATCCAACCAGATCGTTGAGTTCATCGCCTGGCTTGGCCGCAAAACGATAACTGGTCAGCTTGATAGACTGTCGGTTCAGAGTCTATTACGTGTAGCGGTGGCAAACGATGAAGATAAAGAAGGCCACCCCACTCGCCTGGTCATCTTCGCGGATATAGCTTGCTTCTTGAATCCCCAACGCATCCCAGCAGATCTTCCTGTGCCACCAAATGTGATTCCCTTCCGATTTACCAAATCTGTGGGTAAGGCAGAGCTGGAGGCGCTCGGCTGGGTTGAGCTGCAAATTGTTCCTTGGCTTCGTTGGCTTGTCAAAAATGCCGGAGACCGCAACATTCTGTCTATCGATCAAGACATCACACAAACAGCGGCATTCTCCGGGCAAATCTTGCCTGTTTTATCAAAACAGTGGGAGCCCCTCAGCCAGGATTCGAAACAGACTGTTGTCTCTATACTCCAACCGCAGACTGTGATTCCGACTCGGCTTGGAATGAAACAGCCTTCTCAGACCTATTTCGCATCAGTACGACTTTTCGATGACCTTCCCGTGGTTCATGGGTTGAACGGCGTCAAAGAAAAGATACTGGTATCCCTTGGAGTTCGCAAAACGGTTGAGCTTGGCGTGATCTTTGATCGTCTTATCAACACCCCTACGGCCAGCGACGCCAAAGAATCCCAGCCCAGAAAATGGAACCACGTTGATCTTATTCGATACCTTACCTCTGTGCGGGAGGACATCCCCACAAACGATATTCAGAGACTCAAAGGCACGAGTATCTGCACTGCTGAAAGCGACAGCGGCTCTCAGGGAACACGGTACAAGATCTCTGAACTTTATGAGCCAAAAGATTCTCTTCGGGCTCTCGGGCTACCGATACTTGAGTGGCCAGGTATCTACACCAGCAGTAGCAATGAGGGCAAATTCCTTACAATGATGGGATTGAAGAGTTACCCATCAGCTGTCGAATTGATCCAGCTCATGACTGCCGGAAGCACGCAGAAGGACAGCCGAGCTACCAAGGCCCTTTCATACTTCCTCAATGAGTATTACACAAACGGATACGCTGTATTCAATATCAGTGCGGTAACCGTGCCTTTCCTTCCAATCGAAGATTCCGATCAATTGAGTGTGCCTAAGAAATGCTTCACTGATGAAGGTGCCGCCTTGTTTGGCTTCAAAATTCTTCGCAAGAATCTCCATACCCATGCTTCAAAACTTGGAGTCAAGCCTCATCCTCCTATGACGGAGTGTTTACAGGTCCTTTCAAAGCAACCTCCTACTACCCATAAGGACGCTCGGATTATTTTCAAATATCTGGCAGGTCGGGTGGCAGACTTGAATTCACAGGATATCGCGCGCATTAGCCAAGCTCCGATCATCCCGATCCCTGTGCATAGCCAAGCCGAAAAGGCACCTAGAACCCGTCTCGTGGCGCCTAGGCTTTGCTATCTTGGAGACGGTGAAGACTACAAGGGAATTTTTGACTTTGTTGATTTCGGCCAAGAAGCGAATCTCTTCCTCATGGCAGTTGGCTCAAAACGAGAGCCTACCAAGATTGAAATTGCAAGAATGCTGGTTAGAGAGCCAGCTCGGATTTCTGCCGCGTTCCAAAGTTCCGAGAAATACCTGATGCTCCTCAGAACACTTGCGGAGCACCTGCCAGCGCTGAAGAGGGATAAAGATCTGTTTATTGAAATGAAGAGAGCTCCATTCCTCATGGCCAGCCGAGATATTCCACCGCAAGCTACAGGCAAGGGTGAAAAGGAAAAGGTCAAGGAGCCTCTTGATGAAGATGACGATCTGGATATCAGAGAATGGAGTTTGACATCTGCCAAGGACATTGTTTTGGTAGATGCTTTCCAGAGTTTCAATCTGTTCAAAGAGCACATCCTTGCTGCGCCACAAGAAGAAGCATTGGAGGACTTCTATATTGCCCTTGGCGCCATCCCGTTGAGTGGTCTTGTGGAAGAACAAGCGCGGTTTGGCGGTATTGCACCTGACCAAAGACTGGCAGTCAAGCTTCATAAATTGATCCTCGAGCGTGCAAGACTCTTCTTGCATGACCAACCCGCCGATTCTGTCCTGCATGGAGCTCGATGGCTCGAACACTCCTTCAAAGTTCAGGTTGTGACCTCGATATCTCTCACGAGATCCCTCAAGGGCCGACGAGTTGCACACACTCAGAAGCGAAATGCTATCGTGGCAGAACTGGGGAGGAATTGGGGCATGTGTATCACCCCGGGTCAATATGATCTATACGAAATCAGTCAGTCGCTGGTGCATCTGATACTGAAACGGCCCAAGCTGCATTCCACCCTTACCCTGGAGATGTTGTTGAAGACCGATCTTTTGGAACTTCGGGCCCGAGGCTACAACGTGGAACGTATTCTGAGACAAAAGGCCCAAGAAGCCCGCGTAGCAGAGGATAAGCGCCAAAAGCAGGTCGAGGAAGAGCGACGTGCTTTGGAAGAACAGGAAGCCGCATGGGCTGCTACTCAAGCTCAACGTGCTTTGGAAGACAGGCACGAGCAACAGGCGCAGAATGCGATGCCCGGTGTCTTCCCAGAATCGCCGAACAATAACAAGATGTTGCCAGCGGAAGCACATGCTCCTCCGCCCGAGCCCATGCCTGAGCGTCCCAGTCGCGGCTTGTTTGCCAACTTGTCGAAGCGATTTGGCTTGGATAGTAACAAACTCGGCTCCTCTGGCTCTGAGGAACAATCAAAGTCTTTGCTGCCTGACTCTTCTACACCTCCTCCGCCGCCCTACTCTTCCAACGATCCGCAGAAACCACGCCCGGAACAAGGTGTCACGGTCAACTCACCCCATCGCTTGAATTCCGAGCTTCTGTCAGCGGTCCAAGCATGCCGGCCCCACGGATCTTCGGATGTGTACAGCCGGCCGGAGACGAATCAAATCTCAGAAAGCAAGTCCTACTGCGATGAGCGTCCCAGCCATGACCTGGAATTCGTCGCCACACTCCCCAGCGGTGTCAACGTCCTGTTCACACGAACAGTCCCCGAACGATCCGCCTTCCTCGCAAGCAACCGCGCCGGCTTCACCCTCTTCGCGTCGATTCTGCTCGACTGCGGGTCAATCTTCTCCATGCGAGCCGACAGCCTCAGCATCTTCTACGACCCAGGTGGCAAGACAATCGCCTTCAACCGGGCTGGCAGTATCTTCTGTAACTACTTCTATTTCCAGCAGTTGCAGGAGAAAGCCCTCCTCCAGAGTTCCACCCCCGACCGTACTGATGCTATCGTGTATTGGTGGGTGATCCTCTGCCATGAGCTGGCGCACAACCTGGTTGGCGACCATAGCTCCGCGCATAGTTACTACACCGAGGGCTTTGTGGCGCAATATTTCCCGAAGGTTGCTGTGAAGCTTGCTTCGCTGCAGGTACCGGCGCCATCTCCATCTAGACAGACTTGATTTTGTTTGATTTTGTTTGTTTTTACAATGTTCAATACCCTCCCATGATCTTTGAATGTTTGTTCGGAATTTCTCTCTCTGCTGGCTTTGTTCGTTTTAGGGCTCTCTCTCGTGTCAATTACCTAGCTCCAATGGATATTTCCGATGTTCCCGAATATTCACAAATTAGAATGTCTCAGTTGAAACCTACACAGTAGTAAACGGCATCTTCAGGGATCTAACGGTTTCCTCCGGTTCCCCTTTTCGGCCACTTGGCCCACTCAACTTCGTCGGCTTTCCACCAAGTCCGAGAACATGAGAATAAATTGACTAGAAACGACTATCTCAGCTTGGAATTGCAGCTCGAGAACTCCCACATCCAACCTCTCCAATTATAAGCTCTCGCCACTCGGCATCCGTTGGTACCCGCTTTTGCCCTTTTTCGCAACCTTAATTTTTCGCGACTTTTGCCTCATTTCTCGGCTGCTGCAGTTCCGAGCCCTTTGATCTTTGGACGGTCGTCGTCTGTTGTGTTCTTGTTCTTTCGTTTATCTCTCTTCATTCGTTCTTCATTTTCTCCGTGTGTCTGGCACGTATATTGCCACTCTCCGACCCGGTTCCCAAGGTTAGCGGCGATCTCCTGGGGTCCATTCTCAGAGATTGATGGGCCTGGGCTGTTGACGTCTCCGAGAGCCTCATTGCTTCGCCAACCGCTGGGTTTGATCGCGGGGTCTAAAAATCTCACAACTACCCCACTTCATACATTCTCTTTTTTGAACAGCTTCGCATCATGGCACCAATGCTAGGCCATTGGGATGATTCCGGCACCGGGAGCCCGGTGTCCAGGCACAATGCCTTGTCCAGGAACATACTCTATGTCGATGCTTATGACTCATTCTCCTACAATGTGGTTGCCATGCTCGAAGAAACACTAGGCGTCAAAGTCACGGTGATTACCATCGATTCAGAATGGCCAAACTCGGACATGAACGAGTTTCTTCGACACTATGAAGCCATTGTTCTTGGTCCAGGACCGGGCAATCCGAATGTGCCCACTGACGTGGGTATAATGAATGATATCTGGAATCTCAAGGACTCGGAGCTTTTACCGGTTTTTGGTATCTGTCTGGGTTTCCAGAGTCTCTGTCTTCACCACGGAGTTCCAATTGAGCAATTACCCTATCCGATCCATGGTCAGATTCACAGGATCCATACTACCTCGAAGGATATCTTTGAACATCTCCCGGCTGTGGATGTGACTCTTTATCACTCTTTATATGCCAATGCGGCTGCTTCAACCCCGGCGGATCTGGAATATCTGGCATGGTTGTCCCTGGAAGAGGTTTCCAATGCACAGATTCCCATGGCGGTGCGACATTTGCACAAGCCCTTCTGGGGTGTCCAATTCCATCCCGAGTCTTGCAAATCTGAAATTGACGCCTGCAAATCACTTCTTCGGAGTTGGTGGAAAAAAGCTCTTGCATTCAACAAGATCAATGGCCGCGGTGGCTACGAGTCTCTTCCAGAGACGGTCATCACCCCTCACACAGAGGCCAGTCCGTTCCCTGAAGTTGCGTATGAAATGTTGCAGTGGTGCAAATCCACTTCATCGGTTTCAGCTTCTCGGTCTTTCAAACGCAATGGCTTGACTGCAGAGGCGATTAGCGAACTCTTCAACGAGCCAGGATCCCCTGCAGTTTTGTTCCAATCTAATGGGCGATACACGATCGCCTCCGTGCCCAGCCCGGACTCTTGGCGGTTCGAATATCATGTCGAGACCCACAAGCTCCGCATGCTTCAGCTGTATTCGGAGTGTAAATCCGATGAGAGCACTCTTGCTGTGGCTCAACTTTGGGATGCCTTGCGCTACTTGATGGATATGAAGAAAGTCCATTCTGGGAACCCTGACGTTCCTTTCTGGGGTGGATTCCTGGGCTATTTCTCCTACGAGCTTGGTCTAACATGTCTCCCTCACTCGGAGCGTCCGCAGCCATCGGCGTCAGCGAACTTGGCTTCAGAGTCTCCATATAATGAGACTTCATTTGCGGACCCGCCTGATGTTAGTCTTTTGTGGTGCGAGAGAAGTATCGTTTTGGACAACGTCACGGGCAACATTGTTATTCAGTCCACTCGTGAAGACGACAATACGCCTGCAGGGTGGCTTGATGAAAAGCTGCAATTGCTTCAAGAATTCTCTGTGGAGAGCAACGACCCAACAGTTGATACATTATTGGACTCGATCTTTCGGGAAGCCAAGATTCAATTTCCAGAGGAAGACAAGTACAAACGCCAGATTGCGTCTTGCAAAAAAGAACTTCAGGCTGGTGAATCTTACGAGCTGTGTCTAAGTTGTGAAACATCAATTACTATGCCAGTTCCATCTCAAGAGTCCGATCGAATCGCGTTCCCTTGGAAACTCTTCAAGCGGTTGATGAAGTACAATCCTTCTGCGTTTAGCGCCTTTGCAGACCTGGGGGACACCAAGATCGCCAGCAGTAGCCCAGAATGTTTCCTCAACTGGGACCGTGACTCGACGCTGGAAATGAAGCCAATGAAAGGCACTGTTCGCAAATCGCCAGACATGACTTTTGAGAAAGCCTGCGAGATCCTCGGCTCAACCAAGGAGATGGCTGAGAACCTGATGATTGCAGATCTGATCCGTCATGATCTATACGGCATCTGCGGATCTGGCGGCGTCCATGTGGAGAAGCTATTAGAGGTTGCAGACTATGGACGAGTCTACTCAATGATCACCCACGTCAAGGGAAAGATCCGCCCCAATCAACCCGGTTTCGCCGTCCGGGATATTCCCCAGCTAAAGACCTCCAATATGGCTGTTCATGGCTTGACAACTTTGCAGCGGTGCCTACCCCCGGGCTCAATGACCGGTGCTCCAAAAGAGCGTTCTTGCATGCATCTGCGAACAATTGAGAACCGCAAGCGCGGCATTTACTCCGGTGCCATGGGTTTCCTTGACCTCGGTGGAGGCGGAAGCTTCTCGGTTTTGATCCGTTCGGCATTTACCTGTACGTCTGGTCAAGATACCAAGAACAACCAGCAAACTTGGCGCATTGGTGCCGGCGGAGCGATCACCATGCTCAGCACGGCAGATGGCGAATGGGAAGAGATGCTCACCAAGTTACGTGTGGTCTGTAACATCTTCACACCCCTCGATTCAAGTGAGAAGTCGTCTTCGGCTTCTTAGTTTGTCTACGGTTATTTTTTTTTCTTCTACTTCGGACTGTTATTGTCCTGGCTACATTACGATCCACGCTTTGCTTTCAACATGCGGATCTACACATATGGGATAGAGATGGATAGAGATTCGATTCAACATTCAGCGACGGAGTTTGGTTATATATTTGTATTTTAACATTGCATATAAATTTCAACAAAGACATACAAAGGAGCAGACATCAACTCTGTCTCTTATCGCTACATAGCTCGATGCAAACAACCCAAACAATCTTTTCTCCGCAGCTTCGCCTTCCGAGCTTCCTTGCACTTTCTCACTTCTCCAAAAGTCTGTGACTTTTCACAAGTCTCATTACACCTAGTCTATCTACTGCAGCGCCCAATATGGCGACTCAAGGCGCCCCAATGGAGGAAATCATGTGGCGGTCTCCCCCGCACGTCCAGATGATGGGAGGATTCCTCCATTCGAACAACAGTCAGTAGCCGCCGTCACAAACCAGAACAGGAGCTAACAATCCTCTCGCTCAGTCCTATTCTACTTTGCAGAGTCACCCTTCTTTGACGCGACCTCCAACAATGCCTCACTCGCCATCCAGGCGAACTACAACGAGGCCTTCCGCCATTTCGTCGAAACGCGCGAAGCTTTCGAGGGCCGGTTGAAGACAATGCAGGGCCTGGAGTTCGTCGTCCACTATGACCCCCTCCAAGCAGCAGCACAAACCGACACCAGCTTTGCCCACGAGCCCTCCAACATCTGGATAATCCGAAAACAGAACCGGCGAAAGCGCAGTGGATTCGAGGACGAAGTCTCCGTGATATCGACATTCTTCGTTGTAGGCGAGGCAATCTACATGGCCCCTTCAGTAGCCAGCGTCATCGGAAACCGAATTCTATCAGCCGTCACCTCCCTCTCACGATTCATGAAAACCGCCTCAACCCTTCCAACCTTCACTCCCTCCTACGGTCACACCTACATGCCACCCGGGGTCCGAAGCAAAGAACCAAACCAACAATCCTCCCAGCAAAGCAAAGAGTCAACACCAATGCCCGATGCCCCTAGTGAAACACAGTCATCCTTGAAATCAACCCTGGGCGTCTCAGCCACCAGCTCAAATTACCAAGACACACGCAGTCTGGCCGAATCATTCAGCCTGCTAACGCGCTACGGTGACGAATTCATGGACGAAAACCCCCTCGCTGGCGAACCAGGTTCTTTCATCTTATCACGAACCGGCGGCGAGGGCGGCCCAGGTAAACAGGGTGCGCCTAAACCTGGCGCAGGTGCTTCTTTGGCTGTTCCAGCGTCTGGCCCGCCTGGCCGTGCGACTACACCGCAGGTTCGGGTTGAAACGCCTAAGGGGTCTGATAAGGGTGCTTCGCCGCCTAGTTCTGGTGGGGATCGGGGGAAGAAGAAGAAGATTCGGAATATGGTTTGATTTTGCTTGCTTGATACCCCCTTGCTATTTGGGATTCTGGGCGTTATGTGCTTTTCATTGCATTGTTAGGTGGGCTTTAGCACCCTTGGTACTATGTGAATAGAAAGGATATTCATGGGTCAAGTGAATCCTCCGTGCTTGATACTTCAGTTATGCGGAGCCTGGTATTCAATAGAATATCCACATGGGGCTTCTTCACTGAAAATGGCTTACACTTGCTTCAAGGACATTAGATATAGTCTATCATCTACTTTTGCATAAATGCATAGTTGTAGGTAGTTCGTTGATACTGCGGGCTTCCACTCTATCCACCATTGATCTTCACATAACTTATATGCTCCTATACCTAAGCATAGTTGGGTTTTACCATGATAGTCTTTTTCTTGCCTCACAGCGTAAACTGTGTCAATCTTCAAGACGAAGTATGAGTGCCCAGGTGCAGTTGAGGCTAAATTCTTATCGATAAGAGGTGCCTACTTTGGGCTCCAATACTTCCTGCTTCTGTCTGACTCATTCGTCTTCTGTCAAAGACATTACAAGCTCTATATACTTTCCTACCCCCATTGATCAATCACTATTCAAAATCTAAAATGGCGGACTCGGAAACCAAGCAAGCCGTGGTCTGCGTATTGTGAGTTAAATACCCCACCCCCCTCATCGGACACTCACATCCTGGCCCTACCATTCAACCTCGACCTACTATATACCGGCTTTCCCCAACAAACCCAGTACAAACCCACAAACCAAACAAAGAAACAAAAAGCTAACAAACCCCCCCTACATGGGGAACCCAGCTGCGGCTCCGTATCCGGCAAGAACCCAGTCCACATGGAAGCAGCCCGAACCCTAGCAGAAGAGCTGCACAAGCACAACGTGCAACTCGTCTACGGCGGCGGCACAACAGGCCTAATGGGCGAAGTCGCCCGCACACTAGTCAAGCTCTCCGGCCCCCAAGCCGTGCACGGCATCATCCCGCGGGCCCTGGTGCAAGTAGCCACCGACAGCGGCATGCGCGAGCAGCAGAACGGCAACAGCACCGAGACCGGCGGGAAAACCGCCGAGCGAGTCATTTCTGATTCCATTGATGGGAACGGCATCCCCGAGTCAGAGTACGGCATGACGACTGTTGTTCCGGACATGCATACGCGCAAGCGGTTGATGGCGACGAAAGTGCTAGAGGGGGGTCCTGGGTCTGGGTTTGTGTCGCTGGCTGGTGGGTTTGGAACTATTGAGGAGGTTATGGAGATGACGACGTGGAATCAGTTGGGGATTCATAAGGTTGGTGTTGTGTTGTTGAATATCAATGGGTACTGGGATGGGTTGTTGGGCTGGGTGCGCAATGCTGTGCAGGAGGGATATATTTCTGCGGATAATGGGGAGATCTTGGCGGAGGCTAAGGATCCTGCGGAGGTTTTCCCTAAGTTGCTGGCTTATCGAGTTAGTCAGGGTCGGATGCGGTTGAATTGGGGACAGGAGTGAGATATTTATATGGTTGAGACTGTCGACGTCAGTCTAGGTACGTGTATATACGGACATGTGTTTTGTCGTATTGTTAGGTTTCGGGACTGGGCTTTGGGCTGTCTTGGGCTGTTCGGGGTTGGATATATACCATACAGAAGTAGATTTACTTCATTAGAATAGCCTTACGAATTGAATGATTGACATAACGGAGACCATTACCAGATAAAGCATAAGCAGATTTCATGTCTATGCATCATTAAACCAAATCAGAGGATTATGAATCAACTTCCATGGACTCGCCCTCCCCACCTTGCTCAGACTGCTCGAGCACCTCGAGCAGCGCGGCCGTGTCCTGACCCTCGTACAGCTTGAAGCTCTCCTTCTTGCCATTTGTGATACCCACAACACCAACGGAAGTGTTATCCACTGTAAGCTCCTTATCCTGAGACAAAGTCTCCTTAAGAGCACGCAGACCGTGCTGAACAAGCTCATCACGACTGCAATCCGCAAACTTGTCCAAGTTCCTTTCCAGATACGTACGCGCCATCTGCGAGCGCGCACCAATAGCACAAGCAACCATCTCGTGGGTCAGACCCGAGGGCTGGAACTCGAACAGATGCGGTCCAGCCTCGTCAACACCGGCCACCAGGAGTCCTACACCGTATGGCCGCTTGCCGTAGTGCTGAGTGTTGGTCTGCGCGCGGTCACCAATCTGGGCAACGATTCGGTCCAGGGGAATGGGCCGGCCGTAGGTCATCTTCGATCCGAGGGACTGCTGCTTCATGAAGTTTGAGAGGACGCGGGCGTCTGATGCAAGGCCGGCGATAGCGATGGCCATGTGCGAATCGATCTCGATGATCTTCTTCTGATACGAGGAGAGCTCTTCTGCGTTGCGCTGTGGGGATGCCGATGTTAGTTTCCGACTACTCTGTTCATTTGTAGGTGGTGTTTTGCGAACCTTGAGTCCAACGAGCACGGCATGTGTCTTGTTCACCAATCCCACCACGACGGATCCTTGCTTCACAGCTTCCTGTGCATATTCTACCTGGAAGATACGGCCTTGTGGGGAGCTATTATCGCCGAGTTAGCACTTGATGGATCGGAGGAAGGTCGGGTAGGCTTACAAGGTGACGGCATCGTTGTCGTAATTGTTTCTGAACATGGCGGCGGGAGTGGTTGAGTGAATATAGAGATGACGGGGGAGAAGGGTTCAAGAATCACGATAGACAGCAAGACCCAGAGGATAAACCGGAGATGGAGAGAGAATGAGGGAGCTGGAATAGGCAGTAAAGTGACGCGGTGTGAAGCATGAGCTGTTGAGGCCTGAGGCATCAACACCCAGTGACCTCCAGGCGCCAACGTCACTCATTCCGAGCTCATCTCCAACTGACGCTTCGCACTTCTATCTCTGCTCTCCTGCACTCGGTCAATGGGGCAGTGATTACGAGTCTGCTATTGATATTCTCATCTGGTTTTATCCAGACCCTTCGACGACTCCTTTCACCTCAACTCTCATCGATCGGACTTCGGTGTCTCCGCAATCATGGCGGCTGGACTCAAGACTATCATCGCGCTTTCATTTGTACGTTGAGCTTGGCCGCTTCTATGTTGAATAGCGACTTACTCACAATCAACCAGGTTCTTGCCATTGGCTTCCTTCTCGTTATCCTCTCTTCCGCACTATGGCATAAGTACTGGCCGTTGCTGGTCGTCGGCATCTACGTCGTTGCGCCCCTCCCCAACTGGATTTGCCAACGATGCGCAAATCCCGACGACTTCATGGACAGTTCGAGCAACTCTGCAATGGATTTTGGACGCTTCATGACTGGATTCTTGGTTCTGACTGGCATTGGTACGTATTGGCGCAATAGCCCCTCTGGAGGGGCATGACATTTGATCGGTCCGATCGCGATATGCTCTATCACATAAACCTGCATATGTTTCCATTACGTTGTCTTCAACCAGGCTAACTGTTTTCAGCGCTTCCCATTGTCCTCGCCCACAGCGGTGCGATCGAGATCCCCGCAATGATCATGTCAATTTTCGGAGGTCTCTTGATTTACGGAACCATTATTAGCTTCTCGATGTTCTTCCAGGAACAAGAAGAGTTCTGATCGCAACTCGGGTGCGGGGCCCTTGGACTACATGAACTAAACTGTAGGCCAAGGGACCTTGCAGGCTCAGACTTCATGATATCCGTCTTTCCAACTATTTCTTTTGATTTCAGCGTATGCTTGGTATGCTTTTGTACGACTGATCTGTATTTGATGCGGGTCTAGCTTGGATGGATTCAATGGCTGCGATGGTTCTCGTAGCGTGATACTCGGTCGTGATACCTTATGTGTACTATAACACAATGGATATAGGAATATTTGTCAACTTCTTAACATGAGATCAGCTGCCTCATTATTAAACTTGAATAGTCTCCTTTGCCCGGCGTGGATTCAAATAGATCTATGCACCACGTGACCCCGCGCGCGGTTTCAGCGCGTCCGAGAGATCGGAGATAACAGCACTGAGCAACGTAACGAACCACAATTCTATTCGACTATGATGAACACCTGAGAAAGCCCTCTGGATCCAGACTGCAATATGAATGTCTGGTCAGGGTCCGTCAAAACGAATTCGGACTGCAACCTAGAAGGTAAGGCACACGCGTCTTGCAAGCAGACTTGCTGCTGACAACATAAATAGGAATTCGATTAATTGATCCAAACTCCTACTGGCAGTCCGAGCTTTCAAAAGAGTCCCAACTAAGCCTCCAAAGCTTTGTCAATCCAGCACTCATTCCACTCCATGCACGCGCAGGCCCCAACCTAGAATTACATACAAGCCATGCGGGGACATCACAATGGCTGAAGGAGAAGCTAACCGGCTCCCTGTGGCTAAACGATGAAGACCCAGCCCTCCAGAAATCCCTCCAGTGCCCAGTCGGCCTGCTGGTCAGCGTCGACGGCAACACAAAACAAGGCGGCGCAGCCACAACAAACCTCCTCGTGTACGGCGTATTAGCCAGCGCAAGCTATACACGCCCACCTACACCACCACACTCCTCCCCATCAGAGCTCCCAGACCCAACAACCACATTACCATCCCCGAGGGCTCCATATGAACTCAGCATCTATGCCGCACCACTGTCCACCTCCCGCCTCACCCAGGCGCAAGCCTACCCATCACCACCACGAAGCGCAGCTGGCGAACACAGCATACCAAATACCCGGCATGCCGAGTTCCTCCCAGATATCAGCTCCCCAAGCCCTAAGCGCAAACGAGTAGCAACTCTCTTCGAAGTCGCTGCCCAGCACCACCGCCGCGTCCGTCAGCGCGGCGGCGAAGCAGTCTCCCAACTGATGGCACCTTCACGCCCTCTCTCCTCGTCCCAAAATTTGCAGTCATTGCGCATAAAGCGCGAACCAGATGACGAGGTTTCCTCCCTCCCATCTCTGGACCGCATAGCACATGCACGCAGATCGAGGTCAGTGTCCATCGGCGCAAATCTCCACCGACCAGGTAGCGTGCGCGGTAATCGCGCAACAGCAGATCCGCAAAAGCGCGCACAAACACCAACGCCATTTTTGGACTCTGGAATTGGATCTGGATCTGGATCTCGACCTAGCTCTCGTCGGGAACCATTCCAATCCCAACTACAACCCCAACCATCGAATCTATCATCAGAGGAAAAGCCAACCTCAGTACCGGGATCACCATCCAAAGACCCTGAAACAATAGTGTCGGAGAACAAGAACCTAATAACTCGCACGATATTAACATGCATGCGTCTTTACGGCTTCCACCGCGCAAACAATACACGCACAGCCTCGATGAGCAAAGCGCCCGGCGGAGGCGCAGATGCAGAAGCCGATACATCGGGAACGACACCAGCGCCTGAGTCTTTCCGTGCTGAGACGCCTGCGCCGGGTGTTTCTGCTGACGATGATGAGTTCAAGGCTATGTATCATGCTACGTACAAGGCTGCCGCATTTGCGTTGAGGAGGTATTTGAAAACTGGAATTCCCGGGTGTGTGTCTGGGCCTGTGGTTTTGCAGAAGGAGAAGGCTATGACTTGTATTGATGAGTTGTTGAGGTTGTTCTGTGAGGAGCATTGAGGGTTCGTCTTTGGTCTTTGGTTGGGTGTGGACGGGTTTTATGATTTGATGAATGATTGCATTTGTTGGTTTAGGGTTGGAGTAGGCGAATTGGATTTGTTGTTTTGATTGCATAGCTTTGAAGCGGCTGCAAGTCTTTCTTACTTTAACGTTATCTGTTGCTATGTGGCCATGAATCGATTTATAGTGTGCCACTGGTAGTATTGCGATAATTTGAACGAAGGCTTTCATGCGAGTCAACCTTATTATAAATTGATTTGTTCTACTTTGACGTTTCTTGCTTGACTTTGCTGCTCTATCATGTTCGAGTCTTTCGATCTGTACTTGTTGAACCTGGGGTAACGTTACCTGGGGTAAACCACAGAGGCGTGAAAAGATTTACGGACTATCTTCTCATGTTACTTTATGTGTATGGATAAAGTTATCATACGGACACCCTACGTAAGCCCAGCAAAGCGAAATTTGCGGGAAATGCGGAAATGAATTCATGCTATACGCCAAACCAATAGCAAAAAAAAAAAAAACGTGAATGCACACAGATGTGCCCAGCAAGTTCAAAAGGTCATCACATCAGCATAGAAAAATATGAGTAGAATACAAAAAGACAGGCTGAAGTGTACTGTAAACGACAACATCTAGATCACAGAGCAAGGTTGTAGGTATAGTCATCTTCAATGTTCTGCGAGACCCAAAGAACAATAGAACTAGAAAGGAAAACAGTTAGTACAGGCCGACAAAAATGGCACAGAGCAAAGCTATAAGCAAATATGAACATACCTGAGCATAACAAGACCATTAGCCACAATGTTTGCAATACCGAAGTAAAGCGTCTGGATAGGATAATCCTTGATTAAATATTTGAGGACCATGACCGTCTACAGCACAAGAACACAAATTAGCAACACTTCCATCTCAATCCAATCCAATCCAACCCAAGCTAGATTGCGAAGAAAGGTGGACATATACATACCACACTACCAGCAAGACCACCAGCAAGCAAAGCAAAGCCCAAGAAAAGCACAAAGCGAGCCTTCCACGCTACGCCACTCCCACTATAGCTGAAGCTATCAGCCTGCAGCCGCGACTTCTCAATCGAGTTGATAACCAGCATGCCCAATGCGGAGCAGATACCGGGGATCCAGTCGACGAATTTGATGTGTACATCAGAGCCGTTTCGGGGACTGCGGGAGAAGGAGGCGACATCAATGAGGAAGAAAAATCCTGCTGCGAACTGGGATTGATTGTTAGCTTTGGTTTGGATGTAGTGTGGTTTTGTTTGGGCATGGGTATGGGAATGGGCGTGGAGTTTGATTGAGTGAGACGGGTTGCACGGATTAAAGGGATCATGTGTTTGTAATGTTTCAATCCCAATTTCCAGTATAGATGCTGTTTTCTTGGAGCTGGAATAGGTGCTTGAAGTGGTGCGGAGGTGGAGGAAGGTGGAGGTGGATCGGAGTGCATTCATGCTCACCAGTGCGCCGGAGACGTAGACGCCGCCATTGCGGACAGCGGAGTTATTAAGCCATTCGGGCTTTGAGAAGCGGAAGAGGCGGTTGTTAGAGACGTCCATGGTTGCGGGGAGGGTTGGGGAGATGAGCTGGTGAGAGCTGCAGTCTGATGACGATGGATGTCGGAATAAAGTTGGGCCGAGATCTGGTGTTGACTATGGAGTTTACTTGTAGACTGACAGGGCAAGGCATGTTGACTTCGGAATAACTTGCTATTGATTTAATTTGTTGCTTCGAGCTATTTCTAGATGTGTTTTTTTCGTTTTTTGTCTTGAGGTAATTGATGGACTCGTAATCAAAGACATAACTACGAATATGCCAAGATAGGCAGCAAGTATATAGCGATTTACATGGAAATTTAAGGTATCAGCTTTTAACGTGAAACATTGAAATTCGTAATTGCATAATGTAAACAGTAGGAACAGAGTCCTGGGTATGTAAACGTCAAAACGTGCACGCCTAGCATCAGGATTGCGTAGATCATCAACACAACCCAGGCAGCCAAGATCACCACCAGTGCCGAACCATTTCAGGTATCCCTCACTGGTGGTTAGTAACAAGCAGGCAGCGATTGCGAAATTCCTTTGGCTCTCGTAATCAGTGCACAGCGCAGTCACGGCCGGTTGAGATGCCTATCGCACTTCCAGCGCCAATTCCCTCGGCAAATATCTGCCTGTCCACGGGACGTGCTTTATGCAGCAGCTTCTTGCTGCCTCTATTCGGGTATCCAGTTCTCAACTCATCTAGTCCAATCAAAGAGGTATTCAGGCTGAGGCATCGACGGGGTGAGCCCGCAGCTTGTCCATAATGGCGTCCACGTCGTCCATGTTACCGGCATCCTTCTTGTCGGTGGGGTAGCCCTCGGGCAAACTCTTGACCAACTCGTTCATAGCGGGTTGGTAGTTGCGGGTGGCAGAGGAGAGGGCGTAGATAGCCTTCTTGCGCGCAGCGGGGTTGGAGTCGGTTGTGGCGATGGTGACGAGATCGGGGATGGCGTTCAACAGAACAAGCTGTTACACAGATTAGCGCAGTCCTATCACACATATGAAACAAAGTTATTTCATACCTTATCCTGGGCCTTCTCGTTGTTCTGCACGGCAGTTCCGATACACCAGGCGGCCATGCGTCGCAGATCGGATTCGTCGTGCTTGAGCAACTGGACCAGCGGAGTCCACAGACCCATGGGCTCCAGGTTGTTGGCGTTGTCAATTCCCTCGATCAATTGCTCGAAGTTGTCCATGGCGATCAACTTGTTCTCCATGTCGGCTTCATCCGAGTGCACAACCTCCATAGCGGCGCGCATGAGATCAGCCTCGGAAGGGCCGCCGAACAATGTCCTGACCATATCCGGAGTCAGCCCCTTGGAGGCTTCTGGGGCATTGGGAGTACCACTCTCCGCACCCTCAGAGACCTGAGAGTTGGCGACACTCCATTTGAGGAGCTTGTTCATCTGGGGATCCATGACTGTAGTATTGGCGGGGTAGAGGGGTTGTTAGGTTGATGGGAAGATTGATGGTTTCGGGAGGCAATAAGTTCTCGATGTATATGCGACCAGAATATAATTATCGCAGACTGTAAAGAATTGAACTATGTGACAGGAAACACCCACCGGACTCGTTCTGATAGAAGTATTGGAAAAAAAGACGCTGACATAATCTGACGTGGGTGATTCGTGCGGCAACTAGCGGCTTCTGTCACGTGCGACCGCCACTCACCGATGGTCGACCAGGAGGAGATGGAGCCAAATGGCGGTAAATATGATAACTGTCGATCTAGTCTCCGGAAAGCTGGCTTGGCCCCCAATCCCCTTCTGCCACCAATTCCCTAATGTCCCGTGTCCAGAACGTCTTGATTGTACCCGTACCCAGCGAACCCAGCGTATCCCTAGAGCTGAAGTCTGGTTCGGAGGGGTTGTTGGGGGCCTCTATACTTAGAAAGTGGAAGCCTGCGCCACAATCGTAGACACATTCCGGAGAAAAAGGGAGCAAGGGAGGAACTGATCAGCCTGAACAATGTCCGTTGCCTAAGACCCTGTTAATACCTGTTAGGAGAGTGGTGCTTACGCTGAACTCGGGAGCCCAGTCCTAAGATACGTGTTCCCCATCGCGGCACCGGGGGCTTGCTGGAGGCATTCATCATTGTCCAAAGCCAATGACAATTACAACAAGAACAACGTAATTTAGACCAAATAGAAGTCGAATCCAGAATTAGGCTGCCTGAATCGAACTGAGAATATAAGAAAGGTGAAGTCGGAGGGGAAGGAACGCCTCAGGCAGCGCACAATCCAATCCCAGCCATCACAAACCCCTCTCCACTTCTCTCGCTCTCTTCCTTCTTCCCTCCTGAATCTCCCCCCATCTCTATACTCCCCTTTCACATCCATCTCCCTTTTCTTAATTTTCTTTTCAATCCGTCATAATGGAAGGTATGTACCCTGATGTTGAACCTGGACAAGCTGAATAAGCATGCTTGTTCTGCTTATCCTAGCTGTCAACCCCCCCTGTTGGCTAGAACTCGGATTGCGAATGGAGACTAATACCTGGTCATTATAGAGGAAGTTGCTGCTCTCGTCATCGACAATGGGTATGTGATTTGATTCAACCTCGGAGCCCATGCTATTCACCTCTGGGTGTGTGTGTGTTGGGGTTCAACTCGGGCGCGGTCTACGTTGCCACATCGCCCCCCCCTAATCGGCCACGATGGCAGGGTGCCTCCCAGCTCAATGCCCCCTCAGCGCCTGTCACACATCTCCAGCTGGGCTCCAAGGATCACGAGGAATATCATACTGATGAATTGCATTTTAGTTCGGGTATGTGTAAGGCCGGTTTCGCCGGTGACGACGCACCTCGAGCTGTCTTCCGTAAGTCCAACCCCACAGAACTGGTTTTCCCCTCCCTGCAGAGGCCGTCATCCCACCAACGCCAACCCTTGCGTCGGATGACCCCCTCTTTTGCTTAAAAGTGATTTTTGATGGAATTGAAATATCTGACAATTTAATTAGCCTCCATTGTCGGTCGTCCCCGTCACCATGGGTAAATTCTCCTCTCCCTCTCCTTTTCCTGGATTTTTGGCGCGGTGTTTATACATAGCGCCAAATCAAATTGGAACCCGAAAAATAGCTGGAATACTAACATGGGCGCAGTATCATGATCGGTATGGGTCAGAAGGACTCCTACGTGGGTGATGAGGCACAGTCCAAGCGTGGTATCCTCACGCTCCGCTACCCCATTGAGCACGGTGTTGTCACCAACTGGGATGACATGGAGAAGATCTGGCACCACACCTTCTACAACGAGCTCCGTGTTGCCCCCGAAGAGCACCCCATTCTCTTGACCGAAGCTCCTATCAACCCCAAGTCCAACCGTGAGAAGATGACCCAGATCGTGTTCGAGACCTTCAACGCCCCCGCCTTCTACGTCTCCATCCAGGCCGTTCTGTCCCTGTACGCCTCCGGTCGTACCACTGGTATCGTTCTCGACTCCGGTGATGGTGTCACCCACGTTGTCCCCATCTACGAGGGTTTCTCTCTCCCCCACGCTATCTCGCGTGTCGACATGGCTGGCCGTGACTTGACCGATTACCTGATGAAGATCCTTGCTGAGCGTGGTTACACTTTCTCCACCACCGCCGAGCGTGAAATTGTCCGTGATATCAAGGAGAAGCTTTGCTACGTCGCCCTCGACTTCGAGCAGGAGATCCAGACCGCTTCCCAGAGCTCCAGCCTCGAGAAGTCCTACGAGCTTCCCGATGGACAGGTCATCACTATTGGCAACGAGCGCTTCCGTGCTCCTGAGGCTCTCTTCCAGCCTAACGTTCTTGGTCTCGAGTCTGGCGGTATCCACGTCACCACCTTCAACTCCATCATGAAGTGTGATGTTGATGTCCGTAAGGATCTGTACGGCAACATTGTCATGGTAAGTATTTTCTTCGCGGCTGATTTCTGCGCACCCGATTAACACTTTTATTAGTCTGGTGGTACCACCATGTACCCCGGTATCTCCGACCGTATGCAGAAGGAGATCACTGCTCTTGCTCCTTCTTCCATGAAGGTCAAGATCATTGCTCCTCCCGAGCGCAAGTACTCCGTCTGGATCGGTGGTTCCATTCTGGCCTCCCTGTCCACCTTCCAGCAGATGTGGATCTCCAAGCAGGAGTACGACGAGTCCGGTCCTTCGATCGTTCACCGCAAGTGCTTCTAAGCTCCTTAGCCTTACTCGTCTTCGCTCGTACTTTCCTGGTGTATCAAAAAGCAGGATGGTGGCACTGGTGGATTGCAAGCGTTGTTGGACTCGCATTATCAAGCGAAATAGCCTGAAAATGGAACCTTGATTTTAGTGGAATAGAGTCGGTCTTTTCTTTTGTTTTATCTTACCTTACTCTCTATCCATCCATCCTCTTTTCTTTTTTTTTCACTTTGTTCTTGCAAGTCTGGATCCTGATCCTGGGGATCCTTGTACGTGTAGGTGATGATGTACAGGAGTTGCCTCAGGTTCGTTCTGTTGTTTCAATTGTTCTAGCCGATTCCCGTATTTTTGTCGTTATATTTCGACCAAATTGTTCAACTATGAATATGTGTCCCACAACTTCTATTTCATCTATTCGTGATGACCGTGTAGAGAAGCTGGCTCTAGCTTCGAAATGCTCCAACTGGCCATTTATTATCAGCTTATTTCAATATTAAATAATTAAAATACTGTCCAATACTTTTCAACCAGTCTAATCATCCATGCAGTCGTAAGTCATGTCAAGTCTACAATATCCAATCCAATTCACATAAAATAGTGTATATCATTTCCTAATACAGGAATCAGCATCAGTCATATAAGGACTCACCCAACAGCCCTATTTATTTTGTTATCCTTCTCACAGAGGGACATACGAAAAGGAAACACAAGCACAGGTACAGAAACAAGCACCAAATACAAGATCAAACAATAAAAGAGAAAAAAAAAGAATCTAAGATATAGACGTAACCAAGTAACCCATTTTCATCATCCATGCCATATATCAACATCAAACCAAATCAAATCAAACAAACATGTCCAGGATACAATCATATCAAACGATAAATCTTGGACCAGTCTAAGCAGACCAAGACTCAAGTCCAGACAGGACAGTTCCCTCCTCACCCTCAGCACGAGCACGCAGCTCACCAACGCGGTAAACAGTCTCACCAGCCTGCTCGAAGGTAGCACGAATAGCAGCCTCCTCCGAAGGATCCACGGCAATGATCATACCAACACCACAGTTGAAGGCACGGGCCATCTCCTCGGAAGAGACATTACCAGCACGCTGCAACCACTGGAAGACGGAAGGCTGCTTCCAGGCACTGACATCAACAGCAGCGGTAAGGGTAGCAGGCAACATACGGGGGATGTTCTCAGTCAGACCACCACCAGTGATATGGGCGAGACCCTTGATAGCGGTGCCGTGGGCGTTCAGAGCAGCCAGGATGGACTTGACGTAGATGCGGGTTGGGGTGAGCAGGGCACGGCCGAGAGCAACGCCGTCCTCGAGTCCAGGCATGGAGAAGGGGGCGACGTCGGAGAAGGACAGACCGGCGCGGTCGACGATCTTCCGAACGAGCGAGTATCCGTTCGAGTGGGGGCCCGAGGAGGCGAGGGCGAGCAGGACATCGCCTGAGCGCATGGCGTCGGTGTGAGGGAGGATCTTGCGGGCGTTCTCGCCGACGGTGTTGATGGCGCCGACGGCGGCACCGACAGCGTCGTAGGAGTCGTCGATGAAGAGGCCGGGCATTTCAGCTGTTTCGCCGCCGATCAGGGCGCAGCCGGCTTGGACGCAGCCTTCGGCGACACCTGTTACGAAGGCGGTTGCTGTGGGGACGTCGAGGTGGCCGCAGGAGTAGCAGTCCAGGAAGAAGAGGGGCTCGGCGCCTTGGACGACGAGGTCGTTGACGTTCATGGCGACGAGGTCGATGCCGACGGTGTCGTGGATGCCGACTGAGTGGGCGATCTTGAGCTTGGTGCCGACGCCGTCAATGGCGCCGATCAGGGTCGGCGAGAGAGGGTGGTAGGCGGAGTTTGCGGCGGGGAGGGAGAAGAGACCGCCGAAGCCGCCGATGACGGCGTCTGTGCCGGGGCGCTTGGTGCGGGAGACGGAGGCCTTGATGCGGTTGACGAGCTCGTTACCGGCATCGATGGAGACACCTGCGGCAGCATAGGTGAGGGAGTTGCTGGCGGTTTGGCGGAAGGCCCGGTGGGCAATGTCCTTGCGGTAGAACATGTCTTCGAAGCTGATGGTCTTGATGCCCTCGTAGGACTTGGCGACGGCCTCTTCGAGGGTGGAGGCTGTGGCGGTGGAGGCAATGACACGGCCACCGTTGGTTTGGAGCTCGCCGTTGGAGAGAGTGGTACCGGCGTGGAAGATGAGGGTTCCCTCGGGCTCGGGAGCCAGAGTGATCTTCTTGCCCTTGGCGTAGGCGTTGGGGTAGCCGCCGGCGACGCCAATGACTGTGGTGGAGAAGTTGGGCTCGATCTTGATCGAGACACCATCGAGCCAGTGCTCAGCACAGGCGACCATGATCTGGGCCAGATCGGTGTCCTTGCTCAGCAGAGGGAGCAGGGTCTGAGTCTCGGGGTCTCCACCGCGGACGTTGTACTCGAGGACCTTGGGTCCGTTCTTGGTCATCATAAGACCAGTGAACAGGATACCAACGAAGGGGAAGCCTGATATGTCGTTAGTAAATTTGTTTTCAAATAGCGCATGTATAGCTGGAACGTACCGTCCTTGCGCATGCCGTCAACGGAAGGCTGGATAATGGTTCGGTCAATCTCCTCGACAACCTCCTTGGGAGCAATGCGAGTAGGAGCGTAGCAGCCCATGCCACCGGTGTTGGGACCCTGGTCACCATCGAAGATGCGCTTGTGGTCCTGGGCTGGGGGCAGAGAGCGGATGGTGTAGCCGTCACTGAAAGTGAGGATGCTCAGCTCATCACCCTCCAAGTACTCTTCGATGACGACCTCGTCACCGGCCTTGCCGAACTGGTGGTCCAGCATCATCTCCTTGAGAGCCTGGTGGGCCTCCTCCTTGGTGGTGGGGATGATCACACCCTTACCACCGGCCAGACCGTCGGCCTTGATGACCACATTGTGGGACACGGAGTCAAGGTAACGACGTGCGGACTCGTAGTCGGAGAAGTTACCAAACTGAGCAGTAGGGATCTGGTGGCGCTGCATGAAATCCTTGGAGAAGGTCTTGGAACCCTCCATGCGAGCGGCGGCCTTGGAGGGACCAAAGCAGCGGATGCCGACTATGAGAGACAAATGTTAGTATATCTCGACATAATCAATCGTATGATTCTTTTGGACTCGAAATATATAACTCACCAGCCTGGAAGTAGCCCTGGATACCATCCACCAGAGGGGCCTCGGGGCCAGGAACCACGAGGTTCACGCCGTTCTTCTGGGCAAAAGCGACGAGGCCAGGGTAGTCATCACCCTTGACATTGGCGTTGGTGATCTTGCTGTTGGCACCCAGACCAGTACCACCGTTTCCGGGAGCGACGTAGATAATGTCGACCAGCGGGGACTCGCTCAGCTTCCAGGCGAAAGCGTGCTCACGGCCGCCATTGCCGACGATAAGAACGCGCAATTGTTCGGAGGCCATTGTGGAGAAGCTGCGTCTCGAGTGACTGCGTATGAATTAGCAGTTGAAATTGGAAGTGCAATGTGCAATTGGCAACTGTGGGAAACCTCCGCGGGGTATGCAGTGCCCCTCCACGAAAATTGAGTCACAAGGAGGGGCACTGTGGGAAGCGAGTTGAAAAGCCGGGGGAAATAGACTGGAAAACAAGAAACAGAATGGAATCACTCACCTCACTGAGACCTGAGAAGCACACGGGGGGTGTCGAATGTGAAGTCAAAGTTGTAACTTTTTTTTTCTCCGGCGGCGTGTTTCTCCGACCCCAGACTTGCGATTTCGGCACGGTTTGGTATTGAACGTATAGAACTGATGAACTTGGGACTTTATAACGTATTTATATGTTTGTATAGTGGCTAGGATTCCGATTTATATGACTCTATCAGTCTAGACTTTTTTGGTCGAATACCGTTCATGTTGGTTATACATTTTAGCCCATTGGAAAGATAGTAGATTGAGTACAAGTGAGAGTGGTGCATAGTATGAGGTTGCATTATTTAGTCCTAACTCACAATTCAAGCTCAATTGTCACTATCATAATTCCTATCACAATCCCCTAGAAACGTTGAATAGAAGTTGAACAGAGTCTTCTTCAACTCTTAGACTCGTCATCTCGACACCTTGAAAAGCAGGCAGAGACAAGGCAAAAGGCGGTGACTCTATCATGGCAGAAAAAAGGCTGGCTCTCAAGTCCGCGGCGTTGGCGATTATTCTCCTGGGCGCATTGGGGGTTTACATATCCTCTCGTTTTCTTTTTGATCTTCTGAATGTTTCGTGTCTCATTGCGGTCTGCTTCAGACCCTTTGCGTGGACATGCCTCCATCCCATATCTAGCTCGCAGGTCCGCGCCGGCCAGCTTGCGCCAGTTCTATCGGACAACTGCGCTATTGTCCCAGTCTGATTCTCAAGGACACGAGTCAGTCGACGCGTCAAAAAAGGCCGGGTCATCTTCAAGCGACCACTCGCCTTTAGTATGTTAACCCGTTTTAATCGTCGCAACTTCATCCTGACTGACCATTTAGGACAACCTCTCTACAAGCCAACCCAACGCGGACCAACCCAAAAGTTCGAGTAACAAGAAAAGTGGATCATCGACGAATACAAAGAGACCAAATATCAAACTCAATGCACGACAAAGGCGCCGAATTCGAGAGCTTATCCCAGATCTCAACCCGTCAAAGCGAGATGTTTCTGGCTCGATTCAACAACCGCAGGCGGAACAAGAACTACAACCAGACCAAGCGACGCATCCTGCTGAATCAAACGATGACCTGGTGACTGGCTCAGCACAGGCGTCATCTGGTAAACCGGCAAGAACCAACACACTGAACTTGATGTCCACGAGCAACGTAGTAGAGGAAATCCTCCGAGCAGCTCAGGTACCAAAACGCAAACCCAAGGTTAGCGAGCCCGCAAGTGAGACTCCGAAAGACAATGAGAACCAGGGCGGCGAAAGGGAAACATTGACACATGTTGCCAAGCATGTTCTGAACAAGGACTGCGGATCTGTGTCATCGACAGCATTACAATTGACTGCACTGGACCACCCTATGTCGCCTGTTCCAGGTGTTTCCTTTGGCCTTGATCGTGTGCTTTTCAACCCTGGTGTCTACCACCTTCGCGATCCTCGGTCTCGTGTTTACAATTTTGACCCCTACCTGGGCGATATCATGCCTGTTACAGAGTTCGATTTCAATACTCTGAAGCCATACATTACATCTTCAAAGGATACTGTTCTCTGCGAAATGGCCCAGAAGACGCAGAAGAAATACTACGGGTCCTCATCAAGCATGACCTCAGCCCTTTCTCATTTCCATTACCTTTTGTCCTCTTGGCGAACTATCGATACCCGCAACGTTTCCCAGGGATTCCCTGAGAAACTACGCACCTTCACTCGCCTTCTCCGTGCACCGACTGCCATGTTCGTCCATTACAAGGAGAAAGAGGATGTATACGCAATTGACGCCGATAAAGAATTTGACTCGGCCAACATTCTCATGAACCTCGGAAAGTCAATGGAGAAACTACTCACACTACCAAAGGAGGAGTTTGAGCGGTACCGCCGGTCCAGTGCCAACAAGATCACCCCAGAGGAAGAGGAAGCTGTCCCTGAGTCCTACCACTACACCACTTTGGGTAAATTCCTCATGCGATCCCAGCTGGACGCCTATGATCCTCGACTGCCAGGTACTGGCATGTACGATCTCAAAACCCGTGCTGTAGTCTCAATCCGCATGGACGCTGCCAACCACGAAAAGGGAGTCGGGTATGAGCTCAAGGGTCGATTCGGCACCTGGGAATCCTACGAACGTGAGTACTTCGATATGATGCGTGCCGCGTTCCTCAAGTACTCGCTGCAAGTACGCGTTGGCCGCATGGATGGAATCTTCGTGGCATACCACAACATCGAGCGTATCTTCGGATTCCAATACGTCAGTCTTCCCGAAATGGACCAGTCACTCCATGGACAGCTGGACACCACACTTGGCGATACCGAGTTCAAGATCAGTTTAACATTGTGGGAGAAGATCATGGACAAAGCCACAGCCAAGTTCCCCAAACAATCCCTGCGTTTCCACTTCGAGACCCGAGAGGCCGTGAATCCCTTCATGTACATTTTCGCCCAGCCTGTCACGGACGAGCAAATCCACGCCATCCAGACAAGGAACTCAGCCGAGATCGAAGCTCTCCAAAATAAACTTCTAGGACTTGGAAACCCAGAAGACGGAGTCGCGGAGCCCGGCGAGAACCAGGAACTCCGCACCTCCAAACCCGAAGACCAAGAGTCAACCGAGGAATACGACCCGAACCTCATGGCCATGACCCTCCTCACCAAGAATTACGTCAACGGAGAATTAGTCGAACGTCCCGAGAGTTTCTCAAAGAGAGACACCTGGACTGTTGACTATGAGATCAACGAGCTCAGCCCGAAACAGGGCAATGCCATTTTACAAATGTGCAAGACTCGCCGCCGCAAGGTCCTGGATAAAGAGGATGACGAAGCCAACACCGAGAATGTCGAATTCCTTCAGCGGTTGCGAAACATCAGTGAGCAGGGCCGTGTGTTCCGCGCTAAGGAGAATGAGAGAGATCGGAAACATGGCATTGTCGTCTACTCTGATGGCGTGTCTCAAAACTGAGCGTGGAGTATGGTTAGGGTTGGAGGTCGAAGCCTCCTTGTACAATAATGGATTATCTCCCCCTTGTAGTTTTTCTTGTATTTATATATAGTCACAAACATACAGTCAGGCGTCTTTTTTTTGGAGTCATTCGATCTGGTGTAGGGGTTGGTTGGGACACCTGTCAATGACTTGACTTGACCCATGTAAGATGGGAGGAGTTGGGCTAGCAACAGACGCAGACATGCCAATCAACGTGAGGTGCACCAATTCAAGAACCAGTACAGCTGTAAAAACTTTTGATTTGATTTTCGCCAGTCTCTTGATTGTCCTACATAGCCCTTTGCATTTTCTCTTGTTTAACTTCTTCGGTCTGTGCATATATCGAGGTCAATAGTTCGCATGTGTGCCAACATATGGATTTGATAGGCTCGAGTATGCGTATGATCTGCTTTCTCACCTCGAGACCGCAGAGAACAGTACATAGCTTATGCGCATTGGTCACAGATGGTGCTCTTTCGGCTGCTGTTGCTGTTTACTAGTCACTTTTTGTCTTTGGCCAATACTGAATGCAATATTCTTGCACATAGTCTTTTTCTTGAAAACATGATTTCTTCAAGTATTTATGTCTGTACGGACATTAACTTACTGTAAACCACCAAAGGTCTTACTATAAAAAGGGAGGGAATGAAGTCCAGGTGAGAAAGAAACGCCATGAATTGATGAGACCTCCCAGCCGACCTACATAAACATTAACTAGCCATGCAGACACAAGCGCCAAGAATGAGTTCAGAAGCAAATTAGCAAGAAACAAACAGCAGGAGATGCGGGGGGTACTGATTTGATACCCAAAGAAAAGAGAAACAAGTCTCAACATCCACGGAGAATGGGAATGTTGATTGGAATGATGGGGCGAGGTATCGATGAAATTTGAATATAAAGATGAAGGTAAGTGAAAACTTGCAAAATGCAACAATGGAATGGAAACGCCTGGATCAAAATCAAGACAGGGTATGAACGCCAGGGTATCAGTATCACGCCGCCTGGCCGAGTGAGAATGAATTGGACCCACTAGGGAAAATAGAAATGGAAGAAAAAAAGTATCCAGGGAAAAAAATAGATACGAACATGAAACCTGGGTCGTATATATCACAGGCTTTTGGAATGAAAAAGCAGGCTTCGTGTAGAGAGTGGGAATGCTGTACAAGGGAGAGGGGATGGTGATGGGGTAGGAGAATGAGGGACGTGTCCGGCTATTGCAGCTCTTGCAAGTCAAGCTTGGGAGGATTCCACTCTAATTGAGGCGGCTTATCGTTCGTCACATAGACAGGAGCAGGCGATGGAGAAGGACGCGCCGCGTCTGCCCGACGACGTTCCCTCAAAGCCGTTCCACTGAGGAAGCCTCTGAGGGTGGATGAGGCCATGCCGTAGGCGCTGCGAGCACTACCTGTACCAGTGGATACGGTACTGGATGAGCTGCGAGCGCTGCGGATGCTGCTTGGTTTTTGGACTGTGGATGGGACAGCTGGGACAGGGAGAGCGAGGCGGGAAGATGAGGTGGAGCTATAGTCGGATGAAATGGCACGGGCAGTGTGAGGGCGCGTTCTTGAAATTGGCTTTGGTGTAGTGTCGCTGGATTCAGAACGCTGCATGGATTGGATGGAGGATGTGGTTGTGAGCCGGGAGAGGGCTGGGGATTCCTCTGGTGGGGATGCGCGGATTTCATCTGCTGAGACGGCGACGTCAAATTTGAGATTGTCCAGCATTGTGCCTAGGCTCGCCGCTGTTGCGGGTCGACCGTCACTGGCTGTATCATCGATTTCGGAGTCTTCGAGTCCATGGGCAATGTTGTAGTTGCGTAGGAGATATCGATTAAGGCGGGCGACTTCAATGTCCCATCTTTGGTTCAGCGATTCCAAAACAAGGTCCACGTTGTGATTGGCAAATGGCGAAGCTTCCATTGCAGAAACAACATTGGGTGGTGGCGCCTTGCTCAGCCGATGTCCCTGCGATTGACCGACATTCATCGCTGCATACAGAGATCGACGAATCGAGTTCCCCGTGGAAGTCTGGGTGTTGGCGCTAGGGTCCCATCGAACATTGTCAACCTCGCGTCGCACTTTTTCGAGAGACTGGAGTCGGTCTCGGTCCATGCAGGAGAGGGTAAGAAGAGCGCGGTTGCACTGCAGACCATTGACCAGCACTGTGAAGGACTGAAGATTGATGTCATTGTTCTCACAGTGGACTTCGCGGAGGCAATCATTCTCCTCCAAGACAGATGCCAACGTGTTCGCACCTTGAAGGCCAAGTTTCTGATGCTCGATCCTCAAAACTTTAAGTGACTTGTTCTTCTTCAGACCGGTCAATGCAAGATTAAGTCCGATACCGAAGCGTGCCACATCAAGATGCGCGTTATCTCCGCTGATATCCAATGCCTCAAGGGTGTCATTCTCCTCCAGCATCAACTGTAGCGAGCGACAAGTCTCGGGACTAGCATCATATGGGAGCGAAGCCTTTGAAATGTCCAAGAACTGAAGAGTGCGGTTCTTCCGGAGCGACTCGACCAGCTCGCGGAAATGATCTTCCTTCTTAAAATCAATCATCCGCATGGACACATGCGATGGAGTTTGGTTCTTCGCAATCGCACTGAAGATGAATGAACACCCATCCTCGAGACGGTTCTCATTGACATGCAAATGGAGACTGCGTGGACCTTCCACCGACATCGAGTGCATAAACATAGCCACATCTTCACCTGTCAAACCACACTGATCAAGTCGTATCACACGAAGATTCCGAGAGCGATCACTAGCCAAATAAGTAGCAATGGCGTCAACGGTCTCGCGATTGACAGCCGTTCGACTAAGAGCCAGCTCCTCAAGTCGCCAGTTGAACAGCATTTCAGCTGTGATCAGCGGCTCGGCGCCGGACGTCCGTGAAATACGGGACAAGTTGATTTTGCGAATTTGGCCGAAATACCCAATATACTGCTGGAGCACGTCTGGGTTTAATCGGCCCTGTACACCAGAGATGTTGATTGCTTCGAGGGTTGATTCTTGAGCAACGATCGTCGATAGAAGGAGGTCAAGGTCATGCACGGATAGTCCACAGTCCCCAACTTCCAAAGCTCGCAGGTGACTGCGTCTTTGAGATGCGGCATCAACGAGATAGTCCAGATCAGACTCGCCGAGCTTGATACCGTTGAGCACAACCCAGTCCACGCTGGTCAGTTCTCGGCGACAAACAGGGAAAATAGCTTCTGGAATGCCACATCCGGGGTCACGGGTGCCTTTCTCCAAAGTTGGTGTTGGTGTGCGGGTGAGACAGTATGAAAAGTCGAGCCGGCGCAGCCATTTACTCTTTAATGCCAGAGCGCGTACTTCCTGTGAGAGGACGGTCAGGTTTGCCTGGCCTGGGATGTTCACTGAGGATCCACCTCGGTCGAGATGGACATCTGAGTCAACTCCGTGTATATCACGCAGACCCTGCAATGCATCCAGATTGACTCCTCTGAATGAGATTGACCGAAAGAATTCGTTGTAGCGAAGTGCCCGCATGACCGCAATGAGTTCCGCGGCATTGTACCGAGAATGTTTCGTTGAAGCCGGTTTAAGAAGACGGAAACATGGCGCGTCCTCGCACTCGTGGTCAATGGTATACCGGATATTGGAAGTATCGATGTCGTAGCTAGCTGAATAGGCAACCAGTGTTCGGTCAAAGCATCCATAATCCTCGTCCAGAGCCACAGGTGGGAAATTGTTGTCGTTTTGCAGTTCCTTTGGCACAACAAAATCATAGGGCTGCCGAGTCCAAAGCGGACGTAGGTATTCAGTATGTTGTCGAATCCAGCATGCAACTTCGACGGAATGGACCGAAGCCAAGAATACGTTGAACGACTTTTTAAGAGGGACCCTGAAAGTGAGATGCAGGCTGTCATCACCATATTCCATAGACAATCCAGTCAAGTTCATCAGACCGAATGAAGTGCCCGCTTCCCAGTCTGATAAGGAAACCACTGACGACCGGTTGTTAGTCTTCTGCATGGGCAATAGATGGAGCTTGTGCGAGCCAATGGCAAGATAGCAACCTGTCGGCGACAGCTTCGTGAGATCGTCCGAGGAAGAGCGGGTGATTGATTTGCTGGAGGCGATCTGAATAACTCGGAACATGCGAAAAGCATCTGGGTCGTAGTCTCGTTCGTGTTCCAGCATACGAGTTACATACTCGACTGAAGCCATGCTGAATGGCAATGGATAATTCGCTCTGGCCATCTTGGCAGCTTGGCGGATGCCCACCATCCAAAGGTTCAATTCTTGTAAATCGGGTGTCTGCATCTGTACCAAGGTGGCCTTGTGAGATCGCTCATCTAGGTAGGCCACTTCGACCGTGGGAGAGAGCCGTGCATCCTCCAACATGTATACTGCAATAATACTGTTCAAAGGAATTCCAGCAGATGCATCACCAGACGCCATTAACTGCATATCCTGTAGCGAACTGATTGACGCCACCGATTGGCGATGGGAAGCCGGCGCTCGTGTGTTGTATGAAGCGGGGATTGAAGAAAAGGCATCGGCGGCCTTGATTTGGTTTTTGAAGCGAATAATATGGGTGTCTGTAAGAACGAGGTACTGGCTCTTTTTTCTCCACATACCCCCAGTCGTTTGGAGTTCCCCATGGTGAAGGATTGCAGATGACCAAATCCCATTTCGGGGGCTGGTCGTACTGTGATCGTCCCCTACCGATGCGACGGAGGCAGATAGAGGATCGTCGTCCTCCCAAGAATGTAGCGATTTCAGAGACCCAAATACCGAGGTTCGTTTCTTCTGTAAGGACTTCCTCCGCGGACGAGGGGTCTCAATGGGTGTAGAGACCTGGGGTAGAGCGGTGGTATCCGAGCCTGCGGTGCCAGGACGAGTTTTGGGCGCAGTAGCCCATCTGTTGGGACTCTGAGATCGGCCGAAGAAGCCAGAATTGCGGCGAATTTTCTTCTCGCGGGTCAGGACATTATCCGAGGGTGTTCGGTCATGGAGTGACGGCCGGGTCGGGGGAGCGGGTGTGGAGGACGGGCTGAACACGCTGAGACTCTTTCTTCGTTCTCGTTTGCCAATGATTTCGGCCATGTCGGTAATGTGAAGTGGTACAAGAACAGGGGAGGGTATCAAGTGAAGAGCAGCGCCGCGAGTGCTGAGAAAAGAAGCTTATCTCGACGACCTCAACGTCGTTAGTACTGAGACCGGTTAGCCCTGATTCCAGACATGGCCAGGTCAGACGCAAAGAGGAGGAGGGAGGGGAAGGTAGTACATACGGTAAACCGTCAGGGCGCCATGGAAGCAATCAGCTTTCCAACACCAGGGGAATCCTTAAGCGGGATCGGTGACTATATCTAGGACTCCAGACGCGTCTGGCACCTGTCAACAATGTGGCAAGCTGGTTGCGAGTAGTCCGGAAGAGGAGCTTCGCCACAAATCAATAGACCGGAACGGAATGACCAGTCGGATAGTTGGTGTCACAAAGCTAAACTGAGTCGATCAAGCCGATCAAGCCGATCCAAAGGAATAGCGTGAGAGAAAGATGAAAGCAGAAGACGAGAACAGCCAAAGGTCTGGGAAGGGAAAACACCTGAAGAAGTTGAGGGGAAAAGGAGGAATGGACGGATGCAGCTAAAGATTCGCCCCAACACTGAAATGTTTCACTATAATTCGTCGACTGTATTGAATTTCCGGTTTGATTCGAATTACAATTTACCATCCAATCTAGATCATTGACAATTTATTCGTTATTATTACTCTTGACTATTACTTTTTTCTATTGAATGGCGGATTGTGGGAAGTATAGGCGCTTCTGCCCGCATTTCGAGACATTGGCAACCAATCCAATCCGGAGCGAATACACGTAAGAGGCTTGGTCCACTGCTTCATACTAGACGATGGTTCAAGAGCAGGGATTGTTGCATATCAAATGATCCTGGTCATTATGTGCCTGCTATCTGTACATGTAGCTGCAATGTACCTGCACCTGTGCCCAAATCTAGCCTAAGCCTTCCATACACCTACTACAGTACTTCATATACTACTTCCCTCACCTCCATTCCATGCCCTTGGATGATGGGACAGTTTTTGAAATGAGTGGCATCATGGCCCACCTCTAAAGATCGGCACTCCACGCAGCCTGCTGCTCTACGGCATTTGAAGTGGTCCAAATGGAGATCGCAATAAGATCAGCGCGATAATCAAGGGGAAGACCATCATGCCCCAGGAATTGGCGTCATTGGTGACGGAAGCAAACGAGATCGGCAGACTAGCCTGTCGTCTCCCCTGAGCCTGAGAGGAGCCGGGATCTCAAGGCAGGGATATCTCTTGGCGGAGCGGTCAAGCCCATCCATGTATCCTTCCAATAGCAGACAACGAAAACGCAGATTAGCGTTTCGTATTCTCTATGCTCTCTGCTTAACGACGTGTTCCCTGCGCCCTCTCCGCTTCCAGTCGCTCTGCACGTCTAATCTTTCGAACTATGTTGATGTACTCTGTGACGCGTTTCTCGGCCCAGATGCACCCGCCGAGTGTCATGGCTGCCATCTGGAGGAAGACTTTGAACTGGGGTGTCAACCCGCGATAGACCTTGGAGCCTGGGGAGATCCATTCCGAGAAACCCTCGAGTGGGCGATGGAAGAGTCGGGAGCGAAGGTAATCGCGGGAGAAGATTGACGGACGGGGCCGGGGTTGTGTCGCGGGGTGAGCAGGTGGACTGGGTGCAGAGAAAACAAAGGGGTGGGGGAGGCTCATGATCATATGAGCCAGGATGGAGACGGAGCCGAACTAGATGGTGTTAGCTGACGATCGAGGTTTAGTATTCAAGAGCTATTCGACATACGCGGAATGCGCCGGTCATGAAACCCTGGGCAGCAATCCAAGTGAGTTCCTCCGGAGGCTCAATCTCGGCCCGTTGATTTGATGGTGGCGGCATCTTGATATATTTGAAAGCTGTTCGAATGTTTAAGGAACTGTTTGAAACCTTATCGACCAAGCTTCCGCGGGGTGCGATAAGTGGTAGGTGTAGTGATGTAAGTGTGCAGGAGTGCAGGAGTGCAGCTGTGGTAGGAGCTCGATAAATTGAGTGTATGCAAAGCAAGAGAGACCTCGAATTGACCAGATTAAACGTTAATACCTGGACCAGCCAGAGTCTGAATATGAAACGACGAAAAAGCAAATCGCGAGAGCATCTCGGTGTTTGATAATCGGATCAACTATTTTCCCGACGACTCAGACAAAAAAGAATCCCGATTACGGAGTATCAACTACACATCCATATACCAACCGCATACAATGGCTCTCTCTGCACGCACAGCGGTGATCTCCCGCTCGACCAACGAGACCAAAATCCAAGTCTCGCTCTCCCTCGATGGTGGCCCTCTGCCCCCCTACGAGCCAAGCACCCACTTCCCCGCCCCGACAGACCCCCAAGAAGCCGAAGCCGCAAAGAAGGGCATTGTGCCTCCCAAGGACGCCGGCCATGCGACACAATTCACCCCAACACAGCAAATCACCATCAGCACTGGCATTGGGTTCCTCGACCACATGCTGCATGCGCTGGCCAAGCACGGTGGCATGAGTTTGGCTATTCGCGCCAAGGGCGATCTTTACAGTGAGTCACGCATTAAACAATGTCAATCGCTGCCGAACTATCAAGCAACTAATCAATCCCAGTCGACGATCATCACACAACAGAAGATACATTCCTTGCCGTCGGCGAAGCCTTCACAAAAGCCCTCGGCGCGCGCCAATCGCTAGAGCGCTTCGGCCGCGGTGACGCTCCCCTCGACGAGGCACTCTCGTGGGCAGTCATTGATCTCTCCAGCCGGCCGTGGGCAGTCATTGATCTGGGCTTCAAGCGCGAGAAGATTGGTGCTCTGAGCACTGAGATGATCACCCACGGTTTGCAGAGCTTTGCCCAGGCTGCTGGTGTCACTTTGCATGTCGGTTGCACTTATGGTGACAATGACCACCACCGCGCTGAGAGTGCTTTCAAGGCGCTTGCTGTTGCCATCCGCAATGCTTGTAAGCGTCGCGTTGAGGGACAGGTTGGCGCTGGTGACGTCGTCAGCACCAAGGGTGTCCTCTAATGGCAGAGCCCCCGAAAAGTATAAGTTGGGAAGTAGAGAGCAATAGATTCAAAAGTACGATGAAATGATACGAGATACGGAAACGTTATATGATAAAACTTCTCATCATGCATGAATACCACAACCATAACCTTACGCCTAACTGAACCGATCCAAACTATCCCATAAATCCATAAAACCCATAATATCATAACACCTTACTTGACACCAGAGCCCGAAGCAGCTTTTAGCCAACCAAAACCAATCTCGACCCGAAAAAATCAAGCGTAGCTCAAGACAATAAATAGGAGAAAGAAAAAAAAAAAAACCAAATCAGACTCCAAGAGCCTTGACAGCCCGATCCCAATACTCCTTCCGCTCATCAGTAACAGAAGTCCCAACACAATCAGAGATATATCTACTCCAACCACTCTCATCGCCCTTGGCCAGAGCAGTACGAACCTCCTTCGAGCACTGCGTAGTCAAGAACCAAGCCCCAGACCCGAAATCATAAGCCCCATTATTCCGCAACAAATCCAACAAAGCAGCCGGATCATTGGACACGGCAGCGAGCTGATCACTCAATGCTGGGAGCGATGAGGCATATTTTTTGTTGAAGGCTGGTGATTGCATGTTTCGGGCTGGACGGAGAGAAATAATTAGTATATTTTCACTTTGGATCTATGTATAGCCTATAACCTAGGGTGAAGTATCTTATATGACTTGGTATGGGACGGGATGGTAGAATACTCACTGCCTTGCCCGGCAACACCAGGGAAATGGTTCTTATTGTATCGGAAATCATCACTCTCAAAGGCCATGAGGGAGATGATGGCGGCTTGCTCAGCTTTGTTGGTCACTTGGTACGTATCGAAGGACTGGGAAGTGAATTTGGCGGCTTGTTTGCCTGTTGCGCATTCGCCTTCGGCGGGTGGGTTGTCACAGGAGGTAGATTGGGGCGCGATTGTTTCCATTTGGGATTGGGTTAATGTTGTTGCGTCGTCGGCATATTTCAGGGACTTTAGGCTGAAGGGGAAGGGGAGGGGGGTTGCCGTTGTGAGGGTCGTTAGGGCTAAGAGGAGGGTTGGGAGATGCATTTTGTTGGGTTTGTTCTGTGGTTGGTTGTTGTATAGAGTTGAGTTTGGTGTATGTTCACTTATAGTATGGGCGTTGAAGTAGTGCCGGGAACCAGAATGAAGAGCAAGAAAGAACAAGAAAATCTAGAGTAAAACTCGATTCAAGACAACAGTCGAAGATGATCAGCAAGTGACTTATGATTTCAAACCACGGCCCTCATCCCATATTTATAAACCCTACCAAGGACATACCCCTCAGACAAAACTCATGAAACAAGGGCGTTGGCGCATAATACAATGAAGCTGGACACATACAAAGGGGAGGCGGGGGGCGAATACCGCCAAACACGTACAGTATAGCCTACATACTGTAATGTGATCTCCTACATAGTGGGCGTAGGCAAGCGAGGCGCGGAGAATGCCAGCCGTGCTGGTGAAGTATGTAAATGACGAGACCCTCGAAATCAAATTTAAATCAAGGCAGGACAGCTGACTTGTCTATTTTCTTGTGTATGGCTTGAAAGTGAAACGGGCTAATAAAGTGAATACTAATAGGAAATGGTTGCAAAGGGCAGTGTTGGACATCTACTGGAGGCGTGCAGTTAAGAAACCCTCGTTCACTTAGTGACTTCACCCTTGCGCGGCTCGATGGAGCCAGTCAGAAAGCTTATTGTGGTTTATGGGTAAGGCCGCTAGGACTGCATTGTCTATGCAAGGCACGCGGGCATGGTCATTGGGCGGAAGTGGGTGTTTCAGGCATGATGAAACGTTTGTTTGGGGGTTGGGTTGGATGGACGTATCATGTTGCAGAGGGTGAGGTTGCACTCTGCATACTATTCTATGCTTTTTTCTGCTGATTGGGGTTAGAATTTGCTAGGTTACAATGTGGCTGAAGTGCGCAGGTTTATAGATCATATGGACTGAAGCCATGAGTATTGATTCATCATTCTCCCCTGGAGATCTCCGTATCAACGTGTGCATATAGCAAGAAAGAAAAGAAAGAAGAGAAAAAAAAGAAGCCCGAGGTCCAAGATACACCACCCCCAGAATCGAAGTCTAGCTTGTTTACAAATCAATAGGGGTAAAGGTGAAAGTGAAGAGGGGTGGTGGAAGGTAGACTGAGAACCCATCGGGCCCCAAATGACTGTGGCAAGCGCAGTAGCATAGCGCCCATGTCCAAGTCCAAGCAAGTAATAAAAGAGACAAAACCTTAATGATTTGCTCCAGGTGATCATTCAATCCAGGATCCCGCCACGGGATTGAGAAACACCATGCATGCGCTCTTAAACAGAAAAAGAATAAAGGTGTACAGTAGTAAATGCCGATGCAGAGATCGTGTCCGAGGCTGTATCTATACAGACAGGTACAGTGAGATGCAAAATATGTCGGAAATTGCAGATATCAGTCGAATCGAATGGAAAAGAGTCAGCATTTAATCGTCGCGTCGACCAAGTTCATAAGAGGTTTCGGTGGCTCCGCCGGATTCCTCGTCTTCTTTGAAACTGACTCGGCGGAGGATTGTTGGCATGGTAAGTCGTGAGCGCCGTGTTGGGGATGTCGACAAGCGCGACGGGCTGAGGAGAGAGGGCACTTTTGTGTATCGGTAGCGGTATTGCGCACCGAGAAGCATGATGCGGCCGTAACTCCACCAAAGGCAGAACCCAACGATTCCAGCAATGAGGAATCCACACATTGTGAGGAAGACCCAATGTTGGCCCATCTGCGATAGGTTAGCTAATTGCCTTATTTCCTTGAACGAGCCGACGACTTACCCAGAAAATCAGACGCGCGTCCTTGCCGTGCCAGCTGTTACCCCGGTGGTGGGTGAAGAAGCTCCACGAAAACTTGTTGTACTCATCCTGCATGAGGATACGAACGCGCCCAGCCTCGCTCGGCTTATCCTGCATGTACTCCTTCCAAATCACCGACAGGAACAATGGACCTGTCGAATACATGACTGTGATGTAGGGAAGAAGCCAGTGGCGATCATACTGCTGCAGCACCTCGATCACACGAAGGAAGAAGGGGTGCTGAGGCACGGAGCCCATGGCGTCGTTGGAAATACCAGTTGGTGCTGTGCGGCGAACCCAAGCGGGGTAAGCAAGGAGAGGATCTAACCGGCGGTTGCAACCCTGATTTTGTCAGCTATGAACAATAGATATTTGACGCTGGTACATACATCGTCGAGATCAATGTAGGTTCCACCGTAGTGCGCCAGAATAAAGTATCGAATGGAATCGGCGCGCTGAATGGGGTACTTGTAGCCATCGAAGGTGTCCAAGAACCAGGGGTATTCGGCGGCAATGAAGTCGCGCGATTTCTCGTTTGTCCAGAGCTAGAATTCATTAGAAGGTTGGTCCCGGGTGAGAGATTGAGGTTTGGCATACAATGTACTCATAATCCGGGTGCAAGTCGATGCAACTCTGCTGGGCTTCGACCCAGACTTCCGGGATTGTCTCATTCTTGTATGTCTGGTGAATGATCTTAGGAATTATTTGAGGTCGTTGTTCGATCAAGCTAGAGTTAGGCGAAGGTAGTTCTGCGCGGTGAATCGCGTCGGCCGCGGCATCTTCGACGAGTAGCGAGAGAAGAGTCGAGACACTGCGGACGAGCAGTGACAAGATGAGAAGATTGACGAGACAAAAGATCAAGAGACCGCGCCGCATGGTGAAGGTGTACGAGACAATAGCGGAACTGGCGAGAACAATGCGCAACCAATTGAACGCTCGTCAAGTCGGGTCGAAATTCAGACCGTGAGGCCGGTGATGTTTGCGTATGGAAGGATCGCTAATTCCGAGGGAGAGTAGAAATGAGTAGAAGGAGAGGCGATAGATGAGGTGGAAGAAGGCTAAACAACTAAAGTGAGTGACGGGTGGGGAGACTAAAGAGCGAGTGAAGGCAAAAAAAAAAAGACTCCAGTGACATAGGGGGGAATACAGTACTGAACAGGGGTTCCAAGGTTCATACGAGGCTGAGGTGGCTGAGTAGCCTAAAGTGGACTAGTGCAATGGGGCAATACAGGGGATAAACTTTACAAAACTGTTGAGTACAATACCATACAGGGTCATATTATATTTGATTGGTATCTGTATTGGAGTAATGGGGCAATAGGTTCAACTTAAGGGTAACTAGTGCTTATAGTCCCGGTAGTTTAGTCTTTAAAGCTGTCGCGAGGACAAGAATACAGTACTCCCTACGTACAGTATTCCGTAGTCAGTGCAGAATTGCTCTTCGCGTCCTGAAATAGCTGTGGGGGAATCTCCACTCTGCTTATTTAGGCAACGACTATGCCGAGGCTGGACTAATGGGCGCACTTGTCCAGTAACAGCCCCAGAAGATAGGCACGTTGAACCGCTAGGCAGTCACTTAGATGTAATTGTGAAACAGCGCCATGTCCACGTATTCCTGCGATAAGAACGCCTTCTTATCTGCATTAAATTGGTCGCCTAAATATCGGTGGAATAACCACCGATTCGCCCGTACGCCACCGGAGACGTTGAGCGTGGGTCTCGCCCCCATACTGTACAATGAACTGCGTATTCGTATCAAAGGCCAGTTTCATCTCCATTGAAATCTACAATTAGATCCATCGTTATGAACCACGTACGATAAAGTGGGAACCACATGGAACGGTTGAAAAAGAAAACTACTGCCTAGTGTACCACGACACAATAGACTTACGAATACGATTACCATGGGAACCTCCCACTCCACATAATCACTTGGCTCTGGTAATGTCTATCGCCCCCACAAATCCACTACACTCGCCTCGGCCTGTAAATGTACTGTAATCCATGGCCCACGGTTCATTCTGGTCTTCCGGCAGCCACAATGGACAGAATACTTGTACTTTGCTTATTGACGTATTGCTACCGAGATCGGCAATCGAGATATTCTCCAGACTCCACGTTTCAACCCTGAAATCAGGGATCAGCACGACGTGACGTGGGTGGTTGGGGGTTCGGGGGCTAAGCGCTAGATTGGCCCCTGCTGCTAACTTGATAGTGTTTGATATAATGTTACTGTGCAGACGTGCTGCCAGCGCCCACTGCAGTAGTACTATACATAATAGTTAACTTACCACTATCACTTCTGCTGTAGTAAACCGGTGTATCGCAGATCCTCTGCCGTGCGATTATCACAAGGGACAGTGCTGTGATCAGCCGTGTTTAGGCTGTTTTAGTGACTGGTGCGGCTGGTAGGACGAATAATGTTGTTGATTATTCGTAGGGAAATAAAGCTCTACAACGCCGACAAAACCTGCTGTAGCATGATAACTAGTGTCTGTCTATACTATAATTATACTGTCAGCGGCAGTGGCTCGGTGGGATTACCTGCCTTGCAGCTACAGTATATGCACTTGCTGCTGATTGTGCTCTAATTTTGTTTCAAGTCGTACGTCAATGTCAGCGTCGATCGGGTTATCTTGCAGGACGCCTGCGGCTGTACTGCACAGCTGTGTACAGCCGTGTACTGTACATCAATATCTCTCTCTGTATTCTACTTGACTGCCAAGGTTGGTTCCAAGGAGTTATTGAAAAGGGTCACGCGGTGTTTGTACTTTATCTGACTTTAACAACATTAAACTGAAGGACGTGCGTCAACGTATGGTTCATATGCTTCCATATGTCACAAGGGATACCTGCATCTGAATAGCTTGATGATTTACTGATTGGAGGGTTGGATGATAATTTGGAATGGCAATAATTGGGTATCTCGATGCACTAAAAATCAAAACACATACGCTCTCGGGGTATTGAACTTAAACTGAGGGTCTATCCACGTGTCACATGGGGAGGCCAGAGAGCACGTGTCACATCAGACAAAATGATCACATTCCTCTGATTCCTGACGCCCTTCTTCGGTCAAGTGGTGCTGCATGTCCAGGTCCGCCGCCAAATTCTGGTATATTTGCACCGGGAGCGGCTCGGGAAACGCGCTTTGGCTGCTGCTTAACTGCTAGCTGCTAGCTGATTACTCCACACTTCCAAGCATTGTCATATGGAGACATGCCCCCCACATGGATGCATCGGTGTCTTTGCAACACCAATGCGAACATCCTTCTGTCAGCTTTGCTGTTGAAGAATCTCAATCCAGAGTTGACAGATCATCGGACGTCAGGCGCCGCACCCGCCCCCAATTCCCGATTGACTGTTGTCGTACCACGCTCGCTGGTAGGTCTAGCCTCAAAAATACGGCGCCACCACCGAGGCGGATCAAACGGCCGGTGGCCACCATGCAAAGGCGGATAAACGTCATTGAAGAAGTACCAAACATGGCCAACAACGACACCCAGTATCTCATCCTTGGGCACAGTCTGATGCACAATCAAACTGAATCCCATCAACACCCAGGGCAGGTAAGGCGCGGTGAAAACCAACAATCCCAAGAAACTAAGACGCGTGTCGGGGTTGCGGCGGGCCCAGATGTAAACCAAGCTAGAAGAAAGCGCCGATCCGAGGAATGGGATAGAGAGGAAAGGCGAGATGATCAGGAGACAGGTCATGGCATAGAATACCAGCCATGCGAAGTGAGCCGGGGAGCGGCCGGAGGATTCCTCCAACAGGCGGGAGTAGCGCTGCAGAAAGAACACGTGGAATAGTAGGTCGAGATTGAGCGGACCGAAGTAGAGGAACGTCGTTACGAGCCGCCAGTATTGTGACTTGACGTATACTGAGCGGAAGCTGTAGAATAGCTGGAATGGGGTCACGACGTGGCACTGTACTAGCAGCGAGGTTGCCACGGTGGCTACCGTCCACCACCGGGTGACGGGGGGCATTTCATAGAACCATTGCTCGAGAGGGAATTGGCCTGGTTGCCCATTGTTCTCCCAAAGCGCAGCCATGTTGATGGGAAAGCAAGACGACGAGAGAGAGGATGCAGATCTCCAGGTGTCCTCGAGTGATCCCTAGCTGTTTGTATTGTTTGTGTGCTGCTTATGCCTGAGGCATTAGACGGTTATCTTGATCGGCCAAACTGTGTCCTCTGATTCGTCAACCGTTTCAGATGTTACTAAAGCGGGGCTTAGAAAGAGAATGGGGAAACGTCTTGACGAGTAGGGTCGGAGTTTAAGTTAATGTTTAATGTGGTTTGATGTTAAGAAGTTCAAAAGAGGTGAGACGAGCTCTATTTTCCTTTCATTTGTTCGGACATCTCTATTCTGAGCTAAGTTATAACTAACTACATTTACCCCCAAGTTCTAAGCTCCACACGATTACTGCAGCAGGTGAATAAGTACAAGCGTCTTTCGGCAAATCAACCGCTAGAGAGATCATTATTAGAGGACCGAGAGCAAGACCGAAGAGTACAGTACCTTGAACAGCCACGAAGCTATAATCTCCAACTATGGGGAATACGATGAAAGTCACGTGGGATCAATGCTCGACGCGTTTTCACGTGTCGTGTGTCACGTGCCGACCAAGTGATCCGATACCTCAATGGGGGCTGGGACGCTAACGCCGAAATAGTTCATATTGAGATTTATTCTCCCCTCGAGCTGGCCTGCGCATCTATACTCGAGCACTGACAAACAAACACAAACACAAGCGATCGCTTCGCCTCGCTGTCCGGCTCTCAGCCTCGATTGATCGCGTGTCAACGCTCTAACGAACACGCGCCAGCACACGGCATTCTCCTCTACAACTCCAATGCCAGCTAAAATGGCACGAAAGTCAGCACCGGGCAGCGCACAAAAGGGTCGCAAAACAGCTGCGACAGTTCCAGCAGACGGCTCCCCAATCCAAGCGCGCAAAGCTCCAAAGGGCAAGAGACCCGCAAACACAGCTGCCGATGTCCAACGTATGTCTATCCCAAACATACCTCCCCTCCCCTCCTCTCACCTCAATCCTCCTCCACTCCCCCTCCCCACCTTCACCTCATACAAGCACAGCCCGGTCCCCTTCCCAATGTCAACCAATATCTAACACCAAAACAGCAGGCGACCCAACCCCTACAGGCCGCCGCCGCCGATACAGACCAGGCACAAAAGCCCTTAAAGAAATCCGCCAATACCAACGCGGCTACGATCTCCTCATCGCCAAACTTCCTTTCGCACGCTTAGTTCGCGAAGTAGCCCTCGACCTCCTCCCCGCCGACGTTGGTGCCGAATTGCGCTGGCAGTCGCATGCCATTCAAGCGCTGCAAGAAGCCGCCGAGGCATTCCTTGTTCATCTCTTCGAGGACACAAATCTTTGCGCGATACATGCTAAGCGTGTCACTATCATGCAGAAGGATATTCAGCTTGCGAGGAGAATTCGCGGGGTTTGGGGAGGGCTAGGGTGATTTTCGGGGTCATTTGATGGGGTGTTGTTTGATTGGGTTTATTAATTCGGTGGGTTGTTTGTGGATTCATCTTATTTTCCTCTCTCTCTTTTTCTCTTTCCTTCTTTGTGATGATTGATTGATTGATGGAGAGGATGAGGGGTCCAGGGCGTATTCGGGACATGGAGTCAATCCGGTGGTGTTTTCTGATATTTTCATATTTGTGCCTTTCGAGCTTTCGAGTTCTTGTTCGCTTGCATTTGCACTTGCATTGCATTGAATTTGCTTTTGTTGTTGTGACCTGGGGTATACCAAGGAGCTTTGTACATTATGATGTCGCATGTTCCTTTTCTTTTTCGTTCTATAACAAGTGAAAGCGAAGCAATTTATGGTCTTCTTGAGGTTTAATCCTCAAAAAATGAAGTTGAACTATCCTACGGGAGACAGGAACATTAATATTCGGTATTGGGATGGGATCATAGTATAGTGACATTAAATATGGTTCATGACTCCATGATAAAAATATAGGATCACGATGAAGATACTCCGTAACGGAAGCAAAATACAAACAAACGCCGTCCCTGGGTTGCCATCAGATGGTATCATAACGAAGCGCTCCCATAGCAATAAGCTCGAATACAAAGGTCAAAGTAAGGATGAATGTGGTTGTGAACAGAGCAAGATAACTTCAGGAATCAAGACCACCAAGAAAGGCCCTAAGCAAAGCGTCTCAGACCTGGTGGAAGACCTGCCACCAAGCGCAAGCCTTCTTCGCGAACACCTTGGGCTTCTTCGTTTTTGCCTTGTCGTTCTAAAGTCTCGGCTAGCATGTCGTCGGTGACACTCGCCCACAGACGGTCGTTTGCGCGCTTGGCCATGGCGCGGCCGGCGCGGGCGCTCTTCTCGGCTTGTTCGCCGACGACACCGCGGAAGTACTTCCAGCTCATGAAGGTGAGGGTCATGCAGGTGATCTGGGAGTTGCTGATAGCAGTGGCTGACTGGAGAGCTTGTTGGAGGTACTGTTTTGTCTGTATGGTTGATTCGGATTGGAATGTTGCACAGACTAGATAGTACGCAGCCTGGATGTATTTGTTTGGACTCCCTTGGCAGAAAGGCTCAATGTTGGCCAGGGCGTTTGGTAGGAGGGAATGCGATGGGTGGGCTGGGTCCCGGATTATCAATACGCTGTTAAGACCTGCGAGAATACGCGTGTCACGGCATGGGTCGTTCCGGGCTGTCTTGCTGGTCGTTGCATTGAGAGATAGAAGTGGCGATTGGAAGATGGCCAGTGCGGTTTGTAGATCACCAGTCGCCTGTGCGATGGTGCCCGCGGCATATTCCATTAAGCATTCAATCGTGTCTGGAAGTGTTGAGCCAAGCTCTTGGAAGACCTGTTGCAGGTCTTTAAGAGTTTGGCTGGCGAGCTCCCAATCGGTACGAGAGCAGGCCAAAAAGACTTTCTGTAATAGAAAGTTGCAGTACAGAGACTGGCGCCATTGCACTCGTCGGTTGGCATTGACCATGGATTCTGAAATTTCTTGAGGAGCTCTAAAGTTGCCCTGGATCATCCGAAGTCCTTCCTCCAGGTATTTCTCTGCTTTTCGGCCATCGTATGAGTTTTTTGCGCTGAGCGTTATCGAGCTGAGGAAGTAGCAAAGTGCATATAGGTCATGCTGGGGGAGCCAATTAAAGCTCAGCCATAATGTCCCATTCTGAACTAACAGGATATCACCGGTGTCGATCGATGAGGGTCCAGCGGACTTTCCATTGAGTGGGACGGAGAATGACCCGTCAGGACGCCAATTAGCGTCACCGAGTGTCTCATCCATCAAAGCCTGCATGATCTTCAACTTTTGGCCGGACTGATTGACATCATACTCAAGAAGACTGCAGCAAATATCGACCATCTGGATCAAGGTCGTAAGTTGTGGGATATGGCGAAGCTCATCATTTAGTTGATGGCTACGCGCAGCAGCCACGGCGCGCTGTGCTTGCTCAATCGAGTCTGAGCTCGTTCCTTGCTGCAAATGTGCCAGTGATTCGATAACAGCTGCCATGGCCGAGACAGCCTTGTCTCCGTTCCGACTTGCCATGGCGGTAATCTTATGAAGGTGTTGCAGTGCTTGTACCGAGTCTTGATGCGATGGAGTCGACAAAGAAAGCGTTACTCGAAGAAAACGGAATGCGTACTCCCACGCAGCATGCCTATATGCTTCCACATCCTGGATCATGCCATCGACGGCTTTCAAGGAAGCTTTGGGGTTGGACTTGTGGATCATTCGTGCTAGAAGGTGCTGCATGCTGTACTTTAAATCAAGCATACGGTTCTATACAAGTCAGTTAATCAAGCCAAATTCTTTTGGAAGTTTTGTTGACTGACTCGTTCACAAAGATCGATCTGTTGCAGGTTAGCTTGTGTGGTAACATGAAGGGGAATAAACATACTCCTTTGCTTAGTGCGGTTTCTGCTTCGAGATCATTGTCTGTTTCCTCGAACAACGTCCGTGCATAACGAAGTCTCACAAGCGCTTCTTTGCGTGGTTGCAATCGCCAATTCTGTCATTTTATTAGCTTCCAACGGTATAACATACACCAAGGCATTCACAGACCTTCAAAACAGCTTCCAAACACCCCAGTCCAGTAGCGACTAATTTATAGTATTCTTCAACATCGGCTTCGTTTGTGGCAAGGGACGTGGTTGTTCCATGGGAATGAGCAGCGTTGAGATATTCATCTGCCAACGACAATAAAAGAACCTGATAGTCGACCGGGGGTTTCGCAGGTTTGGTGATTGGAGACTTCCCATTCTTTTCGGCAGAATGTTGAGTCGGTCGCTTCGTTTCTACACGCTGCGGGGTCTGCTGTTTCTTCGGTGTCTGGCTCTGCATTCGAATTTTTACTTCAACGTCGGGAGAAGGTGCCGGTACTATGACTTGCGGCATAGAATGTTTCACTGGAGATGGAACTGGCTGAGGTCGTACCGGCGTTGAAACAAATTTTGCGGTTGCCGCAAGAGAAGGGGTTGTCTGCTCAGCTCCAGCCTTGGGAGAGATGTAAGGTTGCTTGGGTTCGAGTTTGATGATGGGTTGAGGCTGCAGTTGCGCCTGAGGATGCGGTTGCAGTTGAGGTTGCGGTTGCAGTTGAGGTTGCGGTTGCAGTTGAGGTTGCGGTTTTGGTGGTTGAGCTGGTTGCTGCTGAATTTGAATGTTTACTTGCCCTTGAATTCTCTGAGTATTCACTCTAGAGCTGGCAGCAGGCGGAGAAATATGGACTGGTGCAGCTGGTGGGGTAAACGAAGGTTCCTGGGATATCTGGGAATGGCTCGCAGTTGGCATAACAGGTAACTCGGCATACTGAGGGAGCTGAGTGTATCGGGATCGCGGAGCAGACGGTAAAGGCTGGTTAACAAATAATTGCGCGGGATTCACGAACTGCTGCAAGTCTTCTTGTTGGATTTGTTGGGTCTGAGGTGGAGGTGCCGGTGCCGGTGCATGTACTGTTGCCGGGGGAGGAGCAGATGTAGGTGCAGGTGCAGGTGCAGGAACATAAGTAGGTCGAGATTGTGGTTGAGGCTGAGGCGACTGTAGTTGGGGTGACTGTAGCTGAGGGAGAAGTTGTGGCTGCGGTTGAATTTGGGGTTGCGGATGTTGGCGAGGTTGCTGCAATTGAAGTGGCTGCTGCGGGGGCGTTTGCGAGGGATGCGGCTGCTGTATTTGCTGCTGTGGTTGAGTATAAGTCGATGGATACGAGTATCCCATCATCGAGGGAGGGTACATCCCCGGCTTCCCATAGCCATCATAGGGCGCTGGCGGCGGTCCGGCATTATACAGCATCTGCGGGGGCACAGGCCCATGCTGATACGGCGGTGGTATGTACTGCGGATATTGCCCGTGGCCAGGAGGTGGGAAGCTCATCCCGAAATACACTGCACATGCGAGCAAAGAGTTGTTGAACGCGTGCGTGGTGTGGTCCGAAGAATCCCATGGCGGTCAGCTGATAAGGATGCGATAATGGACTCCAGAGACTCGTACTCGGCTTTGTTTGACTCGACACTATTTCTCTACTTCGATTCTTCGCCTTTTGGTTTTTGCGAGTTTGTAATTTAGTGTGAATAACACATAAGCGAAGCTTTTTAAATTACTTCATGTTCAAGTTGAGTATCGATATATTTGTTTCCATGTCCCCCTGAAGGACTAACACAGAGACTCGAAAACGGGAAACACGAAGAAGTACGCTAAATTTAGGCCCAAATAGTCAATTTACACAGCGTGTCATATAATCCTGAGTATTCTTGATTGATAAATCCCAAATAAATCCGCTTCGCTATATTGATGCACACTATACACAGACAAATTTCCAAAGCCCATCTGGGCAGCAATAACCCTAATTTGCGCCTCCAACTCCAAAAAATGCTTGTACCAACCCAAACGCCTCTCACGTAGAAAGCCCTAAAGATTGCGCAGCGATGAATAAAGTTGATTGATAGGCGAATTGCCCATGGCAGTATCGATGATCTCCTCTCCCAAACTCGGCGTGAAAGAAAGCGCGGGATGTTCACGGACAGTCCAGGGGCATAGCTCGTTGCAGTTTTCGACGCTGATCGATGGTTCGGCCGGGTGAATTCTCTGGTTTCCCCACGCTACATCAGGGGCCACATTGGAGCCACCGAGATTACGCTCGGTCCAAAAGGAATATGTCGCTCTGTTGGACTTTTCGGCGTGGAAGGGCTGCTTCCGTGGGCAATTCAACGTTGTGTCACATGCACTGCAAACTGAGATACGCTTGCAAGATGAGCAAAATGAGTCGAAGAGACGACAGATGGTGGTTTGGTAGACACTTGACAGCCAAAGATCAGCTGATCGGTGTGCACATCCGAATCGAGGCGTCATGAAATCTTCCTTGCCAACTTGACCCGGTTCGGTGGTAAGCTGGTATTCCGTGCGGAGAATAAGCTCGTTTTTGTGGTCGAGCTCTGGGAACAAGGATGTCTTCAGTTCTGTTGGACCATACTGCTCGGTGCAGGTGTGCCAACAATAACGTTCGTCGACGGCGTTGCCAAACTCTGATTTCAAAGCTTGCAAGGTAGTCTGTCGTACTCGAACGTGGTCGATGAGGTCGAGCTTATCCCGGAAAGTAATCTTCTTGCATGGGCAAAGGTCGACAATCCCTGCCAATTCGCCAATATTGCATGTCCGTTGGTCTGGCTTGCGTCTCAACTCTTTCGGCGAGAATGCGGCTCGGGGATGGAGCTTCAGACACTTGGAGCAAAGCTTCCAGCGGCTGTTCTCGAGTAATGTGAGGAATGACCATCGTGGAGTTACAAAGTTGTGACCATTACGGTAATGGTGGAAGAGCGGCGCAAAGTCGCGAGGAAATCGGAGGGATTTAGAGAATAGAATTTCGCCTGAGATAGCGAACATGCGCTTGCAAGTAAGTGCAAGGGCTGCCTCCGGGATAACTGTCAGGTGGGAGACAATCTCGAGCAGTAGTTCGGTGGGTAATTCCATGAGATAGCAGCGGCCGGAGCCATCCTCCACCTTCTTTGAGCGTTTTGGCGACCAGGTTCTCATCTTGATGATAATTTTAACCTTCTCTGTGGCGCGAGAAAACCGATCGGACATGGTGTAGGGTAACTCTTTGATGAAGGTCATGGGGGGTGAGGCCGACCTTTATCTGAAGTAAAAGAGTTGGAAGTGGGCATAGGTGTCACTGAAATATCATATCGGAATCAAGTAGCGCGCGTGACAAAAGATAGAAGAAAGAAAGATGGATCTTTTGACCTTCAAGTAGTCCTATGAATGATTTAGTTGCACGAAAACGGACCATGGGACAGGGTCACCATAATTATCCGCATTACATATAGGGCTTATATGAATATGGTCATTCTTTGTCCGGTGATCCCTATACATAGCGCCGGATATCTCAGTATCTACTGCTTTTGTCTACAGAGACATTTCTCAAACAGACATAGCCATTGTCGGACAACCTGGGGATATCTCCTTGCATTTGATGCCGGAACTTATCAAGGGTTTCCGGATGCGGAAGGCAAATTGCCGCATTAAGCATCATAACATCATCACTTTCATTTTCGCAACAAAACGCCGTGGCTTTTGCACCATGCAAGATGAGATAAGGTGTTCGTTCATATATGAGCTCAGGCCTAGTCGGCTATTGTCAACTGACTTCCAAAATGGGGACAGTTCAGATGACTGATTGTCATCGGATCCCATGTCGAATCTGACACGTGACTTTCACATGATTGCTGAGTCATGAAGCGTCACGTCCATCTGGTCACGTGTGGTAAGTTACACAAACTTCGTCACTGTCATAAATTTTGCTTAGTCATATCCTAATAGAGTAATGCCGAGGTCCCTGGGAGCGTTTTTGCTTTTTTATGTCCCAAGCCACAGTTTCCTACTTGGGGGTCAAGCAGAAGCGAAGTTGTCGTTGAACATATATCAAAGCATTTCATTCTTTTTAGATCGGAGTCCAGCGTTTTTGCATCTACGTCCCCATCCTCATGCACGATCTCGTATCAACTCTCTTGGAATCTTTTCCCCTATCGGTTCTCTTATCAGGACTGATTGCAATGGGCTTGCTCTCATGGCTTCGTCCTAAGGGTCGCATATCGTTCTATCATTCCACGGACAATCAGTTGACGTTGACCAAGGTCTCTGACACTGCAGCCAAAGAACAGACCACCTTTGTTGATATCTGTCGGGCCGCAACACCAGACTCCTGCAATTTGAATCCATTCCTGTTCAACGGACATTTGCAGACATTCTGGACAGTCCTGAAACACGATAATGTTCCAGTTTACTACAAACGCAAGATGTTTGAGTCGGACAGTGCTGCGCTCGCTGGGCACTATGCTATCGATTTCGTGGTTGCACCATATGACATGCCCGAGGACCCGGAACTGACTGATCAAGCGAGGAAGTATACTCAGGAATCAGGAATGCCGCCTCGCACCTCATTCTTTACACAGGACGAGTTTACTGATCTGCCATCTGATGACACCAAGCCTATGCTGGTGGTTCTTCATGGGTTGAGTGGTGGCTCCCACGAAGTATACTTGCGCCATGTCCTGGCACCGCTTGTGAAGAACGGGGATTGGGAGGCATGTGTTGTCAACTCCAGAGGTTGTTCACAGACCAAGATCAGTACTGGTGTGCTTTACAATGCCCGTGCTACTTGGGATGTTCGCCAGTCCGTGAAATGGATCAGAGAAAAGTTCCCCAACCGCCCTCTTTTCGGAATTGGCTTCTCACTTGGTGCCAATATTCTCGCTAATGTATGTTTATTACCTTAGAGCTGGTGATTACTTTATATATTGACAAGTTTTAGTACTTGGGAGAAGAGGGAGATGCATGCCAATTGAGGGCAGCCGTCCTTTGCGCGAGCCCATGGAATTTGGACGTCAGTTCTTCCAACTTGCAGAGTACCTGGATTGGCAAGGAGGTATACAGCAAGACCATGGGCGCAAGCATGAAAAAGCTCTTTGAAACGTGAGTGTCATCTCCAATTTTCTCCAATTCATGCTAACAAGTTATTGCAGACATGTCGACGCCATTTCTAAGAATCCTCGCATTGATGTGGACGCCATCAGAAACACTACTTACTTGCATGAATTCGACCGGTAAGCTTATTACTCTCTACATTAAGAAAACAGTTCTAATATACACCATAGCGCCCTGCAATGCCCAGCATGGGGCTATCCCACCGAGGGAGCGTATTATCGTGATGCCGCTTCCACTGATTCCATGCTTGCTATCCGCATTCCTTTCCTTAGTGTCCAGGCTGAAGATGATCCGGTAAGTCATCGGCCCTCCGTAGGCATTAATTGCCGCTAACAGCACTAGATTGCCTGCCGGGATAGTCTGCCCTTCCACGAAATGACCCAAACGCCATATGGAGTCATGTTGACTACCTCTTGGGGTGGTCATTTGGGATGGTTCGAATTTGGAGGAGAAAGATGGTTTGTCAAGCCGGTATGTGATACGTCAAACATGGTTGGCGAGTTTATACTAATCTCTGCTTAGGTGGCAAACTTTTTGAATACAATGGCTCGGGAAATCAACACTGATATCCCTGGTGTTGTTCAACATCCCGAGAAGCTTCCCGGCCACATCGCCCATCACAACGATCCTAACAAAGATCCGGACATGGCACCCAAGCCCGAGTTCAACCCCATGCGACGCAAACTCGTCTTGCCTTTGGGGCAATAAATCAGTTCTCTCGACAACATTCGTCAACTTGTTTGACTTAGCGACGCAACATTCATTACAGCGGGGGAAAGCGCAACTTCATGATGATGGTTCAATTCCGATAGACATAGATAAACCGGTGAAAACGCCGAACCCCGACATCTAAATAACAAAACAAAGTATATAGACAATACACCATTTCGGCTTTTTTTTTGGGTGGTTTTAGGCAAATGCAACGCTCTTCTTCTTTCCCTTGGCCGACTTCGCGACACTCGTAGAGGACTCCGTCTTATCGGCGTTCTTGCCCTTCTTCTTGTTCCGGATTGAGTCCTTGACATTCTCGAGCTTGTTCTTCCTCTCTGAAACGCGGGCCTCGGCCTCCTGTCTCTTGGCTTCGCGAATCTCTTCTAATTGACGGGCCTTCATCATCTTTGACTCAATTTGGCCTTCCTTTTCGGCGTTAACCATGGCGAGGATGGTCATCATGCCCTCCTATTAAGTGTATTAGCATTGAATCTGGTCCCTTCAAGGGAAAGGCACCATACCTGGTCGTCGACAAAGGTCTTGCCCTTCTTCTTGCCCTTGGGCTTGACAACTCCGACGGGTGTGATGGCGTTCAACTCGGGCAAATCCAGCTCCTTCTCGGTGTATACTCTCTTCTTCTTTTTCTGCATGTTCGTTTGCATGGTGCGGGGCTTGGACTTCATTTCCGTTGGCGGGGGACGCTTGGGGGCATTTTTCTTGTTGACGCGCGAGCCTGATCCCAAGGGCTTGGAGCCTTTTCCGCCTGCACCCTTTCCACCTCCAGAGGATGCGCCCTTGTGGGCGGGCTTGGGAATACTAGGCGCCATTTGGTATGGATTGCGAAAAATAGACGATTAATTCGGTGGCAGTGAACTGAGATGGGAGAGATCGTAGAGATTGACTTTGTAGCAAGAAAAGAGTTGCACAGATGACAACAACTCAAGAGCGAGACAGATAATCCCGCAAAGCAAAAGAGATCAAGAAAAAACTGACTGGGGAAAATGAGAGCAAAGAAGCGTCGCGCCGATGGTCCAATCCCCAAATTCGCAAAAGAATTTTTTTGAAAAGGCAGGCGGTGAGCCCGGCCACTTCCACCACCTCAGATCGAAACCTCCACCTTTGAGCTTGCCCGGATCCCTCGCTCAATTCCCTCCCCCCGTCTCCGTTCTCAGGGTTTGATTTGCACGGCTTACCCTTTCCCGCCAAGATGACTATCAACCCTACCTTCCTGGCGCAGCGCACGCGCTCCTGTACGTCCCTTCCCCGATCTGTTCCGCCGTCCACTCGGGATCGTCAATGGCGCCTTTGCTGTCAAGATAGGTGCTAATGTTGATTATGTAGCCATCAACTTGGGCGATGCCAAATACAGAGTCCTCAAGTCTTACCGCGAATGGCTCCGTGCGGTTAGTCTATCCCGCTCGCTATACTCCACTCCCTAGATGCGCCTCTACACGCATTGAATGGAGCCATATCACTTGAGGAATTGGCCTCATTGATTCGTCTCCTTGGAATGAAATACAATGGCTCGACTGCGGAGGACTTGAGCTAACGGTATATCCAATAGTCCCCCGAGATCCAGACCATGTACTCCCTCGACATGCCCGTATCCGCCATTCGCACCAAGATCCGCCAGGAGTTCGAGAAGCACCGCTACGTCAGCCAAATCGCCGTCGTTGATGTTCTGCTCTACAAGAGCCACGCCGAGTTCCAGGTTAGTTCGCCATTCTGTCATGCATTGGGACATGTGACATGTGACATGACTTCGGCTGGAGACATATCAAAGCAAGGAACCTGGAGCGCTAGTCACTACGCCTTTGCAATTGGTCTCTTATTTGGTCATCTACTGTCGCAGTCTCCTCACATTTCCATTGCCATTGCCATTGTCAAATCGAGTTCAATGCTGACTTGTTCAACTAGGAAACTCTTAACTACTGGAAGCAGCTTTCCCACGTTATGAAGTACTTCCGCCCAGAAGAGGACCCCGGTGCGCGGCTACCCCGCAATTTCGTCTCTGGTTTCCTCGAGGGCCGCAATTAAATGTTCTTTCTTCTGCTCTGCTCGATATTTCCTATCCTCTTTTCCTCGTTTCTGGTCCGCGTGTGGCATGGACTGTGCCGCCGATAGACATGATGTGTACATATTGTCTGAATAAGTCATCCCATTTCCTATGTTGTCAATAACTATATAGCCGTATACATTGATAGGTAACATTAAGCAGATGAGTGCTAGTCTCAATAGCCTACACTCTCAGAGTAAGTGACGAACAAGAGCACACTGTATACGTATAAGTTACACCCCACGAAATGAACAAGAACCAGAGCACGAACAAGAGTAATCGTCCATCTTGGAATACATCCAACTTCAAAGCCAAGCTATGTACCGAATAAAAGCGAACATCTCCTGGTCTCATGTCTGAGATCAAATACTGCACTTTTCCCTCTACCCAAAACGCCATGAATAATACACAAATGCAACTATTCTCTCCTCTGCGCCGCTCATGCCTCCATACGGTTTCCACTCTCCTCATTGTACTGATCACGAGCAGTAGTAAACTTCTCCGTTACAACATCGCAAAGATCCATGAGGTCGTTGAATCCCTTCTCCAGGGCTTCAAGAGCGGTAGTGGCGTCTAATAATAACAGAATCGATAATGTCAGCAACGCCATTGTCTTTCTTATCATATCCGGCTGATTATCATATATGATATAAAGCCAGGATCAACATACCGGTAGTCTGGATCCGAACGTTCATCTTCGGGTCTGAGGGGTGGGGAATGGTATATCCGCAGAACTCAACGGCGGGGCTAATTTGCTGTTAGTAAATGATATGGTTTTTCTGCACGGCATGTAACGAATGCTTCTTCGCGGTTGAATGGAGGTGCTCACTTCTTCATGATGGCGTAGCGGAGCGCGTTGCCCATGGTGTGGCCTTCGCCCTCGAATTGGAAGGAGGCGGCGGTTTCGGTGGCGCCTGGGAGCTGTGGAAGGATTGTCAGGTGGTGTTCTTGTCTGGTCTTCAATGGGGAAATTTGGGGTAGGTTGTTATGCGGGTCTATCGGGTTCTGTTCGTTGAATTGGTGGAGGTGGGTAGGTGCATACCACGACAATCTGCTTCTCGTCCAGGGTGACTTCCTGGGGAACCTGTTCGACGGCTTGTTCGGCGTCTACCATGGACTGGTCTTGGTCTTGGGAGTGGACTGAGCCGGGCATTTTGGGCGGTTGGTCGGTTGTTGGGGGGATGGGAGGGTTGGTTGGTTTTTATATATTTCAGCGCAGGGGCTTGTCGTTGCTCTTGGAGCTTGTATTGGTTTGGCTGGTTGTAGATTGAGAGATCAACTTGCGCAATGCTGGATCTTCCAGTTAGAGCATCGCGCAGAAAAAAAGGTGGGTTATCGATAGTCAGTCTCACCGCCTACTGTGTTTGTCATCTATACAGTAGGTTCCAAGGTTTCCAAGTTTCTTCTCTTGTCAAGTTGATGCATATGGTTGTAATGGGTATGAATGCCATTGGTTCTCTCTTGGAAGCTGTTGAGAATAATATATATGTAGATGCTATTTTGATGCTTCATTCGTTTCCCCTTCTATAGCTAGGGTTCCAATATTGTTGATGTTGATGAATAATCATCAATATGGTAACGTTACCATCGTCCTGCACAAGGCACAACTGAGATCATTTATCTTTCAATAAGCTAACGCTTATAAGATAGGGGATCAAACTCTTGCTCGGTCCTCGTGTTCCTATAGGTAGAAGTTTATTGTTCACAGGCTTCGAGTTTGCAGGTTTGAAACACCTCCAATCCACATAGTTAGGGTTTCGCCTAAGTTAATATCCTTGGGGCCTCCGTATCAGATCTTACAGGTAACATGACCGACTGCGGATGCGCTTATGATTGAACGGAGTGAAAGGAAGCGCTACAGCAGGAGAGTAGCCCCGGAGGGGTTAGATGCTCTCTGTTAGGCTAAAGAAATCTCGAGATTTTCAGGGCTGGACAGTAGACTTGAGCTCCAGGCCATAATTTGTCAGACATGCACGAACCCCCCTCGAACGCCAATGAAACAAATGTGGGCCGTTTTGATTCCAGTGGCAGACCAACTGAGTCGGCAGATTAGCTCCGTGCACTAGTGAACAAACTGAGACCCATCGTTTCTTTTTTGGTTGTAAGCGCCCGCGGCGCTGAGTTGGGATGTGATTGGATATCACGGTGAAAGATGTAGAGAATTCGGAGAGTAGAGTAGAGTCATATAGGGTAGTAGAGTAGCAGAGTAGAGAAGAACCGAGTAGACAAAGAATCAAAGAAAATGAGTGGAATCTCCAAACACGACTTGTCTCAGGAAAGTGATACGTGATCCACTCAAAGTATCAGGTTGGGGGAGGCGCCACAGATTCCCCTCTTTGGACTCTCTCTCTCTCTGTGTGTGTGTGTGTTTGCGACTTTTCTTCCCCCCTGGATCTTTGTCTTCCTGTTCTGCTTCTTTGCTCTGAGGGGGAATCTGAATTACTTCCCCCCATCATGTCGACCGCAGTGGCTTCCGTGGCTCTGTCCTCACCGCATCCACATCGCAACCCCAGTCCGCGCAACTTACCGGGTCCAAGTGCTTCAAATTCATCTCCCCGAATGTCCACAAGTCCCCGAGATGGCGCAGCCGCGAAGGGCTCTCCGACCGGAAAGAAAGGTCCCACGTCTCCGTAGGTCCCAGCCGATGCCGATGGAGAGATCCCAGTACTGATTCTGTCTAGATCCCAAGGAGGCCCGAGAATCACAGTGAAAAAGGAACCCGGATCCCCGCCGCGCATGCAGAGTCGCCCTCGTCCTCGGAAATTGGATCTCTCGACCAGCCTCCCCTCCTCCAGCGGTTTGACTGTGCGTCCTCCGGGAGGGCCCATGACAGCTCGCGATGGTGTGACGATGCAAGATGTCGGCCTGGCGTGCCTATCACCGGGATTCCAGACCCACGATCCCATCATGCGGGAGCAGCTGCAGCGCAGCCTTTCCGTACGGGATCAGCAACGATCGATAATTGAACAGCGCATGCAGAGATCGGCCAAGGATGATGGTCCGGATGGGATCAAGCCATCGGAGTCGGGACTCATGGGCATGCCCAAGGGAATCTCCAAACGACGACCGCCAGGCCTGTCGATTGTTCCTCCGTCCGCCTCCCAGTTCGCAAATGAGCGGGTGATCCAATCCGCGCCGCTACACCAGACTTTCACTGGTCGCTATCAGCCGCAGCCACTGACTCGCCATGTGGTCAACCAGAGTCCGACTTTGGGTTCGACCTCGCATATGCATCAATTGCCAGCCACTCAGACCAACAACCGTCTCCCTCCTCTCTCCGATGTCTTCGGGTCGGATGCCTTGGGTCGCGACCGGGATTCAGGCCCCGCTAATATCCACCTGAACGCATCCAGCACGAACTCCTCGCAATCCAATACTTTGGCGCCGATGCCCTCTCCCGGTCTTCCTCCCAGTGTTTCCCACACCCCTAACCGACCCCGTGAATACCGCTCGGCCGAGGAAGCCGTACAGGAGATGTCTGGCGGACGGGAGGAACTCCTGCCACGCATCGTGCATTATGGTGGCCATCAACCTCCCACTCCACCATCGCCTCAGATTCTCCACGCAGGTCCCAAGACTGCCCCAATGGCTCCGGAGCCTCCACCGGCCCCGGGTGCGCCCCCAGCACATGGCATGTATCTTCCCACAGATGTCGCCGGACGCCGACGCCCTCGAAGCGAGTACGAACGTGACAACGGAAGCCCACCGCTGGGCAATGGTCCAGACTCCCACTATCGGCCCAACCCAGCTTCCACGGCGGGGCCTCAGACAACCTTCCCGGGACCGTTTGGTGCAGGACGAGACTCGCCTGAGACAACGCAGAGAAAGAAAGACGAGTTCCTGGGTCTCTGCGCTCGCGCATGGGACCTTTTCCACTCGTGAACAGACTCGCTTTTCGGTCGATCAAGCAATGTCTTGTCGGAGGTCTGCAGTCTCAAGCAATGGTGGAACTTGCTTTGGCTTGTTTGTCCGTGATTGACCCACATACACCCGATGGATTGGCCGTGTTGTCAATATCAACACTGCCCAGTTCCTTAATCCTCATGATCCTATAAGTCCAGTCATTGGTCAACTTGGCTTGTCCAATGCCAATTGACATCTTGGACGAACGTGCATACACTCTACACCCTCGTCTCATCCTGGACGATCGAGCCGGGGGTTCCCTATCATATTCAAGACATGATGCTTGCATTTCTTTCATGCTATCTATGCCACGACAGTATCCGCAGGACCAGGGTCTATTCCGTGTCCCCTGTAAAATCTTGTCCTTGCTTTTTGTTTCTTTGCTCTACTTTTTGTTGGCATTTTTTTACTTGCTCTGGGCGTTGGGGGGTACCGTGATTCGCTATATACCTTTTGAACTTGCTTTTGGGGATAAAGCATTTTGGTAATGAGTCCTTTTCTCATAATTCATATACATCGCTCTGTTTTGGCTGTCCTTTCTTTTCGCTTCTGTTCTTCCCTTTTTTTTTCTTTTTTTGCAGACAATACCACTATCAACCCTGGATTTGGTAATTTTAATGCAGACTTGCTTTCTTGACATTGCATTGTTTACTGTATTCTCTGTATAGTAACGAAGAGATGAAGAGGACTCTGCCAAATATAAACAATCCCACCCTTCGAATCAATACATACAGCCATAATAAATTCCCTGCACAGTTCCACTCTATTCCAATCTCCTCCTCTTTCCTCCATTGGGCATACCATCCTCCTCCCCAAATCCTCTCCGCTCCCAAGGCATCTCCTTCCTCTCCTTAGAAGCCATCTTCCTCCTCCTCCGCTCAAGTGCCTTTCCACGCTCCCGACTCCCCATCTCCCCGAACTTCTTCTCAAGAACCTGCTTTTGGAGCTCAGAATTCTTGAGATAATAAGGTGTAGCCTTCTTGCCCTCGCGAATCATCTGCTTCTCGCGCTTCTTATGCTCAGCCTGGACATCCGCCTCGCGCTTCTTATTCGCCGCCGACCGCATCCGATCCTGCGCAGACATAATCTGCCGCTTAAGGACCTCTTTCTGGTCTGCGTTCTTCGTCTTCTTGAGCTGATCTTTCAAGTCTTTCAGCTCCGATGCTCGGTACTCGTCTAAGAATGCGTAGGCTTTGCCGCCGGACGGGTGCTTGCCCGCACCGCTGTGGCCCATGACTGCGGCGTCGAAGCGGGGGTCGCGCGCTTTGGGGGCGTTGGTTGGTTCGACGATTGTTCGGCGTCGGGTGACGGCGCGTTTGGATGATTGTTCCATAGGGGCGTGTTTGGAGGCGCGTTTCTTTTCTTTGGCTTCGCGCTCTTTTTCTTTTCGGGTTAGCGCTGAGGCTTTCTGTTCGCGTGCTTCGCGGAGTTTGGTGCGGATGTCGTCTAGCGTGCTTGCTGCGTCGGTGCTGGGGTCTTGGTTTGAGGTTTGGCGGTCTTTGCGCTTGTTCTTGCTCATTGAGGCTTGTGCTTTGGCGAGTGCGCCAAAGGATATGTTGGCTAGAGTGGATTTGAAGTCTTCGCCGTTATCGTCTGAGTCTGAGGCCTCGTCTGAGCCTGGTTCTTCGTTGTCCGACTCGGAGTCTGATCCTGGTGTGTTCTTCTCTTCGGCTTCGGACTCATCTGATCCCTGTTTATTTTGTTAGCAGAGGAATCATGGAACTGTTTAATATATCGTACCTCGGATTGAATGTCGTCCGAGTTGGGTCCAATGCCTTGCTGTGAAACATCGTCGTCGGATCCCGAGGCCTCTGAGTAAACATCCTCGTCATCTGGACGAGCACGCACTCGGCGATTAAGCATATCTGAAACGGCCATTCTGCTGGTCGATTGTAATCCCGGGAGAGAAGAACTGATCGGCCCAAAAAAGAAAAATATTGCCGCGGAGGGCGGTGAGTAAGATAAGGCTGATTAGATATTTTTCGCGATCCCCAATGCGCGAAACAGACAACATTCATTTATATTGTATTTGACCCTATGTCCCTGCGGTTGCTACGGTCTAGAGACCTGTCGCGTTACGCTCCTTCGCAGTTTGTGTTGTGCTACCCTCAGTCTTCACCCCACGCCGCCAATCAGGTATGCTGATCGGACGCCCAACCATTGTACACTTTCTCTGACTGCGAATAGTTCTCCTTGAAGATATCCCCCGCTTGCAGGTCTCGCTCGTGCTTCTCTACCCTCCTTTCATCACGTTCAAAATCACTCAAACTGGCTCGGGCAAACAAAAAACCGAAGCGTGCGTCTGACGCCGCGGATTCCAACTACCTACCCAACATCCCACGGAATGCGATTTCAGCATATAATGCAGTAAACATGGGCTCTGGATATTCACCAATGGGCCAGAGGGGCCCATCAGGAGTACCAAGCAATAATTGGGACGCTGCATCACCAAACGTATATCCCAGTGTTGAACCTGCAGGTTATCCTATGCAATCCAATCCACCATCACATTGGGCTCCTGCGCCAGCCACGGGTTCAGCGGATGGTCGGCACCAAAATACACAGAATAATAGACCACGTGCTTCTCAGTCTCGAGGGAACCGCCGCAGTATGCCGCATCGCCATCCCCCATTGTCCCGACCAGACCACCCAGTCAACCCATTCAATGGGTTACCACAGAATATGATGGACATGAACAGTTTCTTTGCCATGGCACAAAGCATGCCTTGGATGAGCCAAGGTCTCGACGGCGCAGCACCTCCCTTCATCCCTCCTATGAATCCCGCGCTTTCTCACCAGAATGTTCGACCGATGAGTACTATGGCTGGACTACCACAGCAACCCATCGTACAAGTACCAGACTCTCGAAGAAGGAGATCACCAACCAGAGAAAGCACACCGCCGGTCCAAGTTCCAGCCGCAACACATGCATACATGCGGCAAGCATCACAGGAGCCACGACAGTCTCCTTCCAAGCGTCCACTCCTTGTGATCCTCGATCTCAATGGCACCCTCATCTTCCGGAAAAAGCGCATTTTTCCACCAAAGTTTGCCAGACGTGCTGGTCTGGACCAGTTCCTCGCTGCATTGATCAAGGATTACTCCGTGATGGTCTGGACAAGTTCTCAACCACCGACCATGAATGCAGTCTGTGAACAGATCTTCCCGGGCGAGATGCACGACAAAGTAGTCGCTTTATGGGGACGTGATAAATTTGGCCTTACCCCGCGCCAATACAACAACAAGCTCCAGGTCTACAAGCAACTCCATAAAGTATGGGACACGCCCAGCATCCAGGCTGCATTCCCTGGCAATGAAGGTCTAAGCGAGGCCCCGGTCACTTCAGCTGCCACTACTCGAAGAGCCATGGTGCAACGGGCAACCGAGCAGCTAAAGGCAAAGACCAACGCAAAGAAACTCAAACCCGGTCACAGATGGGACCAAACCAACACTATTTTGATTGATGACAGCAAGCTCAAAGCTCTCAGCGAGCCTTTCAATATTCTCGAGATTCCAGAATTCACCAACGACCCTAACATTGATGAATCAACTCTCTTCGCGAAGATCCTCCACCGTCTCGATATCCTCTCCCATCATGACGATGTGAGCAAGGTTCTCCGTGTATGGAACGAGCGCGTCGAGAAAGGGGAAGGAAGTATCCTCGATCTGGACCTTGGTCCTATGGACGACCTTGATCTAGAGGATGGTGGGATGACTCTTCCTACTGAAGAGAGCGCTGCTGTCACTGCTGATACCGATATCACTATTCCCCCCAAGGAACAGTTGCCGAAAGCCCAGCAACCAATACTCACAGAGCAAGAAAAGCAAGACCAAAAGGCTGCTACCCGGCGAGCAAAGAAACTACGCCAAAAGGCTCGCAAGGCCGAGACACAATTAAAGAAAGATCAGAAGGCTGCTGCCGAAGCCGCCGGTTTAGATATTGATCAGGATTCTCTTGATACTATAACTTCTGCTACTACTACCGCGGCTACTAATTCGGATAAGAAGCAACGCCTGCCTCATCAATCCGGATCCAACCTCCGCCGCCAGGGCTCAGCAAACGCCATGCTCCAAGACTTGCCCGTGCCACTCGACGGTGTCATGGACTCTGCTCTTCCAGAAGCATCATCAACCTCTGCCTCTACTGCCACTGCCACGGCTGATGTGGCCTCTAGCGTTACTGAAGCCGGCGAGCTAGGGCTAGACCCCGAGACTGGTGCTGGAGCGGCTACTGCTGATGCTGATGCCAATGCTGTGTACGATTCTGAACCAGAATATCAGCTTAGATCGCCTTCACCAGTGACTTCGGTTGCTTCGCAAAACTCTTTGCTTGATAGACTCGAGGAAGGACTTGGCATAAAGCGTTGAGCGCTGAGTCGTTTGGATGGTTTTTTTTATATTATTATTATTATTCTTCTTCTTTTCTGTCATTATTTTCTGGAGAAAGCAGAGAATAGCTATAGGTTTGGTGTCATCTTTTTTGTATCTTTTGGTGTTTATATTTGAATAATATTCACATAGCTATAATCCATCGTTGGTATATTCCATCGTCTATACGTTGCACTTTATCGACGCAGTCGGTGCTGGATATATGTCACCAGCCGTGTAAGTATTTATGCGGAGTAATGTAATAGATTCACTTGACCAGGCCAGATGCACAATTAGTATCCCACATGGCACTAAATTAAATCACATATAATTCCGCCTTGTTCTATATTGTTCTGTTGCCAGGCCAAAAAGGAGGTTGCCAGCCCCACGCCACGTGACCTGGCAAATCATTACTCCGAACGCCGAAGCAGCCGCCATCCGCACAAAATTCTCGCCAGCCCCTCTCCTTCCTTTTCTTTCTTTCTTTTCTCTTCATCCACCCCTTACATTCATAATGGCGTTCGGAAAGCTCTACGGTCTGCCCGTACGTGTCCTGCTCCTTGGTTGCTTTGCTCCTCTCTGACATTGTCTAGGACAACGGTCGCACCCTGGCCATCCTGGTCGCTGCTAAGCACAATGAGCTCGACCTCGAGCTCGTGCAGACTCAGGCCAACTCTGCCGCTGCTACCGCTGAGTTCCTGAAGATCTCTCCCCTTGGCAAGGTCCCTGCCTTCGAGGGTGCCAACGGTTACAACCTCTCTGAGGCCATTGCCATTGCCGTCTATGGTAAGAAAAATCCCCTGCTCCCAGCACAGAACACAACCGCGCCCAAAGCCCAAGCCTTCATCTTTTATGATGAGTTCATATTATAGTTATCCCTGTCAGAACAATACTGTTGAGGAACACGCACTCTGAAAAAATTTGGCTACCCCGCTTTGGGAGAAAAAAAAAACTGGGCACCCCTTTTTTTCTTCTCGTCCTTGAACCACATTGTGCCATTGGCACTCCTGATTGCTCCATTTATGGATCCACTCAGTTTCATAGCAACTTGACTAACATGTCCTGTTCACAGTCACCTCCCAGAACGAGAAGACCACCCTTCTCGGCAAGACCAAGCAGGACTATGCTTCCATCCTCCGCTGGCTCTCGTTTGCCAACAGCGAGGTTCTCCCCAAGCTCGGCGCCTGGTTCCGCCCCCTGATGGGTCTCGATGGCTACAACAAGAAGGCCGTCGATGAGGCCTCCAAGGCTGCCCTCAAGGCTCTCGCTGTCTACGAGGCCCACCTCACCGCCAACACTTACCTTGTTGGTGAGCGTATTACCCTGGCTGATATCTTCGCCGCTGCTCTCCTCACCCGCGCCTTCGCCTCCATCCTGGACAAGACCTTCCGCCAGGAGAACCCCGCTGTCACCCGCTGGTACAACACCATTGTCAACCAGGCCGCCTTCAAGGCCGTCTTCCCCGAGCCCAAGTTCGCTGAGGAGTGCATCAAGTACACTCCCCCCAAGAAGGAGGAGAAGCCCAAGGCTGCTGCCGCCGCCGCTGCCGCCCCCGCTGAGCCCGCCGCTGAGGCCCCCAAGCCCAAGCACCCCCTCGAGGCTCTCGGCAAGCCCACTCTCATCCTCGATGAGTGGAAGCGCGAGTTCTCCAACAACGACCCCCGCACTGAGGCCATGCCCTGGTTCTGGAAGAACTTCAACGCTGAGGAGTACTCCCTCTGGAAGGTTGACTACAAGTACAACGAGGAGCTCAAGCTCACCTTCATGGCCAACAACCTGATCGGTGGCTTCCACGCCCGTCTTGAGGCTTCCCGCAAGTACCTCTTCGGTGCCCAGTCCGTCTACGGCGCTAACTACGCCTGTATCGTCAACGGTGCCTTCATGGTCCGTGGCCAGGACTGGGAGCCCGCTTTCCAGGTCGGTCCCGACTGGGAGGGTTACACCTACACCAAGCTCGATGCCTCCAACGAGGCTGACCGCAAGGTCATCGAGGACATGTGGGCCCAGGACGTTCCCGTCACCGTCGATGGCAAGACCCTCGAGTGGGCCGACGGTCACGTCTTCAAATAAGCGTGTCGCCTCTCTCATCATTAAAATTTCCTCCCCAAATACCCCGAATGTCGGGTGCGCGGCCAATTCCGATGCATCCTGTCTATTCCCTTCTTTCCTCTGCCTGAAATCTTTTGGGATTCTAAAATACCTCCCCTTGGCCTATGGTCTTACGTGTTGATGTTGACTCACGTTCACGGTTATGAATACGTTGCGATGCGGAATGATCCGACCAAGCGCTGGACAATAGATGCTTGGTCGATGCTAGTTTAGCTCTAGCAATGAAGAACAGAGATACTCTTTCTTGCAATTATCCTCTAAAATTTTCGTAAGTAATTTGATCACGTAGGTATTTATGTAGATTGATGCATTGTGTTGAAGGTTGAGGACTTGATTAAGTTGTTGAATAATTGATTTGCAACTAACAAGGTGACCATCACCTCTGAAGGATGTGTACCCTCCACCTTGTCTACCCTCAGTACTCAGGAACGGAACTCAGGTAGATAATTTACTTTGAGATAAACACACCCAATGCATGAATTTCAAGAATCTATTATTGCCTTTGCTTTAGTTTAGATGGTGTAGTTCGGTGCCCGGAGGAACTGATGTTGCTAGGTCACATGACCCGCAAAAAACATGACACTCCGGAGTCCATCTATAACCTCCAACACGGAGCCCCAGAACCAATTGCCCCCAAACGACCCATCATGGCGTGGCACAAACCGAACATCGCACAAGCGATGCAATCCCTCCGCCTAACAGCCCTCCCCAAACCAACCTCCCGCCTCTCCACCCTCCAAACCCACACCCGCAACCACCGCAGCTACGCAACTGAAGCCGAAGCCCAAGCCGAAGCAACCAACACACCCGCGCCGGCCGCCCGAGAAATCGACTTCGAGTCCTTCGTACAAAAGCCCGCGCGGATCATCCCCGCCTCATCGGCCTACTTCTCCGGCAGCCCCCGCTTCATCGACCACGTCCTGAAGCTGGAAGCCCTGCAAGCGAAATACGCCCCCCTGCCCACACTAGTAGCCGGCGAAGCACCCCGCATGGCCTGGTTCAAGCTCGCCCAGTTCCGCGACTACGTGGGCGAGCCGGTCCCCATGAAGAAATACAAATCCCTCGTCAAGATCCTGCAGCGCCTCAACCGCATCCAGCCCGAGCTGGTCCCCGCTGAGGTCCGCGACGCGCTGGAGTCTTTCCTCCGTCCGGGAAACCCGTACGCGGTGAAGCATGAGCCGGCTACGCTTGATGAGAATGGGCGTGCGCGTGGCAAGGGCAAGAGGAAGGAGTCTTCGGCTGTTGTGCAGCTTGTTGAGGGTGAGGGCGAGGTGCTGATTAATGGAAAGAGTCTGGTTGAGGCATTCAAGCGTGTTCATGACCGTGAGAGTGCGCTTTGGGCTTTGAGGTGTACGCAGCGTTTGGATAAGTATAATGTTTGGGCTACTGTTCGCGGTGGTGGTGTTACTGGTCAGGCTGAGGCTGTGACGCTGGCTATTGGACGGGCTTTGATGGTTCATGAGCCTGGTTTGAAGAGTGTTTTGAGGAAGGGTATGTTTCCACTATATTCTGTGGTTGAGATGACATTTGCTAACTTGGGGTTTTCTTTCTTTTTGCAGCTGGTGCTATTACTGTTGATGCTCGTCGCGTCGAGAGGAAGAAGCCTGGTCATGTCAAGGCCCGTAAGATGCCTACCTGGGTTAAGCGTTAAGGGATGGAACTTGCTCTTTTCCGTTTCCCTCTTGTACACCGAGCATTTTGATCTCTTTTTTCCAGTTTCTTTTCCTTCTTGTTTCTACACTGTATTATTCCACCAGCCATGGCACCCCGAGTTCGCGACTTGTTTTATATCCTGTATTCTCAATGCATATGGGGATTCTAAGGTTTATTGAGTTGAATATGATGAACTACATCTCCAGGGCTCTACGTAGTGGCTTCAGCAATACTCCGTGAGTGGATGAGATTGATACCCAATCGTGACCAAAGCAACAGAAAGCACTGCAGATGGGCAACACGCCTCAGCGGGTCCGATCAATATCAGGCTCGATCTAAATCTTCACCTCCGGCCTCCGGTTCCTGGCAAGGCCAGGCATAATATAAAGTATATCAAGTTAGACAGAAAACTCTCTTTCCAAGATCCATTATCAAATTTCAACCTCACTACACAAGCAAAGCAAAGCCAAGCAAAGTCCGAGAACTCGAATACATAGGTATCGTCCCACCTTTGCGCCGGCCTTTCCTGTTCCTGTTCCTGTTCCTGTTCCTTTTCTTCCGTTCATTTTGTCCATGCCCAATGCAAGTCAATTCAGTACAAGAATATAAATACCAGAAAGTGAGAATCCAAAGGAACAAGTAACGGAGAAAACAAAGCAAATGAAAACAACATGAACCCAAATCAAAGAGCAACACCTAAAAAACACAGAACGAAGCAACAAAGCGCTATGTACAACTCGTAATATTCGTCATTGGAGGATATCGATATAGCTAACATGAAAGAAAAGGTAAGAGAAGAAGTTCTGTAGGAAGATGACGACACTTCCTGCAGCCATCGCAGATCTCCATCGGCCCCAAAACCACACATACGAGGCGAATACAGTAGGGCGAGGAGATGGAGATGGACATGTCCAGAATAGGGCAGCGAATAGCAGCCCAACTCAAAATAGAGAGAGAGATTCTCTGTCTCTTTCTTGGAAATACAGTCAGCCCTAGTTTTTTGAGGGTGACAGATTCAATATCACATCGGGGATGGCGCGACACTAGCGAGCAATAGCTCTCTGTGGCTGGGACTTGATTTGCGAATAGTCTCCGATCCTCCAGCCGTGTCTTGGCAGAGGTGGACTGGCGAGTCTGCTTTTTTTTGGATTCGAGGTTTTTGTTTCGTTTCATTTGTATTTTGGGTTTTGTTTTCTTTTGTTTTGTTTTCTTTTTTTTCTCCCCCTCTCGCTGGGTTCACGGGCGTGCGCCTATTGGGTCCGGGAGTTCGGGTCTGCTATCCATCAGATCGAGGGATTGGCCCAGGACTATAGACATGAGTTAGTTCGGAGTTAGTTCGACACGGTGGTGGGGGAGATGATGTATAGTACCAGATAGAATCTCTTCTTCCCAGATGCCCATTTGATAGTCCACTAGGCCGTGCTGTTCCAATTGGTCACACAGTTGAACCAGGTCCTTTCCCATGGCTTCCAGGCGATCTCGATGTAGTAAACTGATATGCGATGGATGACCGGCAATCATAGCCAGCATGAGATCTTTTTGCTTTTGACAGAATGCCAACCAGCACAAATTAAAGTCGTTCCATAGCTTGAGGCGGTCGGAGTAATGTATACCGTCGTCGCGGAGGAGCCCTAACGTGGTACATGGTTAGCTGATCAGGTTCGGCTTGCAGCAACGCGTGCCTGCAGGGAAGCACCAAGGCCATGAACAGAGAAGAGACATCCCCGCCAAGGTTCTTGCCGGGGGGTCCGACTTCTGTGCTACGGCCATAGTAAATGGCCGAAGGTCCCTTGTTCAGTTGTATAGTTTCACTTGGCACAACTTACCTAAATCCCGCGCATTAGTCACGAGCCATTCGGAAATTTCCAGCAGCAATCCACCAGCCTCTACCAACCTTCCAGCTCGCGTATGGTCGAAAGTGCGACGCAGGACTCGTTGGTATCGACCCACGGCCTCCTCCAGATTCGACGGATCGGACTGCAGGGACAGCTCGGGTTCCAGTCGGTTCATAGACTCAGAGCCGATGGGGAAACTGGTTGGAAACTGAGTGGTTGGGCGCATTGGGCCCGGTTGGTTATAAGGGATCGGGTTGAGATACGACGAGAGCACTGGGACCCCAGACCCTGCAGAATCCTCGAAATACTGTGGAACGGCAAATTGATTCAGCGTCTCAATCGCTGCAGACTGCCGTGTCTGGTACTGTGGAACGTCCTCGAAGGGTCCTTGGGCTGGACCCTGCTGGTTGAAGTACAGCATGGAATCATAGAAGGCTTCTTGTGGCCGTCGTCTGGGAACGCGCTGTGCTTGGGCATGCTGCACTTGCTGGGCCTGCTGGGCCTGCTGTTCTTGCTGTGCATAGTCCTGGTACTGCAATTCGTTGGACTGCAAGGAACCGTAGTTGCCTGTGTATCCATAGTCGTAAGATATCGAGGCTTGCTCCGCTTGCGACATCCCCGTTGGGTCTCCACGTGGTTGTGTGGCCTCAAAACGATCGGTTGCACGGCCAGATGCTCGACGGGCAGTTGACGACTCATGCTTCATTCGTTGATTGCCTACCATTGGGTTCCAGGATCGTTGATCCAGGGCCCAATGCTTGGGGGAGGGCGGCGGGCTCACGTAGGATGCCAGCTTGGATGGTTGGGAGAGAATAAGACGGAAAACTTGAAGTCTGTTTCTAACACTTTTTTCTTCGGAGCAAGAGGAAGTGTGAAAAGGACCTAGATATGGTTGGTCTGGCCTCAAGTAGATATTCAGTGTTTTTTTTGGGAGAGTCCTCTGGGGCAGGCGCGACGGGATTTAAGAATCACCAGGTAGCAGTGACATGTAGTATCAGTAATCAGAAACAAGAACAGACAAGCTTAGGCACGAATTAGGTAGATATAGAGAACGCGAGAGTGGATCATGATCTAGAGCTGAGGATCAAGAGGTCTTCATTGTGTGGATAGATCCATCAGTCCAGGAAGAAGAATCCAAGGGGGAAAGAAACTAGGGCTTCATAGGGAACTATACCTCTCTCGGACTACGAAAAATATACAAGCAGGATCGACGCCTAAACTGCATTCGGTCTCTAATCGGGAACCCGGTGCTCTGGTTCCTGGCTCCCGAATGTTTTGCGTTATAATAAAGGGGCTTCAGCTGTCGACTCGAGGTCAGGTGGACTTTTCTTTGCTTTCTCTGGCGTGTAACCCTCTCTGGGGCTGATAGTAAAGACACTTGAGACAAATCCCCTTGCGTGGAAAGAAAAATAAAATAAAAAAGAAAACAAAAAAGCAAAACAATCAACAGAATCCCTAAAATGCCTGAAAAAGGGGGGCGTCTTTCTACATTCCGGGGAGATTAGCCGACTTGAAGTGAGGCTGATGAACATAGTGGACGAATCTATTGAGTCGGATGGGCCTTGTTTGCCAAAAGCCCTGACGGGGAGCTACATACGTCAGTTTCCTCGCTCTGATTGCTCAGGTCTCAAGGGGCCAAAAAAGAGTATTTGTATTAAGATTCCTATTTTGGGTTCGCTCTGTCAGTATAGGCTATAAGATATATGGGAGATGATTCATATTCTATCGGTATTTGCATCGGAATGGGTGATTATTTACGTGGACCTGTTCTACCGTGGGGCCCCCAATGTGATCTATCCCAGCCCTAATCCGACACTATGGAAGAACCCACACTTGCGCCCCCCGGATGCGACGACGATCACGATTGACATGTAGCTAAACTTGTTTCCTGGATCCGGGAATTGGAACTTTTGTCATTTGTCACTTGTCACTATCTGCGCCCTGGATCTTCTCGTCTCTTATAGGCTGAGAGCCTCGACCGAAATAGGACAGGATGATGCAATCTCCTGCAGATGTGCGACGTCTGGAAATAACACAATAGAAGATTCCCCGTTACATTAAAACGGATCGGGCTCCGGGTGGACTCGATCCCATCGGTATCAACCAGCCCGACACGTTGGATAGACCATCCGGTAGCACCAAACACGAGGCTAGAATTGGTTTCAGGATTTTGCACTTGTTAGTCACGATCGATGTATATATACACATAGTGTAGGTACTTCAGCCTCTCCTCCTCAGCAGACTGCTCGATACACACTCTGAACCCTATCCAACAGAAAGTAGGATCATACCACGCTACGTTTCAGATATGAGTATCTTCAAACATGTCAGACAGAGCAACCAATCTTACCAAAAGCTTGGGCCGAAGTCTTCCAAAGCCCAACAACGGGCCCTTTAGGTACAAATCTCGGCTGAAACACTTACCCACCCATATCGCCACGGGATTGCTACCCTGGAATGTATATTGTAGAGAGGAGTGGAGAGCGTAACATGACACCCCCCCCCCCCTGCACTCTGTTCTCTCTCCTTGGTTCTTTATTGTTCAAGTTGCCTCTCTCTTGATCTCTCTCTTTCTTATGATACCATGTTAGAATAGTACATCAAACCCGATGCCTCGCTCTGTACGACTTCCATCTCCGACTGTTGATCCAGCGAATCCAGTGCCTCGGAATTCCGAAATTATCGTCTCACCACGCTGATCCAGTCCAGTTGCCCAGTCGGGAGCACGGATGCCCCGACGCAGTGATGCCTTGGAATAGAAGAGAAAATGGAAGAATTTGAATGCGATAAATATAGCCATTGGGGGCCTGTGTACATGTGTACAGGGGGGGTATTGTATACTTCGGGTTTACCTTTTACCTTTTACCTTTTGCCTTTGGGATTTTGTTTTCCGTACCGGCGTGGGTGCATGCAGATCGAGCTTGTAGAGTACATGTACATGCACTGGGTACTGGGACAGAGGCACGTTGGGAATATGCAACTAGGGCAAGGACCGGGATGGTGGGAATCGTGGCTAACAATGGTCTTTTCAATTCTCGTTCTGCTGGCTCCAGTGATCTCAGACTTGATTAGATCGGCCTTGCACTATTTGTGATCGCCGTTTATTTCAAGCCTAGATCTATTTCATGGATCTAGGGTTTGTGTTTATTGGGTGGCCCCTTGTCCGTAGGAGCCCTGCATAATGCTATCATCGTTAGCCACACGGTTCTTACTATCTGATTTGGTGCCTATTACAGCTTGTATGGATGCGAACAACTTTACAAACAAACATATAACGTTACTGTACTGACATATATTTAGCCTATCAGTTCTCCGCTTCACCAATTGAAACGCGAGTAGTACCATGACATATATTGTAGGTGCCCAACGATTTTCTTTGTCACATTCCACACTGCTGATTAAGTTAGGGCTCTAACAATACATAGACCCACATCATTTGGTTATTTTCTAGAAGAGTGCAGGCGTAGAGAGTAATATCTTAGTGTCGATACCACTGAAGCGCAGAAATGATGCATCACATTCTAGTAGGAATCTTCCTGGCGCTAAGAGGGAAATCTTGGTTTAACACAGCTCCGTTAGAGTACCCAGAAGGCAAGACTTATTTTGCATGATATCCAAGAAACAGAGCAGCATACAGTTCTGGTGACAGAAGCGCGGTATTTAAAAAACATTACAAAATTTCTATAAACAAAGTGATCTTCTTTTGATCCAAAGTTTAACCCCCACGTTTGGAAATTTGCAGGTTTTGTGCTCTTCGCTCCCAATACAGCACTTCTGGAACTCGTTTCATGTGCATGGTCTTCCTGCTACGGTGTCTAACTAAACTATTATCCAAATGAATCTACGTGAAGTGAAAATATGCGCAGTATGCACTCCAGTTCCTTGAAAATGGCTGACCCGGTTCGAGGACTCAACATAAAAGCGGCGAAAAGACTTATAGGACTCATAAGAACTAAGAATAGGTCAGAGTTGACAAATTTTCGAGTTTCGGAGGGAGTATGAATCTTGAAAAACCAATGAGATTGAATGTTTTCACTCCGCTAAGGGGATTTCCTTGTTCAAACCTCATACGGAAGGGGGTTGCTTGAAAATAGACAGAGATGGGAGCCCATACGCCATCGAAGGCCCAAAACAGTACTACTGTACGTCTGTACAGTGCAAGATCTTGTCTACAAGGGAGATCCATCCCTTACTGTGGCGCAAATATTTTTTTGCTATGATCCATCCACTAAGTTGCGTCAATAGAGCTCGATAGATTGACGCATACCCTGCTAGAACAGAGCAGCAAACAGTGCCAATCATGTACATATCTGCGCTGGTGATTGCAGGCTAGGGTTTGGAATAGATTCAAGGTTGGCAAGGGATCTGGTTCTGAGTTGGCAGGTCAATAATCGGACTTGCCAAAGTACCGTAAACGAGACGACATGATAGGTAGCGAGTTGGAATTAATCAAGATCAATCTGGGTAGATCATGCCTTGCATGTTTGCTTCTTTTTCTGAACCGGCAGATGACGCCTCAACGTCATCTGACAGTCGAGCAGACTTACAGCATGTTCAGTTGGAGGGGTATATGTTTAGGTGGAGAGTTTCATGTTAGTTATGTTTTGTTGTTTATGGTTCGATCGTTAAAGATTTATTCATACTGCACTGTAGAGTTTCTTGGACCAGACATAGCGAACGAATCTTAGACCCCCAATATCTATGCACATTTCCCATAGTTCTCCATATTTGCATAATGAGGCGTATAATTGCATGGTAGCATAACAGCAGCGAAACACAAGGGAGGAATAATACCCGGGTCGGAGTTGGAATATAAGTTGCTAACACCAGCTGGGAGCTGCACCGACGCTAGAAAGAGAATTAGTAATCTGCGCCACAGCTCAAGTATAGAGAGGGATAGCCGTCTCCGATACAACTACATGTATAACTAACAATACGGTCACAAACACACACACACGGGGCGTCGCTGCACCTCGATCAGGGATGTCCGTTTGCATTGGGGTTGCACCCGTACCCGAGTCGTTGGATAGGAGTCATCCGGCCCACGAGACTGCAGCCCAGACGAAAAGAGATCGAACTGGTGTGGTGGGCCGAGGTATGTTTGGGGTTTGGGCCGAGAGAATGCGGGTGCGGATTGGGGTTGGCCCTGATGGGAATAAAGTGTTTCATACACGGCTGAAACGGGAAGCCATTCTCTTGGTGAGGCGGGGCGGGTCAGTGGACTGAATGGGAGAATTGTAAATCTGCATCCGATCGAGTGGATAGAGTCCGGGGGGTATGTGTGTGGATGTGGGTGTGGGTGTGATTGTTGTTGCGGTGTGGATATTAGACACTGATATACATCGGTGTGTGGATATACTTTCCGATGTTGCTTCAGCCACTTGTTTCATGACTGTTCGCTGTGAGAGTAGGTAAGAACTGGCATGGGGAGTGTGTGGAACGGAAGAAGGAAATCCAATGTTGATTCCCTTGTCGGGACTGAAATAAACTACATACACATCGCTGATCATTGAGTCATGTCATGTTGAGACCAAGGCAAACGGGGAAATATTCAAGCGCAGAAACGAAATACCCACTGAATACGATATATCCACCCAACCAGTGAGATGGAAATCATATTTGATCTAGGTTTGGTCAGCACTTATCCCCAAATCCAAAAAGATGAACATATCGAGGGCCACCTACTCAGTGTCATGCTCAGGCTGATATCCGTATTCTCCACCATATTCGTAAACTCCTCGAAGCTGATCTTTCCATCCTGATCCTTATCGGCCTCCATGATGGTTTTGTCGACAATCTGCTGCAGTTGCACGTCCTTCAAGTTGTTGCCAACCATCATCTTCAGTACGATGAATAGCTCGCCGTTGGAGATATAACCGTCGCGGTCGATGTCGTAGACCTTGAAAGCGAAGCGCAGCTTCTCTTCCTTGTTGCCTTTGGAACTGAATGCCGAGAGTCCGGTCACGAATTCCTGGAAATCAACATCGCCGCCACCATCTTCGTCAAAGATAGCAATCATTCTGTCGGGAAAAGGTGTATTAGGGCATTGTTCATGTGATCAAGGTGGTGGTGTTATGGCCGGGGTAACGAACCTCGTGGCGAGCGGGTTGGAGGAGACTTGGGGGAGGGAGAGGAACTCATCACGATCGATGGTACCGGAGGCATCCTATAAAGTGTAAGTAAGGCGGGACCCCTTTGAGGCTTTCGACAGTGTGTCCAACCTTATCAAGCTTCATAAAGCGTTTGCGCAGACGGTCCACTTCATCTCTGTTGACTGCAGCCTAGTCAGCCATGACCACTCCACCAACAAAGAGCTCTGAGCGACTGTGGTGAACTCACAGTTGGATGTAGACACAATGTTGTCGAAAAGTTGGGTAGTACCAACAGAGCCGCGACGTCTCCGCGCATCGTAAATAGCAGCGGCATTAGGCTCATTGGTTTGCTCCATGATGAAGGAAAACGAAGCAAATGGTATAGAAATGAAGTAGACAAAGACTTGATGGCAATGTACGGAATCCAAACGGAGGTGGAAAGAAGCAAATCAAGCAAGACTGATGAGTTGACAAGCCAAATACCAGATACCAAAGAGGAGAGAGTTGCCAAGGGCGGAGAATCTGATATCGCCCAGCCCCGCACTAACCGTTTCCGGACAGGCAAGCGAGCCCCTGAGGCCGTGCACTCGGCCAAAACAGGCCACCGCCGGCTGACATTACAACGTCAACCCAACCTCCAGCCGTGAATCACCTCAACTTTAGTCGTCAATATCTCCCCCTTCCCCATCGAATTTCATCTCAAAAATACGACTACGAGAAAGCGCATGACCGGACCTTTCTGCTGATTCCATTTTTACCCGGTCCTTGCCCATGGTCGTTGCTCTATTGCGCGTCCCGACGCTATGACTCGGTACGGGGGCATGGGGAGGACGCGCCCGAAAAAACTCACCTCTAAGGCGTCCATTCCCGTCGTCCGCGAACACGAGATCGATACCCTCGACGAAGACACCCAGAGCTCTCTACAACAGATTGAAACCGGCGTTGAAAAGGCCGAGGAGTCGGTGAGTCTCTCGTCGCACTAATTTTAGCCTCATCCCTGTACCCATCACGTGACATTATCGCCAAAACGACACGAGATTTTCACCCCAATATAAAGTGGCCCACGCTGATCCCAGACCGCGTCTAGGAAATCCATTTGCAAATTGCAATCAATGCCACGGCCCAGGGCAAAGTAAATAATGCGGCACACATCCCTACCCCCGAGACTATTCTCAGTAATCTCCAATATGACGAGCTATATCCTCCCGTCTTCTCGCAGCCTGCGACATATATTCGCTTCTCCTCAACTGTCGAGGACTGCTGCGGATGTCCGTACAACATGACAGAGGAAGACGATGTCTTCCTCAAGATCATGAACCAAAAGCGCGACGCGTCGGCGATGCCATGCACGGAGGATATTTTCGAGGAAGTCATGAACTTTTTTGAGGAGACCGCGCAGACTAAGCAGCCATTTGCTGCAGTCGATAACCCGCCCGTTTTGTCATTCGAAGACATGCAAGACATGATGGACGCCAGTTTAGAAGATTCCATGAAGCCCTTTGCGAAAGAAATATATGAACACTGGAAGTCGTCTCGAATGACTGTGCAGAACAACTCCCTTGTATCACAGCTCAAGGTCAGTCATCTCGCATTCAATTGGCGATCCAGCCCAGCTAACATAGCACAGTTTGAAACCGGCCAAGACACCGATGATAGCGATCCCTTTGTGTGTTTCCGTAGACGCGAGGTCCGCCAGATTCGCAAGACCCGTGGCCGAGATGCGCAAAGCGCAGAGAAGCTGCGACGTCTCCGCAAAGAGCTGGAAGATGCTCGTGAGCTCGTGGCTTTGGTGCGCCAGCGTGAGATTGCTCGCAAGGAGATGCTCTCGATGGAGAAGAAGATCTTTGAGCAGCGTGCTCAAGTGAAGGAGATGAAGCGTAAGCTCAACGTCAAGGATGACGACGAAGACCTCATCAACCAAAAGGTAAGCGTCGCTGCTCTGGTCGCCAGAAAACGTACATGTGCTGACCAATCACCAAAGCCCAAGAAGAGAGTGCTCGAGATGCCTCAACAGCGTCCCAATGCTCCTCAATTGCGCATGCCTCTCAAGGCAGGCCTTCAAGGCGCAGAGGATCTTCAGCTCTTGGAGGAAGTTCAAGCAGAGAAAGAAAACGAGATTCTGCGCGATATCAAGCAGAATATCACCAAGCACATCAAGTGGAACGAGGGATACGTGGATCATACACGTGCACCATTATCTCCATCCCCCGAAAGGACTTTCGATGTGGCAGCTTTCCGACCAGCTTTCACTGCCCAATTGCCTACTCCTCCTTCATCAGAAGCATCTGGTGAGATGGAGACCTCTTTAGATGTCACAAGCCCGCTTTTCTCTCGAGACAAGCTAGCTTCGCATGCCTTGGCATTGCACGACGAGCCGCATAAAATGCCATCTTTCCGACGACGAGTAGGACGTGGTGGCCGATTGATGATTGACCGTCGTAACATGGGAACTCACAAGGTCGAATTGGATCCCCTCAAGGCAGATCGCTTCAAGTTTGACAATGAGGATTCCGATGAGGAGCCCGAATATGAGACCGATGCGTACAGTATCCAGATCATGCAACATCGGGCCATCACAATGGCCAAGGCGCGCGAACAAGCCGCTCAGGCTCAAGTGGCTGCCCAGGCTCATGCGCAGGCGCAAGCCCAGGCAGTCCAAGCCCAAGTACAAGCTCGACGACTCCAAGACCAAAATGGTCCCCACGGACCTGGGTCCAATGCCCCGGTGGCAGCGTCTGCAGCCTGAACGACTTTCATTTCTCCTTCCCTCTTTTCACAGCATTTGGCGGGCGTTTATGCGTGGCTTGTTTTCGTTCCTCTTTTCGTCTCTTGATTTTTTCCTCCTTTTAACACCCTTGTAGTTTTATTATCTTTTTTTTTCATGCTTTGACGATTTCCGCGGGCGGCGAAGGGTCCTGGACTGATGCCCGATATTTTTTTTTTCTCTTTTCCTCTTTCTTCGATTTCCTGTTTTCGCATCCCCTCCACCTCTTCTCTCACACCTCTTTCTCGACATTTCGTTTCGACGCAGGTGACAGTCACGTCGTGGCTTCAGCACATCTGCATTTGTTAGTGTACATATTATCTCCTTTTTCTCTCGGTGGTGTTGGCTGGTTGTCGAGCGGCCTTTGTATGATGGATAACCGAAGTTATGATGCAAGCGACGAATGGGAGGGCAAAGAAAAAGGCTCAAAAACATTCAGAAAATCTAACACAATTTAATACTCGCAAAAAGCACTTTTCTCGGTCGTAGACGTTTGGGTTGTCAGGGATGTAAACTGAAAATCGATGTAGCGCAGGCGTTCAAAACCGCTGGGTCTTGAACTGTCGTGAATCACCGTCGTCGCCATTGGCAGGGCGCTTTAATGATCCTGTCGTTGTAGGCTCCAGCATGCCTAGGACAGCCTGCAGGACTTGCTTCTCTCCAATGCGCACTTGAAGTGCCATCCTAGCTCGACGAGCTGAGGTGTCCGACGCACCCGAGATATCCAAAGGAGGAAGCGAGGCCAAAAGCTGAGCATCTTGCGCCAAAGAGGAGGCGTATTGCGACTGCTGGTTCTGCAAAGCCCGAGTCAAGATGATAGCTTGGTTGGCTTCGAACGCGGGCTTGGGAGGCTTGTTCTTAGACTGACGTTGCTTGAAATCATCTTCGGGAAGGGCAAGAGTAGTCAAAAGAATCACCAGCTCAGCAGGGAGAATATCTTCCAAAGACGGATTGGCGTTGATAGGTCTGGGAATGACGTAGCCGTCCTCCAGAATGTCGAGTTCCTCGAGGAATTGGAGTCGAGGTTGGGACTCGATATCAGCGCTTTCAAGACCGGCAGCCTGGCAGATGCTGCTCATTGACAACTCGACTACGTCGTATTGAGCGTAGTTTTCGGTCACGTATCCGTACCGACGGAGGAGGTCCGCGCGTGGGATTTCTCCGTAGTCGTTGAAGACTTCCTCGCCTTGCTGGATCGGCTTGATTGCCTTCATGACCAAACTTCCTTCCTCTTGGTAAAGACGGGCCTGATAATGAGTAAGATTAAGGGTCAAGGACGAAGTTAGAATAGACTCACGTTGTTTCGGTCCGCGTCAGCGTTAAGAAGGTCGGCAAGCGGGACCATACCCTTGGGGAGCTGCTCCTCCTCATCATCGGTCATGTAGCTGTCATCAGCAGCCTCAGCCTCATCGTCGTCGTCTTCAGCCTTTTCAATGTCGAAGGCATAAGCCATGATCAAAGATCCCATGACATGAGCAAGCTCAAGCAGAGCAGCAGCACCAGCGTCACCGTCGAAAGAAGCTACACCATGGGGAGGTTGGAACAGAGCAGGGTGTCCTCTCACAATAGGAGCAATGATCTCCAAAATAGACTGCTCAGCACCCTCTCTGCCAATCTTCTCCACAATGGTACTAGCTTGCAACTCGTTCAGCTCAGCTGGTGACCAAAACATCAGGGTATCAAAGCGAGAAGGTAAGACCCGGAAATACGGAGCCCAACGTGACTTCTCTCCTTGCAGATATTCATACAGCATAACCAGCATGAGAGAAAGCCACGGACCGAGCTGTTCAACATCCTGACCGAGCAGGGTCTTCAGCTCCGAGTTTTGGACGGCGAGGACTAGGCCACGCGGAATCGAGAAGAGTTCTTCGCCTTCGGGAATGTTGCTTTGTGCCACTACAGCAGAACAAACAAGTTAGTGACTTGTGAACAAGTCTATGAGACCAAATTTTGGGGAGACTGTGTGGGCACTTTGTGTGCTTAGCGGGGGCTGTTATGCAAAAAAACTCACCGACACCTCTTCCCGCGCCACTTGCTCTGAGATCCGCAAGTCTGAGATTGGGGTTCAGTTTCACTCCTGGAGTTGCTTGCAGCCAGGAAACGAAACTGTCCGACTGTTGTTGAAAGCCCTCGGGGTCGGGGAAGTGGGTAGTCGAAGACATTGTAAGGATGGGGGGATGGTAGCGGAGAGGAGAGGGAGGATTAAAGAATGATATAATAAACCAAGAGGATCATGCAGTCTAAAGGAACAGAAGCAAAGGAAATGGTCAGGCAGAGAGAGGGGAAAAGAAGAAGTAGTCAGGAAGTAAAGAGAGGAAATGTTCGGAGAAACGGGGTGCCGCTTTAAACCCGATAACGATAACGAAAATCATTCATACTTCGACATTTTCATACTTGTCTTTCCCATATACTCGCTGTCTTTAACATCCTGCCCATCATGATCGCAATTGGCATGGAAGGCTCGGCCAACAAGCTGGGAATCGGCATCATGCTGCATCCCAAGGATGGCAGCCCCCCGCAGGTCCTCGCCAATATCCGTCACACTTATGTCTCCCCACCAGGCGAGGGGTTTTTGCCTAAAGATACTGCGCGCCACCACCGCACGTGGGTGGTCAAGCTTGTGAAGCAGGCGCTTAAAGAAGCCAAAGTATCAGTTGACGATGTAGACTGCATTTGCTTTACCCAAGGTCCTGGAATGGGTGCCCCACTCCAGAGTGTGGTAGTTGCGGCGCGGATGTTGAGTCTGCTCTGGGGCAAGGAATTGGTCGGAGTAAACCACTGTGTTGGACGTATGTCTTGAAACCATTACTTCCGTGCTACCATGGTATCAGATCCAAAAGACTGACAATGTGATATCCAGATATCGAAATGGGCCGCCTCATTACCGGCGCGACAAACCCAGTCGTGCTATACGTCTCCGGTGGAAACACACAAGTCATCGCATACAGCTCACAGAGATACCGCATCTTTGGTGAAACCCTCGACATGGCAGTAGGAAACTGTCTAGATCGGTTCGCGCGTACACTGCACATCTCCAACGATCCAGCACCAGGATACAATATTGAACAGCTAGCAAAGCAAGGAAAGCAGCTAGTTGAACTCCCATACGTCGTGAAAGGCATGGATTGCTCATTCTCAGGCATTCTCGCCGCAATTGATGGACTGGCCAGAGAGTGGGGGTTAGGCGGGGAAGAAAAGGCGAAAGAAGATGAAAAGAATATCCAGAAGAGTGTCATTGCTGCAAATGAGGGCCTGGAGAGCACACCTACCCGTGCAGACTTGTGCTTCTCCCTGCAGGAAACTGTCTTCGCCATGCTTGTTGAGATCACTGAGCGCGCTATGGCGCATGTTGGCTCGAAGCAGGTCCTTATCGTGGGTGGTGTGGGCTCCAATGTGCGCTTGCAGGAGATGATGGGAATTATGGCGCGGGATCGTGGTGGTAGTGTCTATGCCACGGATGAGAGATTCTGCATTGATAATGGTATTATGATTGCACAGGCCGGTATGCTTGCATATGGGACGGGCTTCCGTACTCCTTTGGAAAAGTCTACATGCACGCAACGATTCCGGACGGATGAGGTGTTTGTTAAGTGGCGGGATTGATATTGCTATATCACACTTCAGTTTAAAAGATACATCATGTGTTATGAAATGAATGAGACAATTCCACTAAGTTATACTATGCAAATCGGATCAATGGATCTCGGATGAACTGTTCATTCCTAACTAGTTGTTTCGGCGTTACAGCACCTTGATAAATTCGTTGTATAAATCCGAACGCCTGTTCATTCCTGTGTAAATTGCCTGCATGATCAAATTCCACAACTTATCAAATCCCAATATGAAAATAACGCCCGAGAAACATGCAATTGTAAGAAGATGCTCTCCGTGGCGCATTCTGCAAAACAAGTCCATATGTTGATTGTCCTTAGTCGGGCAGTCCAGGGAGTACTCGGATATCATTGGTGACAAACTGACCCAAGATCCCCTAGACAAAAGTACGACCGAAAAATCAACACATCGGACGAGATACCAGATTCTTTGCAAATGTTTTCCATAGTTGCAACCCGGATAGATCGCAGAGCCTGAGGCGAGAATCGGTAAAATGTATGCCCGCATTAGAGAACCACTTATATATTTGAGCATAGTTCAATCTGTGATATCACCAGTCGGTTTGTACAAGATAGTCGTGACATACTACAAGACGTTGGTTAGATCATATCGCGTGCAATAGGTAAAAATTTGACTTACTTTCCGCTTATATCTCGTTGTGACACTAGTAGCAAGAACACCATTCTTGATACTGCTTGTCGCAAGGTGGTTTAAGACAGTGTGATTAGGATAATTGAGAACACTGCTATCGTCTTTCATGGGAGTTGTGCCGTTGAGAATTGATTTGCCCAAGAACAGAGGCAGACTAGGTGGGGTAGCTGTGTCTCCAATTACATTGGCAGCTTGCACATAGGCTGGGTCTTCCTCCTCTTTGTCGAGATCGGCAAGGAATTGAGGAATGGCACTACCAAAGTCACCTGGGGGTACTTCTTCATCTTCAGAATCATCTTTCGGCTCGCAGTTGTCTTCGGGTCCTTTTGACTGGTCTTGCTTGGACGAATCTGGTACAGTTTGAGGGGGGTGGGCCCCCGGCTGGATGCCAGAGTCCCTGTCATGAGCGTCATCTGCGCTGATTTCAATGTAATTGACCAAATGGTTAGTGAAATCCACAGCAGTTGGAAGACTATCCGCGGCGCGCATTTCTCCATCAACAATGAACTTCAGGTGGTGCGTGCCAGGTCGGAGGTTCAACGTAGTAGACATAACGGACGGGTTATTTTCACTATATCACGTCAGCCATGCTCTTGGTGCAATTTTAACTTGAATGCTCGACCGACCTTCTGTGTAAACGGAACTTCTTCTCCCAGTTAACGAAAGTTCCCGTAACGTAGACCTTCTGAGCAGGAGCAGTCCATTCTATGACGACTGGGACAGCCTTGCCCACTCCGCTGATAGTGTAGGGCTGGAGCTCATCAATCAACTCCTCCTCTTCAATTGTAGTATTGCCTAGGGCCGTGGTATTCTTTTCCAGTTGATCGTCTAGAAGCTGGTCTGTGGGGAGCGACTGGATATGCGAGTCCTCTGGGCCCATTGGCGATCCGGGGGTAGTATTAGCATCACCAATTGGCAATGGCAACCGCGGCGGACGTTGCAAATGTGCTGATGCGCTATAGTATGAGTTGAGGGGCGGGGCAGATGGTGCCACAGGGTCGCGCCCCGGAGCCTGGCGCGCGCTCGGAACTTGTACCGGGTTGGAGTGGTCCCGGGATGGGATGTCCTTGCTCTGAGAAGGCTCCGGTCTCGGTGCATCGTGTCTCGCCGGTCTTTCTATTTCCTTGGGAGAGCTTTCGGGTACGTTTCGAGACTGGAGACGCTGTTGGACGGAACCCTGGTATGTTGCCGAGTGGCCGGCGGCAGTCTCCTTAGTGGCCGAGGGGTCAGCCACCGTGGCCTTACTGTTAGAGATCGCATTGAGAGAAGTTCTCCGGGCGACTTTTCTTTCTCCTGAGTGGTGGCTAGAATGAGCCGGCGGCGCGTCGCCGACCGGGCCTTTGGAAGGGTTGTTGCCCATCGAAGGCGGGGAAAGGTATCAACTGGACAATCGGTTGCGGAGACTCGAGAGCGGGATTTGGTGGAATCACAACGGAAGCACAAAATAGCACACTTCCGATGCCAACGCACGAGAGGTATTGGGCGGTGGAGAACGTAAGTTGGACGATGCACTCCCTCTGTACAGAGTCACAGGTCGATGCGGACGATGACGCCGGACATCCAATTTGGAAATTAGGGCTTAGGGCTTGTCAACTCGACGCGGCGCGTGATACTTCGATATCAAAACAGTTTGTAGCAGATCAGGTCTCAACGGCAAACATCCATAATTTTACATAGCCATGGGCTGGATCTCAATTCCAGCGGCTGTTGTGTCGTTCATTTGGAGCGTTACCATTCAATTACTGTCCTATTTGCTGTCACCCCTTGTCTTCCTCCTATCGCCGGTGATCTACCTCGGACGGCTTGCTCTATACATAACTCTGCTCCCTTTGCGTATCTTGATCAAATTAGAGGTATGCTGAGGAATATAATTTCGATCTCTCGTAGTGCCCTCTGCTTTTCAAGCCACTAACCTTTTACAGGCATTCATCTACTTCCTGACAGGGGCCGTTCTTATCGGGGCAACTATAGGCATGTTCCTGTATTTTACCGGAACTGGTCTGTCGCATGCTCTGCAGATTGAGGGCTTGGATGAGCCGCGCCGACGCCCCGTGAAACGCGAGGCTATAGATGCCGCACCGCAAGGCTCACCCTTCGACTATCTGGATGTGAAGATAGAAGATTACAGACACCCACCCTCAACGATATTGGAGGAGGAAGAAACCAGTTATGATTCTGAATGATGTAGGCAGAATTTGATTGAATCCCAGGGTATGATGTTCTAATGTGATATCCTTGAGGCTGCCATTGCATATTTAGTACAAGTTTGACACTTTTTTGTGCCTAATGATGTCTGTTGTTTTACATCAATTACATGAAAAGTCCAAGAGTGGGTATGTTTAACGTAACACTGAAGTACATGCAGAATGATTTAGTGACTGATGCAAGACTTGGCAGCTTCAAGTCTTGAAGTATCTCAATCTTTATAGTGCAACATTCTTCAACAGCCCGGCCGGGCTAGCTCAATCGGTAGAGCGTAAGACTCTTAATCTTAAGGCTGCGGGTTCGACCCCCGCGTTCGGCTATTCCTAAAACACCGTCCTCGAGTGAGCGTTTCTTTTTTTGTGTTTTTTTAGGTGGATCAAAAAATTCTGATGGGACCTCGTAATTCCGCATTGGGACATGGTTGCGCCCTGACCAATCATAATGCTGTCTGTGACCCCACTTGGGCCGAATATCCAGATGTATACCGCAACAGCTGGGAATCAGTGTGATACCCGGTTTACTTTTTTAGGCAGTGGATTGTCATTTGATGGGCTTTTCGACTAATTATGCTGGTGTAGATAAATAAGCGATCAAACCAATGATTTTTGAGTATGTGTTCTGGGGCATGTTGTAGGAAATATATATAATCGCTTTTCCAGTCTGAAGCTTTTTTATATCTCTTCAACCATTCATTTCTCAATTTCTTCTCTCCAAACCACCGAATCCGCATTTCACTCAATTTAAAAAATGGTTCGAATCCGCGAGTTCGCCGTGGAGCGTGTAAGTAGACCACAAAGCCCCCGATATACTCTCAAACTAAAGGTTACGTCAAAAAGTGGATGGATCTCTACGAAAACGACGCAAAGCACAACCTCGCCGAAACATGCTGTGCCTCAATCTCCCTAAGTGATCTACTCTCCTTTTCGAGCAAGAAGGATCTGGTAGACTATAGCCAGAAGCAGGTCTATGGCGCGATCCGGGGCTCAGAGGCACTGAGAACCAACATCGCAAATCTATATTCCCAATCTGTCTCTGCAGATGGTGTTCTTGTGACGAACGGCGCTATCCAAGCGAACTTCCTGGCGCTCTATACGAATGTCGGCCCTGGGGATCATGTCATTTGCCAGTATCCGACGTATCAGCAGTTATACTCTGTGCCCGAGTCTTTTGGTGCAGAGGTCAGTCTGTGGAAGTCGAATGAGGAGAACGAATGGGCATTGGACTTGAAGGAGTTGAAGGCTTTGATTCGGCCAAGTACGAAGGTGATTGTTTTGAAGTATGTGGTATTCTGCTTGATATTGATACTGAGTTTCTAACTTGTCTTGTAGCAACCCCCAGAACCCCACTGGAGCTGTCCTTCGCCGCGAAGAGTTGCAAGCAATTGTTGATGTTGCACGTGAGCATGACATCCTCATTCATTCTGATGAGGTGTATCGACCTCTTTTCCATTCTCTCAAGGGCGAGGAGATTCCACCGTCTATCCTAAAGTTCGGATATGACAAGGTGATTTCTACCGGTTCCATGTCGAAGGCATTCAGCTTGGCTGGTATCAGACTAGGCTGGATTGCGTCCCCAAATCCCGAAATCGTTGAAGCGTGTGCATCTGCCCGTGATTATACGCTTATATCAGTTGGCCAGATTGATGATGGTGTAGCTGCACATGCCTTGTCTAGTCCGTGTGTGGAGAATTTGCTGCAGCGCAACTTTCAACTAGCCAGGCAAAATCTTGATATACTCGAGACGTTTGTGACTGAATTCAACTGGGCTGTGAAATGGACCAGACCTCAGGCCGGAACAACTGCGTTTATCAAATTTGTTGACAGGAAAGGACAAGCTATCGATGATGTTGTCTTTTGTCAAAAGTTGCTAGAGAAAACTGGCGTGATGCTGGTACCGGGAAGCCAGTGTTTTGGAGATGGTGCTGACTTCCGTGGCTTCGTCCGAGTGGGCTATGTTCCTGAACATGAGGTGATGGTCGATGGCCTGCAAGAATTGAGGAAGTTTATGCGTGAGGAGTATGAGAAATTGCTATTGCTGCAGTGAGGCATTTGGCTTCCTAGAATAGAACCAATTCCAATCCTTGTGTTGCAAAATAGCTATCCCAGGATAGTAAAGACTTCGATGCCCAGTATTTGCCCAATAGTTCCCGCGCTCTTGTAAAATTGCCCATGCCCAGGTTTTGCATATCGCCCATTCGCCTGTGAATAAAGTCTCGCTCTTTGGTATCATTGGTCTCACAGCCAGCGCTGAACATTGGCCAAAGAATGAGGATATTGGCAGACGATGATGGTGAAATTCGTTCAATGGCATGAACAATATTTTTGATATCTGATTTGACAATATGATGAGTGGCTGTAAACATTTGAACTCTTCGGTGAAGATGAAGCAAAGCAGAGTATACAAAGGCTAGGTGTGTGCTTTGTAATTCGACATGATCACCAATATTGGTATCGCGACAATCAACAAGAGAAAGTATATCATTCTCCAATGAGCGGGACTCTTCCATCAAGTCGCGCAACTCAAGCCCACTTTGACTTTGTCTCTGCACCAGATGAGACAGTTTTGCAAGCAGAGGGGCCAGTTTCAAGGAATAACCACAAATTTCATCGGCATACACACTGTCAGGAAGAGGAATTCTGTTCAACATCCCATCGTAAGGACTCAGAACATCACCAAAACTTAGTCCAGATAGCCCAGCGAGAACATCCATTGTAGTGAACCACTTCACCAAACACTGGATATAGGGATCGGCAATGCGCAAGGTGCCTTGGCTATCCAAAAACCCAGCTAATAGTCGCATAACACCGCCAAGATGAGTACGCCATGTCTGCATATTTCCATTGCAGACATCATTAGTGCAAAGTGCCATTGCAGTCGTCACTGTCTCTGCTGTCAATGTTGCATTCGACTGGCAGAGAGCACATCGCAAACTAGAAATCGACAGATTCGTAAATTTCAGGCATGAGACCAAAGAATCTGGCCCTGTGTCTTTAACAAGTCGGCTGTGATGACTACAAGCAGAAGCCAATAAAGCATAGAGGAGATGAGGTGTTTCCAAAGAGCTTGCAATGATCCTCTGAAGAAATAGCCCCGGGGCTGCAGGGAACAGCCGTGGGGCAGTCTCGGTACTGAAAACGTGCATGAAAAATTGAGATTCTTTCGATGAAAGAAATGGGGACAAGTTGATTGTCGGCTGATGCGCTAGAGGGTTAAGACTCTGGTTCACAGCGAAGTCGACTGGATCATTCGCATGATGCCGTGCCCGAAATGGCATTGTTCGAACTGGTCCATGGGCAATAAGGTTCAGATCATATTTGCACTCTTTCGGAAATCGAGTGCAGCGAGAACATATTGGTCTTTTTAAGTCGCACTATAGATCGATGTCGATGTTAGTGGGATTCATGTAGAGAGCGACGAGGTTCTTACTTTTACTTTCTTTCTTTTACACTCTGCACAGCCATCCCGTCTTCTTTGGGCCCAGCCAATTTTACTAACTCGATGAGTCGGCATCAATAATTCATGACAAGAGGAAGAAATTGTTGAAGTGAAGAGAATCGGGAGTGACACATTTGCCCCCGTTTGAGTCAAGTATCCGATTCACCCAATCACATCTCTTCATATACACCCCACATCTATCCAAGTCTATTGAAGAACCTCTCTCTGCGCGACTCAGTAAGTGCGGTTGTACGCCATACTAAATATCTGGGAAAAGAACTGGACCACATAGAAGCATTTAAAGTTATCCCGTAAGTCTTATAAACCTTGCAGGTGCTTATTGACAAAATAAGATCTAAAATATTTGCCTTGTGAAACCATGATAAACCCAGAAGTTAGCTAATAAGTAGAGCAGCTTCAAATGGGAAAGAATTTTATTCCTATATATGAACCGCCTGTTACTCTTTTGCGTCCAGAAAACCTCAGCAAGTTCGTTCCATGCGGTAGATGGTATCTATCAAAAAAAAGGGAGTGAAATAGACATGATTCTTTTCCGCAAACTCCACAGTACCGAGACTAAGTGTTAAATACCAGTGGATCTTCTCCACGCATCGCACGCCAGTAATTAGTTGACTCGAACAACCCATCACAGCCTTCAACAACCCACCTCCACTTCCTCAAGAACGTCTCACTAACCTCCCACCCCGCCGGCTGCCACGGCCTCCTCCAAACAATGAGACCAGTCTGATCATTTGAAACCTCATAGAAATCAACCAGGTCATTACAAAGAGCACCTTCATCAAAATCATCGTAGTGCCGCAGTAAATTATCTCTCATCTGCGGAATCGGAAACAGGTCAATCCACGGATGATGGGAGACTTCTCGCTGCAATTGGGTGGGTTGAAGATCGACCGGACATAATTGGACCCGGGACTCATCAAGCGCATCGGGTCTGCACCACGGGGAGATGGAATCTTCCTCGAGCCAGTCCATAGTAAAATTTATCGTGGTGGTATTTTCCACCAGCGCTCGGAAGACATTGAATTGGATCAGGGTTAGGAGTTGATCGGTTCTTGGAGAGCATTGTATGAAGGCCTGATGGGCGGATACTTCGTACTCAGCCATGAGTTGGCGAATCTCTATTTGGCTCATTGCATGAAGGGATTTGGGCTTGGTTTTGGTTTTGGTTTTGTCATTGGAGCAGGCCTTCTCGGATGGTTGAATGTCATCTTGCAGTATCTTTTCCCTAACTCCCGCATATGTGAGGCCCTGCTCACTCATCTCATGTTGTTCCGCTGTGGTCAAGGGGAGCCCCTCTGATGGACCCAACGTGCCGATCGTGGCGCATGTGTCTGATTCTGAAGAGTCTGGGCCTGGCTTCGCACGCCTTCGTCTCCCTAGACCCTCAGCTAGAGATCAGCCTGATATATGATGCGATGAATGGAGATTACGCACGGTAGAGCCTCTGGTTCAAGCGATTTTGCAATTTCCGCCGATGTGCCGAGTCAGCTAGACCAGTCCAATCCTCATCTAGAGTACGTATTTCAAGTGGCTGGGGCGTATACTCCGCAGTCCTTGAGATGCCCGAGCGCAGTGAATTACTATCAGCCATATTCATAGAGGCTTGGAGATGTTGATAGACGGATAAAAATCATGTCGTTGCTGACTGTCCAATTGAAGCTCGACGGAGTTAAGGTACTCTGCTTATCGGGGAATACTTTTTTCCACTGGCCGAGAAACTTGGGCCGGCTAAACCTTTCCGCAACCAAAAAACCACCAACGATTGGTCGGAGTACTATCAGAATCTATATCAAGCATATCTCACATTCTTTACTCGTACTAATTTCGTAGGAGGGATTTCCGTAGGATGACGGAAAAAGGTCAGATCTCAGGCTACTTGTATGATCTCTACGCTGCCAGTATTCGGAAACAGTATAACCGCGTCGATGCATCTGTGCTGATAAGCGACGGAGAAGGGCACTGTACGTACCGCTGCGTGCACCTTCACCAACTCGGATTATTAATTACGTAGTAAACCTTGGAAATCGTCGAGCTCATTTGGAAATCGAATTTTCGATTTGAAGGTGAGATTTGCAAACAAGGATGTGAGTAGACCTCAGTATCTATGTTGATGGGCTAGGCTTGATCGGCTTCGGACGCTCGACCCACTCAAAGGGGCCGCATGGCTTGGTCAACCACACATCCTCAGGGCCTGCAGCTCCTCTCGGGTGGGAAAGGTCAAACAATGTGCCACTCAAAAAGCTGTGAGGGAACCCATGATCGAACTCGTACCCAGTCTCAATCTCCTCAATCTCATCATTCGACAGCGAAACTCCCAGGCCGGGAATACTTCCCTTGAGATGGTCCACAGTCCGACCGCCAACAATGGGGAAGACATAGGGCGCCTTATGACAGATATAAGCCATCGCGATATTCAACAGTGTCACACCTCCACCTTTCTTGTCGGCGATCTTCTCCAGGATAGCAGCGACTTGCTTATCTCGCGCGCATACGGGGATGAATTTGCGGCCATGGTTCGCCTTCTCGCGGGCCTTGTAGCCTTCGGCCGTCTGGAAATTGCCCGCGTTCAACGTTGCGTATGGGGCCAACCCCATGCCTTCGTCGGCGCACATGGGAATGATGTCTCGCTCATGGTCTCGCCTGGCGGCATTCCACTTTCCTTGATAGACTGAGAATTGTCGCAGTCCGTGCTGGCGGGCGTACGCGTTTGCCTTCGTCACGACCCAAGCAGGTGTATCTGAAATGCCGAGGTAAAGTACCTTCCCTGACACGACCAGGTGGTTGAGGCTCTGCATCAGTTCCGGGATTGAAGTTGTGTAGTCCCACCAGTGCACGTAAAACAGATCGATGTAAGTTGTCTGGAGCTTGCGGAGAGACTCGTCCACCGAGTGGCTCATGGACTTGGTTCCGGTGCCGACGAAGTTGGCCTGGATCTTGTCTTTACAATGGAGCATATATCCGGATGTGTACTTGGTGGCTATCACGAGCTCCTCGCGGTTCTGGCGGGAGGCGATCCATTCGCCTAGCCAGACCTCAGACTGGCCGTCTTGGTAGGCATTTGCTGTGTCGAAGAAATTGCCACCATTTTGATAGAAGAAGTCCATCATTGCAAATGCCTCTTCTTTGCTGCATTCACCGTATTTCTCGGGATGCGTTCCGCCGAATGTCATGGTGCCCATACACATTGGCGAAACTCGCACTGAGGCAGAGGGAGCCAGCTGGCGGTAGCGACCTAGCAAGCTCTTCAGATCACTATGCATTATGGGTGATTGAAATTGAAATTGTAATGTGTCAATTTTGGAGATTGGCTTGAAGATTGGCTTGTAGGGAAGCTCGAGGATTGTATCACCAACTTTATATGTGATTTTGAATTAGACGTCAAACTGAATCCAACTCTGAATATTTAAAGTGTCATCATCTCCTAACTCCGATCTCCTCCAGTGGAGCCGATCCAGCCGTTTAAAAGTGGGTCTCCTGTAAACTGCTTATCATACGTCATAGGCTATGCCCCTTTGGGTCATGGTAATCCACTGAAGGTTTTCTGTTCACTACATGTACAGTAACGTTAGTAGCCACATGCTTCTTTTTGGGGAAAATGAAAAGGAGGATTTCTACACGGTTCTAGATGATTCGTCAGAGATTGCTTTTTGACTGGAAAATGATATGTTCCTCTTGTCTAAGGTTATCTAGAGCCAGGGGATTTTTCGAGCCGATCTACTGAATTGGCGAAGCTGGCTGCACCCAATCGAAATTGCCCATCAGTTTCGTCAACCAAACATCCCCAGGGCCATCGGGAGCACGCGAAGTGCCACCGTCGAAAAGACTGCCGCTGAGGAACGTATGAGGGAATCCATGATCAAATCTATAAGCAGCCTCGATCTGTGCCACCTCCTCAACGGTCAGGGACAATTCCAATGCCGCAATGTTTCCTCGGAGATGCTCAACCTTCCTTCCACCAACAATTGGGAAGACATAAGGAGCTTTGTGGCGGACGTAAGCAAGGGCGACACTGGTAAGGTCGGTCTTCTTGGACTGTGCAATTGTTTCCAAGGCCTTTGAAACACGTTTTTCATCATCTGAGGGAGCCCGTCCCTTGCGTCCGGGATTCTGCTGCTCCCGCTCCTTATACCCTGCCTCCGTGTGGAATCGGCCCTGGCCCAGGGTTCCCCAGGGAATCACGCCCATGTTTTCATCGCGGCACATTGGAAGAATCTCTCGCTCGAAGTCCCGGATAGAAGCGTTCCAAAGACCTTGATACACGGAGAACTGCCGGAGACCGTGATCGCGGGCGTATTGATTGGCCTTAGCCACCACCCAGGCGGGGCTGTCAGAAATTCCGAGATATATGACCTTGCCGGCAACGACCAAATCATTGAGGCTGTGCATCAATTCCGGAATTGAAACACTGTAGTCCCACCAATGGAGATAGAAAATGTCGACGTAGGTCGTCTGCAACTTCTGCAAAGAGAGGTCTAAGGACACACGCATGGACTTGGCGCCGTTGCCGCCATAGTTCGATTGAAGTTTGCCGCTCTCATGGTTTTTGTAGCTGCTAGAGAACTTGGTAGCGAGGACGAGTTCGTCACGGTTTTTCCTCTGAGCCATCCATTCTCCAATCAATTCTTCGGATTCCTCGTTCTGATAGTTGTTGGCGGTGTCGATAAAGTTGCCACCTTGGCTAACGAAATAATCGAGAATCTCAAATACGGTCTCCTTTGGGCACTCTCCAAGTCTTTCCTTCCACGCGTCACCAAAGTTCATAGCACCGAGGCAAAGTGGAGAAATGCGCACTGAAGCGGATGGAGCCAACTGGCGATGGCGGTCAAGGGGCGAACGAGCGGGAGGGTGAGCCGGGAGTGACATGATAGGCGATTGGTTGATGAGACTATACGTCGATAAAAAATAAATGAAGGCCACAGGAGGCAGTGGCTTCTTTATATCTTTCAAACCCTTGAGTCAATTGAAAATCCCTCATTATGAGTTATGAGCTAACTAATACACATGCCGAATCTGCTAAACTCCAGCCCAGGTCCGATTGCTGGAACCATTATGATAACGGCAGCATGGCTCCACACATTATGACGTATAATAAGCAGGATGCAGAAACTCTGCGGCAGTTTCGTTTCTACAGCAGGCATGCAACGGATCTCCATAGTGAATATTTTTCATGGTGCCTACATTTAAGACCGCTTTACTTAAATTTCGTAGTTTACCTCTATCTCCATTTAATAGATACGGGAAAGCAAAAGTCAATCATTGTTGACGTTGTATAGTAGGCAAGTACATCATTCCTTTAGGACTTTTTCTACTCCAGACTTTCATTTGCGGATGAATAACATTGAAGCGTACATTTCTTGGCACTCGGTAGTTTGAACATAGGGCTTTGAATTGTCACAGAAGAAGACAGAATAGGAAGAAAGATCTTACTTGAACATTGGTCATTCCAATGTTGCGATTGTTATAATGCCAGCGCAGCTGAGTCATGGCTGAGAGCTTCTCACGATGTATTCAATACACACCTTTGATACCAACATGAATCAATTAATTCTTTTCCCGTTGGGATCATGGCAGTGGCGTGACAGGTACGATTACAACGTCGGAGATTGACTCAAAATCCACTTGTGCATCGCTTTCAAAGTGACTATTGTTGATCAACAAATTAACGTGATCATTGGGAACAGCAAAAGTTTGAAATAGAGTGATTTGATCACCATACATGTCTATCTCTCGAAATCTGGAATAAAACACTACCTATATGGTAATCCTCCCGTTGGATGTTTTCGATCTGCTAAAGACCCATGATATATGGGTCCCTTTTTAGGTTGACATATTGCGTGTCATACGCTTTTCAGCCTCAGAAGTCCATTTGCTTTCAGACTCTTGCAAACCGCGCTTCGTATCGAGACAATTTTTGAGTTCTTCCTACCCCTGAAGGTCTTGCGACAATTGCGCTATATGCTCGTAGCCAATTCCGCAACATCCACCAACAATAGTAGCTCCACTTGCGACCCATTTCTGAGCCAACACCGAGTATGACTTGACATCCAAGTCATTCCGTGTCACCGATATTTTTTCATTCGCAGCCGGGGCGTTTGAGCTTGGTTCGAACGTATTTGCATAGACACCGAGTGAAATGCTGCGGTCTTGCTGCGAGATGACGCTTTTCGCACCACGAATAGCTAAATCCATGAACTCAGGCCGGCTACAATTGAATAACAGACTCTCTGCTGAGGAGCTGCACACCCAACGAGCTGCTTCTTCCACAGTTTCACCCGAACGGAGAAGGGCTGTAGGCGTCGTTCCCTTTGAATTTGTCGACACTTCCTCGTCCTTGATCGTGAAAGCAATCCAGAGCGGTTTGCCCGTTCCCATAACCGCTTTCTCCACAGCCTTAGCCTCTGCAATGGAACTTAATGTTTCGCCCAACCAGATGTCAACGTGCGGCAAAAGACCTCGCACCAGGATCTCGAGATATTTGTCCACTGTTTCCGCATCAAATAGATCCGGTCTGTAACTTCCAAACACAGGCGGGAGAGAGCCCGCAACCGACACTTTTCTATCACTTCTGGTCTGTTCCTGATTTGCAGCACTCTTGGCCAGGCGCCCGGCAAGCCCCGCCAGCTCTTCGCCATCCCTTTGGAACCGCTCGACGCCAATATGGAACGGAACCAACGCATAAGAATTCGTGGTCAGGACATCGGCGCCAGCGGCAGCAAAATCACTGTGAACCTGCTCTACAAGATGCGGGGTTTCAATCAGCGCAAGTGCAGACCATTCGGGCTGGCGGAAGGGTGCCTGTAGCCGCATCAACTCTCGCGACATACCGCCATCCAGTATGATAGGATGTGGTAGGGTTTGAGGTGTGGTCTTCTCGAGATTACCATGTCCAGTTGTACTTTGAGGCTCGGCACCATGGTTCTGCGGATGGTCAGGTCAAGTATAAGACTGGGTAGCTTGAGCAACAGTACCTCGCTGTCTTCGCACATAGCCTCGTTCTGTCCAGCCATATCTTCCGCCAGATTGCCGGCCATATGAACGGACATGATTATAGCTGGGGAGAGTTGGTGAAATTTGCCAAAAATTGCGCAATTTAAACATTAACTTGCAAGTGGACCAACCGGGAACCTTTTCTAACCGAACATAGTTTAGCGCGACTGAAGCCGCTGGGAAAGCGTGAATGTCCAACCGGTAATTTGTTATAGAATTATGTTATACTCCTAAACTTGCGGTTCTAGTTAAATCTGAACATGCGCAATTCTATTTCATGGGAATGTTGCTTACAGAGATCATAAAAACTTGGATTATGGCATAGCTTGAGAAAAGCGGGCCTATGGGGACTGGACTATAGGATAAACCCCCAGAAGAATGAACTTGGCGTGTTGATTCTTAACGCTCACTGATTAATTAGTGCCTTCTCTCCTGGTAAGGGAGATTTATGATTGTCAGCTAGAGAATTAGGTATTTTACTAGTTGACCGGTACATTGCGGTGCAGTCAGTCTCTTTCATATTTCTATATTTAAGATTGGTTCCCGTAGACAGGGCATATCCATGGAATACCGCCGTCCTTTATTAGGCAAAGTGAGGCCGTTAAATTTGTTTGCCGTTACGTTTGTTGAATTCACTGTAGTTCCATGGTTCAACCGATTTTAAGACCTTTTTTGACACCGGACGTTCGAATCATTCCTGTGTCCCTATAGATAGGGCACATCGATAGATTACCGCCGTCCCTGATTGGGTAAAGCGAGGCCGTTGAGTTTCTTGAACCTACTGTAGTTGCATGATTTGAACGATTTTAATATAATTTTTTAGCACCTGACGTTCGACTTCGCACCACTTATCCCTATCACTGTCGTCGTTGTTTCAAATCTGCTATACCGCGATCAGTCTATCTGAGACATAAGCTTGTTTTCACTTGGACTTTCTCGATCTTCGAAAGCTGAACATCTCCAAAATGTCGTCTCTCCTTGATATTTTCTGGCAAGTGATATCTCGATCGTTGGGAAGATATGATCCACCGTCTGCGACTCCCAATATGAATACGCTCGCCAGTCTGCCGGTCGAGCTACTATTATCAATAACCGACTTTCTTCCTACAGATGATTGGATTTGTATATCACTCTGCAGTCACCGAATCTTCGCTATATATCACCGAATCTTCGCTATATATCACCGACTCTTCGCTATATATCACCGTCGATACGCTCGACCGTCAGGAGAGATGAAACTGCCTGTTTTACGCCGACTAGAACGGGATCTACCGAAATATTTCGTCTGCCATATTTGCTTCATCCTTCATGAGTATGATGGCACTGAATGTTTTGGACTATGTGGTCCATTAATAAACAAAAGCTGTCCTCTCCGGTGCTACAAAGTATGGAAGCGGCAGTTCAATAAATTACGATTCCACGCAGAAATGCGATACCCGGTCTTTATATACCGCAAATTACTTTTCATACATCTTCAGCTTACTATGTGAAGGTTCTATCTGGGAGACCAGTTTGGAATTAGCACTGAAGCGCTATCTTATACCCAAGTCCGGATTTACCCCAAAGGATCAGAGTACCCTGACATCGTCTCTCCCTTTTCGACCGACGCACAGATTTGTCCAGAAACGCCGGGGCTTTGTTTAAGAATGCAGCATATAGTATATGTTCACGGTAGCAGACCGGAACTACTACTATGTGGAAAAGAATATGACAGAAAGCCTCCATGGACTATATACATGTGCCCGCACGTCGGTTATGAGGATAAAGCCGAAATACTGAATCCAACAGTGTTCGCCTATCTCGAGGGAAAGAAATATTCCTACTCCACATATACTTGTGACAGATGCAATACAGATTCCCGCACTGAAGTCTGTGAAGATGGTTCTCATCTCGCCCTAGTCCTTACAACGTGGATTGATCTTGGCCCTGGTTTAACGCCCGATGACCCTCGATGGAAAATCCACAGTATCAGATATTGGGATTCGATACTTGATCCAGATGGTACAGCTAGCCCAAGGGTCTCTTTTGAATGTGTCGCCTCTGTCGTTAGAAGCATTGCTGTCAAGAAATATTTCCTACCTCAACGACCAGCAATATAGGAAATTTATGCGTCCACTTTTTGAACATTACGACTGCGAAGGCCTTTGGTACTTACCAACATGTGCTCAGGATCTGTTGCCGGAGCCTGAATTCTGGAGTCTGCTTCATTCGCTCTTGTCTACTTCCACTCCAAGGCTCCTTTCCGCAGAGGATTCTCGGACACATCAGCGTTAGGATTAGCTTATTTTCAATATCATGTTTGACCTCACATTTTACCTCATATTTACTTCATATTTTAACCCATGTTTCATCTAATAGATGCATCAAACTTTTGGCATTTAAATGAATCAGAACAATTATTAAATATTGCCTAACAACCACAAAGAAATTGATTTTTGCCAGGGGTGTAGGGTCAATACGCACCTGAGCCCTTTAGATACGCAAGTGGCCTGGTAGTCGTGCTATCTCAAAAATAATTGCGTCAAGATTGCTTCTCCCAGTTCCCCAGTTCCCCATTTCCTGAAGATAAATATTATTCCTTTGGATGCGCCTAGCGCGCAGTTACATAAGGAAGTACATGCACATGTACAGCACAAAGCAGCCCCTCCCTGTAAGCCCCTGTAAGCCCCTGTCAAATCTCGCCTCACCTTGAAACTGCACTAATTGGGTATTGATACATGCCCAGATATGCCACTTATGATCAGCCAAGGTTTCTGCCTATTGGTCTGATCTATGTTCAAAATCGGACTTGGTTGTTCCCCGCGCTTGACAACTTCCATACTTAAGCCCAAGGTCTCCTCCTCAACCCAGATGCTTGTGATAACTCTCCCAAAAGTCTCGCTCATTCTGCTTATCTGTCAATATGCCTTCTGATTCGGAAAACCCTGCTAGGTATGTATTCCCACATTGGGGGTGTCGATAGAGTGTTAAAAGCTGACTTACTCCACTTTTTGAATAGGTCGATCTTCACTAAGAAGCCGATGCTAATAAAGGTCGGCAAAGATAGTCGGAATTACTATGCTCACGAAGGCGTTCTGGATGCCTGTCCCGCATTTGACATCGAGTTTGAGTTTATACTTGACTGGACTGCTTTTGATGAACAAACTGTGGAATGTGTCTTGAGTTTTCTTTATACTGGAGATTACCCGGTGAATCTTCCCGCTTTGGAGAAAAGCCAGAAAACGGAAGACTTCGCCGAGGACACCGAAGATGAGCTTCTGGAAGAACCAGAGGATGCAGATGCAGCAACAGAGGAAGATGAACCAGAGGAAGCGGTAACGGTAGACGAAGAAGAGGCGAAAGAGGAGGAAGAGGAAGAACAAGAAGAGGAAGAAGAAAAAGAAGAGGAGCAATCCGTACAAGGTAAGTTCTTATCAAACACTCTATCTAATAATACGAGCAGAAGTCTGACACCAAAGTGTCGACGTAGAGCCACAGTCACCAGCAAGTGAGCTAGCAGCACCAGAAATAGACGCCATACACGAGCGAAGCTGCCAATCAGAGCCAACATCAGCCCCAACTATTTCCAATCCCCAGTCAGAAGTGGGAGACGATCTGATTTCTCGACCCCTAACACCTATCCGAGAATGTCCAGGGATAAGAATGCCCGACAATTTCACGCCAACAAAAAGACAAGAAGAGCCACAAGAAAACGAAGTAGCAGAAATCTACCTGCACGCAAAAGTCTACTCCTTCGCCTGTCATTACGATTTCACAAAGCTGCAAGAGTTTACTCTAAACCGCCTCGCTCAAATCCTTGATCGTCTTCAGCGAACACAGCTTACTTTGTTCCCGTACCTGGCTGATGCTATTCGATTGATCTATACTAGCACCGAAGCCGGTGATTCCGCGAGATACCTGCTTTCGCAGTTCGTTGCATTAGAATACCTCGCCCTGTCAGGCGAGGAGATGAACAAGCTTGTTGCAGAGGGAGGGGACTTTATGGTTGATGTTTCGGAGAAGCTTACACGAAAGATCGGCTCATTATCATTGGAGGAGAAGGTTGAAGAGCTCATCGCGAAGAATTTACAGTTGGAGTTCGCGGCTGCTGCTCGTCAGGAGGCTTTGAAAAGTTTGAAAGAGGAGGTGGAGGGCTGGGAGAGCTGGAATCGGCAGCTTGCTTTCGCGCAGCGGAGAAAGGACTGGGAGAGGTATCAGATTTTTACATATGAGATCTGAGATGTGAGACTCTGAGGGCGGGAGTTAAGATGTTTGAAATACGTCTTGGGCACTGGTGGTTGCAGTTAGGTTCATATTTACGGTAGTCAAATTGAATAGGATCAGAACTCGACATAACTTGAATAAATTGCTAAGAAGCCACCCTATAATTTCATACCACTGATAAATCAGTACAATTTCTAACGCTTTTTGAGGCTTATAGTCTACACCAAAATTTACCTCCAACATGGCATTAGAATCGGATGAACCATCCATACTCGTCTAGTGGCATGAGATATGGGGTAGTTTTCAGCAATTGTCTAACTTGATTTATAACAGTACCAAGTTATGATATTATTCCCGTATTATTTTCTCGTCTCAAGAAAGACCAGGATCAAGGCCTCCGAAATCGTACCACCCACAAAGATCATCAATAAAAGCCAAGGACGGTGACATGTCCAAGTTACTGCTCGATATCTCGAATTCCGATTCAACACTTGCCTGCCCTTCCCCACCAGATAGATCTGGCACACCAGTCGACCTGGTTCCACCACTGTCGCTCGAACTTCTAGACCCAAGCCCAAGTACATGATGAGCAATTGTTTGGATCTCTCGCAAATTTCTAGCAGTTCTTGGCCATATCTCTCCTAATGCTTTCAGACACCCAATAGTCATTCGAATCTGCTCTCTGGCAATTGCCAAATCCTTCCCTACCAGTCGAAAGGTACAAGCAGCAAGCAATGCCAGTGTTCCCTCGCTGATCATACAAGTCATGAATGGGGTATGGTGAAAGCGCAGAGCGGTTAATGCCAGAAGCCCGATCTGTGCCTCTGCGGACTGGAGGACTCGAATTGTATGCACGTTCGTGTGATCTGGTGTTGGACTATCGAGGGGCGGTTCGCGCGCACAGCTCGAAATCCCTTCTGCGCGGCTAAACTTCAGATCTGAAAACGGCCGGTGTAAACCAATCGTGGCGCTAAAGCAGGTCGTCAGCGGTGTTCTGTCGGCGCGTAGACGAACAATCGGGAAGAAGACTCACACGTGTATGAGGAGGTGTGCCTGGAACATCATCTCATCGATTTCTCCAGCTTTGCCCATTACTTGCTTTTGCGTCTTGGGCAGTAGGAGTAGCCACCCGTTCAGGGCCGAGTCTGCGGCTTGGATTGCCTGTATCGCATCGCTTTTGCTCGCGGCTTTTGGTACTGTGGAAATTGCTAAGGCCGTACATCGCACGGCACCGATCAAATATGCAAACGAGGAGAAGACGATATCATCCGGTGCAAATTCACGGCTGTCGAACTCGTCTAGAGTCTTAGGCTTTGGAATGTCCTTTGGTCAGTCAGTCAGTCATCATATCCTCAGTACCTCAGAGGCTTGTACATACCCCGGACTCGTATTCCGATTCTTCGCAGGGCAATTCGGCTGTAGAATCAATAGTAAAGGCCTTGAAATTCATAGTCCCTAAAGTCCCTGCATAATATGCATCCACAACATAGAGCATCCACCACGTCCGTCTCCAGCATTCCTGCATCACGGGATCATCGGCCCCGTGTTTCGATGCAAAGTCCTGCTCGAATAACTTACATTCAGTGGCTAGCCACATAGCAGAGTCCACTTGCAATTGCGCGTCGGCTCTGCGTTCATACCAAAATAGTGCTATGGAATATAGAAGTCGGCACTGGACCATCACAGGATCTGTTGGGGGTACTTGCGAGAAGCTGGCCTTTACGTGATGCTCTAGCTCAACGGACCATCCTCGTGCATCATAAATATGTCCAACAAGACGCATGACTGCGATGAGCGGTCGGAAGGCCAATGGTCTGCTTGGATCTTGATATACTCGCGTGAAGTGCTTCCGCGGCAGTAGAAAGGGGTGCAATTTGTGAAAGTTGTCATAGTAAGCACCAATCAACGAGTCATTTTGAACATCGTCGATATCAAGCTGAAGCTCCAGCGACGAAGGCACAGGACCTTGAAGCTGGCGGGAACTATCAGGAAGCTTCTCCCCGATCACTTCCTGACCAATCTGGCCATTCGCCGATTCCTGCGGACTTGACGAACACACGAGCCCTGTATTCTCTGTAGCAGCAAATTTCCTGCGCCGCTCTTCCAGAGCTACACGACCCAGCCCGCCCCGGCGCGATCGGGCATAGTGGCATTGTTGGTCAAGTTCGACGCAGCGGCTACAGCAGGGTTGTTTGCCATCGCATTTCACATGGCGCGATCGACAGGGCAAACACGCCAATGATGAGCGTGTTCCTCTGCTATACTGTGGGCTTGTAGAATTCATGGATGAGAATATCAGACAAACAGTTCGAGTTTCGACAGGAAGTGCGGGTATTCGGGAAGCCGGGAACCCGACCTCAATAGGCTATCTGCGCTCCACACTCTGTATATCGCCGGTTCTTGACGAACTTCGCCATTCGACTTTGTTGGAGAGTCCGAGTTCCGGTAAAGTCATCAGATCGCGCTTGAAACCCAAGTTTGATGACCTGCTTATGTTCGTGCTAGTATCGCTAGGCTATTAGTTCGTCTTTCTCTCTTGATAGCCTACAAGGCCAAATCGATCAAACTTCTTGTGAAGGTGTGTGTTTCGCTGAACGCAAAGAACCGTGTATGCAAGATGAAAATATCCGCTTCAGTAGTTTTTTCTTTCCAGTGCATAGTAAGAAATGTGTTCACTTGCCAATCTTTGGAATCACATATCCGCCTTTTCGGGTATTCGGGTATCAACCGTGAAAAGGGCAGAACGTTGCCCGGAAAAAATGGGCAATATTCGGGGATCCAAAACGATGGTGTGATCTAAAAGGATATAAAATTGTGTGCTGAATCTATATATAAAAGCGCATGCACAGGTCTTGCTCACCATCTCGCATCACTGATATCAATCTCACACTTCATCAATCAACGAAGCCGTCTAAGAAAATCCAAAGAAATGTCCCAAAACATAGTCATTATTGGTGCTGGCTTTGCCGGAGTATGGAGCGCACTCTCGGCCAAACGTCTGCTCAAGCTCGCAAACAAGGAGAACGAGATCGAAGTGACCGTCATCGCCCCTGAACCAACCTTGGTGATGCGTCCTCGACTCTATGAGCCCAAGGCTTCCAGCCTGATTCATCCTCTCAAGGAGCTTTTCGAAGAAGCCAGTATCAAGTTCATTCCTGGCATTGCCGATGCGATCCATACTGAAGATTACATCGTCAACGTCCGATCTGCTTCAGGTGTCGAAACGACCATCAACTACGATCGTCTCATCCTCGCCGCCGGAAGCTCTGTCAATCGCCCCCAAGGTATTCCAGGTCTTGAAAAATATGCCTTTGATATTGATTCTCTCGAAGGTGCCATCAAACTGGAAACCCACCTCGAGGGACTTGGTGCACTGCCCGCGAGCCCCGGCCGCGACACGGTAGTTGTGTGTGGCGCTGGTTTCACGGGCATTGAGATTGCAGCCGAGCTGCCTCGACGTCTTGGTCATGTTACCAATGCGCGCGTCATCCTCGTTGGAAATGCAGATGAGGTTGGCCCCGATTTTGGATCTGGTCCACGTCCAGCAATTGCATCAGCCTTGACAGATCTCGGCGTTGAATTCAAGCTGGGGTCTGCAGTTTCGGCTGTCGACTCAAACGGAGTAACTCTCGCGACTGGGGAGCACATCGAAACAAAGACAGCGATTTGGACCGCTGGAGTGAGAGCTACGCCGCTGACAGCACAAATCCCCGGCCGGAAGGATGCGATGGCGCGCCTTTTTGTTGACGAATATCTCCGTGTTTCGACTGCAAATGGTGTCTTTGCCACAGGTGATGCCGCCTGTGCGATTGCCGACGGTAAAAGCCAGTACGCTTTGATGAGCTGCCAGCACGCTCTCATGCTTGGCCGTGTGTCGGGTCACAATGCTGCTGCTGCGCTCCTGGGTCAGCCTCTCATGGAATATTCACAGGCTGCATACAATTGCTGCCTTGATCTTGGGTCCTGGGGTGCTCTTGTTGCTAGTGGTTGGGATAGGGAAACTATCAAGATTTCGGGAGATATAGCGAAGCGAGTGAAGTGCTATATCAACCAGAAGTTGATTTATCCTCCCGATAGTGTCCAAGAAGCTCTGAAATTGGCTGATCCTATTGGTCCTGATTCTGACCAGCTGTTTGAACAGCTAGTTCAAGTGGTTGGATAAGTTACGGGCTCAAAGCTTTGCGTGTTCCTTGAAGTCTATTTATTTACAACTCTGCGACTTGTTTCACATGCCGAACCGTAGCCTGTTGGGCTACATAGTGACTTTGGCTTTAATATGACAGAGAAAATAGATTAGCAATTTTGCAAATGTTTAAAGACGCTTCGTCTACTTCAAATTTCATGTCTTATCATAAAGTTTCCGATTTGACTCCCTGGAGTATGACTAGCTTGTCAATTGCGGAAAATTTGTCATGAGATATCGGAAGTAAAACAATGCTATTAACAATATAAATTTCATCTATTAACGTTAGTGTTGGGACGTTGCTTTTATCGGCAGCCTAAAATGTAAGGGTTCAACGCCGAGTCAGCTGACTTGACCGTAGCTACAACCGCATACCGAGAGATAACTTTCCCTCGAACTCTTATTGTTATGCTGTATATTACAGTTTATCTCTGTGTGGTGAATGATTGATCTCCAGTTCGATCCTGTGACATATTTATTTCCCCGCACCATTGGCTACCTCATGGAACAAAGTCAAGGAGCGAACACTAGTGCAGCCCCTCGAACTTGTGACCGGTGCTTTAGTCTCGTATGTATTACCACCTGAGCTCATGCATTGTGATCCCATATTTCACCGTATTGACACCTTAAAGAAGACTCAATGCGACATAGGAGACCCCTGCTCCAGATGCAGGCGCCTGGGCCTCACATGTACAATTAACAGACCCATTCGGCCGAGGGGCAGACCTAGGGGTCGAGCAAGAAAGAAAAATACAAAGACTGTATCCCGTCGTCATTCATCAGCGACAGATTCGTTGTTAGTTGCCATACAGAAATCGCTTGAACAAGCCCCCGACTACCATTTGGATCCCACGCAGGCGACAGAGCTGCTAAAATATATGCTTCTATCTGCCCGCAGTCTTGGGATTTACTCAATCTTGTCCCCAAACGAAAAGCCATCAAAGTCGACTCACAACGGATCTGAAGGCCGCGATACCAATGTGGATCCTATCGTCAGTGGTCTTCTCATCCCGGGTCTGACTCATGCTTTACTTGCAATTGCACTGGAGCTGCGACACCACAGCTTGCCACCCTCCGAAGTTGAGCATGCTCGTCTCAACAAAGACTCGCTCAGGACAAGTTCCCTTGCGCACATACCCAACCTCTCTTGGCAGTATCAACCACACATCTCCGACGCTATATCCCTTCTATTTCTCAGCTTTACATGGTGCTTTGATAAGAATCTAAGTGAAATTTCTTTACGCTGGAATTCTCTGGCCCGAGTCATTCTTACGGATGCTACTCGTAACCACACAACAGATGTGCCTGCGGTTCGATGGCTTGAGCAACAGTTTGTCTTCCTTTCTATCAAGAAAACCAACGAAGGGCAAATTGTGCAGTGAATGAAAACTAATTCTCACTTCGTTCACCCAGGACTTTCGAAGGAATTGCTCTACAAGAAAGGTCTGTTTGCTCAACGTTCTACTGGGCGTACCCCACAGTCATGCTTTACTTGCGTGAACCCATCTGACCACTGTGCAGAGTACTCTCCCTCCTGCACTTCGGATGTCCATTGAGAATAGATCAATCGACCTCTATTGATGTACCTCCAAGCTGCACATCGGCAGTGCCCTCGTATGACTGGAGTTCATCAGCTGATGGCAACGAATTACTAACAAGTACATTTCTGAAAATGTCCAACTATCTAGCTAGGTAAGTCAATATCTTATACTCCGTATGATGAAATCTAACTTTTACTAAATCTTCCCTAGCGCTGCAGGGCTTGTTCTGAAGGAACCGAAACCGAAAAGCTCTGATTGGCGAAGTGCATACGATCGCCTCGAGGACTTTTTCCTCTGCTTCCCGCCTTCTTTGCTCAAGTTCAATAACATTGAACATGCATATCAGGCAGAGGCTATGATATGGATGCAAGGACTTCTTATAATTCTTTGTAGGATCTCACTTGCTCTTCTACAAGTAGGATATCTTTGACTAACCTGACGTGCAAAGACACCAAACGAGACTTGCTAGATATCATGCTTGACTCACAAATTCTCAGTGAAGAGGTGCTTCCATACGCCTTCGGTCATGCTCTGTTATTGGGAGAGGTAAGTGGATGTCCATATCCTGTGGTATATCAGAAGATGCAAGCTTGGCACAAGCGTGTACTGGCAGCGACAGTTCTCTCGAATTGTTGTTCTTTGGTGTGACCACTTTCTGACTGTAAAGATCTAGATCCTGCCTACATTACAACGGCGAGATAGACACCTTGAAGGGCTTTCTCCTGCGGTTGTGTACTTTATTACGCTATCGAGTGTAGTGCACATAGTTGCCCTTTGGCAATTCTCCCCAGAAGGCGATACAATGGCTACTGGTGACTTGATTGCACGACCAGTATCGGTACCAGAGATTTTGGCATTAAGTTGTCGAGCACATCTTGAGGTACTATCGATTGTCACGACGGGGTGCGAGAGGTATAACTCACCGGTTCTGGCTGAAGTTCGAGATCTTTTGAAATATTGTTATTCACGAATCGTCGATGAAGTTTATGATACTGAGAGCATTTCTGCCTCGGTGTTGATGCTTTATCGTTGGAAAGGGAGAGGCGCAGGTATCATCCCAATGAAACAGTCCGCGGCATTGGAACAGTGGACCTTCAACCAATCCCCAGAAGAAGATATCAATCACTACTTGGTGAAATCTACCGAAATGGCGAGGTTGGCCATCAAAGAAGTTTGTTCGCCTGGAAGCAGGATTTGCGAAAAGGGGTATTTTGACTTCTCTATTCTGATACCATAATCAAACAGAGCCAGTAATTAAGTTAAACGGAATTCAAACTTCAAACTCAACATTCAGCTCTTGCCTGCTCAGCAAGCTACAGCAATGGTAAACAAAGCTCAAACTCTCTGCTCAGCTTGTCAAGATGGAGGTGGTTGCTCGAAGAGCTCGACATGCCAGGACTGTGACTGTACGACTCGTATCTCCGCCATAGTTCCTGTAGCAGCGTTGACAAATGCGCTAGATGCTCTATGCCAAAGCACTGTCGCGTCTTCTGCATCAGGGACAGTATTTCGCCCTGAAGATCAGGATTATTGCCGCACTCATTCGCGACGACGAGCAGAGGCCACGTCATAACATTCATTATTGTGATACGCTGTTCATCCACAAGGTTGAGCAGAGCTCGGAAACCCAAGAGCATTTCCCGTATAAACCTTGCGGTAACGTCCTCCCGATCAGAAAATATCGGCGCGAAGACGCTGTTGCAGAATCCTCCTCTCCATAGGTAGAGAAGCGCTGCCTTTCTCATGATCTCCCATGCGCTTGTCAGGGAAAGAGCAACGGGCATGGAAATTCTAGTGGGAAGGTCTGGTGGCTGCCACAAGACCAGCACGATCTCTAACATATTCAGCATTTGCCTATGGGTATCATCTGTCGGGGTGGCGATGGGGCCAGGCACCGACGATCCGGTCCCCTGGCCTATCAAAGTCGTGTCATATAGCTTTCTGACAATGTCTTGCAAGGAATCTTCGCACGAAGGCAAATGCATATCCTCTAATACAGCCGACATGGCGGCTATAATGGTCGACAGAGATTTTGGATATCCCGCTATAATCTCCAGAGAAGAGAAGTCTGACTGACAGCGCGTGCCAGGAGGATAAATCTCCCACTGCAGCCAGGCTCGTCTACTCTTTCCAGGACGACCGAGGGAAAACACGGCAATATCCAGATGCGCGGCCATTTCCTTGACCAGTCGGCCTAGACCAGTGCCATCTGTAACACCCGTATCCAGAGATTCAATTAATGATATCATGCCAGTCACATGAAGAGCCCAATCATAGGCTCCTTCGGCCCGTATATGTCTTGGAAATCCAGCGATGGTCAACAGGAGCACTGAGCCCAAAGCCTCGAGAGCAACATCGTGGCTGGCTTCTGCAATGTGCAGACGAGCTATGTTTTCCTGAAGCCCAATCAGTGCATCTTGGTATGACCTAAGGGCAGTTGTCTTTGGAGACCACAGCTCAGGCTGGGACGTTTGGCTATTAATTGTATCCAATGCGGTCGATGAATATGCCGTTGTTCGTAGACGGTCAGCTAGTGCCAGTAGAGCATTCCGAATGCTCCGGTGAGACTTCGCCAGTGTCAACAACTCAGCCAGAAAGGGCACACCTGACTCATTGATCGCGGTGAATCTAACCCTAGATATGCGTATCACTATATTGTGAAGTGGGTTAGCCACAACCTGAGAAGATACAGAAAATGCACGTGAACAATATACGCACAAAATCGGATAGCTTGATTCTCCGGGCCGGAAAGAATTAGCCCGCTCTTGTGCAATTCAAAAGGTCCCGCAAATGCTCCATAGTATGCTGTTTTTTGGCTGCAATCCATGAGGCTAAGTTGATGAGAAGGGGATATCGGGCCTATTTGCATACCGTATGGTAAGATAATGGTATTGATACGCGGATCTCGGGAAAATCCCGGCCGAAGTATAAACCCTCAAAAAGCGCCGACGGAGACTTTCTCATATCTACAAATATGCTCCAATTTTCTTGTGAATACACTCATCATTGCGAGCTTTTGACAATTTCACCATGTCTACTCAAATCCGCAAGAACTCGGAGACACTGAACAAAGAGTTGAACACACTTATTGCCAAATACGTGGAGCAAAATCCAGGCTCAGAGAAAGCATATGATAGGGCACGACAAAGCCTTCCAAACGGCAGCACTCGTTCAGTTCTAGCATCGCATCCTTTCCCCCTATCCGTCAAGTCTGCACAGGGATCATGCCTCACTTCCGTTGACGATAAAGTGTATGTGGACTACGTGTCTGACTTTACTGCCGGTCTTTTCGGTCACTCAAACCCCATCCTTCAACAAGCCATCTCCCAAGCCGCAACCAATGGGTTCAGTCTAGGAGCTGTGACTGGACTAGAAGCTGAACTTGCGGAGTCTCTGAAAGCCCGCTTCTCCAGCATTGACCTGGTCCGGTTCTGCAACTCAGGCACTGAAGCAAACACATATGCACTTGGAGCTGCCCTGGCACATACAGGCCGCAAAAAGGTAGGTTCAGAGAAATCCTGGTATCCAATTGCCCCGTTCCAATGCTTATAGTACCACAGGTTCTCGTTTTCGATCGCGGATATCACGGCGGAACGCTTAACTTTGACAGCGAGCCAAACCCACTCAACATACCGCATGAGTATGTCATCGGAGCCTACGACGATATTGAAAGAACTCGAACCGTCCTGGACTTTGAAATTGGTGCCATCCTGGTAGAGCCAATGCAGTGTTCTGGAGGCATGCGTCCGGCGAGCGAAGAGTTCCTGCGCTTCCTCCGCGAGGTAGCCAATACCCTTGGCGCAGTGCTTATTTTTGACGAGGTGGTCACATCTCGCTTGGACTACCACGGCGTGCAGGGTAAATTCTCGATCCGTCCCGATATGACTACCCTTGGGAAGTATATTGGAGGCGGCATGCCATTTGGAGCTTTCGGTGGCAGGAAGGAAATCATGGGGCAATTCGATCCTCAATCAGGCACTAGCAAGCAGCTCTCTCACTCTGGCACTTTCAATAACAACATATTCAGCATGAGTGCAGCGGTCGCGGCTTCAAAGATCGTGACCAAAGAAGCTATTGACAATATTAACATGCTTGGCGAGAAAGCTCGGTTGGGCATAAATGCCATCCTCCAGGGAGAGGGCAAAGACGACAAAGTTCTGGCTGTGGGCTGTGGGAGCTGTGTTGGACTCCACTTTGCAGGACCTGATGCTGATGTTCTTCGTGAACTATGCTACTTTCACAACATCCTCCAGGGGTTGTGGATTGGCCGTCGTGGCTTCTTAGCTTTCAATTTTGCGCATACTGAGGTGGATGTTGACAAACTCCTCGCCTCTTTCACATCATACGTTGACCTCTATGTTTGATAGAAATCAACGAAGTGTTAAACATTTGAGTTGTGCCTTAATTTCGATTGCGATACTCAGTAAAACATGCAGGCCTTGAAGAACTATATATTGCCTTACCCGGCGCCGGATGCAAGTGCAAGAATATTCTGCCGGCCATGATAGCCCCGCATCCAAGTTTATTCTTGAGATATTTAGTTCTAGCCAGGCTAAGATCAAATAAACATATAAGATTAAAATCTTTGATTGTTTGAGCAAACCGCTTATGTCATTTTTTGATTGCAGGATATGTGATAAAGCCAAGATGTGGATTGATGCCAAACAGGTCGAACCTGGATAAATGTAGGTAGATCGAATCAAGCTCCCTCAGGAACCGGCGTGCCAGCCGGCATAGCACCAGGCATTTCAAATTGATCACTGGTAGCACCACTATCCTGCCTCGTCATACTCGAGCTCCTTAGGCCACCCATATCAACATTAAAGCTACTTGTGCGGGAGCCCGCACCAAGCCCTAACCGTGCATCCAGAGGCCCTCGAAATCGTAGACCCTCCGGTTCATGGTTATCCGGGAAGCGAATGGAGCTTCCATCGGCGGACCCAGCACTCCGTGGTGGAGCTGTAGATCCGGCGTCCGAGTCCTCGCCTGTTCGGACGCCTGTTCTGCCCATGCGAGGCCAGAGGTCTGGAAGACCGACAACTTGGACGCGGGGTTCGACGACACGCTCTTCGAACCAGGCGTGCACGCGCGCCTCGACTAGTTGAGCTACTTTTGGTACATCCTGTAGACGACTACGGGATCCGATGAGGGAACGGACTGAGAGATCCAGGCGGTAATCGGGGAGAAAAGAGAAGGCAACGTTGCTCTTTGGGCTGCTTTTTGGCGGGAGCTGATCATCTGAGGATGTGCGGCCTGCATTCGACCCCGACTCGGGTGGGGATGCGGGTGACCCGGCCGGTGTGTGGAGAGGTTCTGTCGATGCTGGGATGAGGGAGATGCAGAGTGTGCCTGAGAAACGCACGACTGATACCGATAGCGCCACTGGTAAGATCGCGGAGCGGGGTTTGGGATAATTTAGGACCATGGACGTCTCGACGGCAATGGACAGGTTGTCGTCACTAAGGTCAACGTCCAGCAGGGCTTGTAGACGCCCGCCGTCTGAGTTAGGATCATCGACAGCGATGATGCGACAGTTGCTGAAGATAGGAAATTCCTCTCCGAGTGAAATGTCGGTCACGTTGATTTTGTCGATGAAAGACGGTTTCTTTTCCGGGTTGTTCATGGCCGCTGTCAAGGAGCTGAGAATGGAGGAGGTGGGCGAATCTTTGAGTGAATAGGCAGTTTGCCGGTACTGTGCGATTGTCTGTGCAATGAGAACATTGAACCAGTCCAGTGACTCGGGTTGATGGGATGAGTGGTGCATGCGGTGTCGGCCATGTTTGCTGGTGGGGTTGGTCGGAATGGCGCTATAATAGGTTTTGCGAAGGATGGATCGAGTATTTGTAGAGGTGGCAGGCACAGGACGAAGGACATTTGATGTGGATGGTTTCTCTCGTAATGTTTTCTGACCGTCTTGCGGTGGGTTGTAGACTGAGCTGTAGCGGCGGTGGGTTGTGCGATTGGACATGCCCCGGGACGGAGGGGGCGGCGCTTCACCAAAGATGAAGAACTTGATGAAGGCTCCAATCAGCAAGACTACTGAGAGCTGACCGAGGAGGAAGCCTTGAGTAAAAGACAAGCTGGGGGAGGTTAGCGGGATACTATAGATCGCTGCACGAGGACGTACGAGGATTGAGGCGCAATTGGCACTGGCTCATCTATGAAAAAGTGAGTAAGTGTTTTCAATAGTGATCGGAATTACTCACGTTGTTGGAGCGCCATTGTGACACTGTTCATGCCATCGCCAGGAAGTGGAGGAGGGAAGTTGCCAAAAGCCTCGGAGGTTTGGCTTATCTCTTATCGACCTGTTCGTCTCATCTTGGCAGTTCAGAGGACACGCATCGCCACTTCATTATTGACTCACCACGTTGGAGCCTGAGGATCTGATGGCTTATGACACCTATGCATCTTTTGCTAACCTGATTTCTTTTCCCTCCCATCTTCCCAACGACAGACACTACTATTCATCATGCTCAATCTCCCATCACTAGCAATAACAGCTCTCCTCCTCATAACACCAGCCGCAAGCGCAAAACCACCAGGCCAGAATGCAATCCTACTATCCAATGTTCAAACCCTAACACTACGTGATGGTAAAATGACCAGCTCCCGGCGTGTCGCGCCCATGCCCCAGCTCAGCTGCACAGGGCCATCCAAGAAGATCTGCGACATGTACCAAATCGAAACAATGCGCTGCACAAACCAAGGCTACGACTATGACGAGGAAGACGTACAGTGGACCTGCACAGCTTCACTTCCAGCTGAATTCAAGCTCGGCGCCACAGATGTCATCTGTGAGGGATATCGAAACTCGGATGATAAATGGGTTCTCAAGGGCAGCTGTGGTGTTGAGTATCGTCTGTTGCTCACTGAGCAAGGGGAGAAAAGATTTGGGAAGAGTCAGAGTCGTGCAGATGCCGGTTGGGCTTCTCGGCAGACCGGTGGTACGGCCGGTTATCGGAAGATGTTCGCCCTGCTGGGCGATTTAATCTTCTGGGGATTTTTTGTTTCTGTCGCCGCCTTGATCTTCTGGCCCATGATTGCAAATTGCCTTGGACTGCGAAGAAATCGTGGTGGAAGAGCCCCTGGACAGGGTTGGGGTGGGTTCTGGGGCGGCGGCGGCGGCGGCGGCGGCGGAGGTGGTGGTTATCCTGGGCCTCCACCACCTTATAGCCCTTGTCCTGATCCTAATGCTTCTTCTGGGCGACAGGGTTGGACTCCTGGTTTCTGGAGTGGAGCTCTAGGTGGTGCTGCTGCTGGATACCAGATGGGTAGACGTGGGAATAGCGGATTTGGATCTGGATCCAGATCTGCAGGTTATGATGCTGGCGAAGGTAGCTCCAGGTCTCGCTCGCCACCCCAATTCTCATCTACAAGTGAAAGCACTGGCTTCGGATCGACGAGGCGCAGGTAAATAGAAGATATATTGAAAGCGCATGATTAGTAATATCAAACTGGCTCCTGTATATTTGAACAGAGCTAGCGAATAGCGAATAGCAAACAGCCCAAACTCCTTGCTATGAGGTGTATCTTGTTGATCAAAACAAAACGCCAAAAAACATAAACCATGCCTCATAAATTGCCTATTATATGCCCTCACGCCATAGGAAAATCATCGATCGAACCAAGAACCTCTTCGGTTCCTCCGGCCATGTCCTGGGCCTGCTTCTTGCGCGACCTTTTGGCAGGCACTTTCTCGATCTTTTCATCTTTGGTATCGCCAGTTGGATTATTTAGCATCTCCTCTTGCAGCTGCTTCTCCTTAGCATGCTGATCTTCAATCCGCTTCTTCTCATCGTCGAGTTCTTGCTGGACTACCTTGGGGTCATCGTAAGTGGTGTTTGTCATTTCGGAGTATGTTGCAATATCGATGTGCTCGCGCGGTCCGAGCAATGTATCCTTGATCCGCTGTGGATCGCGACGCTCTTCGTTGTTGAACTTGAGCTTGATCTGGCGGCGAGACCGGCCAGGGAACATCTTGCTGATCACCATGAAGTCGGTGCCGAACATGCGGAGGCCACGGTAGAACAAATCTGTCATCTCTTCATCCCAAGTCTCGGTCTTCGAGCGTTTTCCATAGGTTGCTTGATTGACCTTTCGTGTCAGGTTACTTTCCACGACATCCTCAAGATCGCCAGCGGCTCGGGCAGCATCGGCGTGACGATCGACCTGCAAAGATGTATTATCCAAAACGATCTCGCCGTTGACAATTCGCATAATTGGACCGGATTGAGGCTTCCAATCTAAAGGTCGTTCAACATTATCTTGTTCAGGCTCATTTTGTTTGACAGGAGTCCCTGGGGCGGGAGTTCCTGTCTTCTTTCGCTCTTCTTCAGCCTGGTCCATCTTCCGCAACTCAGTCTCGCGCTTCGATTTCTTTCCGGTACGCAAATCCTTGCATAATTCCGACATCTTTACGACATTGGGCAATATCTCGACAGTTTCGGCACCTTCTGGTGTTGGCTCACGCTTCTTGCGGGCGCGCTTTGGCTTCTCGCTGCCTTCAGGATCGGAGGTACCAGCCTTAGAATATTTTCGCTTCTTGGTCTTTGCTTGCGACGGCTCGGGTGTCGAAGAAGTTGCAGAGACGCCGGGTGTTCCACTTGGATCTTCGATGGTAGGCACAACTGACTGGGAGCCCCGGCGAGAGGAAGACGCCGAGGCAACTGTAGAGACTGACTTCTTTCGACCCGGCTTCGCGATAGTCGTTACCGATGACTTTCGCCGTTTGGCGGGGCGAATCTCGGGGGTTGCCGCATTGGCTTGGGAAAAAGGCTGAGGTTGTTCGGACACAAGAGAAGGCTGATTGTCCACAAGATTCTCTGCAGCTCGGGCTGCTTCCACTCTTGCGTATTCTATCAAAGCTGCTTCTGGCTCATCGCGGGTAGGTCCGTGCTGAGTGACACTGGTTGAGGTAGATGCTGTAGTAGGCTGACTAGACTGGGTGGGAGGTGGGATAGGTGGTGCAGCTGGTTCTTGAGATGTCGTTTCTAGCACAGAGGCTTTTCGCTTTGGGGGAGGAATGGAGCGAGCCACTGGTTTGGGGATTGAGGTGGTGGTTGGCTTGGGAGTCGGAATTGCAATCGGGGTAGCAGCGTGTGTCTCAAAGGGCGCATCAACCTTTGCGATAGGGATATCAAAGCCTGAAGCGACAGGCGGTTCGGTTGGAGCTGCATCAACCTTTCCGATATGGACATTACGGCTTGAAGTGACAGGTGCTTCAATCGGAGCTGCATCGACCTTTTGTACTTGAGCATTTTCGACTGCTAGCGCTTCGGGCACCACATGTTCGGAAGCCGGCGTAGAACCAGCTACATTGTCTCGTTTATCCGGCTCATCTTGCTTGTCTGGCTGAGTGATCTGGGCTTGCGCTGCCTGTACCTGTGCTTGTTGAACGGCACTTGGCCGTCTGGCGGGCGCGGCTGCGGGCGCACGGCGGATAGGCGCCTTTGGCGCAAACTTCTTGCCGGTTTTGTCTAAACATGGGTCAGGTAGGAATCAAAAGTGTTCAGAACAATGGTACTCACTGATAACGGAGCTAGAAAACGACTTCATGACTGCCCATTTCTTTGTCCGATGCGGGTTGAAGATCAAAAAAGTTCCAGACTGGGGAAGAGAGGTGGGTTGGGTCACGTGTTTGACGCTAGCGGATTTTCCTCCTGCCAGGAGGCTTCTTGGATCTCTACCATCCCACCCCTTCTCTTGTCTGTCCCCTTTCTTTCACTTCCACCTTTTGCTTGATTTACTGGCTATTGCCGTCTACCGGACTCTCCCTCTACAGGATTGGACACAGTCGCGAGATCTGCGTCTGGCTGACTGACGGACGGTCCGGTGGTTATATCAACCCCCTCTCATGCCAGTCTAGCCACTGATGCCGGCCGTCGAATCCCCCGTCACGTCTTCAGAATCCGGTCTCGTCAAAATGGAGGACCGGAAGAGGCCCGCCACAGACAATGACTCGGCCCCGCCTTTGAAGAAACAGGCTACCGTCACGAACGGCGGTAACAAGCCACACCCGGACGCTGATATGCCATGGAAAGATGAATTGGAGGTATGAATTCTTTGAAGAGGAGTGTCCGATCATACAAGGTAGCCTCCAGCCTTCAAAATTGATACTGACTGGCTTTGCGATAGAAATTTCAAAAGGAAGCCATATTCCGCCAAATGCAAGAGTACAAGCGAGAGAAGTCATCATTGGAATCGCGTTTGAGTAAAATGTCCAAAGCTGCCACGTTTCACAATGACCACCTACGTGTTATCGATTCTTGGTTCAAACAGGTTCGTACATTCTTTCCTCCTTGAATCACAACAGTTAGAGAAGATAATTGACACCATGGCAGTTGATTGATGAAGTCAAGGTACTTCTTGGGCCATCGCAAGCCGAAGATCAAGGTCCGTTAAAATGTTCACCCCACGCCTTTTACAAACGTTGACCAGCCAAATAGAGCAACATTTCAAAAGCTCTCTACAATTTGAAGATGTGGAGAATTTCGAAACGCACTTGAAATCGCGATCAGAAGATATTCGCGCTATAATTTTGCAAGTCCAATCCAAATCAACAGATGCGCCACCCGAGATCTCAGAGGTTCAGACCCGTCTTGCAAAGAAGCTGGCAGAAGAAAAGGTTGCGATTGCGGAGCTTGAGAAGACTCTTGTGGAAAAACAACAGTTGGAGGAAAGCCTCGAGGCTGCTTCGTTGCGGTACCTAGTGGCCGAGAAGAAACTAGACCGCGCGAAAAGTGTGACTGTTCTAAAGCTTGAGAAACAGCAACTCATGGCTGCGCGACCTGGCGACGCGGCGCAAACTAAGCGTGAAGAAAATTCACCGGCAAATGGAGGGACTCCCGTGGGAGAACGCAATCCTGAGCTTGAAAAGGCTCATAACAAGCTGACAGCGATTTCGGCAAAGCAAAGGGAGCAAATCCAAAAGTTAGAGGCCGAGAACGCCTCCTTGCTTAGCCAGGTTACCGAAATCAAAATTAAGGTAATGCGGATTTCAATATTTTCCACGACTTCGCTAACCTGACATAGTATTCCAAACTCACGGATGACGATTATGCACACACGGACCTGTTTAAGCAACTGCGCTCACAATATGATGACGTTGTCAAGCGCATCAACCATTTGGAGGCAACGAATACTCAGCTTCGGGAGGAAGCCGAAACATATCGCACCGAAAGAAGTGCATACAAAATGCAGATGGAAGACGAAATTCATAACACTGTTGCGGAAAAGGAAGCGCAGTTGATGAGAGCGGAGACGGACCTTGCCCGGATACGAAACGCTCGCGATGAGCTCCTTGCCGATCAACAGATGCGAAAAGCCACCCAGGACCAGGAAAAGATCTCTGGGTTAAAGCTACAAGAGCTGGCAGATGCCCGGGAGGCCCGAATTGCGGCTCTTGAGTCAGAGGCTAAGAGGTTACAGGTGCAGATCGAAGGTTCCAAGGCCGCCGAGAATGTGGAGACCATGCCGTTGGAAGAACTCCGAGCGAAATACACTAATCTCGAACGCCAATATGCCATGCTCAATACCGAGTTGACCTCGATGCAGACGGCCTACACAAAGTTTGCGAAGCTGGCATCCTCCAAAGTTACCGATTATCAGGCTATGGAGGAAAAGATTGCGCGTCTTACAGCGGAAAAGTCCAAGGCCGATCAAAAATTCTTCGCTGCAATGAAGAGCAAAGAAGCCCGCGATGTCGAGGTTCGCACTCTACGAATGCAAAATTCGAAGACTTCGGACATTGTGTCACAGTTGAAAGATGCCGAAACTTCCACGCGAGCATTGCTTTCCAACATGGATAAAAGAAGCAATGAAACAAAGGAGGCACTAGACAAAGCTCTCAGCAAGCAACACAAGATTCAGCAGCAGTTAACCGAAAGCGAGATCCTTGCAAATGGGCTGAAACAGCAGGTGACTGACCTCAAAGAACTCTCTGTCTCCAAGGATTCGACATTGGGCAGCACCAACTCTTCTTTACGACAAGCTGAAACAGAGATTGCTGGTCTCAAACAGTCTCTTTCTGATACCAAGAAGAGCCTGGACAATTGGAAGAACAAGAGTCTTGGCAATTCGTCTTCGGAATATGAAATGTTACGGGTAAGTTGACCAACCCGATTTTTTCAAAACCATGCTAACCAGACCAGACAATCGCCATTTGCACAGTCTGCCGCACCAATTTCAAGAACACGGCGATCAAAACATGTGGTCACGTCTTTTGCCGAGAATGTGTCGATGAACGTCAGCAATCGCGGTCTCGCAAGTGCCCGAACTGCGGCAAATCATTCGGAAGCAACGACTACATGCACATCACCCTTTAATCGACCATCACCTCCTGTATTATACTTTTCTTTCGACACTTCCTCTTTCCGTCTATCTTTTTTTAGTCACATTTGGACGGGTTCATGGTGCGGTGTTTCGTGGTTCAGCAGGTCTGGTTTGGGCCGGCGTTTGACGAGTTATGTATGCTCAGCCCTAACCGGGCCAATTTTTTGCTGCTTTTTTTTTTTTTCTCGTTTTTGTGTTTATCAAGCCAACACTATGTGAGATGAGGATGTCCTAGCACTCGTCTTGAGGCCAGCACATACTGATCTCCAGGCATTGGACTGTTTTGACTTAGAATTCAATGTGATGTAGGACTACGTGTACGGAGCAGAAACCTCAAAATATGACGAATGCAATGTGAAAGTACAATGATCCATATGATAATTTATATTTATTCCAATCCTCTCGGATCATGAGTTAAAGATTCTACTATACAACAACTCATGTCTCCCAATCCATAAATCCAACGCCGGAACAACCTGCCCAGCCTCCTCCACAGGAGTATTCCACTCCCGCCCAATCCTCTTCATAATGGTATCCTGCAAAGTCTGACTCGCCAGCACATTCTGCGCCTGATACGGGCCCATCACAGAAGCCCGCACCGCCGCACTCAAAACGGCCTTGGCATGGTTGACCACAAACACATACGCCGTCTCCTGCAAATCCAGTCCCATGGCGCGACACACCACACCCCAGAGCGGCGCAAAGTGCCCCTTGGGCCCTAGATCGTCGTCCTCGAGCGAAGACTTGAGCGCATCGCTCAGGTCGTCAATCGCCGCCACCGCCGCCTCAGCATCCCGACCAGCGGGGTTCTCGGGGCCAGCGAAGGAGACTCGGAACGCGCGCTCCCAGACGCCGATTAGGGCCCGGCCTTGGGCGATGCTGGCGCGCTGTCCGACTATGCAGGGGGTGGAGGCGTCGAGGTCGTTGTCTAGTGTGGAGAGGATGGTGGGGTCGCGGTAGCCGGCTAGCACGTAGGGCAGGGATGTGCTTGCGATTGAGGCTATGGAGAGTTTGAGGAAGCGGTGGAAGGATGTGACGGGGGATTGCGACCGGCGCGGTTTGTTATGTGCGAGGTAGGACTCCAGCCCGCTGGAGTAGGCGAATGAGCCTAGTGGTAAGGCGGAGTCGGAGAGGAGCAGGAGGGCGTGGAGGGAGGAGGAGGGGGTGGTGAATTTATTATTATGGTGGTTCTTATATGTGCATGGTTCTGTGGGAATTGGTTAGTTGGTTTTTTTTTTTCAGGGCCATTGGGGGAGTTGGATTGTTGTATGTACCTTTCATTGCCCAGCTGTTTGTGTGCGAGGATGGAGGGCTGGGGTATTCGGAGGCTGCTAGTTGCGCGCGGGCATCTGCGAGGCGGGATTCGAGCTGGGCGACTTCGGCCTCGAGCTCGGTGGTGAGGAACATGGTATGGGATATATAATGTTGAATAGAGGATATAGGATAGAATATAGGATAGAATAGAGAATAGAGAATAAAATATAGAATCCCCAGTCGAAAACAGCCCAATACGGGGAAACGCGCCCTTATACTCTCGCCCGCCCGATCCGTCCCTATCAGCGGATTATTCACAGCTTTTACTCATGTCCTCCGCTTCCTCCACTTGGCTTTCTCCGACATCTTCCGCTCGCTTTTCCCTCCTTGTCATTACTGTTGTTGCCACTAATACGACTCCATGTCTGGCAAACGTCTGTTGGACGCCATCCAGTTGCTCAATGTCTCCAAAACAGTAGCGGCGAAACATTTCGCAATTCGCCAACACCAGCTAGATGTCTATACGCGCACTTCCTCCCTGACCAAGGGGATTAAAGCCCAAACAGAGGGTCTGATTTTGACCGCACAAGCCGCAGCCGCTCTCGCCCGCCGATTCGACGAAACTTCGCCACCGACCGACTCGGCCAACTCCTACACATCCCCGTCCGCCGATCCAGCGACCTCGGCCTCCACGTCGGCCAATGCCGTCAACCCCAATGTCGCTAGTGTAACATCTACGTCGCCCCCAGATCAGGCGCACACCTTAAAACACCAGGCCGAGTTACACATCCCGGCTCAGACGGCACAGTATGTCGGCGATGAGAAACCCGCGGTGTTGAATGTCAGTCAGCAGCAGGATGTCTTTTACCAGCCGTCCACGTCGTCGGCGCCGGATTCGTCTAGCTGGCCGAAGGTGAAGCTGCCTGAGGTTGCAAAGGATGAACAGGTCGTCGGTGATGGGTTGAACGCGGATGTGTTCCCTTCGCCGGTGTCTGCGGAGTCGCAAGTCAAAAAGGTGGAAGGCGCAGAGGAGCTGTCCGAGGAGATGTTGCAGGGGTTGTTCCACAGCCCGCGCGTCTCTCGCATGATGTCTGGCAAGCCTGCGCCTAGGAAGGAGTGGAATGGGCCTGTGGAAGCCAAGCCGGTCCACAGGAAATCTGAGATGCAGGAGATGGAAGAGCTGGCGGCGAGTGTTGCGGAAGATGTCGTGCCGAGCGCTGAAACTGTCAAGTCCCCGACGTACCAGATGCTGGAGTCGCGTGTGCCTTCGTCTCGTTTGGGTCGGTTGTGGCAGTATGGTGGGTTGGCTACTTCAATGGCTTTTGGTGCCGTCGGAGAAGGTTTCCGACGTGCGACTGGTAGCCAGGACAGTGGGTCAATCATGTTCAGCGCCGGTAATATGGAGCGCATGGTTGCCAAGCTGTCCAAGATGCGCGGTGCAGCTCTCAAGTTGGGCCAGATGCTGAGCATTCAAGATTCCAACATGCTCCCTGAACCAATCCAGCAAGTCTTGCAGCGCGTTCAGGACCGCGCAGACTACATGCCCGCCTGGCAACGCGACAAGGTTCTCACGGACAACCTCGGACCCAACTGGCGCGACCTGTTCACAACCTTCAACGAGGTCCCCATGGCCGCCGCCTCAATCGGCCAAGTTCACTCCGCCGTCCTAGCCAGCACCGGCGAGCCCGTCGCCGTCAAGGTGCAATACCCAGGCGTCGCCGACTCAATCGACTCCGACCTCAACAACCTCTCCATTCTCCTCACAGCCTCCCGCCTCCTCCCTAAAGGCCTCTACCTCGACAAAACAATCGCCAACGCCCGCACCGAGCTAGCCTGGGAATGCGACTACATCCGCGAAGCAGAAGGCGCCGCCAAATTCCGCGCCCTTCTCGCCTCCGACTCCGTCTTCGTCGTCCCGAAAATCATCCCCGCCGCGTCCGGAAAACAAGTTCTAACAATGGAAATGCTAAACGGCGTAGCCGTCACCAAAATCCAAGACTTCACCCAGTCGCAGCGCGACTGGATAGGCACACAGATCATGCGCCTGTGTCTCCGCGAGATCGCCGAATTCCACTACATGCAAACCGACCCTAACTGGACAAACTTCCTCTACAACGCCTCCACAAACAAACTCGAACTCCTGGACTTTGGCGCCTCCCGCGCGTACCCGGAAAAGTTCATCTCCACGTACGTGCGCACCCTCGTCGCCGCTTCCCGCAACGACACGAAAACCTGCCACGACCTCTCCATCCAGCTGGGCTATCTCACCGGCATGGAGTCCCCCGCCATGGTCGACGCGCATATCTCGTCCATGACCACGCTCGCCGAGCCGTTCATGCTTTCTTCGCCGGATCTGTACGACTTTAGTAATCAGACGATCACAGACCGGGTGCGTGCTTTGATCCCGATCATGATTCGCGAGCGCTTGGCGCCCCCGCCAGAGGAGACGTACTCTTTGCATCGGAAGCTGAGTGGGGCTTTCTTGCTTTGTGCGAGACTTGGTAGTGCGGTGCCCTGTAAGCAGTTGTTTATTGATGCTATTGCTGCTGCTGAGAGTAAGGGGTTGAAAGTTTAGTTGGGATTTGGATTCGTGTTGATTGCTTGTGTATATGGATGGAGGTGATGTATACTAGATTTTGTATTTGTACGATATATACTGCATACTACGCTCTTCTATTGCATCGTGGGGACTGTCATTGCGTAGTTTCATTCTTGTATGCTAACTTATGTGGAGGGGATGTATACAGTACTGTCGTGCTTCGTAGACTCCGATATCGTTCAGCTTAACTAAAATCTCGGCACTTGGGTTTGCGCGGCTCCACTGTTCACGCTAATATTAATCAGCCCCTTCAGTTCCTAGCCAGCCCTAAATGACTTACTATGATTAGGTCAATCTAAACTAATGACTTTTCACAATACCCTTGGTGCACTAAGATATAAGAAATTACTTGAATATTAATTTAATTCGCGCGAAACAAAAGACCTGTTGGTCGTTAAGCTTGAGCCAGCTATTTTCAAAGTTGATATATAGCTTCACAAGTAAAACACAACACATCGGACTTGCAAAGTATAAAAGGAGAATTACGACCGCTCAAATATTGAACTAGAAGATCCAAGTTTTTTGATACCGAAAGAAAACCAAAGACAATTAACAGTTAAGTAGCAACTTTTCAATTCTTCTATTGCGTGTGGTCATGTAAGAGTGGTAAATAATTCCGGTTGGGAATTTGGCGAAGAAATCCATCTTCAACGTTGATACAAAGGTGAACATTTCTCATATTTCTCATATCTTTAGGGTGAAGGAGAACAAGAAAAGAGGTTGAATATTTATTATCGAGGCCAAAATCCAATATTAGTACTAGGGGAGAAGATCCAATGACACCCCACGTCAAAAATAATCTTCCCCTGTTATACCCCATCTTCCACCGTGAACCAAAGCCAAGGAATAGACATATCCCCTCCCACCTGATCCAACCGTCATTACACACACGAACAAACCCAACAAACCTCCCAAATGACCACTTTCACAATCAGACAAGCCAAAACAAAAGACGCCCCACTCCTCCCAACAGTAGAGCACTCAGCAGCCCAAGCATTTCTAAATCTCCCGAAGCACGCATGGCTAGCCAACGGAGACACACAATCAGTGGAAGAACATCTCGAATTCATCAAAGACGGGTTCGAATGGGTAGCCGTTGATGCGAAGGACGCTCCGGTTGCATTTGTCAACGGAAAGCTAGCGGAGAAAACCTTTCATATACATGAGATCTCCGTTCACTCGCTTCACCAGGGCAAGCGGGTTGGTCGGCGGTTGATGGAAACGGTGATACAATGGGCTGGCGCTGTGGGCTGCTCGGCTATTACTCTGACTACTTTTCGAAATGTGGCGTGGAATGAAGGCTTCTATGCCTCGCTGGGGTTTAGGACTTTGGGGTCTTCGGAGTTGACGCCCGCGCTGGAGGTTGTTATGAGGCGGGAGGATGAGGCGGGGCTGTTGGTTGCGGAGAGATGTGCGATGTGCTTGTGTGTGGATTGAGGCTGTAGGCTTGTTTGGAGTTGGCTGTATCTTGCTGTGTTCAGTCATTCTGGTTCCGAGTCCTGATGGATATGTATATGTATAAAGAAGTGAAGTTTATTGAAGATTTCTTTTGGAATTGGAACGAGATAAAAGACAGAACTTGTGTTACAAGTCAATGTTAGAGCCGGGTCATACATTCTTGGTTTAATTGCTTCGGTTGTTTTGTCATGGATACTGGGCCAGTATGAAGTTGGTACACATATCAGTGTGAATCATGTTCTGATGTTGAAAGAGCCCTTCATATGCTGTTTTATTCAATGGGAATAGACCATCAAGACTTGAGATAGTCGGACTGTAAGGCAGGTGTTTTCATGTTCATGTACGTATGTTTGGAGTTATGTATACACGCTGTACAATTACTGCGGAATCTAGATCACAGCAAGCAGATGAGAATCCCAGTTCAAATGTTCAATATCAACAAACGTCCACTCTAAACTCGATCCAGTCATCAACGGCGTCCATATGTAGAGCCAATTCAGTCATAACGCATCTCAATCTCAATGGTCCATCTAGTTTACAGGCGTAGGAGAGGCAACAGTGTCCAAATACGTTTTGCGGTGCGGGTTGCCATCAACCTCAGCACCACGGTTGAGCGGTGTCCACTTAGGCTCATCCTGGAAGAGACGCATAGCCCGAACATACTAGATATAAAGTCAGTTTCGAAATTCAGACAGGTGTCTTTGCCCCCGGGAACTGGTGCAAGAGCCAAGAAGCTTACGTTCTGCGCATTGGTGGTGAATCGATGGTAAATACCAGCGGGAAGAATGATCATGTCATCCTTGACCAGACAAATGCGAATCCACTCGTCTTGCTGTCCGCGCACATCAAAGTATCCCTCGCCATCGGTGATGTATCGGATCTCCTCATCCTCGTGCAAGTGCTCGGCAAAGAACATCTTCACTTTGTCCTCGTAGACGTCACCCATGGCCTCCGGTGAGACGCAGACCTGGTCGCGATTTCGGTAGCCGCGGTCCTGCGCGATCTGGTCCACATCGGCGATTGTCGGGCAGTGCTTGTATAGCACGCCTACGGAAGCGAGCTTCTCTTCTGAGACGGCGCGGCCGGAGTCGTGGGGCTCGCGCTGGTCGCCCTGTTGGTCATTGGGTGTTAGCTACCAATTTGACGGAAGGCGGGGTGGGCTGCAGGTGGACAGAATGTTGAAAAGGCAAAGGGCCGTGTTGGCGCGTACATACCGGAAGATTGTCATACCAGTAGGCCTTCATGATGCTGTCGATGTATGTGAGCTTGCAAGTGTACTGTACGAGAAATCAAGAGCTGAACATCATCAGCCCCGCAATTGGCCGATGGCGCAAGCGATTCTGTGATGCCTTTCACCGCCCTCGGGCTTAACGGACATAAGCAATGCCACGTGACTGGCGATAATTTTCCTTATCGATCTCAAATGTTGTGTTTGTTCAACATCTGCTTATCATCGCAATTCGCCATGGCTATGGCTTTTCGAGCTCGATCGGCGGCTCTGATGCGTCAGGGTCGTCTCCGCTCATTTATGAGTCAGAGTCGCGGTCTGGCTACTGTTACAGATAACACGCAGTATGTGCTTCCCCCTGGTTATCATCGCATTGGGGGTTGGGACTAACTAGCTTCTTGCAGACCGTACGATGTGATTGTCATTGGAGGTGGCCATGCCGGCTCCGAGGCATGCGCTGCTGCTGCTCGCTCTGGCGCGCGTACCGCGTTGGTCACACCATCTCTCGAAAACATCGGCGTGTGCTCGTGCAATCCCAGTTTCGGTGGAATCGGCAAAGGAACGATGATTCGGGAGGTGGATGCCATGGACGGTGTCGCTGGCCGCATCATCGATAAGGCTGGTGTCATGTTTCGCGTCTTGAACCGCTCCAAGGGTCCTGCTGTTTGGGGTCCGCGTGCGCAGATTGACCGTGACCTCTACAAGAGGTACATGTCCGAAGAGTTGGCCAGCACAGAGAATTTGAATATCGTCGAGGGAAAAGTGGCCGATATTGTGGTTTCAACGGAAGGGATTGAAAGCACACCCGGCGCTCAGGGCAAGATTGTTGGTGTGCGATTGGAGTCTGGAGAGGTCATTCCCACTGGCCGTGTGGTCATCACAACAGGCACATTTTTGGGTGGTGAGATTCATATCGGAATGGACGTGTTCCCTTCGGGACGCATGGGCGAAGCTCCTACATATGGTCTGAGCAAGTCTCTCTGTGACGCTGGTTTCCAACTTGGTCGCCTGAAGACTGGAACCCCACCCCGACTCGACGGAAAGACGATCGATTATCGCGGTCTCGAAGTACAAAAGGGCGACTCGCCCCCGCATCCGTTTTCATACTTGAACAAGACTGTCGATGTCGGCGATGAGGGTCAGCTTACTTGCTGGATGACACACACAAACGAAGCTGTTCACGATATCATTCGCGCCAACCTTGACAAGTCCATTCATATCAGAGAGACAGTTCGCGGACCCCGCTACTGTCCTTCCTTGGAATCGAAGATCATTCGTTTCAAGGACAAAACCCAGCACCAAATCTGGCTTGAGCCTGAGGGATTTGCGCCTAACGATGTCATCTACCCTAATGGCATCTCCATGACCGTACCCGCAGATGCACAGTACGCCATGCTTCGCGCAGTCCGTGGTCTCGAGAACGTCACTATGCTCCAGCCAGGTTACGGAGTTGAATACGACTACATCGACCCGCGCAATCTCCGCCCAACTCTGGAGACCAAACTCATCAGTGGTCTCTACTTGGCCGGACAGATCAACGGCACAACTGGCTACGAAGAAGCAGCCGGACAAGGCATCATCGCCGGCATGAACGCCGGTCTGGAAGCACAAAACCGCACTCCCCTAACCCTCACCAGATCCGATGGCTTCATCGGCATCATGATCGACGATCTCATCACAAAGGGCGTATCTGAGCCATATCGCATGTTCACGACTCGAAGCGAGTACCGCATCTCAACACGTTCCGATAACGCCGACCTCCGCCTGACTCGTATGGCCCGTGAGGCCGGTGTCGTCTCTGACAAGCGCTGGAGCCACTTCTCCGACACCGAGGCCCAGATCCTGGAGCTGCAAACCCTCCTTGCTAACACAAAGCTTTCAGCTTCCGCGTGGTCTCGCAAGGGCTTCAAGGTCCGCGCTGATACCTCCATCCGCTCAGGTCTTGACCTGCTGGCGTTGGACACGGCCGATATCGACTCTCTTATCCCGATTATGGAGTCTGTCGCCGGTAAAGCATACACAGCCGCCTCATTTGCGCCGGAGATCCGCACCCGCGTTGCAATTGAAGGCCGATATGCGCCTTACCTGAAGCGCCAGGAGAAGATGGCCGTTCGCTTCCAGAAGGATGAGAACTTGCTTCTTGCTCCTGATCTGGATTACAGCCAAGTAACCGGTATCAGCAATGAGGAGCGACAGGTGCTGGAACGCGTGCGTCCCGTTAGCGTTGGCATGGCGAAGCGCATTGAGGGCGTTACGCCTGTTGGTGCGCTGAGATTGCTGATGCATGTGAGGAAGAACCGCGGGTTTGTCAAGGAAATGGACGGCGAAGACCCTGCTGTTGCCGACGTTCTTGCTGGGTCGCCTTAGGTGATTTGCTCAGCGTGGTTTCATTGACTTGATTCATTTGTAATATACTGGCATAGCGGGAGCGATTGGCACATTCTATATAACTGTACGATAGACATATTTGTATACTGAACTTCAAGGAATATAAATTTTATCTGATGACTGCGTTTTACCAAGAGTCCTAACATTCATAATGACAACAAGCTAAGCTACCCTATAGATCTAAGAAAACACCTACCAACTCCAACCAAATCAACAGACAAACCAACAACCCCAAATATGACCTTAACAGACTCCCCAGACCAAACAAAAACAACCACCAAAGCGAACCCTATCAAGTCAAGTCAAGTCAACTAAAACACAAGAACTCACAAACAAACCACATTCCCACACAACCCAAACCCCTAACCCCAAATCCAAAGCCAAGAACCCCCCAAAAACCCACCGACCCAAAGAAACGCACATTCCAACGCCCCTTTCCCCAGAACCAAAACACGCGAGAAAGAAAAAGCAAAACAAAAAGCCACGCCAGCCACGGACACGGACACGTACCCAAGCCCACGTCAAGCCCCGATCCATACCGCCAGTCTGGAAACCGGAATCTACGCAAGGGGGCTCACTGCCGATCTGTACCCCTCCTACTGTACATGTACAGTTACTCCGTGCTGAAGGGCAAGACAGGGATAGATCGATCGACGGCGTAGGGAATGAGCCATGGGACGTCGCGCGTACAGTAGCCAAGCTGTGCTTCGTCGTGTCAACTTTTCTGGTTGTGCTGTACATGTACGAAGTATACAGTAGTCTCTTGGGTTGGGATTTTATTGGCGGGTATATAGATCTGCATCTCCTACAGTGTGCAGTATACAGTATACAGTATAGTACAATAGGACCATCTTCATATCGGTTGATACCTCGATCGTCTTTGTATACTGCAACTGTACAGCAAACACACACACACACACACACACACACACACACACACACACACACACACACAGACACACACAGAGATAACACAGTAGCGTAGCGTAAACACTATAAGCCGCAAAGCGAAGCTGACAGCATCTCCGGCATCGAATATGAGCTCAATCATATATCACATCTCACATCTCCCGCATCAGAGCCAGCATGGACATCACCACAACCAACCAGGACATACATGCATGCGTAACATGACATGTTTTATCACGATGCCACCCCCAATCCAGAGAAGTGCATACAGCAGAACCACGCAGCCTATCAGTCTCGCATTCGCGGGCGAATAGTGGAGCGAGCAGGAGTGCTCGAGGGGGTGGCGTGCATAAGCCCACCGTTAGTAGCGATCTGATCTCATCTCGAAAGTTGGATACTGGGCGAATCAGCGGCCGGAGATGATGTTTGGGACATGTATAGTACATGTACTAGATTTGCACTGGTGGTGGATTGGACTGCGTCTGCGTCTGCGTCTGCGTGGGGACGGGGACGAGTACTGTATGGACTGTACTGTATACAGTAGTATATTGTGCAGGTCGGCTGTTTTTGTGATGTGTATAGTATGAATCCCGAGGGAACGGGAGGGGAGGCTGCCTTGCATGTTCATGTACATGTTCTGTACTCTGTAAGTTAAGTCAAGGTAAGATAAGTTAGGTTAGGATAGGTTACTTGCTAGCTGCTTCGTTGGCAGATCTGCTGGGTCAGGTTGATGTGTCGATTTTGATGTACTGTAACTTATCTGTACTCCGTACTGTTCCGTGTGCATGCCAGTGTGTGGGTGTGGGTGTGTTCTTGTTTTGTCGTATAAGTTAGTACAGTACTGGCCGTGCGGTAGCTTGGACGCTAAGCGCTGTACATCATGTCTTTCGTCGTGCTAGCTTGGTCAATGTACATGTATATGCATGTACATATCGATATGGGGTAGTGGGGGCTTGTTATAGGGTCGCTTGAGCGGTTAAAGGAGCGTTGGATGCAAGGGGGCCTTGTCCTTGCTTTTGGCGCGCTTCTTTGGATTCGGACTACACTGCTGTATAGGGGATAGGGCATGGCTTGATGGTTGGTGTTGGCGTTGGTGTTGGTGTTGGTGTTGGTGGTGGTTTAGTGTTTGGGAGAATTGTCTGGTGCAAGGCACTTTTCACTATTGATCTTGGTGCTGCTAATGAGACATGTACTATGTTATCATTCTGACGTGATCTCTGCATAGATCGTACAGTACTCCGTACAGAACCAAAGATGTCTGCCTAAAGCAGGATTGTACTGGTGCTGCAAAGACATCGGTTGGAACCGAACAGCCTCGGCTGGCAGAGAGCGTGGTAGAGTAGAGTAAGGGGCAAGGCGTGCAGATGAAGAACTGCATGGAAAGGGGGGACTTGTGCACAGAATGTGTCGGCCCAGATATCGAGATTCCAATTCTAGCAGATTGTACAGGTACAGTACAGTCTTGTCGACGATCATCGCACGGAGTACTACAAGACGGTGTGTCGAGCAGACCGAGTACAGCGCATACGTGCTGTAGTACAGGTGGGCACAAGCAATAGTATTGTACAATCAGGATGCAATAATGGCATTCTGTGCTCGCAACCAACGCCACTCTTTGGCTGTTTACTCCGTACATGACATCCTGGTGCATGGAGTGCCTGATGCTAGTCTTAGCTGTGGATAGTGGCAGACCAGACCAGTCCAGTCTCGCCTTCAAGCCACACCCCACAAACCGGGCAACCGGGCACTCGGGCACTCGGGCAGACTATCTACTGTACAAGGTAGTCAGTATGCAGGAGCACTCTAGCGCGCTGGGCTAGACTAGCGAGAGGCGAGGTAGTAAACCCTTCCTAGCTGTCGGTACAGCAGTAGCATAGTGCACAGGCGCCCTTTTGCCCTACTTTTTGGATCAGATCAAGGAACAAACCCATTGAGCCGATGGAAGGATCAACAGTTGTTTTTGTGTTTTTGTGTTTTTGTGTTTTCGTGTTTTCGTGTTGGACACGGAGATTATCTCGGTGTTTTGGTTAGTTTCGGTTTTATTAATATTAACTAGGAGGTAATGTATGTGGAACACGAGGGCATTCTACTATAGTCGATCATTTTCTTTCTATTCCGTACAGTATTCTAGAGCGCTTCCATGAGTCCTCCATATTATACTGCTTGCTATTTTGTCCTTTAATCACCACACTCAGGACAATATAATGTAGATGTGGCACTATGGTAGCAGAATCCCAATCAAAACAAGTCACACAGTCCGACACGAGCCGACCAAACCGTTGGGAATACTGCGCAGGTTCGCTGATCCCTGCCGGTAAAAGTCCTCTGACCACATGGAGTCCTTTCCCTCTTCTGTGCGACCAGTGAGTATAGAGCTGTTGTCGACTAGTGATTAGTGGAAACCGTGAAATCGTGAAATCATGAGGACAAGTCTTTCCACCCGATCGGGTGGTTTGACACGAGGGGTCTCGGGGGAGTTGGGATGAGAGAGGTCTGAGGGTGTGAACCAGTGCAAAGTATACGAACATTCCGTTTACTGGGGGGAAGGTTCGATTTTCTTACTATAGGAGCATGGCAGTAACTAACTATAACCGTAATTGATAGGCGAACGAGACGCCCGAGAGAACTGGAGATGTCTTAGCCTCTTAACCTACAGTACTCGGTACAAGCCAACTTGTTATGGGTTGACGGATCTTTTGCCTCTTGCCTCTTGCCTCGTGCTTTTTTTGCCTTCCCATGAAATTAAAGGAGACCAATACTGTACTGCTGTACTGTATGTGTGTCCGAGCCTTGCCTCCGTTCGCACAGACAAGCGCGATCGGACAGACGGCAACTCCCCTCTAGCTAAGAGCCCAGAACGGAATAATTAGACGATCGTGATGATCATGATCTCACCACCTCCTCCCCTCCCAACCTGACCTTTCTGAGGCTGACTGTGGCAGTCGGAATGACCCTCTCCACACCCGAGAAATTGAAAGTTATCGTCGAATTAGTGTTAAGTTACGGTGATTTATGGGTCATTTATGGGTCGCCGAAGAACATGTCCTGTATTCCGTTCTCCGTTAGCATCGAGGATCCCCAGTCTGGAATGATTGCCGGTCGGACTTACACTGTACTGTACAGTAGACGCCCCCCTCCCGCCCCCTAAGCATTCAGCGGCACCTTGCCTAGAGCGGAATCAGTAGAAGATAGGGAGGGGGACAGAAGGCAGACAGCCAGACAGCCAGACTAGCCCCAGGGGCTGGCAAGTGTGCTACTATTGTTGGTCAAGACCAAAATACAGTCCTCGGGGCTGTGGACGGATTAGGGAGGTAGTACAGCACAGGACATGTACAGGAAAGGAGATGCATATGGCTTGATTTTGGATGGGCTTTTTTTCTCCATGTTCCTGTGCGAGGATGTGTAGGTGGATGTGGACGGCACGGCGCATCCTGGGGTTTTGGCGGTGCATGTGCTACTGTACGGGAAGTGCATGGTCTGGCATGGTCTAGTGCATGGACGTGGGCGTTGCTACCCACTCCCAGTTCCATGTACATGAACAGTCCAGTCCATTGTTTGTGGACTCGGGACCATACTGGAACAATCCTCCTGTCTAATAGAATAAGCACATTCGAGTTTCGTCTCGTTTGTTCGTATACTGTAGGTACGGAGTACAGAAAACAAGGCCAAAGTCAAAAGTCAACTCCAGCAGAAAGCCCAAGAATAAAGTCGGTGATCCCAAACCGGATCTTCACTTTCACGCCAAGTTCCCTAATGATGATCACCGCTTAGTGCTCACGCAGACCCTTGAGAGTTGCGGGATTTCTTAGTTCGACCCAGACAAGCATAGTGCCAACGCCACTGGTACTAGTCGATTGAGTGTCCCTTTGGTTTCTGTCTGTCTAGACCCCATCCTGATTTATTGCTCCAAACGATCTTCGTATCCCTTCCCCCCTGTCCACCGTCAGCAGTCCCAGGGGCAAGAAATCCTAGATTAACTCTCAACTGTTTTCTTCACCCAAACCTACACTACCCTCAACTGACACATACCTCCACACGCACAATGACACCATCGAAACAGGGATCGCATG